TAGTCGCCAACATATATGAAAAATAAAGTTTTCAGTAATGACACTGCACTTAGAGATAGCTCTACTACCGTTATTCCTTCTTCTTTCGGTATAAGCTGCGAGTAGGCGCGTCATTGATGCTCTTAGGGTGCAACTTTAGGGATACTATGCGCTAGCGCTATGGTGTTTAGTGTAGTACTAGGAGGGTATATTACCTACGCATTCGACTCGTCTAGAAGATTCGATCTTTTATAATTTGAGAAAAGATGAACGTCCTAGAGAGGCATGGCTAGAGAGGTCAAAGGTATTATGCGTCTGGCCCTATTTCGTTCTAAGACTAAGTAGTTTTAGAAGTAATCATAAAGGAAGGCTAAATGTTGAGTAGTAATTAAGGATGGGAAGCAGTTATTCTAAGATCTGGTTTGGTGGCAATCCTATGATAAATAGTGAGATGAGATACGTTAGTCTACCGACCTGATTCACAAAGGAGTGATGTAACATAGTAAAGTGGTAACACAATTAGTGAAGAGCTGAGGCTACATGGAGATGGAATCTAGCTATGAGCTGGTATAGAGATGTAGCAGGTGAGCCGAATGCCTTCAATTAAATCTCCCCGAAGAGTCTTTGTGCCGTGAGAGTCTGTAAAATTCCATCCAATGTAGTCTTTGTGAAATAGACCGAAAGTCAAGAAAGGGTTGGATGAAGCCTTGCGACACTCCACACAGTGGCATATGGTTACTGCTTCAGGCATCATCCTGCTCTCCAATCGTATTCTGCCGCAGAGACATGAGCCACGTAAGAGGGTTGGTGAAGGAGGCCCAGAGGGTAAGGTAGCAGGGAATGATGGTTTGGGAGTAGGCTCCATTGTTGCACGTCTGCTCGGATGACTTGGCAACAAAGATGGCTATGGGGATTACTCACCCTGAAGCCTCTATGATCTTAATATATATTGCCTCGGCTTTTGAAGTTTGCTACATGCAACATTGCGTTCTGCAGGTCCTTCGCTTACACGAGGTCATGTCTTATCTTCGTATTCATTGCCATCGCTTTCTGTAGGTAGCGTTCGGAGCAGAGGCCGAATTGGGTTGTTGTGAAAGAAGGCATTGCTCAAAAAGCGGCCCAAAATGCATTCAATCGTCATTCATGCCTTTGCTCGTATGCATGGCATATGTAGTACGACAGAGTGAGCATCATCCGGTGTTGGTGTTGGCCAGTGTGGCGTCTCGGGCTGCAGGCTACCTGAGGTGACGCAGACTACGGCGGACTGTGCCGCATGCCGGTTATATAGTTTACCCACCACTTTGCCTTTCCTTGCGATTCCCCAAGCTTTCTGTATCGCCTTGTCTACGCACGTACAGCCTTTTACCTTTTTACGAGCTATCGGCCAGCAATTGCCTTCGGAAAAGAAGGCAAAGACGCAGTCATTTGCTATGGCTACCAATATTGCTTCACCCATCACGTCGCTGATCCCCTTCATTTCGGTGGAGCAGGCGGCCACTATGGCGTACCCGCCCAACGCGCTTCCCGGGGGGCGCGACGTCCCCACCTTCTACGGCAGCATGCGTGTTTATGAATGGGGGCCAGTAGACGGTGAAAAGATCGTGTTTGTACATGGCGATGGCACGCCTAGCCTGGTGTTTTCTAAGATAGCCCAAGCATTGGTCGAAGCTAACTTCCGTGTCATGCTTTTTGGTAGGCAAACTCCCAATTTTTTCCTAGACGGCTCGAAATATTCGATAGACCGAGCAGGCATTTATCGGGTCTAAGCTGACACACCTACTTTCCTCGCTAGATCTCTGGGGTCGAGGTTACAGCGCTACTCCGCTAAATGTTCGACACGACATTCGCCTGTTTGCAACCCAAATTTCTACTGGCCCTGATGTCTTCTCCAATCTCGTGGCTAGGCAATGCTACTTTCTCTATGGTCGGTTATTCCCTGGGCGGCCCCATATCTTTGGCTTTCGCAGGTGCTTTCCCTACATCGATTCGCTCTATAGTGCTCTTCGGCCCTGCAGGCCTCCTGCGGAAGCTTCCAGCTGGTTATGACGATCCCATTTTACAACATCCCGAAACTGCACCCTCACAAGAAGCTATCCGAGATAAGGTACAAGCGGTTCTTGGGGTCGCTTCGTCTGGGCCGGCCTTGAATATCTCGAAAAGTGCGCATCCCGTATCATTGGTCTTTCCCCCAGCTGTGCAGCAGACTTTCGACCTAGCAGCCTTGCTTCAGTGGCAGTTCGATCACAACGAAGGTCATGTGCATGCGTTCCAGCAATCCACGTAATACGGGCCGCTGCAACACCAGGAAGATGTGTGGGCAAAGGTCTGTGATATCTTCGCCGGAAAGTCGCACCCTGAGAGTCCCTTGTATAACTCTACGCTCCTCGTCTACTTTGGTCATGAAGATAATATTGTTAACGGGAGTGAGACTACTGAGGATATCTTCAAGTTGTTACCTGCCGATCATTTAAAAGTCGAATATGTTCCCGGGGGTCACTCCTTCCCATATCCAAACAGTGAGACAATAGCTCAGGGTATCCTTTCATTCTGGGGCTTCCATGGTTCCAAGCTCTAATATCCCAAGCTCTAACTATTCGTGTAGCTGCAAGACCAGAGCAAGCAAGATAGCCAGGGCGGAAGAACAATATATCATGAAAGGTTTTCAGAACGGAGTTGCGCAAAGGTGCACATACGTGCGCATTCGTGTCTATACTATCTAGAGTGGACAGGTATGCCCAGACGTGCGCGGGTGTGCACAGAGGTGCCCAGGATTCCTAAAAAATGTAGATTCTTAAAACCTTGATAACTTTATGAATATTGCAGGCTAGCCGCTGTGCTTGATCCAAAAGGATCCCACATTACAACCAACGAAGGTAAAAGAGTGATCTTGAGGCTAGCTGTCGGACATCCAGATTGTGAGGTGTTCGCGAGTTGACATTGAAAGTAACCGAGCCTTCTTTCACTTCGACCCCAAACCTTGACCAAACTTGTGGTCGGCTATTCCCGACCAGACCTTTTGTCGAGGGGACTTCCATGTTCAGAAATAGTTATACTTGGAGTCCACTTATGTTGACAAGGTATTGCCATGAGAATCGAGGTCGAGCAACTTGTCTTCTTGAAGATCTAAACGCCTCGCGTCCAGATTCAGGTCTTCCTCGGGGCTCTCAGTTGCTGAAGCATTGGCTAAGCCGGGTAGATACACAGAAGACGCCGGGTAGATGTTGGTGTCTACGCGAAGACTAGGTTGACTGTTCTGGAGCCAGTGACCTCTATATTGTTTCATGCGAGAATCAATTTGGCGAAGACGATCGTGAATTATCTCTACATCGATTTAATCTTTAGGCTCCCTAACTACGATATCTTTTAGAAGGTCTACTGTCTCGCCTACCCATATAATATCTTTCGGGCTTTAACTGTCCTACTTCATTTGCAGTCCTGCCAGGAAAGAATAAAACGCTAGCTTAATATTCCTCCCGTTATCTTAGTAGTCGTAGAAACGTATGTCCTAATGTCCTTTTAGTAATATGTCGCGAAATTCTTTCACTATCTCAAAATCTAGCGACACGGCATAAGTTAAAACTTCTAATAATATACATCTAAAGGACTAAATATCAGCCTCTCTACCATCAGTCTTTTCGACTGCGTGCGGAGGCTAATGTTGCTCTAGTGCTGTGTATCTTCCTAGGTCTCGTTTAGGGTTTATCTTTAAGACAGACCTAGTGCGGCTCATCCTGTGGGTGCGTATAGTTATTAGCGCTATAGGCACTGGGTTCGCGTCTTCTGCACTCAAGAGATTGCTCTTCCCTAACCTTGGTATTACTTTTGAGATACCGAAATCTGTAAGTTTCCATTTCCCTACTAGATATGTTACCTAGAGGATTGTGAAAAATACGAGTACGCACGCGTCTACATCGCATAAAAGGTCTGCCGGTCGCGTTCCCCTTGCAGGGTCTACCAATTACAATGGAATATTGCCAGATCTATGCAGCTTCTTAGGGTAGTCCCCGGTCCTCGAAAAGCGGATCCCCAGACACATTATTCTGGTCCTAACTCCGTATGGTTATTGTGCTGACTGCGCGTAGATTGTTGCCAGCGGTAAAAGGAGAGAAAAAGAGATTAGTTATACTTCACAAAGAAAGGCCTTCTTAATCACGTCCAATCTTACCTGGGCATGTTCGCTAATTGTGCTGTACTTGCGTAGGCCAAGTGTTTAATAACCACTACTAAATTAGCACTATCGCAAACCCCTCTATCCAATAAAGTGAACGCTTGCTCCGCATCCATTAATCTACGACGTAACGGCCGTATCAGCAAGACTTGAGAGCTATAGAGTGGGACTTTCTTCCCAATAGGTGTCACATTATTACAACATGATTGCAACCATCCACTTTAGTGGAGCTTCGGCAAGTCTAGATTCGGTACGGTTTTACTATAGTCATGAATCAAGTATCATCAGAAGTAGTAGAACAAACTCTTTAAACGGAGGTCCATTCAGTTGCACCACTTATGGGACGCTGGGCGGAAACAGGGGCAGTACAGACGTATTGCAGTGTCCTTAGACTTTTAAGATTGGCAGAAGCGTTCTACGCAGGGAAATTATCAATGACGGCGGTTACCTACTTGTCAGCCTAGGAAGCACCCCAAACACGACTCACATGTACCCAAATCAACGGAGTAACACCTTGTTCTACTCTGGAGATGATGGCACTTTCCGTGAACTTCATCTCCACTCTGAAAACGTTGATCTTAGGGTTCAGTACCTTTAATTACCCTACCAGCGGTATAGGAGAGTCCGGATACTTCTACATTATGGTACTGAAGGGTCCAACAACAAGGGGCGCCACTTTAGTTCCTCGCTACGATTCAATCAAGCTACCCGACTGTTCCACCCGACCGCGCTACAACCCTAGGACGTTGACAGCACTCAATAGAATGCCGGATATAGCGCCATCGTTGTTGGCGAGCTTCGCGGACCCTTTGGTATTGGCAATGGGATCAACTACCTCGATTTCGATTGCGAGTTAGACAACACGGACGTCTTCGGCGTTGAGATCATAGCGGACATTGTGTCGGTCGCCCATGCTCATAACATCATCAGAATGACTGTCTTGAATGGTGCATCCGTAGGCATTCTCCAACTCTAGGGCCGAGTCTGGCGTGATGTTGCCGTGGTCTTCGTGGTTCTGTGCCATGTTTCCGTTCTGATGTACTTTGATGCTTGAGACTGGTTGAAGGACAAGTTGGACTGGAGTGCCCGCAAGGGGACGGAGTGAGCATATAAGTAATCGCCAAAGACCAGCAATGGAAGTCTTGTTCTGGAAAGATTTGTCTAAGCCAGTCCACTGTCATTCGCAATCACCACAAAGAAACATTGCATCCAAAGCAAGCCTGATCGATTGATGGTCGGCGGTGGAAACAAGCTGTGTGATTGGCTAGCGGACGCCAGCTTTTCGATCGGTCAGCGATCTGCGTACCTAGGCAACATTGCAACATCCCGGCTGCTCCATTCGTTTCCTATCTTGGGTGCGCCCTCTAACCGCTCATCCATTGCCCACCATTAGCACTGACCAAGCACCCCGTCATCCACCCACTCTCCGGCGAACAGATCATGCCCACGATCCCGGCAATCTCCTCCGGATACGCCACGCGTCCACCATACAATTCGCCGAACCTCTTCTGCTCCTCGTTGTCCCACTCGCGCAGCGGCGACAGCGGTACCAGCGGGTTGAACAGTGCATTGGCCTCCTTAGCCGCCGGGTTCGCGTTACGGTACATGTCTGTCATGGTGCTACCGGGGTTGATGCAATTGACGGTGGCCTGTTCGGCGAGCTCGCGCGCCCAGGTGCGCGTCATCGCTTCCAGGGCGCCTTTGGAGCCGCCATAGAGGGTGAGGTATTGGAGGCCGACCTTGGAGCCGACGCTGGACACATTGACCTGGGAATTGTGTTAGTCTCACTTGTCAAGACATGAAAACACAAGGACGTCTGCCGATTGCCATTATTCCTGCGGAGGCGCTCGTAAAGGAAGGCCATATGGAGAGTTGAAAAGGCAGCAGAGGGTAGCTGACGACTTACAATACGTCCCGACCGGTCGGTAGGCAGGTACGGCTTGACCGCTTGGGTCAGGTTTATCGGGCCCCAGACATTTATGGCATATACCCGTTGGAAGTCCTCCAAGTTGCAGGCCTCGAGGGGCATGGCGTGGAACAGCGCGGCGCTGTGGACGAGGATGTCGACCTGGAACTTGCCAGTCTTGGGATTGACAGGCGCCTTCTCCTTGGCCTCGGCAATGATCTTCTGCACGCCCTCGGCGGTCGTGAAGTCGGCACGGACGGGGATGGCCGCGACGCCGTGCGAGGAGGTAAGCTCCTCGGCCAGTTTGGCGGCCAAGGGGTCGGAACCCTCGGTGAGGTAGACGATGACTACATTGCTACCTTTGGCGGCGAGGTTGCGGGCGATGGCGGCGCCGATGCCTGTGTCGCAGAAGTCGTCATGTTAGTTGACCGGAGTAGGGCTCATATGGTTTGTTGGCGACGGCATGTTGAGGGGACTACCTGAGAAGAGGTTGCATCTGCACGACGCGGAGAAATGTAGTTACGCACTTCTGGATGCGCCGGTGATGATGGCGAGCTTTCCCTCGTGGTGACGGGCCGAAGGGACGGTCGTCGGGATGTTTGCGTTGCTGGCCATTGCGTAGTACGAGCGTGTTGCAGTCGACTGGGGTCTGCAAAAAGGCTTTGGGAGTTTACGAAGGAAAGCCTATGGCAACATACAGGTTAACCAAGGTCCTAACGACATCTGAGTAGACAGGCCTGTGCAGCTACTTCACTCTCCGAGAAAAGGGCCGTCTTCGGAGGAAGATCCACTTGTTGACTCGACTAGAAGAGTTAGCAGACAACAGCGATACCACTTTGGGTGTCGGTTTGCTCGCTTTCGGGAGATCCTTGATCTTATTACCATATATATGCTAGGGTTAGCTGTGGCAGTCGTCTCCACTGGGCTGGAACATGGATGTCCTTGGCCCCGCACGATGCCATAGCATGGGCTGCCGAAAATTTCAAATGTTTCAAGATGCAGCTTATGTCTGATCTGCATCACGAATGCCGCGTTAGTTTCCGTCCGTGATCTCGTGCGAGACCATCCTACAGCTAAGTACACACGGCAGAACCCGCCGTTAACGCCCTCCAAGTGGATGTCTGGGTGTTTGGTAACCCTATCCAGTCGTCGCTTACCGGGGCCGGATCCTGGGCGCATATCCCCGATCCTTGCAGTCTGCAGTACCTGACATATCTCACATGACCTGCACCTGCGCGTGCTGCAAGATAAAGGTTGTCCTGCTGGAGCACTTGCACTCTGCACTTTACTTCTTGTTTTGGACTCAAACTTCCGAGCCACTGCTAGGAAGCCTCCTTTAGTTCGATATTGATGAGGGAGCCATTGTCGCTGCCAATTTGTGAACACGCCACTACATGTGCCCGTCGGTTCGTACCGAACAAGTGGGCATGCAGCCACAGTAGTCATGCCGTCCTCCTGACCGGCTAATCAGACCCTCGAGTCTAGCAGTTGTAAGGTGTGTTTAAGTGGATCGTTGTGGCTCTGATGGCCAATTATCAGTCATACTAGAAAAGGACGGGATGACTACCCGGTACCCGTCCCTCGTCTGCGGCCTCGAGGTATCCACATGCCTCATGCACGGGCTAGTGCCCAGATTCGGGCCGTCTGGCCAATGAACGAAGCACTGATCGATACTCTATAGAGTAAAGTGTAGGATTGACGCCGCAGGGATAGAATTACTCCCTGTAGCCTCTCGTTAGTAGACGTTCTCGATCAATATCAGCGCACTCTCTACATATGCACCATTTTTGCTTATTCTGGTGATACCCTCTTGTAACTCATCTGTTGTCTGCCGGCAGGCTACGTACCTAGTCCCGGAACGCAATTCAGGCTCTTCTTCCTCTCCCATCTTCTGTCTCGTTTCGTTCACGCATCACGGTCACACACGATGGCTGTAATCGACCCTAACCAGCCTTATCTGCGCGAGTTAAAAGGCGGGAGTCTGGCCATCTTTACGGTCTCGGTGGTGGGATGCATTCTCTCCACAATAGTTGTTGCGTTGCGAACATGGGCAAGAGTGTCTTCGAAGGCCTTCGGGCTTGATGATGGTCTCATGCTCGGCGGACTGGTAAGTCACTCAATCTAGCATTCCGAACATCTTCGAGAATTGGAGAAAATCAAGGACCCGTGCTCATACGTTTGTCTCAAAATCTAGGCGATCTACATCGTCGACGTTGGTTTCGCCTCCGAAGGCGCCCGCGCCGGTCTAGGTTCGCGTGACGTTGACCTGAGCCCCAAGATGCAGCAGGACTCGCGTATGTGGCTCATGATTTGGATGTTGACGTACATCTGCGGTCTTGCGGTGGTTAAGAGCTCCATCTGCGTTACTATGCTGCGCATTGCCAACGCGATGAAGTGGTTCCGTTTTGCAGTCTTCGCGCTTCTTGCCACGACCTGGCTTACTTGGGCAACCACTTTTATCGGTGTCCTGCTGCTATGTCGACCTGTCGCTGGCAACTGGGACAGCAGCCTCGTGCTCTCGGGGGAGGCCAAGTGTGCATCCATGGACGCCATGATAGCCCTGTCGTACACCTCGACTGCGTCGACGATCGTGACCGACTTGGCTTGCGCGGTTCTGCCGGCGTTCTTGCTGTCGAGAATGCAGATGGCGCTCAAGTCAAAGATTCTGGTCGGCGTACTGCTCTCATTTGCTTCTTTGTGAGTCAAGCTGGCTTCTTGCAGCTCCTTGGTCAGGCGCTCAAATACTGATATCGAGCGTTCCAGGGCTTCTATCTCGACTATGGTCCGCACTCCATACATTGATTACTACCGCAATCCAACGGACAACTTGCCATGTAAGCCATACTCCATCATACCCGAGCCTCAAGGCCCACAACTTTCGAGCACACTTCGTTGAAAGCCTGTCCACTGACCGAGTCTGCTCATCCCCAGTCCACGTCGGCAACATTGTCCTCTGGTCCAATATCGAGACCGCCATCGGCCTCATCGCCGGCTCTCTTCCCTCCCTCCGTCTCCTCATCGTGCGTAACATCAAGACCAGCAAGAACGGCAACTCGAGCGGCCCCTCTCTCAAGCAGAACGCTCGCGACCGCAGCCTCGTCACCATCGGCGGCGGTGGCGCGCCCCTGAGTAATAATGGCGGTAAGCGGGGTCGTGGCACCTTCAAGAACCCCACCGACACGGGCGTCAGTGTCAGTCATGTGTACGCCCACGGCGAGGGGGATTGGGAGAGATTGAGCGATTCGAGCTCGCAGACGAGACTGAAGCACGCAGCGAGCGAAACCAAGGGTGGGATTAGGGCTGATTTCTCGTATGAGGTGGAGTTGAGTGAACGGCCGGCTTCGGTAAAGGATCAGGTTGGCAGGTAACGCACGATGCTTTTCCTTTGGCGTCTACCATACCCACGGCCTGTTTCTGGTGTCCCTATCCTTGCTTATTATACTTATGCATCTGTTAGCGTTTCTCATGCATTTCTCTGGAGTCTTCAATTAGTTCACCTCCGTCGTACACATCCGTCGTCAGTAAAGCGTCAGCGCCGGCCTTACCTAGGTAGATGACCACTAAAGCACTCTCGTACAGAGCATATTTTCGATCAGGGGTCCATAAAAGACTAGGGAGTTCCGTGATGCCTTCGGCGAGCGTGCCATATTTGAACTCCGCGCCCAAGCCATGACTCAATGGATGTGCTACTCCGCTTCTCGCAATCAACTTCACCATCAATGCTAGCGAGAGCTTGCGACAGGTCTGATGGTCCACGGATGACCGGTATTGGAGTCAACCTGTGGATGTATTTGCTGATAGTTACTCATCACAAACTCGTGGTCAATGGAGGTACTCAAAAGGAAATACTGAGTGTAGAGATTCTCAACTCAACAAGACGAATATAAGGAAGGTATGGATCTTCTTCTGTTAAATTCGCTTTCATGGTGGAGGGTTGTTCTGGACCCGTGCCACCACGTAAACCGTGGACGAGCTTGCGCTGCAAGCTCGGGTGGGGGTTTGCTAAAGCCCCACCAAGTTTCAGGCGCTTGGCCGAGCAAAACCAAAAAACATACAACAGCGGGTATTCGCTGCTGGTCACCCACGCAACTACTAATCCGCCGGTACACTGCTTATATATGGCTGAGCGGACGGGAAGCCTAGTTTTCAGTGTCCTATGGTCGTATGTGGAGTATTGTTGCAAAACTTAGGCTTATTACCACGCATATTTATGCAATGTTCAGTTCGCATCGCGATTATTGCCCATCACCTCTGGGCCATACATCGCTGATGTGGGCGATAGGACTACCACAAACAAACAAGTTTAGCGGAGACAAGGGCCAGTGGATCGCGCTATATAGCTATGCTAGGGGGATGATCTGGTTTTACTGCGAGGTTTTGTCGCCATGGATCTGAAATCGTAGTTGAGGGTTTTCATATCACCTGGCATCCGAGATATACTGTTAATCACTTTTATGTCTTAGTGACGATTGGGAAACTCTCGCATCTTACCCGTTTCATTATGGCGGCGCTGCCTAACTCCATATTCCGTTAAGGACAATGCGGTGTGGTGCTATGAAGCGAGCGCTCTCTATGTAGCGCTACACTATGATTTATGAATAAGACGCCTATCTGGCATTTGGATAGTATGCAGTTGATCCTATTATGATTATAGAGTATTGAGTTCTAAGGAGTGATTGAGAAATTCTTGCCCGAGCTACCCCTCACCCCTCCGGAAAATCGTGTATACTATTCAACGGCGGATGTACTAACCTAAACATCAACTGTGCTAACTGTAGCTACTCATGTGTGATCTACTCAAAGGTCGCACAGAGACAACGTAAGACGGCAAGTGAGAAGCACGTGAAGAGTTGATAACCTTTGGGCCGGGTGTCACAAATCCTCCGCGTATTCAAGCCCGATGAGTGAGAAATCCAACTTCCGTCGTTCAAAGGATATATTATTCTACAATCTATAAACATGTCTACGCTAAACAATAGAATAGTCGCCGCAGTCTCCAAATAGCGTGGCTAAGCCTACTTACGTATCAGAGTACTGACGAAGAAAGGGCTGAAAGCTAATTTGACTCCCCTGGTGGTAATTTGTCTTAGGGTGTTTGACATGTTTGGAAGCCAGGTTCACCTGGGACACTACACGGTGCGAAGGCCGCTGTGCCCAACAAGACAGGATCCTTATGCCGATTTTCTACGAGCAACATTACAGAGTAGCCGTACCCGCAGCCATATCAGAGTTTGAGTATTGATAAGCATTTTCAAGATTTGGAGTCCAATTGATCTATGGTGCATAATGATCTGGTGACATCGTGTTCAGCCCGATCCAGTTCGCAACAAACACGCGCACTCTACAGCAGATTCTTCCACCTTTCTACTACTTGTCAACGAAGCCTGTCAAGCAAGCGCGAATTCCTGCAACCCAGATCATAGTGATCTACTCGCCGTCACAGGCCGTAGGTCATAAGCAGCGGTCACTCAGAAAATAGCATACCATCGTTACATAATCTATCGTAGTAGTCTCTCAAAGATGTTGTCCTCTAAGTAGAGCACGCAACATGTGCTTCTATTAGGAGAATGCGCTATAATGTCTTCTCACCGTCCTTGGTCCAAGCGAAGTCCACTCGTACCGCAAGCGACGCAAGTTCGATGACTCTGTACATCCCGGGCATTTGAAAGTACCTCCTCGTAAGCCCTTCTTCGGTCTCTCCTGGACGACGCGCTTGATCAAATCTCCAAAAACAGCACCTCACGTCTTCCAGCACAAGTTTTTCCAATCTTTCCTGTCGCCTGATGAAGTTGCGCAGAATGTTGATGTGTGATCCAATCATTCCCGATTTTAGGCGCAGCGTCTCTAAGTTTGGGTAATTCTGTTCTAGAATTGCGAACATGGGTTGCGACTCGGTCAAGCGTTGCGTCTTTTGGCCCTTCATTACAGAGTCCCAAGGTTGGACGTTACGAAAGGTTAGGGACTTGAGTTTAGGCGCTGAAGCCACCGCAGCCATAAATTTCGAAGCGTAGCTTGGACCATTTGGGTTGCTAAGCAGCCAGCAGTGGAGCTGCAACTCTTCCACCTCTTGTAAAGCCGATTTGAACAGGCCCAGTAGTGGTGGTCTGCCCGCTATTCGTGACGAGAAAGCCCAGCGCTCTGGCATGAGGGAAAGCTTCGGCACTGACAGATGAGCATTTCTCATAGCTCTAAGCACTCGTGTGAGACACCGGATGTCTCGTGGGTTAGGCGTCTTGAGCTGCGCTTTATCAATTCCTCCCGGGATTATCGGACATGATTCAGAGTCTGCTAGATCGGTGAATTGCACCTCTTGAAACTTTCGAGATTCTCGTAGACAACTGAATAGCGTAGTGAGGCGTGTGAGTCTTGACCGTTCAATTTCGCTGAAACCTTCTGATAACACATCTCCATTGCCATCATCTCCGAAAGACGTCTCCTCGTCGGTGTCGGGTTCCTGCCAGGCCCCCTCTTGAATGTTCTGTTCTATCCTCGATTCTCCTTTTGACAATTCCAGATTCTCAAAATCCTCGATATACAAAGAAACCTTGCAGACGACTTTTCCAAAAGCTGAATGTTTGATAACGGCTATGGCGCGATCTAGGCTGTCATCGCTGTTGACGAAGATTGGCAAGCGAGGAAACACTGTCGCGGCGTAGGCCTCATTGACATCTCCGACTAGCTTGCGGCAGACAAGTCTGAGATTGCATAGCTCCTTGATCTCGAGATAGGTAGCTATGTGCTCCACGAGCTCCGTCGGGATGTTCACCAGTGTGGAGATACTTCGGTTGGCCATGCTGTGGAATTGATTATGTCGACTGGACAGAGAAGAATGTGTTTTCAGCTGTGGTGTGATGTGGTGGCAGAGTAGAAGGAACAGCTCTGCCGCAGCTGACGGGATAGGCAGTAACGTTAGTTTACGCCCGATGCTTACCTACGCACGTTGTGGGCTGAGCGCGGCCAGGGCCAATCAGCGTAGGTAGACTCCAATTCCGATGATGAGCAAGTGGCCAATCCGCGCTCGGATTATTAATAGCTCAGCTCGATTCGGTATAAGAAGGCTACTGAGTAGGTTATATACTAATTTGCGCGACGCAGCAACATACATCCAAAAGCCCTTGCCGGTAATAACAACTGGCCCGTCCCGTATGTTCGGGCCGCTGCGGATCTGCTGGGCTTGCCATCAAGACAGTACGAGGTTGCGATGCAAGGCTATCTGAACCGGAAGCGAATAGTGATCACTTTGACAGCGGCGCTTTGAAAATGGCCTGGAGACGACTCACCTGCCTTTATAGCAAGGAGGATAATACCACCCGCCTTTCCAAACAGTCCGTCCTGGGGGAGCTCCGGTATTGACGCGCAATAAGGTCTAAGGAGAAAAGCGCTCGGTCGGGGAAAGTGGAGGAGCGAGGTCGTTGGTGGAGCTGCGAGCGACTTGGGCACGGTTGCGCCGGCACAGGCCAGCCTGATTGGTCGACGCCGATGTAGCGCTCGCTCCATCACCTTACAGATCTTGGTAGGAGGAGTGAAGTGTGGTATCTCAGATTAATGGACGCGTTCTTGGGAGGATGTGTTTTGGTGTTGAGTGAATTGCCGAGCTGCGTCATGCACCCCAACTTCCATGAGATCACGCTAAGCCCGATTCGCTCAGTTTCGTCCTCCTTCGTCCATGCTCCCTCCGTCCGATAGCCTCCCATCAAGCATGCAAAGCCGCCTCGAACGCAGCTCGAAAACCTCCGACTTCCATGCACCCACCAAAACGGTACCAAGGTGCGTCTGACCTTCACTCATCCGTCCGCATTCGCTAGCTACATGCCAATGACCACCTGTAAGCCTACGGTCCCGGTTTCCCTGACTGGTGCGCTTTTAGAGACAATGATATTTGTGAGGATGGGTGTGTGGTGGTGAAATCACTTTTCGACCAGCGCGCCGGTGCGGGCTACCATACGGATCGTAGATTCAAACGACGCAACACGTATCCGCGCCGCGCGAGAAGCCATGAATGGCAGTCCATTCTCTTGCCGACCGGCCAATACGCTGACATAGAGCCTAATGCACCTTCGGTACATCGCCGTGGCCTGAGGCATAGATATGAGATAAGGATCATTACCCGATTAGGCAGGTAAGCTTGTAGCGACCGGCCAACTGATAGGCCGCGTGGACCAAGGCGTAGTCGTACGTCCGCGCAACATCTTGAGGTCTTATCTCTAGGGTCTTTCTCGTATAAGAAACTTGGCTCGCCTTGTCGTGTACCAAGCGCCAGCGGCCGAGGTCTTGGTCTCTTGCGCAACGGAAAGCGTAGTCAACATGTCGACTCAGGTGGAGAGCAAGGACCCAATCACGACAGAGCCTGGCCAAGATGTAGAGGTTGGCCATGGACACCTCAAGGAGCTGGAGGTCGATGTGGCCAAGGTGCTGGGTGATGACCAGTCGTTTGATCTCGACTCCGACCACTCTCCGTACCCTGAAGGTATCCTCATCAATGATCTCGCTTTGTCCATCTCTGACCGTCGCAACAGTCCGAGCTGTCGTGCCGGAGGTCGACGACCCTCTCATGCCAGTCAACACTCTTCGCATGTGGATCCTAGGCTTCATATTCACCATGATCGGCGCTGGGGTCAATAACTTCTTCTCGCTGCGTCAACCGTCCGTCCACATTGTGTCATTGGTCGCCGAGCTGCTGGCGTTCCCATGCGGCATCTTTCTGGCTCATATACTCCCGCTCTGGACTGTCAATCTCGGACCGCTTGGCAAATGGAACCTCAATCCGGATCGCCATTTCAATATCAAGGAGCATTGTGTCATCACCATCATGGCCAACGTCTCGATTGCCTGGGGCACTGCAGATGCCACTAGCCTCATCCAAGCAGCGCAAGCGTTCTATGAGTTCAAGCTCAGCGCCGGCTTCAAGGTGTTGGTCGTTCTCTGCTGCCAACTCCTCGGCTTTGGAATCGCAGGGCTCGGCAGGAAATGGGTGGTTGAACCTGCAAATATCATCTGGCCCGGGACATTGTCCATCTGCGCTCTATTGACCACGCTGCATTCTCGAGCCAATGCCGTTGCAAATGGCTGGAAGATCTCCCGCCTTCGATTTTTCATGGTGGTCATGGCCTGCGCTTTTGGGTGGTACTTCTTCCCTGGACTCATCTTTGTAGCTCTGAGTTATTTCACCTGGGTTTGCTGGATTGCGCCCAACAATCGAGTCGTAAATCATCTCTTCGGCATGCAAACCGGTCTTGGTCTCTCTCCGATTACCTTTGACTGGACTCAGATCGCCTACAATACGAACCCTTTGCTATCACCATCTTGGGCCGCACTCAATGTCTTTCTAGGATTTGTTGGCGCCTTCTGGATTGTGGTTCCCGCTATCTACTACACCAACACGTGGTGGACGGGCTACTTGCCTCTGATGACGGCAGATGTGTATGACCGGTACGGTGCCGAATACAACGTGAGCATGATGATCAACGCCGACGGCACCTTCAACGAGACTGCATACCAGGCGTACTCCCCTCCGTATCTTGGCGCATCCTTCGCTTTTGTGTATGGCCTGTCATTCGCAGCTATCACCTCTGTTCTGGTACACGTTTTCCTCTGGCACGGCAAAGACATCGTCGACGCTATGAAAGGGCGCACAAAGATGGACATTCATGCGCGCCTGATGCAATCATACAAACAGACACCCTGGTGGATGTACGCTGGTATTGTCGTCATGATGGTTGTCCTTTCAATCGTCATGGTAGAAGTGTACGACACCAAACTTCCGGTCTACGGTGTCTTCCTCGCCCTGGTCATCCCCGCGATATACATGATCCCATGCTGCATCATCCAGGGTATCACCAATGTTGACGCCCAGCAGCTAAACGTGCTCGCGGAGTTCATCGGTGGATACATGTTCCAAGGCAAACCTCTCGCCAACATGATCTTCAAGACCCTCTCGCAGGATGTCGTCCAACAGGGCTTGTTCTTTGCCCAGGATATGAAACTTGGGCACTATATGAAGGTCTCCCCGCGGCTGGTTTTCGCCGCGCAGGCCAGCGCAACGGAAAGTCCTTCCTCCGATACAATCTTTCCATTACTAACACCTGACAGGTCCTTGGTGCTCTGACACAAGTCGGTACCACGAGCTGGATGCTAGGACACATCGACAAGATCTGCACCTACGATCAACCCGACCGTTTCTCTTGTCCGCAAGGCAGAACGACGTACTCATCTTCGGTCATCTGGGGCCTTATCGGACCCAGTCGGCTGTACTCTTCCGGCCAGATCTACTCTGGTCTTTGTCACTTCTTTTGGATTGGCGCGCTGATGCCGATTGTGACCTGGTACGCCTGGAAGCGCACAAAAATCGACTGGCTTAGGTACGGGTGGTCTGCGGCCTTGATCACGTTTGAGCGTATGCTGATTGATTGGTACCACAGGTATATCAACTGGCCACTCATCTTCGTTGGAACGTATGTGCATCCTGACCTCTTCCACTGGAGCACCCCCGAAAGCTGATCGAGATTTTAGGTACAATGTTCCGCCCGCGACTGGCATTAATTATAGTTCGTGGTGGCTCGTCAATTTCCTCTTCAACCGTGTAATCTTCCAGAAAGCTTTTGCCTGGTGGACAAAGTACAATTACATCCTGGCTGCAGCGCTGGATACTGGCACGGCGTTGTCCGGCATTATCATATTCTTTGCCATCAGCTATACCGGAGCTGTGTTTCCCGATTGGTGGGGTAACACAGTGTTCGTTAACACGGCGGATGGTGATGGTGTCCCGTATCTGGATATGCCTGCGGCAGGCTATTTTGGACCGGCAAATGGGACTTGGACCTAAAAATCGCCGCTTTATCAAGGTGGAACTGCGTTGGAGGTCACAGAGTCGCACAGCGGCACAGTAGACGTTGATTCATTGACAGGGCAACCGAAACAGAAACATCACAAAGCTTCAAGCGTTTGTCTTGCATCGGTGGCACGCTTCCCTTGAATCGATCCACGCTCTTGTATATCAAAGGTCCACAAGTTTGCGACGTTCTTGTTCGATTCTTCTCAAGCTGTTGCATGCCCCTAAACCAGCTTTCCCTTCTTGCATGATTGTCGGCTATGCATTATGCGCCCACAGACTCACGCGCTCATGATATGCACAGTCATCCTAGGATATAATATGGACTACTCAATCTGATCGCGTTGATGCAAGTGCGTAATTTTGACTGACCCGCGGACCGGATCACATTCCATTGCCGTATGATATTGTCGAGCAAAGAGCTTCCCTCGATCCTACCCTCGTCGCACCTGTGAAAGGTCGAGCGGGATCATAGCCGTAGAGATAGTCGCGTTCCACTAAGAGGAGGTCAAACGGCACCTCAAGCGGTAAGATCATGCTAAAAGATAAGGAGATCGTAAAGCGCAATGTTGTAGGTTACTCGAGTTGCTTGGATGGAGCAAGTCGGGGCTGGGGCGTAGACGAGCTCTCATATCGCGGTTATCATGTCCTGTTAGGCATCGTCCGTGGAATAGCTGCGATTGTTGAGGTTGGTGAGTGGTGATGACTAGAATGGAATCGTAGTACGCGCGAAGGGCTGCTTAACGGTCCTAAGAGCTGTGCAGTCAACCTCTGCATCGGCCATCTCACTTTGACGTTGGCGCGACTGCTCAAGGAATGCGAGCCTTCTTGCGAGGGCCGAGGGAAGCCGTTAGCGTGTGTAACGCGTACACTCGGGGCGGAGAAGGTGTTGATGGACCGAGGCTCAGCGACGGCTACTTTTGCTGTGGTGGCAGGCGAGAGGCGGGAGGCGGTAAGAAGGTCGCCATTTACGCCGTAGGTAGATGCGCTGAGTGCACGAGCGTCGAGTGTCGTTATGACACAGTGTTGTGATCCACTCCCAAAGAGTTTTAGCCGTCTAATCTTAGCCTCGGCTGTGGCATCCGCCATCATCCGAACATTTTCAGGCTTGTCGTGCGTGTATCGTAGAGAGGTGTCCGAAGAGGGGCATGCAGAGTTTCCGACAGCTTTCAAATGTCGGTTTGCTCTGTATTATTTTCATGCCAGCGTTTCGAGTGCCTCTTACTGGCTCCGTAGGGCCATTGCAGCGCCGCGCACCCAGTCGCAATGCGGTATGAGAATGTAACAGCTAAGCTGGGCAATATTTCCTCAATAGTCATGGTTGGTACGTCGCAATTAGCGCATGATGGGGGCTAAACATAGTGCCGTTGCTCATCAAATGAGTGCATCTGAACCTTGCATGGTATGTTTACACATGCATTCGTCAAGTACCGCTGCTTGCGGCGAAGGATGTGGGTGAGTTGACAGCATATCATCAGGAACCGGTCGTCTATAAGGGCTGTGACCGGCTGTGTTGCGACACAAAGCGCCATGCATACGCCCCACGATTGTCGCTTACGCTGAGCAAGGATTTCTGTTATTGATGTTGGTTTATTATTATCGTCAAACGTACATGCTATCATCAGCCATTTTTCTCTTCAAATTCCTCTCCTCTGCAGCGACTATACTGTCGTTCTTCTAGAGCCCTCTTCCTCTTCTTGGCCTTGACCCCATCCACGAGTTGCTTGTTCTCGTTCCTGCCTTTCTCTTGAATGCCCACACTCCCCTCGGCCACGTTCTCCTTCTGTCTTTCTTCTAAAGCTCTCCTCCTCTTCTTAGTTTTGACCCCATCCACGATTCGCCTGTCCTCACTCCGGTCATTCGTCTGCTTACTCACACTCCCCTCGGTCACATTCTCCTACTCTTCTTCCAAAGCCGCGGGAGCCTCTCCACGTATGTATGTCTTCCTGCCTTCGACCTCGAACGGCAACGAAGATTTCTCTACGTCCCAACTGACACTCCAGCCCAAGAATCTCTACGTATACCAACCGTCCAGCACAAGACACTCCACTGTAAGCACCAACAGATCTATTGACAACGAACAAGCTCTAGGGTTTCCCACGCTGAATCACATGAGTCTCACCAACGACATGGCAGACCTGGAAAGGCCGTACAATGCAGCTACTGGAACCGGCCCTCCTGGTCGCAGATTAGCACTTCGTAACGTCAGCACTACCGTGGCGATATAGCCTCACAAAAAGAAGTTCAGATCTCTAAGGATGCTAGATGCATCACGTACAAATGGGACAATCAAGTTGCATTTTGTGATGGTATTGTCTGTATGCACAGAATGGAGAGTTGACCTTAAGTAACAGCCCCTGAAAAAGAAGGCCAGGCCGGGTATCGCAAGAAAGAGATGAGAAGAGGAGATGAAGTAGCCCATGAGGCGGCGATAGATCCGCCGTCAAGAACCATGACAGAAAAGAAGAAAGACAATTGTATAGAAGTCATCTTGTCCCACTCAAGTGTAAGAGGGGACTTGTAGGGAACAACCAGTGCAGATTTGACCGCCGAACAGAATTAAAAGAAGCATGAAAGGAGAACCACTGGAGGGGTTATATGCCAAAGCACTGATGAGCAGGAGATCCTGGCTACAATACCATAACCAGTTTCTGGGTGATATGTACTAACCGAGGCTGACTAGCGTGTTTCCGGACTGAGCAACGCTGACCCCAGGCTGAGCAACACTATCTCCAGGCTAAGCAACGCTATGCCCAGGCTTTCCACTTGGAGCTGTACTACTCCTTGGATGCAGGCATCAGCGTTCCTACATACACCTCAGGGACGGAGTCGAAGTCGACTTTCCCTATGGTAGGTGTGCGCTTGCGCTTGGCGCCCTTGGTTTTCCAAGATTTCAGGAGTCCTTTGATCGATGTGAGTCGCGTATCGGTGGCATAGGCGGCTATGTTTTTGATGATTCCCCCGAGCCTCTTCCATATGCGACTGGTTTGCCATGGAGTAACCTTCGTGGCCTGGGAAAAACTCCATGTGATGGTGATATACTTTCGCGCCTGTGTTATCCACCTTTGTTTCGCGCCAATGAACGTGGAATTGGACGATTTCGCCGTCGGTTGTGATGGACGTGTGGGCAGTCTGTACGAACGTTGGCTCGTGAACGCCTGCGCACTCGTGCAGTTTGAAAAGGTTATTGACGATTGTAGCACCGTCACGGCTTCCTTGCAGTCTGGCATCGAATATGTTTTGGGAGCTGGTGGGAGATTTCCACTGCATGGTCAGAAAAGGTAGATGCTGGTAGTCTGCAACAGGCTCCACTCTCAACTTGTCTTCCTCTTCCTCGTCAAAAGCTGGCGATACTTCTGCCTTCTCCGCGTATGCCCGAGAAACATAACCGTAAGCGACGTCAGGTTGTGGCTGTGATAGGGCCTTGTAGAATTCTGCGATCGCCGGACGTGGGGCCTGGGGGGAGGTACTCCTTTGCCAGATTTGGCTCGAGACCGCAATGTATGTACGGTGTGCCACCTCGCACCTCTCCCTGCAGGCCCTCCATCAAAGTCGGATTAAGGCTGTAGATGAGGGAGGACTCGCCTTCCACACGGTGTGCCCTTGCCATTTTGACGAGTTCCTTTGCGCGAGGTGAAGCTGCCGCGGATCTGGGCTTGCAGAAGTTGGTATTGATATGGTCCTGTAGCTCTTTTGGAATAAGGTGATTGTCGTCTACGTAGATGTTGAAAGCACGGAGTTTGTTCTGATCATCCATAGCTTTCGGCATTGAAGCAGTGCTTTCTTCGTCAGAGGATTTGGCGCTGACAGTGTCACTGCCTTCTATGCTGTCGGAGAGGCCCGCGAGAGTCGCAAGATTGTCGTGGGTCACTGGCAACGCAATTCCCTCAGCACGCTCTTCACGGGGCGCGTCGTTAGATGAAGAGGTTGGAGTGTCGCTTTGCGAGCTCACAATGGACCAGGTGTCCGAGTGCGAGGCTCGTCGCTGCTGAACTGGCCTGTGTGCGGTACGACCGCGCGAGGGGCTTTCCGAAAGAGACCGCTTCGCGGGGGTAAGTCCTCGAGGTCCCGCAGAGGTGTCTTGGCCGGCGGTCGGGCTTCCAATCCTGTCGCCACTGACAGACATGTAGGATGTGTGGGGCTACGCAGGGCCGCTGGGGTGAAAGGGTAAAGAGAACTCTTCGTGTGTTGAAGTGGCGACTCAGGCGCAGTAGAGTAAATGGTGGGAGCAAAATTTGGTGGTTCCCTCCAGGCGGCTGCGCGGGGGTTGAACTGTGAGCACAGGCGGACAATCAGCAGTGAGCGAGACAATAGAAGTAGTGCGCACCTTGAGCAACAATATCCGGAGATTGACCTCAGTAGCAACAGAGGTATGTGGCGTCGGAATTGATTGTTGAGGAAGGCGACGAGGTGAGAGATGGTCATTAGTATGGGAGCTGTCCAAATCGGTACCTAGCTTCAGCAAACGGCAGGCGCGTGCGCTCGGGCCCCAGGCAGCAATGTTGTTAACTGGCGAAGAGCAGTTTTTCAAGAGCGTATGGATGTGGACGTCGTGCTAAGGCGAATAATGGGGAAGCGGGGACAAGAGATGGGGGGTGGATGAACACAGCACGGCTGATGGTTGATGAAAGGCAGCGGTATTGAAGAGTACTGAGCGGAGCTACCGAAAGTTGCAGCAAGTCGATGAATTTTTGATCTGAGAATAAGGAGAGCGCGATTAGAACAAAGACGACGGAGAGCATAAGCGAAAAAGAGACGTGCTTGAGGCTGGGAAGAGTGCGACTTTGAAGTAGAAGCGCGACATTAGAAAAATGTTGGCTGCTGATGACACCCATATACGATAGCGAGTTCAAACCCATAGTAAGCGTGTACAGATCCCCACAGTGGCCGACATCAAAGACTGAATGGTGCCAGATTCTGAGCTCCCTATGTTGGGGCGTTGAACAATCAGCTGCGAGGTTAGTAGGTAATAGTGCAGCCTAGGGTGACTCGCTTTATATTGCGTCTTCGAAAGTATCACCCGATAATGTGGGGTCGTAGCTCATGGAAAGCGATGCTGCCAAGGATGGTCAAGGTTTTCGGACGAGAGAGTGAGCAGGACAGAAGCGCAGTCGGAATCAGCTCGGTATTGTGAGCTTCGTTGCATAAGATTGACAGATGGTATGTAAAAAGATGACCTATCGTGATGCTCCTCTCCGGCATGATCTTGGTCGATGTGACAGAGAGTAGTGACAAGAGTGTAGGTAACAGACGTTTCGAGGGGCGTCCGATCAAGGTGGCATCGCTTGCGTAGCGTCTGGACATGGGTCGGGGAAGGCGCGCTACCGTTGCCAAGCCTCCTGCCTGCAACCGTGCCCGACGCCCAACCACCGCCTTTACGACTCCACCTCAACCCATCTCCACCCTCCAACGTCCAACACATCGTCGCATCGACAACGCAGTCCTAACATGCGCAGGGCGCTCTCTACGTACTCAAGCGACGACACGGCCGCCCTCTCTCGCACGTTGCCCTTCATCGTTTAGTCTTCGCACCGCCTGCAGTTCTACTTCAGCCCACCATCCTTGCGAACTTCACAAGGCCCTCTTCGCAGCGCACGTCTGCGTAACGCCGTCGAGGGGGTGACGCTCTTTTAGACCAGGTTGTGTGGACACGGCGAGTCGAGCTCGCTGCCATCCATCGTTTAGTCTTCGCACCGTTCGCTGCCCTATCTCATCGCACCATCCTTGCGCATCTCACAAGGCCCTCTTCGCAGCGCGCAACTGCGTATTTCCGTCGAGGGGGTGACGCTCTCTTAGGCCGAACGGCGCGGACACGGCGAGCCTGGTGGCGCGCGCGTTGGAGGGCGCGACAGAGCCAGGGCTGCTCTCTGCCAACACAAAAGCCCGGGTGGGAGGGCAATCCCCTTGAGCCGTGACAGGTCCGAGGGGGGCACTTTTTGGTGAGTTGAGTAGTACTGCGTAGCTTATCTAGAACAATTAAGAATGGCACATTCCGTCTTCCGCAAGGGCGGTGTTCCCGCTCTCGCTTTTCCCGCGTCTGAGGATGCATCTTCCTCGTGTCTCTGCACCCTCATCGTCAAGGTCAACGAGCCAACCAGGCAAGCCACCATTAAACTACAAGTCGGCGTTCCCGTCCAAGGCTTCGACACTGAGCAGCGAATAACCCTCGTCTACGATGCCGACAACTTCAAGCCTGGAACAACTACGGTCAGCAATGCGACTGTGTCTCCTTCACAAACGGAGCAGATTGCGCGGTCGCGTGGGGGTATCAAGCTGTGGTCGCTGGGCCTAGTCCTCAAACACCCCTGCGTTGTACTCTATCCCCCTTCGTCTGGCAACATTGCTCCCAAATACGCCTCGGATACTCGCTTCCAACAACTTATGGTGCTGGCCAAAGCAACGCGGCTGAACATCGTGTTTGACTCTGCCTGGTTGCATCCAGATAAGGCAGCACAATTTCGCTGCCTGACCGATAAATTGGAGCTGACTGGGTTTCCTCGTAATTACACGAAGATAGTTAGAGAAGCAGATTGGACCATTTTCAGCCCAGTTGAAGCGGCGCCACCTGAGTCCCCTCCTTCGTATGATGAAGTATCGTTGAAGAGACCGCGACAGTGTAAGTTTCTTCAAATCAGCTCTACTTGCCATATTGACGCCCAACAGCACGTACAAGCTCGCTCCAGGCTCCCACGCCGAAACGCATACTCCTTGATGACGGCACCGAGTTTGACCCGGGGACGCCTACCGAGAAGGCCACGACAGAAGCAGCATCGAACCCGCGGCTGCTCCCATCTTCGCCGCCTACTGGCCCAGTCTATGTCCAAGATGCGGTCGAAAACGCTGTCGCGAAACTTCTTCCTGACGCCCTACAATCCATCCTACCAGGCATGCTTACCCGCATGTTCGCCGTTCCCACCTCGTCTCCTCCACCTCAAACGACCCCAGCCGCGCTGGACCCGATGTCCCCACTCCGCAGAATCATCCGCAACCACCTGACCACTCACGCGGACGAACTCGCGAAGCAGATCACGATGGACACACACGGGCATGCACTCGATCTCCGTGATACAGCCGATATCGAGCTGCAAGAGCACATTGACGACCACCGGCTCGAGTTTGAGGTCCTTAAGGAGGACGGCTTGATGGAAATACGTCGACTATACGACACCAAGCTGGAGGAGCTCGAGGAACGTACCGCAGAGCTAGTGGAGACCGTGGAGCTGGAGACCTCTGAGGCATATACTACCGCAAAAGAGAACCTGGCTGAGTTCGTGGGCAGGCAAAGGATGGAGCTGCTTAAGGAGATGTTGAGGGTGGAGCGGTGGCCGCGAAGTGTTGCAGAACCTGCAAAGCGGGCAAGATCGGTGCCGCTGGAGGTGAGGTGGTGATGGGCCTGGCGATGATGACGCTGCTGCTGTCAGGGCTCAGTAGAAGTTTATCGGTTCGCAACGTGCCACTGAAGACGGCTGGTAGAAGCCCATACCGTCTGGGTATCGGGTCGCTACTTGCCGCGGGGCCTGACCACAAGCGTAAGTGGCAGTTCAGAAGAAGCCTATGTGTGTGGATTGGCGGAGACAGCGACCGCGCTGAGGCGCTTGTGAGGTATTCAAGCATAGGCAGGTCTTGCTCCGTCCTGTCCAGGTATAATAGTGACCATGTAGCTCACGTCTAGAGAACGAATAATGAATGAACTATTCCAACATACTACTCCTCTCTTTCTATACGGTCTGTCGCGGTACCGCAAGACATATGCCGATCAACTTACAGTAGGGGCAAAATTTTGGCCTGCAAGTGCGGCTACGACCCAGCTCCTGAACAGGCGCCAGAACGAAAATTATTAAAATAAACCTAGATGAACTGAAAATGCATTGAAAGGGCAGAAGAGCAGGAGAGCCCTTGCGCGTCTGAACCAAAATTATGGCATACATGATTACGGCGACGACGAGTCATGAGATAACGATGGTAAAAGTAGATATTGTTTCCATGAATATGATACCCAGATAGCTCACACGCGAAAAGGCCAAGCGCGGACTGTGGTCCACGTCATATCCACTACGGACAGGAAGCCACCAGCCAAAGATGGTTGGGATGCTGCCGAGATGTACTTGCATTTGATCCAACGGGGAGGACCGATCGAAAAACGGCGCGAAGGGTACCACTTTCTGATCTGGCCTCCTCGCCGGCTCCACAACTAGGCGATATGCATCAAACTGAGCAATTTCTTCTCCGTTCACAGGACTCATGAATCCCTCCTCGGGGACTTACGGCGGAGGTTGACCAGGGCATGGATTCTTCCTCTCCAGGTGCAACTCACTGCCGCTTGTGAAGCGTCCAGCGCTGATCAGGAAGGATCTCAATGACGCACCTCGCCTGAGACTGTTGATCAATCTACCTGAGCTGAGCCCCTTGGCATCACTACTGGATGCTCCCGTGGATAAGATCGATTGAGACGCCGAGATAGAATTACAGCTTGGAAGTGAGCCAAAGTTACTAAGGGTGAGACAAGACGTCGGTAACGAGATGAAGATTGCACTTGCTAGAAGTACTGTATCTCTGGGGCAACCTGTCCTCCAACAGCTCGTGTCAGACTCTCAAGTCAAGATCATCTGTCTCGTTCGTATTGTCGAAGAGCGCGACCTACAGAACCTTGCCTCGTTCCGTAGTGATAAGATTTAGATTGAAGAGACTTATGGTACCTACCATCATGAGTACCGGACGATATTCTGTCCGAGGCACACTGCATCCTGTACTGCGCCGAAGACCGGAACTTCTAGGATGGTAGGTAAGTCTCTTCGACCCGTTCACGTTTACACCGCAACTGCGCTGGCCTCTCGCTTTAAACTCCACGCAAGACGCTATGAATGGTATCCTTCCACCATACACGAGCGAACGCGAGAGCTATACCACTGAAACCTCATCATGGAGATATTTCTCAACTGAGGCTCCGGAACGTGATCCACCGGTGGACAGTGCTACTAGACGAGGATTCGACGCGATAGATGTAGTCCATTCTCGGGTCTCTTCTTGGCGCCCCTACAGGCCGCTCAGCGAACTATACTTCTGGCCAAGCGTGAGCATTTACGTCATCGTGCTACAGGGAACAGTGAGCGACAGGCAAGGTCACAAGTTTAAAAGAGACTACATCATAATATATCGCGGTTGTTCTTGCAAATGAGGGGGAAACGCTCATGCCGTGGGCTAACATTATGATTATCGCAGAGCCCATGAGTTCGCTCATTAGCAACTGCACTCTCTCTACTTGTAGCTGCCGCCAACTGGCCCCTTCAGGCCAAGGCAGTTGGCAAAGTACGTGACCGTCGCCGCCCAGTCGGTAAACAGCCCCTTGATCCCGATCTGATTGACCAGCACATCCAGCACCTCGTAGTACTGCCCATCATAGTACGTGACATTCGCAATAGACTCGAAGTAGTACTCTTCCCTGCTCTTCACTGTTGCCAGCGGCCCAGAGCGCTCGAACGTCCATGCGATGATGTCAAAACCAGCGGCTTTGACTGCGTTGGCATACGCAGACGGCACAATGGTCTTGTTGTCGCCGACGGAGAGAAGCATAGGTAGGGCGGGGCCGATGATGTTGACGCCCGCGGCTTTGGCGATGGTGAGGTTGGCCGTTCCGGCTGCGAGGTCTTCGGGGGTGTCGTATTCGACAAGGTAGATGGCCTGCTTGCCGAAGTCGTGGTCGTACTTGAGCCAGAAGACAATGTCGTCATAGGTAAAGGACTGGGGCCAGATACGGCTGTAGTCGATGGACTTGTTGCGGAAGGCATCGACCATGTCCTGGGCATATTGCTGCTGGGTGTAACCCTTGAAGGGCATGGGGACCTGGGCGGGAGGGGTCTTGAGTTCGGGCGTGAAGTTGCGGTAGCCAGGATACTCATTAACAAGGTCAATGTACTCGTTCAGGGTCAGAACCTTTCCGCACGTGTCGTATAGCTCTGTTCGCCAGGTGGGAGTGCCGTACTGGTAGTCCTGGGGGGTGAGAGCGGAAGCGTTGAAGCCGTCCTGCTTACCGCAAAGACTGCTGTACTCGGCTGTGGTGATATCCGAAGTACAGCAAAGGGCATTGGCAGGTGATGTTGCGTTGGCTGGGGTGAAGGGGACTGTACACTTCTTTGCCAGCTCAGGACGCACGAGGATGTCGGTAGTCGTGTGTAGATCGCAGAGCGAATGGCGACAGACAAGCCCTCGGTCGCCAGTAAACGAGACGTCGCACTCGAGAACACCAGCACCCATGCGGGCACCTGCGTCTTCAGACTGCCTGGTCTCCTCCGGGAACTGAAGGGTTCCACCGCCACGGTGACCAATCGTGAATTGGTTGATGGTGACAGGCTTGTTCTCGCATGACTGGAGCTTCCGCTTCAAAGGCCCGTCGGTCATGTTGTTGATGATATAGTACGGACGCGGGCCGAGCGAGACAAGATAGCTATCGTTCTTGCTGGTGTGACCATGGTGGCCAGTGGGATAGGACCTGCTGGTAGGAGCAGCGACGGTGGCAGCTGCCAGAGCGAGGGTCAAGAGGGAGTTCATCGTGGGCGAGTGGTAAGACAACGTGATGCCTGGAAAATTGAATGCCTACACGTCCGCCCGGCTTCGAATGTGGCAGCGTGCCATCTTATACCAGATGTATGGCGAGCAGCCGGGGCCAGGATCGGTACGGCGTGGTCGTAAGCCGCACGAGCTCGCTGCATGCTGCAGGAACCGATGCATGAGGGCGAAGCAATAATCCCACGCGCCAGGGTGAAGGATGAACGCTTGTTGAAGCTTCTGCATCGGCAACGTCATGGCTAAAAGGCTTGAACGATGCTTGTCCAGTTCAAGCAAGTTCTTCAGGGTTCATGGCCACCTTGAGCTGCAGGACTACGAATTGGCGGAGAGCCGGGACCGCGATGGCGGGGATGTGGGACATTGGGTGGTTGGCGGTTGCTGATAACAAGCCATACCGAGCCAATGGTACGAGCACGTGTGAGCGCTCCGCCGGCATCGGACGGAAATAAGATCGTCATCATCTCCGTGCAGGCTCACCTCAACGGCGGCACCGCGCAGAGCTAAGGAATTGCCCAAAGATGGTCATTCACGGAAAGGTAGTCCAGACAGAGGGCGAGTCGTGAGCGCTCGAGTTTCGACGTTGATTCCGCCTCGCGAGGCTTAAGGTGGGGCGCTTCCAAGCTACCCGCTGCCACTGCTCTTCCTCAAGCCTTCTCTGGTGCAACCCAATTGCTGACTCCAGCCTGCCAAGGCATAGCTTGAATCGCGCGTGAAAACATCATCGTAAAGTAGCGTGGCGAGTGTTGTAATAAATGGCAGGAATGTGGCTGAGTTGAAAGAGTGGCATTGCTTTAGTGTTGCTCGCTTACCCACGTCCCCACCGGTACCTAACGAGGGCGCCCTGTTACACCTTTTTATACTGTGAACAGTGCATGTGTTCAAAAGCCGCGAAGCCCTACTGCACGATTGCGAAGTTTGGATGTAAAGGAAAGTCTACGTGTCATCGAGTATTCATGTCCAATTTAAGCTAACTTCAGCCCACAGGTTTTTCTGTCACGTGTTCGCTGAGCCAATTACATATGTAGAGATTGTAGGGAACGACAGTTCTCATTGCCCAGGTGGCCGAGACGGCACGTGACGGATCTCTCTACTCTGGTCGACCCAAGTGCAACGGCTAGCGCGAGTAGTGCCATAGACGAGATAGTTGTAACGTTCAGGAGAGACGCTGATGTGATACTGGCACACAGCCTTCTTGATCCTATCGAGATTCTGTCTAGCTACCCTTTCGGTCACCCATTTGGTCGTTCGTATCCGAGTACTTGTTCGTCAAGGACCCCCAGGATAGCGATAGTGTCCGCGAGCTCCCTTACAGTTTCTCAAAAACCAATTTCAATTCACCCGGAAGTGGCGTCAATTGATCCCTCATGTTCTTTTCCACAAGCAGCCCATCAGACGTCCCTGGGGCAAAACGAATGGAATACTTGGAGACAAGTATAGCAACGGTAAGCCTCATCTCGGACATGGCTACCTTCTTGCCAGCGCAGCTGTTACGACCTGTGCAAAGTTAGTTCCGGCACGGCTTTCGGAATATCATGGAAACCTCATGTAGAGATCGACGTACCCATGGAAAACGGGGCGAAGGCTCTCTTGTCTTTGACAAGTTCGGGCTTGCTGTACCAGCGTTCAGGGATAAACTCGTGCGGGGCCTCATAGGCTTCTTCAACTGATGTCAAAGAGATCATGTCAGCAGAGCCCAAAACACCCAAACCTGAGAGGTCAGTAATAACTTACGTCGTCCGAGACTGTAGCGTGGGGCAACGACTTTGATGCCGCCGGGTATATATACGCCTTCACAGTTGAGGCCATCGGGTGGGGTTATCCGAGATCCAAAGGTTGGCCCCGCGGGGTATAGTCTCATGGACTCATTGATCGTGGCTGTGAGATGTGGCAGCGCAGACAAAGCCGTCATGTCATTGTAGTCTACATTTCGCAGCTCTTGGCGAATCTTCTCTGCATGCTCGGGCCAGCGGGCGAGGCAGTAAAAGAGAAGGATGAGACTCGGGCCGGAGGTACTATTACCTGTCAGTCCGCTGTTCGACCATCTTTTCAAGGTCAGAGAAGAGCCAACCTTCCTGCGAGGAGTATAACACCACAGTCGCCGCCGACAGCTTCACGGCTGATCTTGTCTGCGTCCTTGCGTTGGGAATCCTCGATGAAGAACGAAGCTATATCAACCGACTCTGGCTCGCTCTAATGCGTTTCTGTCAGCAAAGTTGACGTTTTATATAACTCAAAACGGTAAGCCTTTACCTGTATCCTCTTCTCTACGATACTCTGGGTGAACGCGAGAAATTTGAACCAGTGCGGAATATTCCAGGCTCCTGGAAAGAGAGCAAATGCCATCCTCAGGATCCAAGGCGAGGGAGTGGTAGGCCCAAGAATACTCAGGGAACCCCCAAGGACGGAAGCCCCATCTTTGATCTCCATGTTCGCCTGGCCAAAGCCAATGTCTTTGAGCACGTCAAATGTCATCTGATATAGTAGATCGTTCATAACTATGGGCTTGGCTTTCTGCGCGCTGATGATACTCTCGAGTTCCAGGGCGTGGGTTGTGATCCTTTGATAATACTGCTTGATCGCTGCGCGGTCCTGTCAGCCCTGGAGCTAAGAGACAGCCGACATGAAAGTCAATGGGCACCCACAAGATAATGACATTGCCTTGTCCCAAACCTTTCGACGAGAGTTCTGGATGGCTGGGTCTCTACTAAACACCTGGATGCTTGGATATAAGAGATCATACCAGTCAGATCTGGCATTACGATTCTGGGGCCCGTCTAGCCATTCGAGACCGGCGGGATGAAAGATGGTAATCTCGCTCGGACCTTGGAGACAGATCAGTGAATGCGATCAGGTGGACCTGGCGGCGAGGAAAAGACTGACCAGTCCTGACAAAGGTCCCATACTTCTGACGCCACGAATCGAGCACAAGGTGGTTCTTAGAATTTCGGCAAAGCCAAACGTGCCACAGCTTTGACAATGCGGCCAGGCGAGGGCCTGGAAATGATCTGAGGCGATGGAAGAAGAGTCTATATCCGGCCATGCTGACAAAAAGGCCACAGAGATAGACCAGGAAAGGTAGCGCAACTCCATGCCAAGTTGGCAGCGCAGAGACCAGCTGTTTGGCTGATAGCAGAATAAACACGAGCGCATGGGCTAGGAAGATTGTCGGGGCGCGCAGGTGCCATTCGCCGCGGATGAAAAAGCCCAGGTGCATGGCCACACCGAGACAAAAGGGCGCGATGACCTTTGGAGACACTGGAGCCATCATGATGTTGTCAATGACGAGGACATGTAAGGAACGAGACGATGTATGGTTAATATACGTGTCTTTTCACTGGGGACAACGGGAATGCGTGGATGTGCTATGTTCTCCTGATCTCAGGGATCACTACTAGTCAATGATTGGGTACCCTGACCGCCCCTATCGATCACCGGGGCTAAATATATATTATTACTACATGTAGATCTAACGGGGGCTAGCGTTTTTAGCTTCGGCCTTTATGTTCGTGCAGGCCACCCACTTTATTGATTACAGTCAACCCTGGACACAAGCAAATCCTTAGCCCGGAATGCGACCATGCAAATTGACCTGCCGTTTGCAACCAATCTTACACTTAGTAGTAATTTAAGCTGGCTACAAGCAGGTGTCACGGTAGAAGCGACGAATGTTGCGATTGCTTGTGCCTGGATTTCACTAAACATTTACACGAATGGAACTGTTACTTGTGATTTTTTAATAGAGAACATTTTAATCTCAAGTCGTAGAGCGAATTAGGACATAGGGTGAAGTGCCTCGTACAGTAAATTCTCGGAAAAGCTCCTCATAGGCAGTACAGCGCATAAAGATAATACAAACAAGTAGACACGGACTTGCGCCTTCAACGATGAACACCGTAAGCCTACATCACTACCATCTCTTCAAACCCTTCTACTCCATTCGTCGTCCGACAGCCTGGAGTAGGTCTGGCCGACCTGGCTTGTTTTCCAGATGTGGTTTGGGGCGCCGCTCGGGTTGGAGACCGCAGCTTGGCCACCGTTCTCCAAGTCATCCATTTGAGCGTCCGTCGCAGGTGTGACCGCACCGCCGGCGTTGGCTGTTGAGGTGACGTATGTGCGCAGCTCGAGCGTATCTTCGTTGTCGAAGCCGCCCTGACTGCCCAGTGTGGTCATGCCAGTACCACGCGTACCCATGTATCTGGCCATGGTATTTGATAGGTTGCCACCCTTGCCACCCTTGCCAGATTTTGCCTTATTCTCAGACGAGCCGAAGGTCACGAGCCCAGATTTGGACTTGGTCGTGGTTTGGTTGGAAGGTCCAGTTCCGCGGACATAGTGATAGAGTCGAGAGAAAGACGGCATGCAACCAACGAATATGACGATGGAGATCTCGGCAGTCCTAATCGCCGGTGTCAGAAATGAAGTAACCGAGCGGGGAGAACTTACACGAGCAACGCAAGCTTTGTCAACCACCAGGTCTGATCAATGTTCGTTAGGAGCGTGACGCGGATATACATGCCTCCAATGCCTACTCCAATCGCACTATTCGTTCGCCGTTAGCAAACAGGAAAGCGACGTTCTCGGAGGCGGGAGACATACATCGAACTGACGCCGAAGACGGACAAGGCGGCCAGCTTCCGTTTCAGGGGCAGTGAGAGGTGCCAGATAGCCCAGGTCGGAATGAGTAGGGCCTCGATATCAGATACGATATTGAGAATTCCGGAACTGAGGTTCACTTGTATGGCATCAGTACACTTGCCTGCGACCGTGTCGCCATGCCATATCTTCTCTCGCGGCCAGCACTGGAAGACGTAGGAGAAGAAGAGACCGGTATAAAAGATGAAATTGACCACGATGGACACCACTGCATTCCAGTCAGCGGGCGCAGTTGATCGTAGCTAGCCCCTTGCATACTCACTTATGACCCAGTAGACAGCGTTACGGTTGCCGGTGGTGAATATCGACCTGAGCTGGAACAGTACCGAAAGCTTTGCGGCGGCTGTAGGGATGGAGTAGAGACAGTACACGATATTGACCCAGTACAAGATGCCGGAAATCTGTGCAACAGAAATATCGTACAAGTGGTGCGTGAGGCCCATCCCAGAGAGATGAAGGATGACGGCGACATAGGAAACAAAGGAAGCGAAGGCAAAGTAACTCAGGTAATCCTCTGTTCGGTGGCTACCCGGGACAACAACCAACTTCACGAACAGCCGGGCAGCTATCCCTATCGCTGGGAGCGCAAGCACGATCCCCGACGTGACATAGATAGCTGTCAACTGGTCGACCGGATTGATGAAATTCGACTTTGTCCCAAGCGGCGGCGGGATGACAGAAATGTTGGTAGGGTCGCTCATGGCTGGCTACGGGGCGGGGCGTGATGAAGCCTCTCTGCTGGAATAATGTGGAGAATGAATCTACAGCAGTGAGGGGGGTGGTGTGGTTTCGATCTAGCCGATCATCTAGCCCCCCACCCTTTTTTAGGTTGGTACATGGGTATATCTTACCGCATGCTTAGGCCGCACGGACCTACACAGGTAAGGTGAGACTTACGGACTCTGCTGATGCTTTATGCGGGGGTTCCTTCCCGAGGCACAGGTCTGCAACAGTGATTGGTTAGCTATCGTAACGGCGATGTGCCCAAAAATGGCGATGCGTCCACACAGCCTACTGTATTGTCCCGAAGTCCGTGGTTTGCCTTGGCAACATTTCCATGTAATCGGAGCCAACGCGCTCGCTTCTATGTGGGTTAACCAGATGCGTGACCGGAAGAACCAAGAAAAGTAAAGACGGAAAGTGCGAATATGGATAGCGAGGGAATTCAACTGTCGCAAGTTGACGAGCTATATTACGTAGAGACGATGATCTAGCACCGTCGCTACTCGAACCCCTGCCACGCATTCTGGTAGACTGTTAGGCCTAAGACGTATTTGTCATGCTTATTGATGTGCCGAAAACCAAGAATTGTAGACAGGATACACGATAGGAGGCGAGGGAAGAAACAAGGGGATCATTTTACAAGTGAGAGGTCTTGATATGTTGATAGCCACATTGGGATCGTCCTATCTTCTAGTATACTCGTATCTGTTCCTAGATCTCGTGGCGCTTAACCGTCACCTCACGTCCAGGGATGCCCATCCTTCCCGAGCTTGGCGTTCAGAAAGGCACGACCGAGCAGATTGTCGCGGACAATCTGATCTTTGTGAGCCTCCATCTCCTCGATGTCCCCTTGCGATGAGATCCCATGTTAGAAGAGTAGCGAGTTATGAGCACTAGAAGGCGGACTCACAGTTTACGCTGACTATGCCGCCGCGCATCCATTCGGCGCGCGGAGTAGACAGGAAGAGTGTCCAGCTACCACTAAGACCGGGGCTGTCCTTGGCATACGGCTTCAAGGAGTCGACCGTCATCCCAGTCTGGACGATTCCCGGAATCAGCATGAAAACGCGGATGTTCGGCTGTTCGACGTGCAGGTTTTCCATAATGCGGACAAGGGCCAACTTGGACGCCGTGTAGCCCCCCATACCGGGGAAAACGTTGGCGATGGCGCCCGTCGTGAAGCTGACGACGGTGCCGACCCCGTCTGCCTGGGCGAGGAAGTGGTGCGTCACTAGGTACGACCCCAGCACGTTGACCTGGAAATCATTGAAGAATTTCGTGGGATCGGCGCCGCCCACCGCACCCCCTTCCAAACTGCCCGCGCTGTTGATTAGCACGTCAACCTTTCCGACCGCCTCCTTGGCGGCCGCGAAGAGCGCCGCGACCGAGTCTTCGCTGGTGATGTCGGCCGCCTGGGCGAGGACTTTGGTGCCGGGCGGAACAAGACTCTGGAGCCGTGTGGCGACGCTCTCAAGCACATCGACATTGCGCCCGGTAATCACGATGCCAGAAGCTCCCGCGGTGGCCCACGATTCAGCGATGACCTGCATCGATTACTCGGGGGAAAGGAGAATCAGGCCCTCGAAATTGTGCTTACCTTGCCTATGCCCCCAGAAACGCCGGTGATGAGCACCGTCTTTCCTTTCGCCGACAGCTCTGGCTGGGTTGGCTCTAACAGTGGATAGACATCACGGCGGACTTGCTTGGTCAGTTGGTAGGGCAGGGTAAATGCGTTAGGGTCCGAATAGTCCATTGTAGCTGAGGGTTCGTGATCTTTCGTTCGCGGGCACGAGAGATCAATGCATGAAGTAGAGTGAAAAATGTGAAGAACTATGGTAGGTATTGGCAGGCGCGTACGCACATATAGGACGTTTACGGGATTACGCACGGGCGTTTATATCACGGGCGGGCGTGATGGATGGATCGGGATAGGCAACGAAATTTATGACTAAGCACAGTCTGAACCAGTGGCCTGTGTGGTACTTGGGGGCCCGGGATAGTGGCCACTAGCTTGTTAATCCCGGCACTCAGCTCGGCGCCGTTGAACACGAAGGCTGCCCGGTCCGATTGGCCCCCAATGCTACGTTGCTAGGGCAGGGATCTGCAGATCGGTGTGTCTTATTCCTAGCACGTTCCGAATGCGATCGTCATCCAAGCGTTTTGTCTTGCTGCACGTGGGACCCTACTGGCCGATGGTCGCCTTTCATTTTCGGACTTCGATATCAGTGAGCTAGGGCATAGATACGCAATCAATCCAGGTTGTGTTCTTCGGTGCATGTAGCGTTTTTGCCCTATCTGGACGACACCATGCCACCCGACCTGCCTACTGTGATAGGAGGCATAAATATGGTAGTGAGTAGCGGTCATGTACAAGGGTGAACTATGGTGCTTTTCAAGGTATTTGTCCCTAAATTGGATGAATCCCTGCATAGACCTTATCGCAGTATCCATTGCAGCATGGGCTGAATGCGTCGCAACATGTTGTCGGTGTTAGGTAAGGCTTAGACCATGCCCCGGCATGCGTCGAGGGGCAAATAATAGGACAGTAAGGCCGAAGTCAGCTTACTTTGTGATAGCGTTATTACAGCAGGGGTATCGTGAACTTGATGCTGTTCGTCGTTCAGATGAGTTTTTACAACGGAGTCGACACTAATCCCAAAATCTCTCCAATTAAACTATCCCCAGGGACAGGGGGTTTTCGATATATTCAAATCATGTCCTCCCACGATTGGACTCGAACGTATCCTTTACTTGTTACGCTGCCCTCGTCCGATGCTACTCGCTGCGGCCATCTCCCAAAGCCATGACTTCCCACTTCTCTCAAGTCGAGTCGTTCGCGCCATCTCCCAAAGCCATGACTTGCCACTTCTCTCGAGTCGAGTCGTTCGCGCCGATCCTCCAAGAGCCCATTTGGCGGCAGTACCGTGAGCTAGAAGCCTCATCTGCCGAGGCGAGAACCAGGCTTGCATATGAGCGAGCGCGAAGTCTCATCGAGGCAGTGGGTGAGAAAAGCTCCAATACCCTCGAGGTGCGATCAACACTGATGGCGACGTGTAGGAATGACAATTGAGGATATACGCTCACTGAACCCAAAATTCTGGGACTTTCATCGTCATGGTCAGAGCTAGTCCCTAAGCTACATCACCATTGGGACGGTCTAGTGCTCATTGTACAACAGCATTTTCCCTTGACTCCGGTGCGTGGACCATACTGACCATCCACTGGAACCTCTGCATGGGCACAATCAGCTCGTTCCTTTCTCAGCGGCCGGACCTGCTGCCTTTGCTCCAAGCCTTGGAGCGCTTCGATACATGCGGCGAATTCTTGCTGACCGAGCTGGGTCATGGGCTGGACGTGAGAAACCTTGAAACCACGGCGACCCTTCAAGCCGATGGCTCCTTCGTGCTTCACACTCCCCATCCTCGTGCAGCCAAGACAATGCCTCCAAGTTCTCCGCACTCTGGTATGGCGCGCACGGCTGTCGTTTTTGCCCGGCTCATGGCAGCTGGTACAGACCATGGCGTACGTCCATTCATCGTGCCTCTGAACGATGCGTCGGGTGCGATGTGCCGTGGCGTTTCATGTACCTTGTTTCCCGCTCGTCCAGGAGCCAAGGCCATTGACCACTCCTCCACGAGCTTCTGCCACGTACCGCTGCCTGCTGAAGCCTTGCTCGGACACCTCCACGGCTCAGCCAAGGACGAGCGAAAAGACTTCCTGCGCGCCATCCACCGCGTGACCGTCGGCACGCTTTGCCTCTCTACGAGCAATGCCACCGTTCTGCGCGTGGCCGGCTGCATTGCCGGTAGGTACAGCGCTGAACGGCGGGTCGGTGCGCCCGAGTCGGTCCCTATCCTCTCCTTCAGCACCCAGTACGGCCCGATCGCACGGATCCTTGCGCATGCTGTCGTCTTTGACAATTATGCCATAGAGTCGATGCAGTTGTTCATGGCAAAGCCGGACATGCAGAACGTAATCGGCGGCGTCTTCAAGGCTACCGTCCTAAGTTACACGCAGAAGGCGCTGAGCGACCTCGTGGACCGATGTGGCTGGCAAGGTCTTTACGCTCACAATCAAGTCAGTAGACCCCTCGTCCACGGTCTTCGCAAGAGTTAACACGTGAGACCTCTTCTAGATCAGCGAACTATGGCTCGCCGAAAAGGGCAACAGTATTGCCGAAGGCGACTATGTGGTCCTCTGCATCCGACTCGCGAGTGAGGTCCTTCTCGGGCGGTATGGACTGCCGAAACCGCGTGACCCGCAGTGTCTCCTGGCGCGCCACGAGTCTGGAGTCTGGGACGAGGCTCGGCAGATATGCACGTCTCTTCCGGGTGGTCACCGCGGTAAAGAGTTCAACGCTCGCATCCTACCGCTGTCTCTGCCGTTGGTCCAAGCTACGGGCCAACGCATGGCATACGAGGCCGCAAAGGATGCCATGGTACACGGAACCGATCGTGGTCTCGGTATGACGCCGCAAGTGCTGGCCTTGTACGAGTCCACGTGTATGATGGAAGACCAGAGCTGGTACGTTGAGAACGGTATAATGTCGCGGCAGGCGCTGCTGAATTGCAATGTCGATGCGATGAATTCCCTATTGCCGTTATTGGAAGGCATGGTAAACGACCCGGCAGTTGACGCCTTTATTAATGCGCCCATGGTCGACCAAGATAGGCTGGCTGCCTTTTTCTCCAGCTTGCCATCGTTTCAGGGGCCAGAAACTGAGTACATTCGGGCCAAATTATAGAAGCATTGTCACGGTGCGTAGCAGAAGTAATATGATACCAATCTCTGTTCCTTTTTGTAGCCTTACTTGCATGGGCAGAGTCAAGCGACTTTACCGATTTCGTGTCACTTGGCAGGATCCCGCAATCCTTCCCGTTATTGTGCTCAATTGTTGGCGATGGTTGGCGCTACTTCAGGTGAGGCTAGGATAAATACGAGAGGAGTCTTGACCCTAAGTTGGTGGGTAGAATATTAAATCTCGCCTGGTCCCCCTACCGCTTGGGTAGCCGACGAGAAAAGACCACTTTATGATTCTCAAATACATCTCTACCAAGATACCAATAGGCCATTACTATCGTCATTGGTTTCAGAAGCGACTTCAAAAACATGGAGATGAAGCTGAAGCACGACCTTGATAAGCAACACGACGCCACAATCCTAGATGACGCTATCGAAGGAGCGCATCAAAGTCCGGAAACAGGGATAAAGACCACCAATGAAGCCACGACTGGGAGCGTTCTGGAAGTTTGGACCAAAAGGCTTACATACGAGGGTCTGGACCGCTTGCTATGACTGCAGCAGCTATGGTGGCCGTTCTACTTGTCGCACTCGATGATGTCAATATAGTAGGTGATTACATCTTGTACTTCATCGAGATAGTTCTGGAAGCCACAACAAAGATAGCACAGGTAGCTGATCCCCTACAGCAACCGCGGTGCCACGGGTTGCGAGCAAATTTGAAAGCCTGCATGACATTGGTTAGTATAGGTACGTAAGCCCCAGATATAGAATCCCACTCCACGTGCCAGTAAGACTCCACGTGCCGCGTCTCCCTGAATTCGGCTAGTGCTGACTGTGGGAAGGGGCATAAGCAATCGTAGCGGCACAAGCAAACATTCCTTACAACGGACTTGTGCCACGTATTCGCTTAGTGGTTGGTGTCTAGCAATGGCAATTGGGTATGTTGCTCGTGTCCAATGCCGAGGCAGGCCTTTGATTGGTGGTTTTGGCAAAGGGCGCCGTCTTATCTTTATTTGAAGGAAGCTAAGCGACCGAACGTCAGGTTTCTGTTGATCGGATTCGTAAACCAGGCTTTCGGAGAGCGGGATATCCTTGCTGCCACGGTGCACATATATTAGGCTGTCGGGGGTCTGTAGCAGGAGCGTACGTCAAGCTTCGAGAAAGTAATTCGTCCATCTTTGCATATGCCTACCTAGGGAGTTCTGAATCATCAACTGGATTGCCGATCGCCCGCTGCCGCCATGTTAACGTTTTGCTATTTGTTTTGGCTCGTTGCACAGAGCGCCGCATTCAGCAACGACTTGCGCACTCTATCGAGCAGGAACACGACCTCTCCCGACCAACTCCCGGATGCACTTCTTCCCGCCCTTGCCTTTGAGCGATCGACGTGGGTCGCAGGGCCGGTGTCCGAAGATCCATTCTACCAAGTGGATTCTGAATGGGCAGAGGCCGATTTCGGCACTGTCTTCAGAGTCGAAGACATGGACCCAACCATCTACACCATTCCTGCGACGACATCGATTTCCCGAATCCTTTACCAAAGCAAAAGCTTCCTGGGAAATAAGACGCCTGCATCAGGATACGTTCTTTTCCCGTACAGCCCTCGCAAAGTTGAAGGTGGCAATGTCCCAGTAGTGCTATGGGGGCATGGTACATCTGGTTTACACCCAGATAGTGCCCCATCTCATCTGATAGACCTTTGGCAGAATGCCCAGGGACCCACACCTCTCGTCCAGCAAGGCTATGTCGTCGTGGCGCCTGATTATGCCGGACTTGGCGTGGGCAAAAACGCCGCTGGAGAGCACATTGTGCACGAATATCTAGCAAGCCCTGCACATGCGAACGATATGGAGTACGCTCTACAAGCGGCGCGCTCTGCATTCCCATTCCTCGGTCGAAACTTCACAACTATTGGCCATTCACAAGGAGGCGGTGCCGTTTGGAGCTTCGCCGAGCGCATGCATGCAAATCCCATCGAAGGTTACTTGGGAGGGGTTGCACTAGCCCCAGTCACACGCCTCCTGGACTTGCCTGATGAGAACGACCCAGTCAAAGCATTGCTAGTTGCAGCGACACTTCGTGGAATCGCCAACATTTTTCCAGACTTCGATCTCTACAGCCTTCTAACCCCTGAAGGAGCACAACGTTTCGATCTTGAAAACAAAACGCAAGGAAATGTAGCAGCAACGACCGCATTGCTCCTTACCATGGCTGATTTTCCAATATTGAAAGAGGGATGGGAACAAAATGAGTACGTGCAGCGCTTCCAAGAAGCCACTGGAGTTGGGGGAAAGCCAATAAAAGGACCTCTGCTAGTAATACAGGGAGACAATGACTCTAACATAAATGTGCAAACCACGACTGCTGCTGTGGAGACGACCGGTACTGCGAACCCAACTGAGAGCATATCTTATATTATATATAGCAATATCTCGCACGCCCCGGCCCTTTGGGTTGGCCAACAACGCTTTCTGGAATTCATCGCAAACAGATTTGATGGCGAAGCAGCCCCTCCGGGCCTGTCCACAGAACAAGTGAGCTCACTTCGGCCCTGGGCTAAATACCAACCCGCGCAGAACTTCTACTCGGTTCGGGCTACCGAATTCTATCAAGTTCCAGCATGAGAGATGGAGCCACACCTTCAACGCCTTGACCTGGTCTGGAGTAATACTTCCAAATGATCGAAAAGTCAAACCCAAAAGAGAGACACGATTGGTTCTTTACTGGCAATACACGTCGGTAGTATATAATATATAATGAAAGCCATGTGCTCAAGGTTTACATACATTGACAGTAGATACTGGGTCCAGCACCAGTTCCTGTGGTGAACTTATTAACGCCAACCAAGTTCATGCTCTCTAAGCAACGACTGATCCACTTGTTCGCATTGTCAAATAATATGATTCATAGAATAAGGCAATGCTCAAGGTTCAAACCCCGTCGCTTGACTTGACAGATCGATTCAGGATTTCAATATCGTCGTTGTCGCTCTCAAGTCTAGTCATGTGCTCACGAGTATCAGTCGCGAAGCGCATCTTACAACAACCATAGCGACACACGTCCTACACGTGACCCCGAAAGTACGTCAAACCGTGTCGAAATCAACTAGGAGACTAGCCTTTATCGAGGTTGTGCACCTAAAACCAAGGCTTGATATAAAAATGGGGTCTTGGGCAGATTTCGCAGAGAGAAGAATGGGCAGTCCGCTTCTCTCCATCGAGAAATGGCAAAGATGGTTTTTCTACGTGTTCATTCACAGATTTGCAGCTCATGAATCACCAGTCCCAGATCTCAGCACAACGTGCAGCGTTCATCCTTGCAAGACTATCTTCCACTTACTCAATCGACCCATCAATCATTACTCTCATATGAACAAAGCCGGAAAAGCCCTAATAGGCTTTTTCTAACAAAATTTTCCCCATCTTCGGAAAAGAAGGCTTCTGAATCGACTAGCAAACCTCACTTGATGTGATGGATGATTTGGACGAAAGTGTATGCGTCATTGATGATGGGACCGAGCCAATTCTATCGGCAGAATGGCGAAATCGAACGTGCTCATCATGTTGCGAGTCAATAAAATCGGCTTTCCTGGAATGCTCTCGTCCCTCAACAGAAGGACGTCCGTATCGCTAATTCAGCGCTCATTCATGGTTTCGCGCGGGTGGCTCGATCCGAGAGTCTTGCTTTAACGTCCATTACGATAGAAGTAGAGCAAACCGCGCAAAATGATACTTCGATTGGCTTCTTGAAAACGATGCCATGTATCATCACAGACTCTTTTCTCCAGCAAAACGGCGAGAACTGCGTTGTTAATCTTAGTTTTATATCCAAGGTAACTATGCCTAGGTTACTACCGCGTTCCACTATCGAAATTATGGTATCCTCTATCCCGCAAACTATTGCCACTTCATTCCTAGACCTAATTCAGCTTCTGGAACTAAAAGACAAGACACCTGGCTTGCTAAGTAGTATATCCTACGTAGAAAACAATGATTTGGGCACTTGAATCATCTCACACCAGTCTATTATCGAGGTTAGAGCTTGCCGCGTGAACTTCAAGGACGTGGCAATGGCCCTGCACGACCCAAAAGGCAGTGCTTGGATGGTTGGAGCATGTTCCAGTGGAAGAGGTACTCATCTCTGGGGTACAAAATACCACCAAGACACCCCATGCTATAGCATATTGTCTCATCTCTACCTGAACACTTGTACTGACTTTGTACCCACACTTGTTGGCAGTGGAGTGTACCTCTAGGTTGGAGATCGAGTTTGCGCTTGCTTCGTTACTGCCTGTGGTTTCGTGGATTCTTTGTGTAAGTGATGTTTTGTCGCCGAGCTTCATCCATGTTCGCGAGAAGACGTCAACTGAACCTGGTGCGAGACGCTCCTGGAGCGTCCAACCACGCGAAAACCACTCGCTCTGCCGGAACTCTGAGTCCTATAGCAGTAGGCTCGCTTCTCCCTCAGTACCAAGAGATAAAGCAGAGACGTCTGACAACTAGACATAGCATAAAGCTGCGTGGCGATGCCAGCGAATCATAGACTCAGAGTGCTCGGCCTTATCTGCCATGTCGTTGCAGCAGGTATAGATCCAAAAGTACTACAAGCCGTCGCGCTTTGCCTAACCTCTGCACAACTGGATCTTCTTATAGCCAGCGTTCTTTGCTAGGTCTTATAAAGTTACCTCCTCCGCATCCTTTCCCCACCTGTGAGACAGTGTTGCATAACGAGCTATTACATCTTTACAAACCAAATCGGCGGTAAATGCATGAACGTGGCTGACCCGTTCCGAGCCGTTGTGGTGGACTACGGATTTATTAACTGAGAGGATGTCGGCTGCAGCTTCGAACATGCGTTTCTGGGAACTTGGGGAGTTTCCTCGAGTCGGTCTTGGGGAGCCCTGTAGTGCACCGAGACCTTCTTCAGAATCATTTTACCTTGTAATAACGGGCATGGTAACAGATTCTGCTATAACGTGTCTAGAGCCTGTTTTGGACTAGGTAAATGCATTTGAGAAGGGTGATGGGAAGGAGGTACGTGTTTGGGCTGCTGAGGACGATGAGATGATAAGATGAATCACGATCGTGCTACATTTCTAGGGACAAGACTGAGAAACCGGTTTCATCTTGGATCAGGTGGTAAAGTTAGTACACAGTTGGCGATGTAGCAATGAAGTCTGTATTGGTTGGCATTCCCTAATTTAGGAATTCGGTCGTGTATCTTTACTTTAGTAGGAAGAGAGGCACATTCAATATCCAATACGAGCGGTTACCCATGTATTAGTATAGTAATAAATACCCCTACCTAAGAACTGTAAAGGCAGTTTTGAGCGCTAGGTTACTTTCGCAAAGACACGATTTTCCATAGATCCTTCTATCATAAACTATATAGCTTAACCACTCGTCTAGTGCTTTCGTATTCCTTCGAATACATAGGATTAGGTACGTCCCCTTTAGTATTACGCTATTACGTGTAAACATCGTCTCTTAATTCCTATCTCTAACACGACAGCTCCGAAATGCGATGCCAAATAATTGGATCGGCGTTTCAGCCGCACAAACCTTGAGAATCCTGCCCCCGCGGGAGAATACGGCGCAATACAAATCCCTTGGTGTAATCCATTCTGATATTCAAGGGACGAACCGACGCACAGCTGTTCGCCGATGGGAGACGCCACCACTTTGTACAACTGGCGAACTGACAGTCGGGACTTTCGGCCCCAGCCATGAGAGGAAACTCGAAGGCTGGGGTAGGCAAGCCACTGACAAGGCTGAAGCCGGTCGCGATCCCATTTCTGGCCAAATTCGAGGTAGGATCTGCCGTAAGCTGCCCTTTCTCTCTTATCTTTGCGATAATTGTCGTAACGTGCAGGAAGTGGCTGCGGTGACAGGAGACCCTCCCTCCACACAATCCCTGCAGTTTTTTGGGCGTCGTTCAGCTCTACCGGCAGATTAATGTCTGTGCGGCAATACGAGAACGATACACGAGAGCAACCAACATCTCGGAATTCAATGGGATGTATTCCAGCCTGGTCAACCTACACACATTATCATCGCCCCTCAACGATAAAGGGTGATCGTTGTGTTGCAGTGCGATTTCTCGCATACTTGATTTACACAACAGTAACATCCGATTGAAGTGGACACCAGAAGCACTAGGAAGGAGTTTACGGAAAGGCCTTTGTCTACGATAGGCTAACTTCAAACCATCAAGACGGTATGGCGCGTAGCCAGTTGCGGAGATTAATGGTTCGCGCAATGCCCTCACCTCATCTATACGCTTTGGTTCTTCTCGTCATTATTCCGCACGCTGTCGCTGCAGATGGAGACTCGCCAAGCGAGTTCGCATTTACCGTCTTCACCGATCTCGCACCGTGAGTCGCCACCACCTTTTCGGAGATATCGAAGATCTCTCAACATAATAACGCGCCTTCAGACTCCTAGCCTTGTTCGGCGAACAATTTGCGCGTCAATTCATGAGCGAAAGCCTCACCTGGTTAGACCACATAATATTTGCGATGGCTCCTTTGGGTATTCTGACCGCCATTGTCGGAGCTATACGCGTTTCTGGACCCGCCTGGGCCAAGGCTTTCATCGGACGTGCCAGAGAAAGCCGTGCCGCCGCAGAAATTGAGCTCATGTCTTCTACATCAAGGGAAGTATGCGAGGTCTACAACGGCAAGGGTGTGGTTCGTGCAATGGGAACTCCCAAGCTAACGCAATTCATTCTGTTCCCACCGGAATATAGAGATGATGACAGAACGTGTGGCATACACACCTTGGAGACGGCTCACGACCGCGGGCAACCCTTCCTGGAGAAAGGCGAATATGGAGTCAAGACGGATTGAGATACACCCCCGCAACAAATAGATGGGCAAGTCGTTGGGACTGGGATAGTTTTGGGAACAGGATTAGCCCCAGGTGTTGGTGCCGACATCCGCGTGCATCTGAAGGAACAAAGCGACAACGCAAAGAAGAGCAGCACTCGGGAGGATAAGCAAAGCGTCTTGAGAACCTCACCAGATGGGACGATGGGTCCGCGTCGGAGAAGACTCTGGAGCAGAAGCAAGTCCAAACGAGCAGACGTAGAAAATCCGCCTGTCGACGACGAACCCCAAGCTGAAGAAACGCAAATCGAGGAACACAGTATCGATGCGAAGGGTACCAAGTCCGTCCACAGGCACATCTTCCCTGAGGAACTGAAAGGATCGGCACCAAACCTTCAGCTCAATCTTCCAAGTTATTTGCCTTCACACAAAGAAACCATCGGAGAGCTTTGGTGCGCAGCTGCGTTAGCTGTCTTCCTACAGTTATCTGTAGTGGTCGTGTCTGCTGTAACTTCGTTTCATCCCCACATTCAACAGACTATCGGACGACCGCAGATGAATTTCGGCGTCTGGTTCTTCATAGCAGGGACACTGTGTTTGAATTTAGGTATGATTTTATGCTCCTTTGTTATCGAACAAAGTACGCGAGAGTGGGCCTGGCGCGAGACGACGAGAGGGTTACAACTGTTAAGACCAGAGAAGGGGGGCGACATCTCTGTCGGTTTTGTCGAAGATTCCAGCGAAAAAACACAGTCGAAATCCCGAGTATTGACGAAGGCAAAGACGCTAGTCCAAGGACAGCGATCGAGTTCAAGAAGACATTCGCATGAAGCGAACCGAGCGGATCCGTCAAAGGAGTTGCCTCCACTCCAGCTGTTTTGGTTGCAGCAGAAGCACACTGTCAACGATCAGGATTTTGACCCATTCCTCATCCTTGGTGGATACAAGGATGAACTATTGACCTCGAGTCGACTGGATCATGAGAAGTGGAAAGAATTATGGGGTATGATCATCCCTGAATGGGTCACGAGATTTGCGGGGAACCAGTATGAGTTTCTTACCATCTGCGCTTCTGTTCTTGGCCTAGTAGGATTCATACTACAATTTGAAGGCCTTCGCGGTCTAGCATGGCCTACAGCAGTTGCTCAACTAGGGGCTATATTTCTGGCAGCTCTGCTTAGAGCAATCATCAGGCGCCGCTTGGGGGAAAGCCCGGTGGCTATCAGCGCTTTTGCAGGCCACGAACTAGATTGTAAGTTCCCAGTCCAATCTCGCGTATAATGACAAATGTTGATATTTACTAATCTGCAGGGTTGACTCTCCGGCTCGTCTATGAGCAGAATGCGCTGACAGCGCCTCGGGCATCCGGAGATGCCGACGCCGTGAAAGTCGTTACACGCTGGAAGGTACTGACCAGACCAGACTTGCCAAATGTATGCAAGAACGAGGACAAGAAGAAGAGCCCCTCGGACGATCCCGATGCGCAACGGATGCGTTCAAACATTCACGGGATTTCCCAATTCCCACGATCCCTTCTAGTGGAAAGGGGGGAAATGGTCGACGTACAGAAATCTGCATACGTTCTACACCAGGGAATCTCGAGACAACCAGAGCCAGACTCGAAATGTCTATTCCAACAGACAAGCCAGGTCGCAGTCGACGTTCGGCGGCGCCTAGGAGAGCTGTCACAATGTCCCGGCGCCGCTTCGCAAGAGGCTATAGCTCTCGCTCAAGCCATGTCTCTAGTGCTCACCGATCTTTGCCCTGTCCAAGAAAATTGCGACAAGATCTTCATTTGGTCCCTAGCTACGGTAATGTTGAAAGTCGATGAAACAATTGAAGCTCAACAGCCCAACCGACCTAAGCCTTCCCGCACCAATAGCAACAAACTCTTGCTCGCCATTCCTAAGCGCGGGAAATCTGGCGATCCACAAGTGAACAAACCGCACGGAATTCTTGAAAGCAAGCCAGATACGGTGACTCTCAAGGCCAAGGGGACCAAGAAGGGTTGGAGCATGCAACCAGTTGACATCGATGCTATACTCTCCTTGTGGATTTCCACACTTGCACGGTCCGGCGCCAATGCGAACATCAAAGGCAGAACACATGGGCAAGGTGGCCCAGAGGACGACGACATGGAAGACGATGAGTCAGGCAACTGGCTGTCACAGGCGTCCAGTGCGACCGTCAAATATCGCCGGATCCTAGGGGAAAACCCGCCTCCCTACAAGGCCCAGGATCCTACGGGGCCTCTTTGCGAATCTGATACTGGTACCGATGCTGATAAGAGAGCCAACATCGTCCGTACAGATATCTTGACAAGAGACCTCAGCTGGTGGACAAACGACCCCCGCGTTACGGCTATCACTGAGGATGATGAAGATCCGCAAGATACAGGTGATGATATGCTTGAGATTGGATTCAATGGTCTTTACCCAAAGCGCCAAACAATTCCGAACAGTGATACCCTAAATTCACCTAAACAGGTTAGCCAGGATCCTACAACAAACAAAGGTCAGGCTCCAGAAGCACCGCAGACCTCTGCAGAGCTCAAAGCTGTGCAGGAAGAAGCGCCACGTGGAAAGGTCGTCTCTATCATTTCCGATGGACCACTTGCAGTCGTCCTTGCACACCATCTGTTTTCTGCCTTCATGTGGGCCGTGTCGGACGAGATACGGGAAGATAAGATCGATACCGCAACCGTAGAAGACGCTGAGCTATTCGACGGTTCATATTTTGAAGACACATGGAACATCCCGACGCTTCGGAACAAGACACTGATGAAATTGGCCAGAGCCATTGTAGGACTTGGACTGGGCCCTATTGATGACGTGCTTTTGGCGATAATACCACCTTTGAGCCATCGAGGAATACTCCCCAACGAAGCTATGATGGGTGTATTGCTGAGGAAAACGAAGGATCACGAAAGGGATCATGACTGGCCCCAAGCACAGATCACCTACCTCAATCTCCTTGATCTAGAAATGGATCCACGTGGCATGGATCGCATTTCTTACGAGATCGTTGTTGAGTTGATCGAGTTCTTGTTCCTGGCCAGAGAAACCATAGATGATCTTCGCGGCTCGAAGACCCTGGAAGGAAGCGAAACGGTAGGCAATCAAGCTACGTCTTTACGACAAGCAGTGCAAGCCGTGAGCTCAGGCTTGCAATCTCATGCATTGTTATTCAGTGTAGCAAGCCAATTGCGTTGGTTTTATTATCGTCAGCAACGAGAGAGAAAATTCGACAACCTTATGGAGAGTCTACAGGTCCTACCATCTGAAGTCAGGATTACTGGCGATCGAGACCAATCAAAGAAGATTACCAGACCGGACGACAGACTACTCAAGCTAGTGAGATTTTCGTCTTACCATGATTATATCGCCAGACGTCTAGCAGAAAAGAGCGAGCGATCCTCGGGTGAACTCACCGGACAAGAGATGAAGTCGGAGTCAAAACAAACAGCTACAATGAAAGAATCCGAATGGAAGAAATTGGCAACGAAGCCCGATATCTTTGGCTGGTATCCACTTCATTATGCTACTGTCGGTGGCAACAGTGTGCTCTTCCACGAGGTTTCCAGGATACATAAAGTCGGGGGGAAGCCTCAGCATGAGCTCAGAGACAAGTCCGGAAGAACGCCTCTGCACTACGCAGCTATGTATGAACCAGGGTGGATCAAGACCTTCACCGGCACGCAGGAAAAGGGAAAGTCCGCTGCGAAGGTCCTTGGAAGAAACGGAATGTTACCAATCCATTGTGCTGCTAGATTAGGGATGGTGGAATCGCTTGCCAATTTGGAGAAGTACTGCAATCTCAACGCAGTGGACTCCTTTGGTCGTTCTGCGCTCCATCTTGCCGTCCTCGCTGTCAGCCCAAAGGTAGTGGAGTTCCTTCTCAAAGACGACACAAGAAACCCTATCATCCAAACCGGGGATGAGCTCCTACAGCGCACGCCTCTGCATTTTGCTCTCGTAAATGCCGGGGACAAAGGCGAGCAACCTGAACTCGTGGATGAGAAGAAGGAGATCGTGAACCAGTTGATGGCCAGAGTTATGGCTCGGGAGAAGGATCTCGAAGCAATGACCATCAATGACGAGCGCAAAGACACACCAATAAAGCTCGCTTTGAGGAATCAAGACGTTGAACTTTTCAAGACGCTGCTCTCCAAACTACCAAACGTTTCCAGACCGCAAGACACTGACGCTGAACGAAGCGTTGTAACAATGTGCTTCACAAGTATGTTGAAAGAGGCCGTGCGACTTAAAAGCCAGGACGTCCTGGTGTTGCTCTTCGAACACGTCAAACGTAAAGGCTGAGATGCATGGTGGATTGTTGACGCCTTCTTAGAAGCTAGGGACCGTTCCTTCGTCGACATGTTGCACCGAATGCTCAAGATTGTAGACTCCTTAGTCGGTGAAACCGTATCGGGCCACACCGTCAGCGCTAGTGCAACCGAGGAGACGGGGGAAAGCGATGAGCCCATGACTGAAAGTCGAGGCGATGCGAAACCCTTCGACCCGGATGCCGTTTTGACAGTCACTCCCAAGTTCCGCAACGACTTGGAGAGAGAATTCCAGATCAGAAAGGAGCTTGTCATGATAACTGCAATTCAAAGTATGGATTCCAGTTTCGTAGGTCATGTGTTCGATAAAGGAATTCAAGATCTTAGCCAAGAACACGTCTGGAACGGAAAGGACTCCCAGAATCGCTCGGCACTCGCATACATTGCAAAGCTCAAGAAGCTCAAGAAGCTCAGGAAGGGCTTATCCGACGAAGAGCTGGACATTCCCATGAATAGGCGCATCGCCATGCTGGACTTCCTTTGGGGCCATTGGCGTGTTGAAGATAAAGCAAGAGCATTGAATGACCCTCAAGGAAGTTATGACAAGACGCCCCTCATCTACGCCGTCAGAAACAACCTTCTTCCTCTGGCCAAGAAGTTCGTGGCGGCCATCGCTGAGGCCAAAGCCCACATAGAAGGAATGGATGCGTATGGCTCGTCTGCCTTCATGTACGCTTTGCAGAAGGATGACGACGCAGCGGCCGAATGGTGGAAGACCTTGGCTGATGCCGATCCATCTCTTGTCAACGAAATTACCGGTACGTATAAGACTACCTTCAGCACTAGGCCCTTGATCGAAGCAGTCCGCGACGGTCGAGACGACATAACTAAATTCCTCTCCACATACCCCGAGACCGATCCCAACCTTGGAGATCGAGATGGAGATCCTACTCTTGCCTGGGCTTATTGGCAGGAGAGTCCGCCATTACTTGTCACTCTCTTCGAAAAGTTCGATACAATCGATCCACATAAAAGGAACAAGTCTGGGATTTCACCGCTCATGTATGCCTATCGTGATGCGATGGATGATGGCATTTCACCTCGCATTCAGACCATGTTCCAGGCCCCACGTATTAGGATGCAAGGGTACGAAGTCACTATCATGTTATCGCACGCCAATTGTCGTGGGAACATGAGCCTCGTGACGTTTCTTTTGGAAAGGCGTGCGGATCCTTGTTCGTGTGACGATGCCGGCCGTTCTCAAGTTGAGTTAGCAGCACTTCGTGGCAACTTGGAGGTCTTCAAAATTCTTTGTCAGACGCCGGAAGTTGCAAAACAACCCGAGAAGTTGAAACGCGTTTACCATGCGTGCGTCCAAACGACCCATGAAAACAATGAGAAGATTATCGACGAGTTGATCAAGAGGAAGATTGACATCAGCACGACAGAGCCCGATGCCAATGGTTGGAACCTAGAGGAATGTGCCATGTACGCGGGGAACCCCCAAGCACTGAAAAAGTTGATCATCAAAGGGGAAACGGGCCCACCACCTCTTCGTCAACATAGACAACCTTCCAGCTGGGCTCTACGGCCGGACAACCCCTTCTTTAAGGCCCTACATGACGAATGCACTCTGAGTGAGTCCTCCTGGTCGCTTTTGTGCGGACTAGACACCGTGACACTAATGCGATATGCAGTGGTGAAAGCCCCTTTCCCAGACGGCCTGCCATCTGCAGCAAACAATGGCTCTTATCTTTTGGTTCGCGCAAATTCTTGCATACCCTATGGAATGAGACGATACTATTGGGAGATGAAGATTATCAATAACCCCGCTGACATGTACGTCTACTCTTACCCCCTTCCCTTTTTAAGCAAGGTTCCGTTTCTCACTTATCAATAGACCTATATCCATGGGGATCTGCTCACCACACTCAGAGAGTCACTGTCAAGCAGGCTGGACGGGATCGGCTAGCTGTGGATATCACTCCGACGATGGCAGTGTTTTCGATAACACAGTGGATACGGCGGAGTACAAGGGGTCGCCTTGGAGTACGGGCCATGTCGTGGGGTGCCTCATGGTGTTAGAAGACACGCCTCGCACTATCGAATTCTTCATGGATGGGAGTAGCATAGGTGAGCAATCTTATCAGAATGAGTCTTTCCAGTTACTCAGTGTATCACCACTGACATGTAACAGGACCCGCTTTGAAGCTCCCGGATAATATGCGGGGACAATTGTACCCTTGCGTCGGGATGAGAGCAGGCCTAGGCAGCGAAGGCACAGAAGTGAAGGCAACCTTTCGGGTCGGCATTGAAGCTCGCGCAAGTCGCTTCAGACAGGAATGTCAGAAGTGAGACAGCCGCTCTGGAAGAAAGCACAGAACCGGTTTGGCCAGCTACGGACTCGAAAGACGTGGAGAACGGTAACTAGGGCTTTAGTATTGGGCAGAAACTATCCCCTAGGAACATACAGCCGCTTTAGAAGAAAGCATAGAACCGGTTTAGCTAGCTACAGACTCGAAAGACGTGGAGAACGGTAACTGGGGCTTTAGTATTGGGCAGGAACCATCCGCTGGGAACATTTCGGGGTCGACGAGACAAGTTGAAAATGAGCCGACTACACAGAGCGAGGGTAATGTCGGGGATGGGGTGGGTCGACAATAGGAGGGTGCGGAAAGTCTCCCAGATAGCAGTTATTAGTGCTGAGTAGGGCTCAAATAGTTTAGTAATACACTACTTTCGGGAGGTATCCTAATTACCTTAGAGAACTCTAACACTGATTATAATCGATGGGACCACTAATAGGGCAAGTTCTAAGCTAAGTGCTACGCACTGCCGAAGAAGTACCCCTTCTGGCCTCTTTGAATAATAACCGATGCCCGTGAAACAAAGCCATGCTGGAATCTCCTAGCACGCGGGATATCTAGCGCTGACCATACTAAGAAGGGCGTATCCATATGCTCAGATGCGCGGTAGAGATGATAACGAAATAAAACAGAGGAAGAAGTAGCGCAAAGGCGATAAAGAGAGCGACTCGGGACTATGAGACCTAAGACGGGAGTCTCAGAGACCGAGGATAGGATCTCCGAAGCCAAGTAGATAAAAAGGAAGTAGCATGGTGGGATAATCAACATGGAGGAGCGGTACAGCGACTGTAAACAAGGTAAGGATCGAGTCGCTAGGAGACCAGGAACATAATCGAGGAAAATACCGATGTGAAGCGAGGGAGCCTCTGCATATGCCTACAAGCCATAGGCAGTGTGAAGGTGAAGCTAAGTTTACGCGCCATTGTAATCCGACCATCCAGCTGAGGAAATTGAAGAGGTTAGAAAAGTTCAGTGCCCTTAGGCCATACAGATCGAAAGATGTGCTAGTCGTGACACGGCCATAGAAAGCGCGTCATCAGGCGTTGGACAGTAATGCCCTAGCCATAAGGTGAACGCGACATTCGACCAAAACAGGTCGATCACCGTTGTATCGAAGGGTGCGGTGATCGTACAGCGCGGATCTGTTGTACTATCTCGAATACCCGCGTCCGTACGTGTATTGAGGGGCATTCGTGACGGGTATTCCGTTCAAAGTCTTCCACGCAATTTCGGCGGCCTCTTCGCGGGATTGTTCGAGGTAACGGTAATCGCGCCATAAATGTGCTCGGAATTCGCGGCCTTGCACAACAACACCGCTGGACCAGGCAGTTCTGATGCCTATGAAACTTTAGCTGCATACTACATGGAATGAAGCTGTAGATGTGCTGTTGAAAAGCATACCTCTTGGATCTGAATAATCTTGAAACTGCGGCTGCGCTATTTGGTTCGAGGTACAGTAATCTAAAAGCAAGGAATGTCAGTGGGAGATAATGTAAGAGGGAAGGCACACACTTTGAAGCTTCTGTATGTAGGTCTCTTGCCTGTTAGCGGCCATGGTAGGCTTGGTAGGTTCGATCAGACGTAGAGTACTATCGTTGACGTGAGTCAAGCAAGAAATCTGATATTCTCTAGGAAAGACCAGGGTCCAGGTTCGAGTCAGGAACGTCAAGGCAAAGTGAAACCTAGGGATGCTGGCCTTCTGTTTATAGTCCAACAACGCATGCTTGAACTGCCAGACGCCGCAAAAATCGCCTATGCCGAGCTGAAGTTCCAGTACACTGGTAAAGTGGATGAGGGGTATTGCGGCCTGTGTCCCGCTTGTATCGTATTGCTAGGTAAAAGTCCGACAGCCTGGAGAGTGTGGCTCTCATGGCTGGTGCCGCGTGCTTTCTCTTATTGGCCTTGGAATCGGAGTCGCCATCCTGGACAAGGCGAGAAATCATAATTGCAGGCAACCCACCGTGGGTAGACAAGGTATATGAAAGCCAGTCATGCAACAATCAGATTTTTCGGGACCAATGACTATTCAATTCGTGTGGGGTTATGCACAGCTTGGCCAAATGAAGGTTGGTTCGTCTGAGCTGGCGCAAAGGCCAGCAAAAGCTGCAAGGCTAATGATGCCGGCTTGCCCAGATTGCGTACTTAGATTCTGAACTATTACCATTCAAGGTACGGACCCGCGCAAGAGCTCTGCCTTGCGATCCGTCCTCGTTCCGGACCGCGCCGAACCAAACTTTGCCCTGAACTCGTCATTTAGAACGCCTCCATGGCGTGACGCCCATGCATGGCGGCCTGACCCAGGCGAACCAGACCGAATCGATCAACACGGCACGCACGATGGCGTCCAGTTGCGTTAGAGCATTGCTGCAGCGCGTGGCTCGGAACAGGCGTTGCTATCTTGAAACTTTGTCGTGCTTTAGATCCTGCGTGCCCTTGACGTTGCTGATGTCGACGAGCCGGGCCGTTGCGTGCCCAGAATATCTGCCGTGTGCTCTGGCCATCCGTTCATTACTCCATTTCTCGAAGTGTTTTTTCCAGGCTGCCCAAAGCTCTACCTTTTCCCGCTTGTACAACGCATGCTGGCCTGGCTTCTCGGTGAAAGCGCCGCCACCGACGAGATGATCTGTACGGAAGAAGTGGGGTTCGCCTCGCTGTCAATGAGTTGTCATTCCTGTTGTGTTGTCAGGTTTGAATCAATTCAAAATCGATCGATATCGTGGCAAGTGACGTGGTCTCGCTTCTGCATTGCGCTAATCCTGAAAAGGACCCGGCCAGTATGTGCTGTAAGGCAACGCTCTGTTTCATGAAAGTGAGGCGCAGGATAATGGTTTGCATCTGGACGGTGGATGCTGGGTGGTGCTGCGGATGTCTCGTGCAATAGCAAGCAGCCTGCATCCGCATTTGTTAGCTGCAGACGTCGGGCATAACACCACGACACCTCCACAGAATCGCCAGGAGGCTGCTTGGCTACAGGTTCTGCACAACATGAAATGGCGCAAGGATAAATGCCAGTCATCGAGGCCAGGCGAACCTTCCACGAACCGATCAGGTTGCTCTATTGAGCGCCGCCACGAGCGACATCGTCCAGAATCTGTGATCTCACCAGAGTGGTCGAAATCCCACTATGACAGGAACATTGCGAATCCCCAGTTTTGGACGCCAATATTTGGGCCACACCCTCTCTCATATTCAGATGCAATCGTCATAGCATCCTCGAGACGAAGCACTGTCGCGTATGCAGAATCCAACTGGCTCGAGTGAGAAGTGGATGGAGTAGCTCCACAGGCTGGCAAAGTACGCGAAGACTCTGGCGTAGTGGGTCGTCGATCCGCCGTAGCTCATGTGGACCTGGTTCGTTGCTTTGGAACTGAGCTACCATAGCCTCATTGAGTAGCAGAACTTGAGCCTGGGCGGTTAGAGCGTTTCTCCAATGTAGCACACGGAAGTGCAACCACAGATGAATTGGGATGCGCGACGGGCGCTTTGGGACCCCTTGAAATTCCCGCTTGAAGTAGACACCGATGCTTGTCTAGAGTACATGGGTCTCTAATCTTGGCAAGATGATAGCACAAGATGATACAGATGACGAAGCGGCGTCTAATTTTGGCTCGCGGGGGAGCAGGCGTTCGGTAGTGGTTGAGATGGTAAACGTTTGGCCACGCAGCCGAAGCTATTATGGCTGTGGCGTCCATCTACGTGCCTACAACATGGATCCGATGCAGCTATCCGCACCTTTCATAGATTGCGAACCATCTGAATTACAGATGGAACCGGCCTATGTGGTGCGGCCACGCGACGGAGCTGCGACGTGGTCCCTGGCAACCCATTTAGCCACCGCATGCAGCTTGCTCGGATGGCCAACTCTTTCCCCTCGAGGAGTTTGGAGATGATTTGCCCAATGCTGGTCGCAGGATGCGCAAGAGACTGCGTGCGGCAAGGGACGCACCAGCCCGTGCGATTTACGTGATGCACACATGCAGCCCGCTTTTAACGTTGCCTTGCCCCGGATGTTGCACCCGAACAGTACGGCAGAACGGCTGAGAGGGACCATGCGGAAGGGATAACGATCCTTCTCGGAAGAAGCGACGATGGAAGACAGACGGTATCAGTTCGGGTGTTGGAAAGCTCATTGAAAGTCGGGAACCGCAACCTGGGAGGGACCCTGGCGCTTGCCCGGGAAGGCACAGCACCACGTGACGGGCCAAGCCGAGACCGGATTAGCGCGCCAGGAACCCGCCGCTCCTTCCCTTCCCTCTCAAGCGGCGCGTGGGGACACTGGAGAGGCAAGAGTGGGGTTGCACGGCGGGGCTGCGTCGATGACGTGAAGCTACATTCATGGATTACCCGTGGCCATTTGCGACCACGTCGATTGACTCCTCGACGCTCACCTGAAGACTCGCCATCCACTATGGCCTCTCCCAAGACGGTCCGCTGGGGCATTCTGGCAACGGGCGGCATCGCCAAAACATTGTAGGACGCCCCGCAACACGGTGGGGGCACGCTGACAGTGTCTTGACAGCACAAAGGACCTGCTCGTCGACCCCGCCACGCGCGGCGTGCAGCACCTCAGGCACACGGTCGTCGCGGCTGCCTCCTCGTCGTCCGTGTCGCGCGCCCAGGACTTCCTCAACGACACGGGCGCCCCGGCCGATGCGAAGGCGTATGGCTCGTACCAGGAGCTGGTCAGCGACCCCAATGTCGACATCGTCTACATTGCGACGCCCCACTCGCACCACTACCAGAATGCCATGCTCGCCCTCGAGGCCGGCAAGCCCGTGCTGTGTGAGAAGGCCTTCACGGTGAACGCCGAGCAGCTGCGCAAGCTGGCCGACAAGGCCAAGGAGAAGGAGCTCTTCCTTATGGAGGCCGTGTGGACGCGCTACTTCCCGCTCTCCATCTACGTGCGCGAACAGATCACCTCTGGCCGCATCGGCCCCGTTGCTCGTGTCTTCGCCGACAACAGTATGGCCTGCGACCCGGAGGTGCAGTGGAAGGACGGCACCAATCGCATGGTCAACCCAGAGCTTGCTGGTGGCGCTCTGCTCGATCTCGGCATCTACAGCCTAACCTGGGTCTTCCAGACGCTCTACCACACGCAACCCGCCGATGCCCGCAAGCCTCCAAAGGTCCTCGCCGCTATGAAGAACTACGCTCCCACAAAGCAAGCGGACGAGACTACCACCATCGTGCTGAGCTTCCCGCGCTCCCACCAGGCTGGCGGTGACGCTCATGCCATCGCGACTACCTCACTTCGTGTCGCCACTTCTCCGGCAGGAAACCAGGACGTTCCTGGCATCCGCATCCAAGGCCCCGGCGGCGAGATCCAAGTGTTCCCGCCTGCCTTCCGTCCTACCCGCACCCGTATCGTTCTCCAAGACGGCACCGTTGAAGACAAGGATTGGCCGCAGCCCGGACCAGGCGAAGGAAGCGGTTGGCGGAACGGTTTCGGAGCAACCACAAACGCTGAGGGTGAAGGTCACGGTATGTTTTGGGAGGCAGACGAGGCTGCCGATGCCGTCATCAACGGCCGGAAAGAAGGCAGATACGAAGGTCTCGACGAGAGTATTCTTATCATGGAGGTCATGGATGAGGCTAGAAAGCAGGGTGGTCTCACATACCCCGACAAGATTGAGACCACCAAGTACCCAACGCAGCTCTGAGGTGGACGTAGAGGAGGGCCTGTAGAGCAATACAGTCCGTCAACGCCACATCTTCTGGAAGTACTTGCCACTGTGCTCTGCGTGTCCATGCAAGGAACAGCCGGTAAGGTTGAATTGTGATCGCTCCTGCGACGGGTGGCTCGTGAATAAATCGTTGCCGTCTTCGCCTTCAACCGGTGCCATAAGATTTGTCTTCCTGTTCAATCTCCTGGTCTTCGAACCACATGCAGGAACGCTTTCAAGCGCCTTCTCAGGCACGAGGCACCCGCCATGCAGGACATGACACCGTGCACCACCGGAAATGAGGAGACTACCTCCGAGCCAATTGAAGCGCCTCATAACCGCCCCCCGGTCATTCACGTGAACGCACGCCAATGCATAGGTCATGCGCTATCCAATGTTCGCAGTCGTTCCAGTTATCGATGGGAGCGAATACATATTGCCAGATAGGGGAGGTTGCGCACAAAAGGGAATGCGACCGAAGGTTGACCTCCGAAGAACAGTGCTTATTTACCAGCGTTAAAGCATTCCCTAATTCTTCTTTCCCAGGAGTTTTGCATGTGGGGACTGGTCGATAAGCCCCGCCTGAGGCAACGTCGATACAGGAGGAACAAGTCACGTTTGTGTACCGAGACAGTCGTCCTACTTGCCTAGCTCACGACTCGCCTTGGATGTAAAAGGGACGGTCCCAAGTATTGCGCACATAATCTTTTTGCAAGTGAACAAAGGTCTGAGATATCTTTGTCCTCTGTCTGGTTCAAGGACGCCAAGGCGGCTACCGTCCACTAAGACTACCACAGATGCTGGGTTTTAGAGCATGGGCCCAACGCGTTCGCGGGCGTTCAGCAACTGAGAGGAAAATGGAACGGTCCAAGATTGGACATGGTGATACTTACGCTTCCGCCTCCGCCAACACACCTTTCAAAGCCCATCATCACCTGCGACATCATCATCGCGCTTTCGGCTTCGCGGCGTTTCTCGACCGTTCAGAGTCAGCTGCTCTCACAATCGCTTGCTGTCGCCAATTTTGCAGTTTGGGTACAAGCCGGCATCTCCTAGTTCCTAACCAAAGTACCGAAAGAAGACATCTGTTTACTCTACAGTTCGCTTCATACCGTAAGCGAGGCGGGGCTTGCACTCAATCCAGTCAACATACATATACCCACGGAGGTGGTCCACGCTTTGATCATATCCAAGAATCATCTAACACCGTTTAAAGTTTAGTTGCTTATCAGGGACAAAGTGGGATCGGACTTCGTATCGAAATTCGTGAGTTTCGAGGCCCCGTCGTCGGCTCGACGACCTATTATATCCCACATACCCCTGACCCGAGTGTCGTACACGTTGACAAGGAAATCAATAGAATCGCTTAAACTACATATATTAGTCTCTTCAAACATGCCGTGACATCGTCATCGTACACGCAAAAGACGCGTGGCAAACTAATGAATAATGCGTCAGACACAACTGTCCAAAATCTTTGTCATATTCAACGATGTCGGGGGCATCGTTCATCGCACCGCTAAAGCCTGGCAAAAGGTATGCCCTACAACTAAGAACGGAAGTTATAATTGGCACTAATGGATGGCTCTATAATCTCTTTTACATCAACAGTCGCGTATTTCCAATCAAACTGCCTTTTCAAGCAGTCACATAGAACATCCGTCGATTGCTGCACCACGTAAAGGTTCATCCATGGAGTACGGAATCGACTTTCCCGATTCGGCAGTACGAGCGTTTTGGTGGGCTCGTCGGCCAATGGGGAGAGACTTGGTAAGTCATGCGCACAGTTATGGAAGGATAGACCATGATGAGCAGAGAAATATTAATGCTGTCGGATTTGTATGTTGAGCAATGTGCGTGAGGCAAAAGGTCACCATGGGTACGATGCCTGAATTCTTCATGTATTTTCGATAACGCCGTTTCAGAGCAGCACCATAGAATATAGGGTCATGATATGGACAGCAGCTTTTACTTTACACAAATTAAGGAGACTCAATGTAGCCGTTTCACTGTCGCCAGGTACATTCGGAAGTCCACGTGTCGCTTATTCCAAAAACGCCCCACCACACTATCCGGAAATTTTCAGAAGCACAAATGCAGCTATGGGACTTGGATAAGAAATTGGGCAGAAGTAGAGTTCGCTTTTAGGATGATTATTTATTGCGGGGAACACTTTTCAACACAATGCCCATATGTATTTGGTTTGAGAAAGATTTGTCATCAAATATGTGATCATTGGCCCGCTTGGCTCAGTGGTAGAGCGTATCACTAGTACTAAGCTATGATAAGGTCGTCAGTTCAATTCTGACAGTGGGCAGTTTCTTTTTAAGCTCCGCATCGTCATGCGATCCTTGCTCAGTCGAATCACTAACGTCATCAAATGAGTGTAATTTGTTTTTACCTGATGTAAGCGAAAAGCCTTCGCTGAGACGCACATGACAAGATATCAGCCTTCAAGATTCGAGAGAGCGGCGGTAAACCAAAACATGCACATGATTCCTAGAGGTATACCCATCACTTCTAAACTGACATTCGGCTCCATCACGATTTCCTCCACCAAATATCGCGCGTATCTGTCGGCCTCCCTTTTTGCCATGGCTACAAAGCAAATATTCACCCTGGTCAGACAACCACCACTAACAGCACCTATGCCCACTATTACCGTCCCTATTTGTCTGCAGAAGGTCAGCTGTGATCGCCATCGTGAGTTGCTCCGTCTCAGGGGTGCTCCTATGCCTCCATAGACGTGCTAGAAGGCATCGCGTCAGGCTCAGTAATCCATTCGGGCTACGGCTCCTTGGTCGACTTAGTCTTTCGTTCTACTCGACAGGTTGACAAAAAACGTTTTGTAATGTCGTTCCTTCACTTCATCGTAGCAGCGAACGAAGTAAAAATAAATCCCTGACAGTGTACATGCATTCTGCGAAACTCAATCTCGTGATTGACCGTTTCGTCTATAACAGCTGCCCTAATAAGACTGTCTAGAAGGCGGAACACGAACGCAATCTTAGGTGCGCTGAAAGACCCAGCTACAGTATCACTCGGGGCCTTGGATCACGCAAGCAAGTATACATTTATGCACCATCGGTATCTCTTTCTCTCGTGCCAGAGATCTCGTGGGTCACAAACTACCATATTAGAACGATGCGGGAGAACAGGAGCAGACAGACTGTCTTCACAAGAGTGTTTTTAGGTAACCTCCGCTGGAGAGGAGGCCATTGCCGTGGCCAGTCAGTGGTGGATGGTCTATCTGGGTAGACATATACTTCCCTGGAACGCAATGCACACACGGAAACGTTTACAGACCCTACGCTCGTGTTCGTAGAACCAGAGTTTCGAAATCAGGGAATCGATGGAGAGCTTGAACATTCAAAGCGGCACGAATAGGCGGTGTTCCTTTAGTCACCTGTCGATTGAAAACCTTGGTCCGGGTACCTGTGTGACATTCGTTTGTCTAAGGTTTGGGTAGACGGATCTTAAAGTCTCTCGCTTTATCTCTATAGAAGACAAACAGATCCTTTACTCGCTTTTGTCCTAAATTTTTTTTCATATTCCATCGTCAAAATTTGTGCGGAGCCGCGCAGGTACTTGGTCTCCTTTAGAGGCAGGGAGCCTAACCAAGAAAATACCTATGGTATGGGGACATCGATCGCACCCAGGCGCACCAAAGCATTCCGGTTGGAAGAGTCTCGCATCATGCGTATCGTTGGATCGAGACACAGTGAACTTTGGATATTGAGCTAGAAAGTGGGCAGCCACATCTTGATTTACCAAATCCTTCCAATGCGAAGCGCCTCACACGGTGGGTAAATGGATGCGAGATTTGATCTCGGATGCACAGCCAAGAGAATGCCCGATTAGTGCTGATTAAATTCGAAGTGGTGCTTCCCCGCAATATTGTCATTTAAATGTTAATACAATTCGTTGCAGCTGTCCGCGTTGATTCGCTAAGGGTGGATTTCCTAACAAGACAAGGTATACATGCGCTCGGCATTGCAAAATCGCCCCACACGCTTCGTAGATGAACAAATACTGTAGCGTATCATTGCCGATGTCTTGATTATGTGACGTTGATATATTCCAAGCCATGAGTGGACGACTACGTAGGTGCTGATTAAATTCCTTCCTGTTCAATTGCTGCACTACCTACCTGAGATACAAATGACCGATTGTTCTCCAATTGCTGTGGTCAGGATTTACACAACCAGCACTCCATCTCTGCCGCCATGCGAAACTTTGTTACGATAGTCATCGGAGCCCTTGCAGCCCATACAGCTTCAACATGCACTCGCGAGCAGTTGACGGCCGCAACTGCTGATCTCCTTACCGTTCAAACGACAGGCAAAATAAATGGCACCGCATCCTTCGCCTCTCCGATCAAATACACCGAGAACCGCAAGACGGTCGATATCGCAAAGGGTATCCATTCGAAAGCTCTCACCATTGCCCATAACCGTAGCCAGCACGACTTGTCGCAGTGCGCTGCCTTCAGCGAATTCATTGTTACGACCGCTGCCAGTCCCTATGTGATCGCCACGCAATTGCGTCTGGACAACGCCACTCAAAAGGTCAATCAGATAGACACCATTATGACGACCAAAGGCGATTGGCTGTTCAACGTTACTGGCACGTATTACTGGGCTTCGCGCGAGAAATGGGATCCTATTCCCATGGCTACGCGCGATACGCGGGAAACTCTCAAAGCGGCAGCGGATGCGTATTGCGATATCTTCAACGACAAGAGCGTCAAGGTTCCGTGGGGTCAACCGTGTGCGCGACTCGAGGGAGGGTCATATACAGGCAAAGGACAGGCAAGCGATCGATGTGACGTTGGGATTCCGACCGGCGTCAAATTGATCAATCGACAATATGTGATCGATGAAGAGTACGGGACGGTGGACGTGCAGATGGACTTTGGCGGCACGGGTGGTTTCGGAGTAGGGGGTTTGCCTGATAGTCACGAGTTCAGGGTTGAGAATTCGAAATTGAGGTATGTGCATACATTGTCTTCGTGTGGTGGGAAGTCATGTATGTAGCAAAGTGGAGTAAATGGAACATGTGGAGCGATGTCGGTTTCGTCGTTGTGTTCTTAACTCTGAGTTCACCTGGATAGTCTCTTCTACGTTATTTATCTCTGCTCGCCTCTGATTAAAACATCTTTGATTCAATCACGATGAGAGAGATGATACAATATATATGAAAATGTAGCTGTCGGTAGGTTTGTGAGATTAAGAGTACTTAGGCTACCGTAGTAATACATTTCCATTTGATTTAGGGTAGACTTATGTCTCTTCGCAACGGATTCGCTTTCACATTTGTGTCACAGACTGTCATCAAGGTGGGCAATATAGCCCTGCTGTTCGACCAGTGGAAGCTATGTGTTATCTTTAGGGGTCAGATTCAGCAGTTTCTCTATTTGCGGGCGCTGCGGTACCCGGACAGATCCATAGTTGCTTGTCTGGAACATTTTCAAAAGTATCGATCGAAGTGCGGAAGCTTTTGCAATGACGGTTCTGCGGGCTCGATTGATCAGCTCAGTGGGTAGGACGGCGTTCTCCTCGCAACCCGCCCCATCGTTTCGAACGCCTGAATAGAATGGGGATACCTGCAGGGAAGAATCGGATATCACGTTCAGTCACATCACTTTGGAGATTTTGGTCATCCTGATGGACAGTCGCTTTACGAGCACTTCCTTTGAGTATCAAGGCCCACTCAGCTTGGGGAACGCCAGTGAAGTTCGCGGTGAGCGTTTGGTGACAGTTGCATGTCTACGCCTACCATGGCGGTGGCGATAGAAAGTTGGTCTTTGCTCTGATTCGAGCCCATTCGGCACTTGCAAGGCAAAAGATGACGATCAGCTACTTGTCGGTGCTCCGCTCAACCAGTATCTGTCAATGTAGATGGTCCCGTACAGCTGCTTGACAAAGTCCCTGTCCATTCATGCCGCTACAAAAGTCTCCACCCATTGTGCGAATACGCGTCCGATGGTCTGTTCCAGTTTTTCGGATTGTCTGCGTACGCTAGACCGAAGAAAATATAACTTTAATCGATGGGTCATGAATATTACCCTTCTCTTCCTCTGAGATTCCTTTCTCGCGACCCCTATCGTTGAGCTACACTATGTACACTTCAGACTTACTATCCGCGTTCCAAAAATCCTCTTAGTACGCGGCGGTTCTGGTGTAGACTATTTCTTTTCCCACGAGAACAATGCCTAGCACGTGTTACACTTCAGTCAAGAGACTCCGGTAGCGGATAGAGATCCGACACAGAGCGAGGGGGGTGGTTTGCAGTCTCAAAACATCCTCTGCATCTCCTACAGCTTACTACTCGGTCCTCCGATAAACGTCTGCCCAAGCATCAGCATCTCCACCGCTTCGCTTACCATCTCGTCAACGATCTGCTTCGCTGGCTTAATGTCCCTAATCTCGCCAGCCACCTGCCCCATTAGGAATGGGATATCAAACTCTTTATCATCTTCCATATCCTTTGCAAGCGGTACGATGCCCGCCTCAGTCAGCTTTTTGATCTCCTCTGGCCGAGCATGCCAGTCCCTGATATATTCGTTGAGCTTTACTCTGAGCGGCCGTCCACTGACCACCAGCGTGCGGTCCGTGTCTTCGAAGCGCGCGGAAACAACGTTGTCCTTATGCTGCTGGGAGCATCCAGCCTCAGTGGAAGCTACGAAGCGTGTTCCCACCCAGACGCCCTGCGCACCCTGCATTAGGCTGCTGGCTAGCGATCGCCCGTTGTAGATGCCGCCCGCAGCAACCACCATGGCTGGCTGCCCCGTGAGCGGGCTCGTGTACCTCCTCGCCACATCCACCACAGCGGGGATTAGTATTGAATTCGAAATGTCGCCTGTGTGTCCACCACCTTCGCCGCCTTGCGCGCATACGATGTCAACGCCCGCTTCCAGAGCCTTCACAGCATGGCGAGGATGCCCGACCATATTCATGATCTATTTTCTCTTAAGAGTTTCTCTTTAAATAAGTTTCAATCGACCTACTAGGATACCTGCCTCGTGCAGTCGCTTGATGGTCCTTGTGGGCGGCACACCCACAGCGCTGACAAACAGTTTCGCGCCATTCTTGATTGTCACTTCGATGAGTTCGTCAAGCTGGCCGTGCGTATAGTCGTGGTTCGTCTTGCGCGCTGAGCCGCCGACCTGCGGGAGCGCGAGGTCGACGCCGAAGGGCAGCGATTTGTCGGTAAGATTGCTCTTGAGCTCGTCAATAATAGATTGCAGCTGAGCAGGCGTGTAGCCCAGGCCACCAATGACGCCGAGGCCGCCAGCATTTGACACGGCTGCGGCAAGGAGCCCGCCAGATGTGCGGGCCATGCCTGCGAGGATGATGGGATACTGAATGCACAGGAGCTTCGAGAGGGGCGTTTGTAGCGTGGGGGTCGACATGTTCGCGTATCGAGCGCGTGTAGTACAGTCCGAAGCGCCGGGCAACTAGGTTCAGGGTAGCAATGGATGCTGATGGAGATATACAGTCCAAGGACACGCGTATAGATACGATAAATGGAGGGTGTAGTCCATAGTGGGTATGGGGAAGGATGCTAATAGCGGCGAGCATGGCAAGGATCGTTGCCAAACGCGGGGATGGCATGCCGAACCGAGGCACCTTGTGAGCCCATTGCGAGTCAACCTTCGCTCGAGCTTGGCCGCCCCGCCTGTGACTACGGTCAAAGCTCAACCTATGGACCGTCATCACGCGTTGTAACGCAGCCATTTGTGTGAGATGCTCAGATCCGATTGATGTGTCCACGGATCATGACAGCCAGCTCTCGGGAATTTGGATCACCTATGCTCAGTCAACGTGCATCCAAGATTGAAGTATGACTTGAAACAACTCCTCAATCTGGACCAAGATGAGTGATGAACAGCTGCATAACATTGCTTAGAGAGATATTGTACACTCGCTAGAAAGTCCCACTAAGGCGCCCCATTAGCTCCACGCGAGCGTATAGCCAGAGAACAGAAGTCCGAGTAACAGGCTTTGTACGGCTTGTTTTTCGGTGCTACACTGGAAGGACAATAGTCTTGGTACTGAGCGCGATCCCCCGAAATGTTCCTTCGGTTAACCTAAGCTCGGAAGGCTCTTGGAAAATGTAGGCGCTTTGCTAGGCTTCGTGACATTGGGCACAGAGGTATGGCCTCGCCTTCCAACTACTTCCCAGGGGACGTGGAACGATCTAGCAAATGGGGAAATTAGCGCTTGACTCCATTGATTTGGCCATTGGCCTGTCTGTGACCGTTGACTTTTGTGTTTGCGGGATTCTGAGGTGGAGGTGGAGGCGGAGGTACGGGACCGAACGGTCGACGTTCTGGTACAGGCTCTATAGCATCGTCCTCGGTATCGTCGTCATATTGCTCGCTGCCTTCCTCATCATCGTCCTCGTATTCGTATTCGCTCTCAGTCACTTCCTCATCCTCTTCAAGCTCGGTCATAGGAACTTGACCTCGTCCCTGTGCTTGCATACCTCTACAAAGTGTCTCCAGGCGAGCAATCTTCTTGCGCTGCTCTTCCACCTCCTTCGTCTTCCTTGCCAGATCATCCTGCATCTTCTCACGTTCTTGCACCATCTCAGCGATGTTGCGATTGGTCACCTCTTTATTCCGTTGTAGATTTTGATTCTCTTTCTCGAGGCGCTTGGTCTTTTTTGACATTTCCTCCATTTCTTTGCGAAATGTGAGGAACAAGTCATTCGAATTGTTGAGTGTTTCTTCGACCTGCATCTGGTCAGTATTAACCAATGGTGTACGCTGAAATCGTTAAGGAATCATACCTGCTTGAACTTTTCCACGTAAATGTTCAGCTGGGTGCGTAGTTCTGTTTCGGTTTGCGAAAATGTAGACACTTGTCTGGTGAGCTGGTGCGATTTGGATGATTCTGCTTCCTGTTGTTTGCGTTGTTGTTCAAGCCGGGCCATCTGGTACTGTATCTCGAGTTCTTTGGTCCGTAGAAGGGAATGGAATTGCAGCTCGCGTAACTCGTACTGGTCGATGAAAGATTTGAATTTTTGCCGAAACCTGCAGGACGTCAGCCTAGACGGACAAAGCAATCAAACATGCACGCACAGTTCGTCAAGTTCAACGTCTGCTTGGTTTTGCGGCTCGGGCTGATGCTGCTGGGCGATACAGCTATCGACGTCGTAGACAAGCTCCTCAAGACGGTGGTGCAACTCTTCCCGTGCGGCCGACTCGGTTGACTCCATCTTATGCAACTCATCCTTCAGCTTCTTGTTTTCCTTGGCAAAGTCGCGGGACAGCTTATCCAGCTTGTCCTTCATGGTAGTGACTTTGTTGAGCTCCGACCTCTGCGCATCCTTCTCCTTCTGAAGTTGATCACCACGCTTCTTAGACTTTTGGTGTTCCCGCTCAGTTCGCTTCATCTCCGAGAGTAACTCCGTATAGCGTTTCTGGACCACCTCGACACGGGTCAGCGGGCCATCCATGCTATTAAGGAGCGAAGACAGCTCTCGATTTGCCTTTTTGACTTCTCGCTCTGGGAGTTCGTCAGTAATGATACGCCGAACGCTATAGCAAGCATGCGTGCCCAGTCTAGAAGCACACGCGCGTCCGCGACGAGGGACAGGTCAGACGCCCAAGATCAAAATTTCAATTCCCGTCTAGAGCATGGTGCTTGGGCGGGATTGCGGCTGACCGCGCTGATGCAATGACCTTGGACTCCCAACGCTGTGCACGGTCCCACTCTTCCAGAGGAATTGTATGGAGGATAAACGCACCGATTTCAAGCTCCTGCTCCTTGTCACCAGCGGCATCCTGCTCCAACTGGGCAATCTTGGCCTGGATCTGCTTCTGCTGCTCGGACGGATCCGCAGACTTCTTCGCCTTGCCCTTCTTCGCCAGCGGCGGCGCAGGCTGGGCAGGCGCCATGGATGCGGAGGTGGAGGTGGAAGCGCTTCGGCTGGTGTCCATGCTACGAGGGGCGGGTCGGGCTGGTGCTGGGGTCGACGTGGGATGCTGGTGGGCGACGGTTGCCATCAAGGAAGCCGCAATTGCCACGCTCGGGGCGGCTTCTCCGGTCGACGCTGCGCACTCTCAAGGCGGGTTATCGCCCTTCACATGTGGGCCCGCGCGAGCTGGGCAGGTGCGGCGGGCGTGGTCGCGAGCGGGCGTGGGGCAGGCGGGCGGTTCGGTGGTGACTTGGTGGGCGGCTCGCGACGCGGGCAGTCGAGGTGCAGCGCGATGGCGAGGCAGGGTCGGCGCGGGCAGGACTAGAGTAGAGGCGGCCGTGGTTTGCGGGAGGTGATGGGGTCGCGTGGTGATGCAGGGAGGGGACTCGCAAAGCCTTCTACTGGCGCAGTTTCGTCGTGGCCGTGGCCGAGGGAGTACGAGGGCGCAACGCTCCTGATGCTGCTTGCTGGACGCCGCACTCCAAATCGAAGGTCCGGGATTCGCAGGCTGTCCGCGCTCCAACCGTCCTGTAGCTGTACCGACCTTGGCTCTCCTCAGACGCAACATGGACCTGCAGCCTGCACTCGTCGGTTAGTCAGCCCTGCATCACGTGTATCCTCGACGCCGCGGCCAATCGGCGCAGCAGGCGTCATGGCCTACAATTTTCCTCTCTACCGGCCGTGGCAGCTGTCGCCATCCTTCACCCCGTCCGTATTTCCGCCTGCCATGTTGCGGTCCGCTCGCTGCCAGCTGCGGAGCAACCGCTGCTCCGGCATCCCACACGCGCCTTCGACGCGCTTCTTGCGACGCGGATATGCCGCCGTCACCGATGCTTCGAGCCTCCCCCGAGTCGGCGAGCAGCTCCACGGCTTCACCCTCAAGCGCGTCAAGCAGGTGCCCGAGCTGGAGTTGACAGCTCTCGAGCTTCAGCACGACAAGACGGGTGCCCAGTATCTCCACATCGCGCGCGACGATGCGAACAATGTCTTCTCCATCGGTTTCAAGACGAACCCGCCCGATGACACTGGAGTGCCCCATATCTTGGAACACACCACGCTGTGCGGCAGCGAGAAGTATCCGGTGCGCGATCCCTTCTTCAAGATGCTTCCGCGCTCGCTCTCCAATTTCATGAACGCCTTCACGTCCTCGGATCACACCACCTATCCGTTTGCGACCACCAATGCCCAAGACTTCAAGAACCTCATGTCCGTATATCTCGATGCGACCCTTCACCCGCTACTGCAGGAAAACGACTTCACACAGGAAGGTTGGAGGATAGGCCCAGAAAACCCATTGGCTGCGCAAGAGGAAGGCGCCGACGAGGCCAAGCGTCTAGTTTTCAAGGGTGTTGTGTACAACGAAATGAAGGGTCAGATGTCGGACGCGAGCTACCTGTTCTACGTCCGCTTCCAGGATCACCTTTTTCCGGCCATCAACAACTCGGGCGGCGATCCGCAGAAAATCACCGACCTTACTTGGGAACAGTTACGCAAATTTCACGCAGACCACTACCATCCGAGCAACGCCAAACTTTTGACATATGGGAACATGCCTTTGACGGAGCATCTAAAGGAGATCGACCAGCGCCTGCGTAGTTTCAACCAGATCTCTGTGGATCACGATGTGAAGGTTCCCATAGAGCTTGACGGACCGAGGCATGTTACAGTACCCGGACCACTGGATCCCCTCGTACCAGCCGATCGCCAGCATAAGACGTCGGTGACCTGGCTGATGGGCGATACCGCCGATATTTTGGAAAATTTCTCGCTCGGGGTGCTGAGTAGCCTGTTGATGGATGGTTACGGGTCTCCTTTATATCGCAACCTCATCGAGTCGGGTCTAGGTGCCGATTTCAGCCCGAACACAGGCTACGACAGCGCTGGGAAGCTTGGTGTATTCTCCGTAGGGTTGAACGCTGTCAAAGAGGAGGATGTGCCAAAGGTCCGAGAAACTATTGCGAAGACACTACTTGACGCACGAAAGAATGGTTTTGACAGCATCAAAATTGACGGGATCTTGCACCAATTGGAACTGTCGCTGAAGCACAAGACCGCCCATTTCGGCATGAACATGATGCAAAGGTTGAAACCTGGTTGGTTCAATGGTGTAGATCCCATGGCTGCGCTGGCGTGGCAGGACACAGTAAACGCATTCAAAGAAAGACTTGCAAAAGGAGACTACTTGGAGAGCTTGTTGGACAAATACCTTCTTAACGACAAGACACTGACCTTCACAATGACACCGTCCGAAACATTCGCACAAGAATTGGTCGATGAGGAGAAAAAGCGGCTTGCAGAGAAAATTTCTGAGGCAACTAAACAATTCCCTAGCCAAGAAGAGGCCCAGAACTATCTGGAGAAACGGGAGCTCGAGCTGCTCGAGGTGCAAGAAAATGCCAGAAACCAAGATCTCAGCTGCTTGCCGACCGTGCACGTAAAGGATATCCCCCGTGAGAAAGAACGCAAACCGCTCCGGCACGGCGAGGTTGACGGGGTAAAGGTGCAGTGGCGTGAAGCTCCAACAAATGGCCTAACTTACTTCCGTGCGGTACACTATCTGGAGAACTTACCAGAGGAGCTGAGGGAGATGATTCCACTGTTCACGAGCGCCATCATGCGACTAGGGACTCGTAACAAGAGCATGGAGCAATTGGAGGAACTAATAAAGCTCAAGACAGGCGGAATATCGGTAGGCCACCACGCATCACCTTCGCCGCTCGCTCTAGAACAGTTCAAGGAAGGTTTCTCCTTTTCTGGATTCGCATTAGATCGCAACGTACCCGATATGTACGGACTTCTCCGTACCATCATCATCGATACCGATTTCGACGGCCCAGAAACGGAAAAGAAGATTCGTGAACTATTGCAAAGCTCTGCCAGCGGCGTGATTAACTCCATCGCCGAATCCGGCCATTCCTTCGCCAGGACCTTTGCAGAAGCAGGACTTACACCTGTGGGTAGGCTAAACGAGCAAACGGGAGGTTTGTCTCAAGTCAAGCTTACGGCAGGTCTCGCAGCACGTCCGATAACCGAATCATTGAGCGACGTAATTGCGAAACTCAAGGCCATTCAGTCGTTCGCCATCGCACAGGGTGACAACCTCCGTGTTGCCCTGACGTGCGGCCCCGAGAGCTCAACGTCGAACCAAAAAGCTTTGCAACACTTCCTCAGTTCTTTGCCGAAGAACGCCACCATACCTCCAACATCACAACAAGCGGAATACCCCCGGAATGCCAAGTCTTTCTTTCCCCTCCCTTACCAAGTCTACTATTCGGCAAGAGCCGTGCCAACAATACCCTACGTCGATGCCTCTAGCGCGTCTCTCGAGATTCTTGCACAACTTCTCACCCATAAGCACCTCCACCACGAAATCCGCGAAAAGGGCGGTGCCTACGGCGGAGGCGCTTACTCGCGCTCGTTAGGAGGCGTGTTTGGCATGTACAGCTACCGCGACCCTAACCCGCAAAACACCATGAAGATCATGTCCGAAGCAGGACAATGGGCACGCGACCGCACCTGGACGGCACAGGACCTCGAAGAAGCCAAACTCAGCGTCTTCCAAGGCTACGACGCGCCGCAGAGCGTCAGTCAAGAGGGCATGCGGCTGTTCCTGTCCGGTATCACAGACGACATGCTGCAGACACGAAGGGAGCGCCTGTTGGATGTCACGGCCGAGCAGGTCCAGCGCGCCGCAGACGAGTTTCTCGTGAAGCGAGTGTCCGAGAGCAGTGTTGCTGTCCTAGGCGAGAAGAAAAATTGGGCCACGGAGAAAAACGGCTGGGACGTACGAGATTTACATATGGCGGAGAAGATGGAGGAGCTCGCGCAGCAAATGCCTGATGAGGCCGTCGCTGCGCCTTAGACGGCAAGTGTGTATGACTTGGTCGCATACACAAAGCCATGAAACGTGTACAGCATCTGTATATTACTCAACTCATGCATAGGTGGCGTTGGCATTTACCGCATCTCTGTAAGTTTAAGAATACCACTGATTTCGAGTCTTTCCCCTTCCATTCCTTCCCAATCTTCGCTTCGCGTTTTGTTCCAGCTTCAATTTCGTTGGGTCCTCGTGCCCGCACTGCACGTCAGGATGTGAGAAATTTGCGTACCGCCCCGTCTGTCGCACTCCCTTCGTCCCAAAGCGCAGTCGAACAGATCCGCAGACGTGCCACTGCCTTTTCCATGGCTGGTGCGGTCTGGCGCTCCACGGGGGCATCCAATGCGCTAGATCAATGCTCTCTTCCAACTCCACGTTGTTGCGTGTGGGTAGGCAGAACTAGGGCGGCAACCAATCTCAGAACTGCCAGGGGTAAGGCTAGTCTCCTGGCGGACTAAATTTGGGGGCACATTTACGTCTCGTGAGGCAGGGACACTGGTGTAGGTGGAAATCGAATGAGCCGGAGCTGGTACGCCTTTCGAGTTTCAGTCTCACTGAGAGGCCATGCCATGGCTGCCAGAGGGCATGTGACACGGCTCAATGTTTGTAGGAACCTACAACATGGTATCATGCAATCGTGATAGGCTTCGTCTAAACCTGCCAACAACTAGAAAGGTACAGCAGACGAATTCGGTCCTGGCCGCTGCTCTGAGGATGTCGGAAGCGCTTCTATTTAGTACCCTTGCGGATTTGTTCTGTCTCATTGCTCGCATTGCTTTGTATACCCGGCAAGCGACTCATTGGTATTACACGCGAGGTGAAACCAAAGCAGTTTGGGGGAGTCGCGGCAACTACCAGGGGGAGGTGATCGTCGCCGTGGAGTATTGGATTGTATGATCAACAGATTTGTTGTAAAGGAATCAACCAATGTTATGCTTATCCTACCCGGTGTTAGAATTTTTCAAACAGTGATCAGAGAGATCGCGTACCATTTCCTCATCGATCCAGCTGTTCTGCTCTGCTCTGTGCCATCTCTTCCTGTGCTGACCTTCAATTTCCCACGCATTCCCGTCGTCCTCTTCGGGAATGGTCAACCCACCCCGCGTCCTAACAGGGGGCATACTTGTCGGCGCATGCGTGACATCGCAGCTCACCCGAGTAGGATCCACAAAGTCTGGGAAAGACTGCATTCGCTTCATAGTGCTGCCTCTTCTTACTGTTCCTCTAGTGCTTCCATTGCCGCTTCCACTTCTCGCCGAGGGTATTTTTTCAAGTTCGAATCCGGTAGCTGGGCCTTGACGCTCCGCGGAGGCTTGGTGATCGCTGCTGTTCGACTTGCTGCGCACAATCTGCACGAGTTTACCCAGGACAGCGAATTCCAGCTTGAGCTTTACAGAGTAGACGACACCTTTAAGGGTAGTTTCCACGAGGTACAAGTTCGCGAATTCGACGGCAAGGAGAGCGACGTCCATAGCGATGATGATGGTGTTGATGGCGAGGAGCTGGTACATGAGCTTGCGCGCAAAGGGGTGCTTCAGTTGAGTGTTATCTGCAATGCTCATGATGTCGTCTTGGGCGCTTTTCGACAGCTTGAGGATGCGCAATGTCTCTTTGACGTAGATGAGGGAAAGTATAAGCTCTTGGAGAAAGTAGCCAACCATTTGTATCTTCTCCATGACGTTGTACCCTTGGACAAAATGATTCAGAGTACGAGGGCTTAGGGTGTTCGCATTGGATCCGAAGGTCAACACGCTAGTTGGGAAGCCTAAAAGAATTACGTTGATACATATCATGTAGAGCGAGTACCGGATCACGCGGCGCGACTTCGTAAGGAGGTGTAGGCGGGACCATAGAACGAAGGATTGACCTGCGTTCGAGTCAGATGCAGAGCATGCTTGGTAGGTTTGGGGGCTTTGGCACTGACCAGTCACCATCATATACCAGCCCACTACGATCATGACCACAGCTACATAGCCGACGCTTTTGTTGGGATCCAGTAATTGGTAGAACTTGATCAAGAACCCTAACGAGTAAGGCATAATTCCGGTGCCAGAGACAATCATCGACCCTGCCAAACCCGAAGGTACCAAGTCAGCATATATCTCATAGAAAATGGGTATGGTACATTGTCTCGTGTCTCTGCTAAGCTAAGGAAAGATCCTTAATCTTTTCTTGTATTGTAAGTAGATAAAGATAATATTTCTTTCGCTTAGCGGAAAACACGCATCCACTTTGTACCGGGGAGACTTGCAGAAGTAGAGTCCGCGGTATTTGTTGAAGGTTACCAATATCAGTACGATAAGCTCGACGGCGTTGTACAATGCAAGTCCGATGAGGAAAGCAATGATTATTTTTAGGTCCAGTGAGTCGCCGGTGTACCCTACAATTCCCGGTCAGTCAATCTTCTGTAGCGCACATACAGCCGCATACCTCCAGTGACGCCTGCGCCGGCAGAGTCAAATGACCCTTGCGCAGGCTTACTAGCCAGAGAGTCCATAGACGATGTCGCAGTCGCCATGAGGCTACTCTGTAAGATGGACGAAGACATGCCTGGCGACCGAGGTCCGTCCAATTGTGGTGCTCAAGCACTTTGCATCATATCGTCTGCGAGGAGGTCTCCTTATTTTCAAAAAGGTTCTACAAGCCCCTTCACGGTACCTTCAGTCGTCGCGATCGAGGCGTGAACCGGGAAGATGTCTACCACGTGCGTCGTGGTTAGAAAGGTGGGGAAATCTCGAGCTTCAATATTTCGACCGGTGTTGTTGGCTAATAAAAGGACCGAAACCAGCACCTCGGAAAGGCTTGGTCGGGCTGCGACGTAGAATGACGTTTTACGCTCCACATGGCGTGCTCGGTAATCTGGGGTAGATCGACAGCATCTTCACGACCGCAAAACAATGTCTGTAGCCTGGGCTCTGGGGGCTACTATTATATCAAAACAGAAATGTCGTGCTAATGCGTATACACGCCTTGAACGACTCATAGATCAATAGGCACAACACCAACAACATTCCAGTCATTCATTGCATCGCGCAAGGGCGTCCCTGTTCGATAATAGCACCGAGCGAGCTCCGTCCGATGATAGGGAAACCGAGCCGGTCAAACATGCGAGCTTAACTTCGACTCTGTTGGGCCGCGTTGTGCGAAAGGCAGCAACAGACGTATCGGGCGCTATGTGATGCGAAGACATCTCAAACCACATTATTCCTTCCCTATGTTGTAATAAATGCTTAACCAACCGTTTCCCTAAAGCTCGGCGTCCATCGTCACACTCCCTGTATGCCAAAAAGTGACCGCCCTCTTCCTGGTAGAAGAGCTCCAGCGTCGATGCATTCTTTCCCATGGAAAATACCCAAGCTGCGTCCCATCCATCGCTTTTGTACATGGAGCACTATCTCTTGCAACACAATAACGACTACCAGCCTCAAAGCCACAACCAACATTGAGATCAACCAAGTCATTGTCCAACCATACCGCGATCTTCTGTCTCTTGCAGGCGTCGAGGCGTCAGACCCAGTGCTATTCATACAGCGACTGTTCAAGCATTGGTGCCTCGGTCTTCATGCGAACATGAGTTCGTTTAGGAATGACCTGACCGGCAAACGGACATGAAGCTTTGGTCGACCGTAGGCCTTGACGCCCTCCCATGCGGCAGTGCCATTAGCCCGGAGGCGCGACTGGGAACGGACGGTCATCAGAGACGTTTCCCATCTAACAAGCATGCGAGCCTTGACGTTAATTATGGGATTGAGTTACTCACGATTAATCTTCGGGTCAATTAGTGGATCGAGGAAACAGAGTGGTCCTCTATTTTCGTGGTAGTCTACAGGTCCGACATAGAGAAGGAGGATATGGCAGACATCGGATCGGAGTGCTCCTCCACAGGTCGTGCACGAAAGTTCGCCGACTGCTTCCGTGTGCAGGCACCTCATTAGTCTAGAAACAGTTCGGAGTCGACGCACTACACGCATCTCGCGGGTACGATGTGAAGTGTGTTGGCGATCAACATCAAAACACGACAATAGCGGAGCAGAGTTGCCCATCAACGGCGAAGCTCTTCCTCCAAAAGCCACAAAAGCAGTCGTAAAACAATTTCGACACTGGAAAAGAAAAGAAACTCAAAGATCCGCAGATTGACTTACGCCCATGACGATACGATATCAACCATATGTGCAAAGCTCCTGTAGAGGACAATCTGTGCGGGGGGGAAACAGCGAAGCAGGTTAGGGAGAATGAGCCTTGTATGCAGTTGAAGAATGGGTGACATTGTGGTGAAAGGGCGTGGAAAATGCGTAGGGGACGGAAGCGAAAGGATAGCAGGCCTGTGGATTGGGGTCATTCGATCTCTTAACGTATGCGAAAGCTACGTATCATCCGCAGGGGCGCATTTTGAATATGACCGCCCCAATTGCGAAACAGATGGGAGATGCTCCTGGATGAAGGCAAGGGGAAATATAATGGCCGGCGTTGCGAAACGCCCCTAGTTTGTACAAGCTTTAATTGTTCACAGGATATCTTATAATTGCTACGCTTTCAATGCATATACAGAAAGAACCAGAAAAAGGTCACTTTCCGCCTCTATGCCGCATGGTGACCGGGTGCATGTCCCTGGCCCTGCACACCGCTCATAGGAATGTATCCGTTACCTTTGGCCTCCTCGAATTTTATCTTTGACACTAGCTTGCTCGTCATGCGCTCGCACCACGGATCCACGTACTGTGTCCACGCATACGCCGACCCGTACAAGATGGGAAGCCAAAACAACAGACTCAAAAACAGCGTCTGGTGGCCTGGATACTTCATCCGTGTCATCTGCGGTTGGCCCTTGTCGTCTTTGTGGTCCGCTGGCACGCTGATGCCATATAACATCCAGGAAAGAATCGTCTTCATAAGCGTTCCGTGCAAAAGGTAAACGGCAAATCCCATTTTCCCGAAGAAGAGCAGAATTTTGCTGGACAGGATCTCTTGCAGGCGAGGGCTGAGCACGATGCCGACGGCGGCGAGCATGAGGCCGATGCCGCTCGAGAAGCGGGGGAGGTCCGGGTTCTCGGGAAGGGTAGGCTTGAGGAAGTGGGTGAGATTGTCGGACCAGGGCATCCACTCGGCGTGTGACTCGGGGTACGAGGCAACATAGAAGCCTGAGAAGACGAGGACGGCGGAGAGCACGGGCGCGAGGATGCGTTGCTGGTCGATGAAGCGGGCGGTTGCGGGTTCGAACTGGAGCTCCGCGATGAGCACGCCCCAGAAACCTAGCATACCGAAGACGGCTGGGCAAGTTAGTTGCGATCCCAATGCGCAGAGAGCGTACTTACGGTCGTTGCTCATCCAATAGTAGGCGAACATGCCGAAGCTCGCCAGCATGCGGTAGCGGGGTCTGATGTAGGCTACTGCGAGGAGAAAGGCATAGATCTTGATGCTCTCCTGCAGGAGCGGCAGCATGGTCCACTGGTTGCGGTCGTACTCATTGTTCCGCTTGATCCAGATGGCGCCAATCTCGTAGACGAGATTTCCCACGGCGGAGAATAGGTTGCCCTTGCGCGGCGGGATCTGGCTGATCCAACCCGAATCGGCGTGTTCTGCCACGGAATACAGGCCCAGCTCGCATATCACAAAGGAAATTACGGTAGCGGCGGCGGAGGGCAGAAACAGGCGGGGGAAACGGCGGAGGGCCGACTTGGATATGGAGATGAAGGCGGCCTCGTGCTTGTCCTGGCGGTAGAGCTTGAGGGGCTTGAGGGCGCAGACGTAGCCGGTGACCAGGGCGAAGATGGAGACGCCGAGACGGCCCTGTATGAGGACGCGCAGGAAGGGCAGCTGCAGCAGCTGGGGGGTGGTGTTTTCGGCGGTTGTGGCCCAGAAGAGGGTGCCGGCCCAGGCGCGCGAGATGTGGGTGAGGACGACGAGGGCGGATGCGAAGCCTCGCAGGCCCTGGGTGGGTTAGCGAAGGTTGTACGACGACAGCACAAGACTTACATCCACCCACTTCACGTTACCCTCCTTTCCAATTGCCATTTGAGGTCGGTCGGGATCATAGGAGAGGGACGAAATATGAAGGGGGAGCAGCTGTGGAAGATTAGCATGGGCTGCCGCATTGCCGTCGTGCCATTGCGATGCGCCGCAAGGCTCGCAACCTCGCAGAAGGCGGTTAGGAGGTTACGTACGCCTGTGCACGGGGATGCCGGGGCGGTCACGCACGGCAGCGAGGAACAGCGAAGGACAGGAGCTCGACGATGTTCGCACTGGTGAAAGGAGTGGACGGCCGAAGGTGCGGGCGCCTTTCAGCCTGCTGCTCGGGTTCGCGGAGAGGCGGAGGACCAGAAACAAACACAAGAACAACAAATGCAAAGCAACACGCTCACAGAGGACGACGAGCAGTGCAATGGTACTCGGATATAGCGGCATGATATAATTCGCGACATGCACACGATTCCCCACCCCGGCGTGCGCTGCGACAGGGGCTCCGGGCGCGCCAAGACTGCCAAGGCGCGGCTGCAGCCCCAGCCCTACACCATGGACGACCATGGACCAGTGCAGCGACGCCGGCGCCGGACTGGATTGGCCCTCGCACTCCCCGAGGAGCGACGCCTTTGCTGCTTCGAGCGCAGCGGGCGAGGCATGGCGCGGCCGTGGCACGCATGCGGTGGGTCCATTCGACGCACCGCGCCTTGGCTCTCATCAGAAGGGGCGGAACCTTGGAATTCGCTGTCGTAGACGAGAGAGCGTCGCTTGCAGGCACCCTCGCAGCGAGTACCAGTGGTGCCAAAGTATTTAAAGGCTAGAGCGCGCGGAACATGCAGGGTGCATACGACCATCCATGCAAAAGGCCAGCTGTCGAATGTGCACGCTGAACCTCGCCGGCTACCGTGTTGCCGTTGTAAGCCTGGCGCGCTGGGCCGAGTTCGCTCTGCGTGCCGAAAGGTGTAGCCTCTTCGGGTGCCTGTAGATCGCCTTACGGACACGCAGATTGGATGGTCGACCGGAAGGTGCTGAAACAAGGTCGACTTGCGCGTACATGCCGCAGAAGGTGTTCGCTGCATTCCATTCGCGCTTCCATGTAGACACCCGGATTCGTGTACGGGAAGGATCTACAACAGCATTTACCAACGTTGTCGCCACGTTCCAGACTAATCAAACCCCATGAGTAACGCTTCCTGCATTTGACCTCTACTCGTGACCCATGCCATTCGTAAAGATAGATACCCCACCGACATGGCCCACGCTATCGTCTGCCCTGGCACCCGGGGCCCGAGTAAAAAGCTTCGGAACCTTATCTACCTGGCCGACCGCACTTGGTATGGCTCTCGAACACTGTCAATTGCTTGTACAAAAGGAGGATTTGTGAGCGAGCAAGCGTTGTGAGAACGCCTGTCGTTCGCCCCATCAGCACGAAAATCTTACATGGGAAGGGGTGTCTGTCAGCTGCAGGCTGCGAGCTGATTTATGTACACGCTCCATGAGTGCTCACAGCACAACATCCATCCCGGCATGTCCTTTGCCACTCGCAAATAACCAGATAGCTAGTCCGATGCATTCCCGTCCGCTACTGAGCCCAGCATTCCCCTTGTCCGGTCAAGAACATGGAGGAGAGGGGAAGGACAAGGGGCAAAAATAGAATAATCTTGCCAGAACACACAAGAGCGCGACTTGACCCACAGCTGATTCGAACAGCTAACCTTCAGGATATCCTACTGTCTTCTGGAATCTGACGCGCTACCATTGCGCCAGTGGGCCGTTGCCGATGTGAAACATTAGAAAAATTTTACCTGTCGAATGTTATATACACTAGCATTGTGTACTACCAAAAGTCCATGATCGCTCGTCGAGATTTTCTCTGATGTGTGATTTTTGATTCTGTATGGTACGTGTGCGGGGCTCGGTTGGTTGCTTCGGAGCTAGGAATCGGGATTCTAGATCATCTGGGCGTGGAGGGCTCATTTGCTTGACGCAATTACATCAACGGTAATACCGCTCACGTACTCAACATCTTGTGTGCACGAATCGTGACACAGAATGATAAGGTTGAGCTTCGTTGCAGCAAACTACATGCACCTTTCCATCTCGCCCACCATCTCCCCTTCTAAAAGGGAATCCCGTTGGTGACTAATTGGAACTGGTCGTACACACCTGTACTCTTGCTGCTCGCGCTCCGCCGAATCAGCTCACGCATATAGTCCGCCGCCTCCCTCTCGCTCTTCTCCAGCACGAACCGCTCTCTAAAATGCTGGATCGTCTGCGGAACAAAGCACGGTAATCCGCTGTCCAGCATTACCTCTACAATCTGGCACAAGTGGTCGCAGTGCTGCCGGCTCGCCAAGAAAGCCTTGACGGTGAGCTCCTCAAACCAACGGAACGGTTGCGACGTCTGGCTGCCGCCCATGACGGCAATCATCTCGCCAGTCAGTTTGAATGGCGCGCGCTCGAACTTGACGCCGCCCGGCGCGATGTCGAAGCAGAAGCCGAAGTCAATGTGAATGATGTGACCGGCGTCATCGATCATAATGTTGCCGTTGTGGCGATCTTTGAATTGCAGCAAGAAGGAGATGACGCTGTAGGCAGCCATGCTCTTTACGAAGTTACTACGCGCTTCCTGGAAGCGGATCGAGTCTTCGTTGCCATATTTGCTAACAAAATAATCGTCAAGACGGTTGACAGCTTCGCGACCGAGCATATCGCGCGAGATGGAGTTGGGAAGCACATCGATCACTCCGCAGCCGGGCGCTGTGGCAGTGACACGGTAGGGGAAGACCCAGACGTCGAGGCCGACATTGTTGAAGATACCACGGAAAGCGGCAATCATCTGGAGCGCTAGAACGTCTTGTCTGCAGTCGTCGCCGACCTTGAAGATAGCCGACTGCCAGACCTCGTAGGAGTTTTGTTTGGAGGAGGACGCGCTGCTGACGAGCCCGTCGCCGTTTTCTCCTTCCAATGCATCTACCTTAGTCTTGCGAATGCGGAAGGTGGCCATGAAAGGTGTCTTTGCATGGGATTGCAAAGGCTTTCCGGATTTACGGTCGATGCCGACCACAACACCGTCTGGATTACTGGGCAAATAGACACCAACATCGACCTGTATCTTGCGTAGCTCTTCCTCGATCATCTGTTTCTTCTCCTCCTTGGGTCTGTCCAAGATTGTCCGTAGCGTGCCCGAAATTCCGGTGACTTTGCCAAAGAATTCAAACTCTCTCTCATAAAAAATTCGGTCAGCATCGCTGAAGCTGGACTCCAGACTAGCCATGACTTTGTCGAGGGTGGGTTTCACAGGATCAGGCTAAGTTATGTCAACTAAAGCATATCGATTGTAGAGCGTGAACATACTATTAGAGACTGTTCGTCTTTGTACGCATTTGCCTTGATGTTCCAGATGATCTGATGAGCGAACAGTTGGGAAAACTTTGCCGTTTCAACGATATATCTTTCAACGTAGCCAAGAACATCGTAACGGAGTGTCTGTACGATCTGTGAGACGTAGAAAAACGTAACATCGACGGAGTGGCTTTCAAGTGCCCTCATGGCATATTGAATGATGAAAGGATGATTGCCGTATGCCGGAAGAAAGTACGTGACTGCACTGATGGGGTTTAGGGATGCCCAATACATGAGGTACTGGAGGTTGTCAGCCTGGCGAAAGCACAGCTTTGTTACAATTACATACTTTGAGTTGGAAGGTGACATCGTTCGGCAATTGTCTGCCTAGGAGAATTTCGATGGCATCAGGCTCGCCGAGGACTCGCTCAGGGAAGTTGAGAACTTGGAAACGCACTTCGGCGACCAAGCGCTGGTTTTGGAAGCGTTTGGGAAGATGTACAGCAATAGAAGGATTCTCATCCCACGCTGTTCTGAGATGCGACGCGACGGCAGCCTGGCAAACGGTGAGACGCAGTCGTGTTAGTGTTTATAAAAATGCTTACCTCTGCGAGTGTTTTGCTGTGCTGACCGGAAGTGAAGTGGTGCTTCTTCCCGTAATCGAGTGGGAATAGCCACACCATCAGTCGAGTCTGCTCATTGGAAATCAAAAGCGACAGCAAATCTTGCTTGGCTTTCAACGACTTCAGAGAACCTTCGGTGATGGCGTCAGTTCTTCCGACAACTTCTAGGTAAGCTTGAACATCAGCCAGAACGTGTGTCTCAGCCTTGATCTGAAGGCGATTGCCGCCGAATGACCACCTAACTCGTTAGTCGATACTATTGGGAGGTATTGCGAGGTCTTACTCTGGTGCTTTCGCGAACCATGCTAATCCTGCGCTCAAAATGCGGTCCTTCAAACGCCATTTTATGGCAGAAGAGAGCGTTGTGCAATGGCGTACAATGCGTAGACCAAGGAGAACTACATGAAAGTATGCTTCCCTCGCAAGCGGTTGGGCACATCCGGAGCTGAGTGCATCGAGTGTGACGTGCATCAGTCTGCTGTAAACCAGTTCTATGTCTGGATTGCCGAGACGTGCAGCATTGAAATGGCTGGAAAGGAATTGCAGAAGCCGATAGTGAGGAGCAATGACGTTGTATATATGTTGTTGTCGTTTCGCGAGATATGGCTTATCTGTTGGAGCAAACTCCTGTTTACCGTAGAAGGGGTCGGGATGCCTTGAACATATCAGCACAGTATTGCAACGAAGACATAGGATGCACCTACTTTAAAGACCGACTGAAGATGCCCTTTTGCTTATTGACAGTGTTTTCCCAACATTCTGCAATAGAAATGAGGATGCGGGACTCCATTCGCGGGTTTTCCTTGATTACACTCATCCAGAGAGATATACCAAGCTTTATCGACTGCTTGGTGAAGACAGCGAAGGGAATGCCAACTAGATGATGTACAACAGGAGCTTGGTCTGACTTAACGCGACAAAGAAGTGCAGAGGCTCGTCGAAGAATATCTCGAAGTTCAGCGATGGTGACGTGATTGTTATTCAAAGTCCGACTTTCGAGGTCCACGAGTAAGCTGGTAGCATCGTCGATCCTACGGCGAAAGGCAGATTGCGTGTGGCTAGCTCCATCGAGTCGTAGCCATTCATCATCTTGCTCGTTTTGACCGTCAACGAATTTATACTCCTGCCGTGTGGTGTATTGCGCGATGAAGTCCGATGCAGTGTTGATGTTTATGCCTTGTCGCTCGATAGCACCTAAACGTTGGTCGGTAGTGGGTATCACCGAGCCCATCTCTAACGCAAAAGAGCGACCAAGTGAGATGTGACCATAAGCGCCTTCGTCGTCATACTCAGACAGGTAGGTCTGAAGTAGTCCTTTAATGTCAAGTGGAGCAATGTCCAGAACTCCTTTGACCCATGCCACAGCCCGCTTGTGAAGGCTGTTCAAAGTCTCTCTTCGAAAATTGTAATCATCTGAAAGCTCTACAACAATGTTGGATTTCTCCGACGCAAAAGTGGACGTCCACCCGTACTCGTCGGTTTCGCCTTCCAAGCAGCTGGACCACATGATCGACAGGAGCTCTAACAGAGCGAACAAGGCGCTCTTCTGACAAAGTGTAGAAGGCACATCTCGGATGATGATGTCTGCGCATGTGAAAGCCGCCTGTTGGACTCTTGCAATTCGATGACAGCACCCAGAGAATATGGTCGAAAGTTGCTGTGCCAAGTATGGCGTCGAGAACGAGTGTAGCTTTCCGGAGAGCGTTTTTGCCACATACGTTCGGGTGGCAGCGGCCGCGATAGCGAGCATACAGTTGCCTACGCCTCCGCTACGCAGTTTCGGGTCGAGAAAATAAGCGAGCGCTTTTGTGCAGTCACCGGCACTGGCTCGTAGATCTTCAACCAGGTAGGCGGTGTTCAAGAAAACAGCTTCCGAATAACTCAAAGATCTGACATCTGCCTCACATGTCGGCAACAACTTCGCGAGACGTTTCTTCTGCTCGACGACATGTTCAGGAGATTTGCCTCGTCGCAAGACAGTGTTCAATTCAATGTCACTTTCAGCGAGGGAGGCTCGTTCCTCCGTAATCAAGGATCGACTGAAACGTGCTAGCGTTCTGAGCTCATCCACATGTTCTTGAGAGAGACTGGACGTGAGGTCGAAGCCATGTATCACGATGTTGAACCAAGCATCTCTCTGTAGACTGAGAACATGGTCATCCAATTGTGATGGGTCTGTACGCCCAGCATTTCGCGAGAGCAACAGAGCCAAAGGCGGAAGTAGTTGAGCAATCTCCTGCGCAGCCAGCTCTGTATCTCGGACCTGACGATGATGTGTTTCCGGCGAATCACCTTTGCTTACGATAGTGTCGAGCAGGTGCGTCAGATACAGCTCGAAAGCATCCGACTGGGCGTCAATTTCTCGAGAAATGTGGAGTCGTGCATGTTTGATCTAGACAAGAGTCAGCAACGTCATCCTCAGGATTGAGTATAGATATTTACCGCTTCGAGAGTAAACCGATCATCTTTGAGTAAAGCATCATGGCATAGTTTGGAGTAGAGCTTAAGAAGTGACCGAAACTCTCCAGGACCGCTATGCGTTCCAAGAAGCGCAGAATTAGTGACAATTTTGGCATCCACTACCTTACTGATCCATCCCACTTTTTGCACAAGCATGGATAGAGCTAGTGCAGTAATTTTCTCATCCTTGCTTTTCCTTGCTACGGAAACGATCGTTTCTATCACGGTCATATGTACGTGATTCGGCGCCTCGGTGTCACTCGGTGTCAACGAAATGGCGCTACCCTCGTGCTGATGGCTGTACAGACCAGTAGCCCGCGAGGTCTTCCCGTTGCCATTCGTCAAAGTCGTGGCGGTGGAATTACGGTCACCAACTGGGCCGGTACTAATTACGTTCCCAAGGCTATACAAGGTTGTGATGACTGCGTCTTGTGGGAGGAGACTAAGAACGGAGGCAAGTGACTCAGCAGCTATCGATGCAGTCTCCTGATCGAAACCGCCCTGAACGATGACACGCGGCAGAGAGCGTCCGAGCCCCGCTGCAATGACTGGCGAGAGCTTGGCCAGCACAGCCATGGACTTGAGTACTGTCGACGCCAGATTAAGATCTGCGGCTTGGACGGGGTCGTTCAAAGCGTTATCGAGCCATGACAGAAGTAGGTCAGAGTCGGCAATGTCCTCATCGTAGACTGCACAGCACACGCACGTCGTGATAACCTTCGCCTTAACCCCAGAAGCTTGACGTTGTTGCCAGGCAGATCCGACACGTTGTAGATAGTCAAGATCGTTGTCCAAACGATCCATTTCCTCGACAGCAATGCGCGTTAGCCCTTCAGCAAGAGCATCAGTTGTAGCATCCCGCAATACGTTGCTACTGTTATGCGGAATTTGAAGCCCATCTAATACATCGGTGTCAGGCTCGTGATGTGGCACCTGGATGAGTCCTGAAGCACATGCGACAATGACCTTGAGGAAAGAATCATGGAGAACCATGGCGCCCAACGGTCGTCCAATGGCGGCATAGTGCTTTGCGAACTGTTTCCAGTATCTCAGACCGTGCTGATGAGAACGCGCATTTCTCACGATTGACAGAGCCGTCTCAAAAGCGATCAAAAACTTTTCGGACAGTGCCATTTGGACATTTTCAACGAGTTGCAGCTGGTCATATGCGCTCCAGAAAGTGGAATATTTGGCAGCTGCGTTCAAGAACCCCAAGAGTGACATGCTCTGCGTCATGACACGTCCGAGCTCGCCGTCGGCTGCAAAGTCGACCTGATCATCGTGGTCGAATTGTTCTGATGATGACTGAACAGCAGCGGCTGACCAACCCTTCACATACCGGGTGACGATGTCGAGAACGCGTGGTCGCAAACGGTCGTGCCGGGCCCCCAATGCGAGGATGGCGGAGGTGAGATGCTGGGTAAGGACCTCGTAGGGTGAAGGGTCAATGTCGCGTAACTGGGGAGAAGGTGCCAATCTTTGGGCGAAGGACTCGGGCAAGTATGGTGCCAGGCGCTTCAGTAGCTCGTCTGCGATGGCGGGGGATTCTACGAAGGGGGCGGCTCTGCAGAGGGCGAGTAAGGCCTCGAGCTCTGGGAGTTTCTGCCATGTATCAGAGCTGTTGATGCTGCCTGTCAAGCACTGCCAGCCTACACACCATGTAAACGTTGGTCACATTCGCGGTGGGCGCACCGTTCTCCCCAGAGGTGCCATTCTGCGCCAGCGAGCCGCTCGGACATCGTTTGTACAGCCTCTGGAGGTCGTGGTCGGGGCCTGCGGAGGGCGGGGCCTGCGCAGACAGCTTTGCGAGCTTCTCGAGGGCATTCCTACGGATAGGGCGCCTGGTTGGCGACGTCAGCTACATAGCGCACAAATTGAGCCTGAAAGAACGCACGTCATATTGTCGAGGGCTGGAGCTGATGGCACAAGCAGTGCTCAGGTCTGCTTGCGCTGTGCACGATATGCGAGGAGCGCGATGTTGCGCTTGGTCGGGTGACGAAATGTTGTAGCTACAGCCGATGTTGCGGGACGTGTGGCGCAGGCCACCACCACTTGCAGTCGGCGATGAGCGAGTGCTGGAATCCGTCGCCGCAACGCACTCTGCTCAGCCGACGCGAAAGCTGGGGCTGTAGACGATCGACTTCTTGACTGGGTGCAGCGACATGCCACGCTAATGTGATACTCGCATGTGTGGAAGATGCTGTTGACATGTTCCTGCCATGGCATATGGTGCTCTATATCAGAGATACTGACTATGGTGCAATTGGACGAAAAGCCAGCGATTCATAGCATAGACCTGGGCACATCCCGCCAGTACGCAAAAGCAACGTATCTCTGTGTAGGCCTCATACACAGTAGAGCTGCGAACTCTCAAGCGCTGTGGCGCTCAAGACAGTATACCAGAGAGCGTGCCAAGAACAGCCCGCGCTTACCCAAACAAGAAAGCAAGCTCCAACGCGCAACTCGCAACTGCCTGCTAGACGACGGCGAACTCCATCCACACCAGCGCACCTTGACCGCCGCCTCTCCACCCTGCTGTGTCCTGTTCGAGACGCCCAGTTCACTCCCAAGTCCCGCACCCTATAGCCTCCTCTTGCGACAATCATGGTGAGTCCCGGCCGCTCTGCTGCTCCGCATTTCCTGCTAACAGTTCCGATAGACGTCCATAGGTACAGGTTACGACCTGTCCAACTCCGTCTTCTCGCCCGATGGCCGCAACTTCCAAGTATGGCCCCGGCTACTTCGTACATGCCCCTCATTTGCTCACAATTCCAGGTCGAGTACGCAGTCAAGGCGGTGGAGAACGGTGGAACAGCTATCGGCATACGATGCAAGGATGGCATAGTGCTGGCTCTAGAGAAGCTTGTCACGAGCAAGTTATTGAAGTCGGGTGCGAACAAGCGGATAGCCACAGTTGACCGGAATATGGGCATCGTAAGCAACAGCCACCCATTGGGGTAGCACACGATGACCTAACAGGACACACCAGGTTTCCTCAGGTCTTCTTCCCGACGGTCGCCACTTCGTCTCCAGGGCACGCGACGAGGCGTCTTCCTGGCGCAACCTCTACAAGGCTCCGATCCCCACATCCTCGCTCGCAGACCGCATGGGAAGCTACGTCCAAGCATACACTCTCTACTCTAGCGTGCGACCCTTTGGCGTGACCGCCATCATAGGAGGCTGGGACTCAGAAGCGGAGCTGCCCGTAGATGGCCAGGTCGGAGCAGGACCAGGTGTTGGCTCTGGAGGCAAGAAGGACGGTGCAAAGCACGGCGGCCCATACCTATACATGATTGAGCCGAGCGGACTCTACTGGGTGAGGTGGACATGAGAACACCATGGAATCATCCAGGCTAACAGACCCAGGGTTACTATGGCGCAGCTACGGGCAAAGGACGACAAATCGCGAAGTCCGAGCTCGAGAAGCTGAACCTCTCTGAAGGTGAGCTCACGCTCGAGGAAGGAGTGAAGGAGGCTGCGCGTATCATCTATATTGCGCATGATGACAACAAGGATAAGGAGTTTGAGCTGGAGATGACTTGGATAAGCTCTACAACAGGCCCGACCAAGGGCAGGCATGAGGATGTACCGAAGGAGCTGAGGGAAGAGGCCGAGCGACTGGCGAAGAAGGCATTGGAGGGTGATGATGAAGATGAGGAGGAAGAGAAGATGCAGGAATAGGCCAATCGGTCTGCGCCATACCTTCATGCCAGCGATGAATAGCCCTGAAGATGACGTTGTCACGTGATGACCGAGATATGAACACAAACAGCAACCAATAGATTGTGTGCATACGCAACGACCGACGTTTAATGACTGTGTGGATAGCATATACTCTGGAACGAAAGCACCAAGATGACGTCGTGCGTGATGGGCGGGTGTTTTTACCCCACTAGGCGTGTACCTTCCGAAACATACATTTTTGCTATCGTCTCGTACTACTTCACCAATATTTCTCCGCGCTTTCTACCTTTCCCACAATGCCTCCGACTTTATTGCTCATTCGCCACGCACAGGCTTTGCACAATGTGGCAAACGACTGGTCCTTCCATGATCCACCGCTATCTGGGCTCGGCGAACAGCAATGCAAAGAGCTGCAGGAAAGCCTCAAAAACAGCGATATTGGTCCTCGGGTCGAGCTGATCGTCGTCAGCTCAATGAGGCGGACCCTGCAGACTGCTAGCATAGGGTTGGAGTGGCTGATCAAGGAGAAGGCGATAAAGGTGCTACCGGACGCTGGTTGGCAAGGTAGGTTGATCATCACCAAGAGGCGAGCTTCACTATATACAAGTCCTGGGGTCTTCAGATGGCGGAATTATGGCTCATTCTCTGCATTCGTCCTTTTATAGTACACCTCTATGTGGCTTGACACGCTGATTAGCTCGTCAAATGCCTCCGAGCACATGGCGCCTCCTGTGTCGACAATACTAATGTCCTCAAGAGAATTGCGATAAGCCCTGCGATACAGGCTCGCCTATCAGCACCATGGCCAAAGAGTTTCCCGACTTCGATTTCTCGGAAGTCGACCCGCTATATCCTGACAAGACATCGAATCTCTCCTCGAACCCCTATGCGTTCACTCGCAAAGCCATACTTGCCCGCGGCCAAGTTTGTTTACAGTCACTCTATTCGAGGCCTGAGAAGGTCATCGCGGTGGTGTCCCACTCTGGCTTTTTACGCGCAGCTGTCTGTAATAGACGCTTCTTCAACGCGGACTGGCGGGTGTTTGATTACGATGAAGAGAGGATGCAGAAGAGCCGAGAAACGGGCGAGGGTTTAGATGGGCAAGGGCTGTATCTACTGAAAGAGTGGAAAGAGACGGAAGAAAAGGGCGGAGGTATGGGAAACAGCGACCTGGGAGTCTTTGGGCCCAGTAGTGCAGATTTTCCAGCAGAGGTAGAAGAGGAGGCAACAAAAGAAGTTCCGGCTTAAACCGCGGTGTGAGACTGCTAATCGCGAGAGGACCCTAAAGCACGCGGAAATTCACCAGATGTATCTGCACACGGCTCATCAGATCTGGGCTATAGACGCACACTTTACAAGCCCGAAGCTGACAGCGCTACTGACGTACAAACCCTTGCACCCTTTCATTTCGCTTTGTGCGCTGTCTATCACTTTGGCTCATCTCGCGCTATTTCCTCTTACACCCGGTTTATAGAAGCAAGCGGCACTCGTGAACAGCTCGAAGTCTCGTCAGAGATCTCCATCAACCCTAGGCCTAGACTACGGGCAAGTCCACGGGAGCTCGCTCGGCGACAGCGTTCCCAGATTAGTCTCCTGTTGAATCCTTTCCAGCGCCATGTACTAACTTGTTGTGGTAAAATTGGCTCGGGTGGCGTCGTCTAGCACCAACGCAGGGCCTATGGCTTCAGACGGCAATATGTACGATGAGGATCCCGAGAGCGGCTAACGGCATTGGGCTGGTATTCACGGCATGAACAGTTAAGCGTGGTCGCGAAATAGCCCCCATCGTTGATTGCATTTCGCCCTAGGAGGCTCAAGTGCCTACTTGAAGGTTTCCCCTCCTTGCGCCCGCGGATCTTGGCCTCCTTCCTATTCCCGTCCTGCTTTCCATCCTGCGGTCTGCCTTGCGCCTGTCTGGTGTTGCAGCTGTGCATACAGACATAGTGCAGATGGCCCCAATCTATTCATCGGCTGCCCTCCTCACGTTTCTGCACTTGATCATCGGTGCAGTCGGCGAATCGTGCTATTTTCCTGACGGCTCCACGGATTCCGGGCACTTCGCGTGCACCTCTGGAAGTACAAGTGTATGTTGCGCAGAGGGCTTCGAGTGTTTGAGTAACGGACTCTGCAACGACTATCGCTACGACAACTATGAGAGGGTGCTAAGAGGTGGCTGCACGGACAAAAGTTGGGGTGACGGATGCCCGCAGCATTGCACTTCTCTCTGGCCGCAGGGGGACGAGATAGTCTATCTCTGCAGCAACGGAAAGTACTGCTGCGGTAGGTCTGAGGATTGCTGTAATGACAACGATGCCCAATCTTTCGATTTTGGAAACCCCCAGATCATTGCCACAGCTGGCAAGACTGTTGCGCAAGCCACGAGTGTACCGGAAGCAGACAACGATCAGACAACGACATCGTCGCAGCCCACGCAAGTAACGGTACAAGATGTATCACAGGCAACGCAAAGCCAGCAGCAGGATGTCTCTTCTTCGGCAACGGAGGCGTCATCCACGGGGTCGTCAGACGAGCCAGAAGCAACAGACGGATCAGTCAGCACGAAGGCAGGTACTTCAGGCGACAGCACCGCAAAGGCGGCAGCTACACAAGCTTCACAATCAGATGCGACAGGAACAATAGCACGTACTGCGTCGCAATCCGACTCCGCAAACACTGCGTCTCCTGTCACAGGCTCTGGGTCGGACCCAGACGCTACAGACACAGCCAACAATTCCAACAACAACAACAACAATGGCAGCAATAATCATACCGTCGCAATAGCCGCTGGTGTAGGTGTTGGCGTTGGCGTCGTCGTCTTTCTCCTTTGCATCGCTGCTTGCTGGCACATACGACGCAAACGGCAACGGCCGGGCCTGCGCTCAAGGAACCTTTTCGAGATTGGAGAGTCATCGACGCCGGCTATGGAAGTTGCAGATGACAACAACAACAGTGGGGCACGGCTCGGCGAAAAGGGGAGGGGGAGCAATATATATGAGCTTGATGGTGGTGCGGGGGGAGCAGAGCTGCCGGCAGGGAATGAGGCGAAGGAGGTCCATGGGGAGAGTGCAGACAGTAAAAAGTGGCCGGATATGCCTAGGTAGATATCACATGATTCTCGGATTGTAATACATACATAATGCTTGGTTGCATCTTCGTGCCCTCTTGGTAGGACCTTAGCTTCGAATAGAGATGCACTACCTTCAAGGCCACGGCATTGTCCCAGAAGCAAATCTAGGAATGTGACATGGTCATGGATTGGTTATGTACTCATACCTTGTACCAGTGGCTCTGACTTAATTTGAGCAAGTGACACCTATTCCGGATAGAAGGCAAATCTACAGCCTATCTAGACCAAGCACACCGATAGAAACCTTGAGCCACTCCACTCTGCACCCAGACCAATTCACCCAATAAGTGTGGAGGTATTGGTCCATACCGTTCCTATTTCATCTGGATATTGGTCAGTAGCTAGACAACTGTCGAGATCACTGCCAACCATAGTAATAGGTGATCCTTTCTCTGACCATATCTACAAGGTTTGCGGAAAAGTTACGCATTTGCAGAGTACCTAGCGACACGTAACCTATAAAAATTATTCTCTTCAAGATGCGGTAACCGTCTCGACTTTGTGGCAATCCCCTTGGCTATACAAAGAGTTACTACCTGTTCCACACAACAGCTTCTAGTGGCCGCTGAGTTCATGACTGTTCAAGGGACGTGTTGCGTAGACCAGAGATATCACGCACACCCAACTACGCGGCCTGATTCATGGCATGTAAAAAATGAAATGTTGGAGTGCGGCGCGAAAAACGCAATACCTGAAAGCAACGACCAGTCAAGCTCTCCCCGATAGCACCCGTGTGGCCTTGCGTAAAGATTTTTGTCATCGAGCAATGCGAAGTTCTCCGGTGTTTCCTTTGAAAATTTGGAAAGTTAACACGGCTCTCGACGTCGATGGATTACTTGTCGCGCTCTCACAGCATTGAAAACGTCTATAACACGCTGTACGTGTAAGATAATCCATGTTTGCGATAGTCCCACATCTGGCGGAAGCTGTGATCTTGAGCCGAGCACATGCACCAAAGTCAGCCATCATCCGTCTGCTTAAACCGTTTGCAAGTCCCGCGTCGAATTGAGCTCCACCGCGAGGTTGCGAGAAAACAATGCCAAAAACTGCAAGGATCCAGACAATCATCGTAACATGTGTAAAAGATCTCCTCGGCGAACAATGTTATCGTTGAAACCTATACTACATACTTGAATCACGCCTCATTGTGAGGCTTCCAACAGTCCTTCACACGAACTTCCCAGCATGGAAATACACGTTCAATGCTAGAGATGTATGGGTATCCCACTTACAAAAGACTTATCCGCCCTCAACACTTTCACTTGCCTCGGGGCAAGTACAAGAGGTACTGAAATATCGCCAAACATGCACGGATGTTGTCCGTCCGTTTCAGAGTTACTGTGTGAAGGATTGTCGTCGGCGCATGGAAATTAGGCTGAGAACTCGGTGAAGACAACACGATAGACGCTTTCGTTCGATGCAGACATTACGCCTGCAATTGGTAAAAAGGCAAATCGTGCCCTTTAATCTCGTGGTCACACTATCCATACAGGAAGAATGTAACGTATACGCGGATGATAAGGCGATGAACGAGGGAATCTAGAACCTCAGCCTGCAGTTGGCCAGACTGGTGATTGCCAAGGTAGCAATGTGCTGGTGCGCCACAGATCCGTTCGAGGTGATGGTGAATAAGGCACAATAGAGGTTTTGGAAATTCGGATCGAAGGTTGGAGGTTGGAGGGTCGATCGTCAGGCCGCATCAGTTCCTAATCCATGTGCGGCAACGGTGGCAGCGTATGTGAATCGTACACCTGCTCGTCATCGTCCTCATCGTCCTCGCTGTCATCTCGCCTATCCAGATCCTCCGCGTCCTGCATTTCTTCGTCTTCGTCTGCAAAGTCGTCTTCCCCATTCATTCTCCCGCCGCCATTCTCCAAATATCTATTCGAGCCCTTTGGCCTCGTGCGGACCACCCCCTTATTCTCTTCCCAGCGTTCCATTCGCCGCATCACGCGACTGAGCATTTTAGCGCGGTGATAGCACTCTTCGCCATAATCGTTCTCCTCGCCACCGTAGTCGATGGGTACTAGACCCGCAAGAAGTGGAGGCTCTACCCTCTGGTTGCTAACATCTCCATCTTGCTGGTAAGAACCGTTTGCTTCCTCCTCTGAGTCGTACCCGTCCTTGATGCCTTTGCACCGTGTCCAAGCTCTTAAGAGTGGCGGTTGCGCGCGTCGCCGTTGAGCAGCAAGCTTGTACTCCTTACGAATACCGCGATCGAGGATGACGTCGACGCGTCGACGACGGTACTGCTCGACAGCGAGTTGGTGCTGGGTCAAGGGGCGGGTGCGTTTGTGCGTTGGATCCGACCCGTTGAGAGGCAGATAGAATCCGTGTGGTCCGGAGAAGGTAGGAGCATTAGTAGACGGTGACTGTCCGTCTTGAGAGTTTGTAGCGTCTAATTTGGACTTGAAGCCTCGCGTGGCAGACGCAGTTTTGCGAGACCAGTTACCGCGACCAGGCCCCTTCGGAGCGGGTGAAGAGGCAGGTGCATCTTCATTTAAGAGTGTGTTGATGCGCATATTTGGTGTAGCTTTCTTGCCGGTATTATACACGCTAATGGGAGGCGATGCCGATCGTGTGCGGTCTGTGTCTGAGCCGTAGTCGCGCTCTATGAGTGATCGTGCGAGCTTGCTTCCTCGTCCTCTTGCTGAGCCTGGCAGGTGTTAGCTAGGGTGTGACGTGAAGAGAGTGGGCTGCCCTACCATGTGAAGGCGATTGTCGATCTCGCCCAGGAGTAGATGCGCCATCATCTGCTACCACCGAGAAGACTGGATTCTGGTTGAATGCCTTCTTGTTGGTGCGCTTGGGGCCTGTAACTACGGGAGCCATGTCGCTTGCCAAGATAACGGTCCTCTCTTTTCGCTTTTGCTCGCCAAAGTCCTGCTCCTCGGGCGTGTCCACATTCTCCAGTGCCTCCTGCTCGGGTGTCAAGAACTCAAAAGCAGGACACTTGATGGGCAGGTTGTTGGTAACAGTCTCTTCAGGCGGGCCGTACTGCCCCGGCCCGAATGGGTTGTTCAGTGCATCCTCTTTGGAAAAGTCGCTCTCGAGGTACCACCACATGAGCCACAGAAAGGCGGTCGCTCGGCTGCGGCTACTAAGATTGGGTCGCATGACGAGATCGAAGAAGTCCCGCGGCGGGAAGAAGTGGACTTCAGAGATTTTGGGCGCGTACTGCGATAAGACGAAGATGAGGTTGACGGGGTTCGTTCGCGGAACGGGCTTGTCCATGATGTCTTCGATTGTGCTCGGCTGCTCCGTGTCTTCGGTGGCGCCCTTGAGTATTGACTTGAGTCGCGGCGCGTCCTGGAGTTGCTTGTATGCGTTCGGGTCCTGGTGGGCTTGTAACGAAGGAATCGAATGGTAGGTCCGCAGTTGGGCTCGCATTTCGGGGAAGACTGCAGGTCGATTAGACAAAAAGAGCTTGTGGCCACTGGCGCCGATGGGCTTACAATTCAGGGTGGTGTTCATCCTCCCCACGTTGACCAGCAGGCACACCATGGCCATGTTGACGGCGGCCGGCCGCTCTGTCAACAGCTTGTCCTTGAGTATCTTGCTGCACTTGCTGCTCTTGGCCATAGCGTCCAGGTAGATGTCGGCAAAGGTGAAGGCCTGCTCGCCGTCCATCTTGGAGAAGACCTTTTGTTCATCATCGAAGACGTATTTGAGGAAGTCGAACTGGATGTCCTTGCGCCAGAGCGGGATGCCGTCGTCCTTCTTCAGGTGCCGGATCTTATTGCCAGAGTAGACCGACGAGACACTACCGTTGGCGTTGCGCCGCATCGTCGTGGGGTTTGCTGTGTAGTATGGGCGCTGCGACTTGGGCACATCCTCCGAGTCGCCCTGGCTTTCGTCGGGACCAGGCGTGTTCGGCAGCGACGGGGGCGTAGGCTTTGAGTCCTCCATCGCAGGCGGGTCGGCGAGGATGTGTCGTAGGCTGTTTCGCGAGTCGGGCTCGTCGCGGACGTGTGCCGTTGATGAAGTCGCATCCATGCTGAGCTCCGTCGCCCTGGTGCAAGCAAGCAAGCAAGCACGCTCCCGGGTGCGCAAGCGTGCTGTGTGAGCTTTGGGCAGCTAAGAGAGCAGGCGCATATGCGTAGCCGCGGTGGAGGCGGCGGACTGGAGATTGAGTTGGCGACAGCAGGCAGCCTTTGCGCCCGTCGATGCAGTCAGTGCTGGAGCTCGGTGGAGCGTGAGCGCGTCCAAAATCCACTAACTTCTGGACGGGACCGTGCTGTGGCCCAGGGGTCCACACCTGTGCAGTTTGCACGTGCAATGTCGACCACCTGCAAAAAACATTCGAAGGCAAGATGTAAGTGTCCCCACAATGGGCTGGCTTCATATGAATTTACGTGCAGATGTGCTGTATTATAGCTCCTCGCAAAAGTTCAGGCACACGCATTTCTACGTCTGGGTTGTACAGAGCAACCTGGGTTACTCAAGGCCAGCACGCTCGCCAAAACAGTTGCGTTCACCACGTCAAGTCAAGCAGACAGGTCCATGTATAAGAGAACACTTGCATTTGGAGCAGAATACCAAGCTCCACAGGCTAGTCTACCAAGCCATGATTGTCCTACGCAATGCCTTTTGATGATTCCCTCCTCCCTGTCATGAGAGTCTTGACACAAATGCAAACCGATGCCTTAACCACCGCAAGCTGGCTCGTTCCACGCAGCCAAACGGCTGCCGAAAACTGGGGTATCTCCTTGCAAAACCTTCACTTCATGAAGGCTCATCATAAAGGATTAACCCACGTGAACGCCATCTATGTGCGATGAACCACTAAACTTTTCCGTCGTCCAAAAAGATCCACGCTGAGAGCTCTCCGGCTTTGAGAGAAACGACGAAAAAGACGCTGGCCGAGGGGTATGACAGGGAAAGGAATCGCTTTTAAGTTAAACAGAGATGAAAACAGGTCGCTAGCATCCATCGAAAGCCCGAAAATGGAAGTCTATCTGAGGGCCCCAAGCAGCATGAAGACCAGGGAGGTCGACACCATAAAATGTTCGTAATCCATTCCGTAGAGGCAAGCGCCTCGGTCGTCTAAAGATCAAGCTCCAGCGGAGATCGACCGCGCGTATCCTGGGTATGCAGAGCTCGAAAAGACGCGTGTTTGCAAAGAAACAAGTCTATATGCTGGTTGGGGTATGAGTTTCCGGAACTTCCGAAGGTGGCCGGATGATTCGCCGAGATAATGAAACAGTCGCAGAATAGGAAATCGTTGGAGGCATTCAGCATGATACGTCATGCAAAAGTGCCTCGGCCGCAATGTGCGGCGGAAGGCCTGGATATGGTCGTTCGTGGACATCGGATCCAAGGCCTCGCACGTCAAGAGACGGAGAGGCGATTACCACCAAGAGTTGCCTCCAGGGCCAGACGGGTTGCCGTAACTACCTCCATAGCTGCCGCCGCCGCCGCCGCCGAAGCCTCCGGCAGGAGGGCCGTAGTTGCTGGGAGGTGCGTAACCGCCAGCGCCGCCGCCGCCGCCGCTGAAGCCTCCCTGTGGTGCGCCACCCCAACCTCCTCCGCCGAAGCTAGAGTTGCCTCCGCCACCTGCATAGCGACGGACATCGCGAGTGGCAGTGGAGCCGCGGCCGCGACCGCCGCCTCGACCTCCACGTCCACCGCCTCCTCCGTAGGAGCCCTCACGAGCGATGCTCTCCAGGAAAGTGGGCACCTCCTGGTTAGCCTCCTTCAAGAGCTCGATGAGGTCACGAACAACACCGCGGTTGCCGCGGTTGAAGAAAGCAGTAGAAATACCAGTGTTGCCAGCACGGCCAGTACGACCAATACGGTGAACGTAGTCGTCAATGTCGGTTGGGAGATCGTAGTTGACCACGTGAGTGACGTTAGGAATATCTTTTTTTTTTAGTCAGTAAATGCCGCTGGATGTAGTATGGAAAGTAAAAGAAGAGTATGGGGGGAAACAAAGAAGAGAAAAAAGGATGGGGCGAAAGGGTCGAAGGGGCAGATGGGCAAGAAGGTGTATCCAGGGAATCCATAGTTCGGGAATTGGAAAGGTTGATCCGGTAGTAATGAGCTTGAGCAATCCGAGGAAGTCATGTTCCAGTAATAACGCAAGTCAATCCAGGAGTGGTGAAGATGAGGTACTCAAGCCCCACAGGCGGAGAGGCGCGTTGTGAGGGTCTGCAGCGTAGCTACACGCATCTCTTGCGACGCGGTAATCCAGAAGTGGTGTTCGTCCAGGGGTGTTGGGGAGGAGGATTGGGGAAGCATCGCCAGGGGAACAAACCATGATCCATGATGCTGTGAAGTGCCTGACTTCATAGGTGTGGAAGGACTGCAAAACAGGAGAGAAGAAGTGGGAGAGGAGGAAAAGAAGTACCAAACAAAAAGGAAAATGCAAGCGCAAAAAGTAAACATGATAACGTACCTAGACCTCGAGCAGCAACAGCCGTAGCGACAAGGATGGGGCAACGTCCAGTACGGAACATCTCCAGAGCCTTCTCACGCTCGCGCTGAGTTCGATCTCCGTGGATGGAAGTTGCAGGGAAACCCTGGTTGATAAGGAAATCGGAAAGCGAATCGGCCATGCGCTTCGTCTCGACGAAGATAAGCGTCAGACCAGCGCCGTGAGTGTGGAGGATGTCGAGAAGGACGGAACGCTTGTCCTGGTCCTCGACGTATTCAACCTTCTGAGTAATGTTCTCCGAAGTCGAACCAACACGACCAACGGAAAGGAAGATGTACTCCTTCAAGAAGTCACGAGCAAGCATCTGGATGTCTCGCGGGAATGTAGCGGAAAACATAAGAGTCTGGCGCGCAGCGGTAGGGGGCATGTCTTCACCCTCGACGATGCGGCGAATCTGGGGCTCGAAACCCATGTCCAGCATACGGTCGGCCTCGTCAAGGACAAGGTACTTAATGTTCTGAAGAGAGATACGACCTCGCTCGATCAGATCGACCAAGCGACCGGGAGTGGCAACGAGCAAGTCACAGCCGCGCTCGATTTGGCGAAGCTGAGAACCAATGTCGGCACCACCGTAGACAACGCAAGGGCGAACCCAAGAGCGGTATGCGAACTTGCGGGCCTCATCGTAGATCTGGGATACCAACTCGCGAGTTGGAGCCAAAATCAGGGACGTGGGGTATGCCTTACGTTGACGTCCGTAACCGTAGCCACCGGATTGAGCAGCGGGGGCGGTGCTGGGACCAGTTTGGAAAGCTTGGGAAAGGATGGGAAACAGGAAACCTCCGGTCTTTCCGGAACCAGTCTGGGCACAAGCCATCAAGTCACGGCCGCCCATGACAATGGGGATCGAATACTTCTGAACAGGAGTGGGGACCTTGTAGCCAGCAAGCTCGATATTGCCGATGAGGTGGTCGTCGAGCGGGGGGTTCGTGAATGTGGTGACGGGTTCAGGGACGCCCTGACCGGAAGCTTCGACTGGGATGTCATCGTACTTCTCGAAGTTGATACCAGTCTGTTGCTTCGACGGGTCGTTAGGTACACCGAACAGCTCACGCTCAACACGCGGGTTGGCAGGACCGGGGACGTGCTTGCCATCCCTCCACTGTCCGTCGCCAGACCCACGGGCATTGCCGCCGCCACCGGAACCGCCTGCACCTGGTTTGCCGTAAGCATTTGGGTCGAATTTGCCCGGGCCGGCGCCATTCCAGCCGCCGTTGCCGCCACGGGTGGGAGGAGCGTCGCTACCTCGAGGGGTGAAGCTCTGAGCGTTTGCATTCGCCCAGTTGCCGCCACCGTTCATACGCTGCTGAGGAGGAGGGCCTCCATATCCACCGCCGCTACGTTGTGTCAGCAAAGCCTCGTCGTCTATAGATGGGAAAAGAGGTACTCACTTAGGTCCCCAAGCGCTGCCGTTCATGGGGCCGGGGCCGCCACCGTTCATCATGGGGGGGCCGTCCATCGCTGGAGGCGGACCGGACTGCTGCGCGCGACGCATGTGAGGAGGTATATAGGCAGAGCGCTCCGGCTGGAAACCGCCAGGAGCGTGCTGCGAGTCGTGCATGGAGAGACGACCCATGTCGAGCTGATCAGCCATGATGGGTGAGGGGTGATTGACTGTGGGCTGAGGTAAGAGTTGCAGGATAAGTAGGTCGAGGTATGGTCGAGGACGATGTCTCCGGTACTCGTGTGGGGAGTCGCAGAGAAATACGGAAAGGATTCGTAGAAGGCAAGAGTCGTCGAAAGACAGCCAGAAACGCGCCTGAAACTCTTCGTGACAGGAAAGGGAGCGCCTCTTTCCTGTGAAGCAAGTGAAGAAATGAGAGCGAAGACCAAAAGAGTGGACTTCACCGGAGTTGTGTGGTGAGTTTGTTTGTGCACACGAGGGGGTTTGTGTGAGAAAGTTTTGGAGAGGAGAGGCAGGGCAGGGTCGGGCAGACTGAAGGTTTTCGTTCGCCACGGGCGCTAGGGGAAGGCCGCTAATCCTTGTTCGGTTTCGGCTTCGTTTTTCTCACCCAAGCGGTGAGAAGCCGGGACGGGATTTGCGGCCAAAAATCTTCGCGTGCCATGTCACTGGCCGTCATCCGCACTGCCGCAGGCCACGGCGCACACTGCGTCACAAATCAATTTTCGCCATGTTGCGCGCGCCCTTAGCGCGGCTGCAATCTGGGTGTCTGGGCGCACGGGATAGATCTGCGTTCCCGCAGCCTGGGGAAGGGACGGCTTTGTGAACGTGCTCGAACATTCCTACAACAGATGCTACGTCGCAATATCTACGCCTACGCCATGCTTTTCTGCTTGTATCCTGACGGCCTGCCTCTAGCACTACGAAGAAAAAGCGCACACACTGCAACGATAGCACCTACGAAAAAAAGCTTCTGTCCGAGCGATAGACCGTCGTCAACCTCGCCGTTGATCTGTGCTGGAACCGGGACGTACTCATCCTGTAGCTTGATGGCTGGCTCTGCGACATCAGCTGCGTCTGCCAATGTCTGCTGGGAAGTGATGTCGAGATTGTCGCCACTAATAGCAGGTTCCGCTTCGCCATATGTATCTTGATAAAGGGAAGTATCAGCGCCTCTACGTCTGGTCCGCAGCTATCTTGAGGGTCTATAGCTCATCTTTATCGTTCTCGAGTTGAATACCTTCAGGGGGGACCTCCAATTCGCCGCTCTTGGCGATCTTGACCGTCTTTGAAGGCTTGTCGCCTGCGCCCTTGGGCACGTTCTCGATAGCGTCGACGATATCGTAGCCCTCTAGGACTTCGCCGAAGACGACGTGGCGGCCGTCGAGCCACGAGGTGATAACGGTGGTGATGAAGAACTGGGAGCCATTCGTGTCTGGCCGTAAATTAGCAGGTGGCAGTGCCGTGGACCTCAAGGCAGCATACCCTTTCCAGAGTTGGCCATGCCTGTACATATTAGCGAAGAACCATTGAAGAAGCCAACAATGCGGTGTAACTCACTAAGAAGACCTTTCTTGGAGTGCTTGAGCTTGAAGTTCTCGTCGGGGAACTTCTGGCCGAAGATGGACTTGCCGCCAGTGCCATCGCCATTCGTAAAGTCACCGCCCTGGATCATGAAGGACTTGATCACACGGTGGAAGGTGGATCCCTCGTAGCCGAAGCCCTTCTCACCAGTAGCGAGCGCGCTGTGGACATGTGAGCGTGGAAACAAGCATTGAATGGGGTGCATCGCACCGGAAGTTCTCTGCGGTCTGTCTAGCTGTCAGCTGCGCGCTCAGCGGAAGAGGGGTTCACGTACCTTGGGGACGGTCTTGCCGTAGAGACCTATTACAATACGTCCAAGCTTATCGTCGCCATGCTCAATGTCGAAGTAGACCTTATGAGTGATCTTGGGACCTGTATAGATCTGTCAGTGCCATGGACTGCCTGCGCATGCCTCGTGGGCGTGTGCTTGCCTTTGGCCGCCTCCGAGCTCTGTGCGAAGAAAGCAAAGGTAATGGTGAGAATCAGCAGTGCTGACACAACAATCCGCTGAAGGGAAGACATGATGCCTGGTTGAACGGATTCCGATTGGGATCGTGGGGTTTTAAGCACGCTGAGGAGGAATGGTGGCTGCTTCTTGAAACGTGGTGGTTTCCGCGGTCGGCCCTCCTTAGTCAGCGCCTTCCCGCTTCCCGATTTGTTGGAAACGCGCCTTCCAAACTTTCGAGCAGCCGTCCGACACCCAGCACAAGCAGCATAGGCTGCGATTCACAGACGACATGGTACGCAACCATCGATCGATTATGGTCCGCGCTTATTCAATGTAGCCTTTCATCTCGAACATTAACTTCACGGAAGGGTCGCTCGTGAAGGTATCTCAAAACGCTGCCCTTTGTAGCCGACAAGTCCTAATGAATTCGCAGCGGTCCCTCGAGACTTTTTTCGGCATCGGCCCCAGGGTGTCGCAAAGCATCATGGCGCGCTTCCACATCCAGCCCTGGGCGAAGGTCGGCAGCCTGAAGACCAGCACCCTCCTCGATCTGACCGCCGAGTTATCGAACATGAAAATCGAGAACGACCTACGGAGAGAGATCCAGGACAATATCAGACGATTGAAGGATATGGGTTCATATCGGGGACGACGACATGCGATGGGGCTGCCCGTGCGCGGACAGCGGACTAGGACACAGGTGAGCGCATGGTTTCGGGAATATGGTGGAGAGTACTGATAGCTACAGATTGCAACTGCAAGACGGTTGAACAGGACGAACCGTGGCGGGGACGACCGGTTAGGGATGTAAAGATGGCGAGCAGCATTGTACCATATTGTACGATATCAAAGCACTCTTAGACAGAGTGCTCTAGAAATGCCGGTCACCATAATTTCTGCAAGTTACTAGCAAGCTCGCCATTGACCGACCTGTTGGATGTGAGGCAGTCTTGATTTGCATCACAACAAATATTACAAGGGTAGGAACTATTAAATGCTGTGGGAACGAGCTCGCATCAGAGGTTATAGAGATATTAAACTCTGGGAGCCGCAACATGCGTCACGATTCCTAGCTTGTTGGTGTGTTGAGATCAATGCCTTGATCCTTATCGATGATTACCTAGTCCCTCCTCCCTGTTGTCTGATCATAAAGACAGTAGGATCGACCAGTCAACTGTAGTAATCTCCAAGATTTATCTAAGCCTTGCTCGGCACTCAGAGCCGTCGGGCAGCACCATGCGGTCGGCATGACTATATCTGAAGCTCAATTGGAGTCTTGATATTGTATAGGTTCTGCCTCACAAGAAGTGGTGGTAATGGGCTCTCATTTTGTGTGCTGCAGACGCTATAGGTGATGCCTGTCAGACAGAAAGAAAAGCTGAGGGCGCAACTCGAATGGATGCCCCATATACAGACTCGAGCTTATTGTGGCATCAGCAATTGTTCTCCGAAAAGTAGTAGATTTGTGGATAGAGCACGAATTTTGCCCATGTGCTTCGTTCGCCTCCTCCACGTTGCGTGGATTGCAGCTCAGCCCTCGACAGACGAATGTCCTCCTGCAAGCTGAATATGGACCATGGAAGGTTGTAATAAAGCGTCACAAAAAAGCGATCCTGCCATGTCTACACAATACGCTAAGTAGACTTCACATGTCTATATCGGATGTGGTGGATGGCGTCAATACTTTTTCACAAGACAGCAATGCGGCGGTTCATGGACGTTCGTTAGAGAAAATCATGCCCTAACGGATAACTTCACTGTGTTCCTACATCCGTCACTGTGGCGTATGTCGACTCCCATAAGGCGCTGATAAGCACGGCTGGTATCCAAGGCGAAGGCTTGTTTCAAGACTGAAACGGCGAAGACAGCGTGTAATTGCAGCCAGGAACAAAGAGGGCCTTGGTCTCCCCAAGACTTAAGCTGGCAGTTGGAAGGCTTGGATCATTATCGAGCATCGCTCGGATGCAAGCTGATCCAGACGTCTTTGTGGTATAGTAAATCCGCAGGGCGTGCAGTGGTTTGGGGATCGCAATTACTCGCTGTTGTGACAGGCTCGGCAGCAATGCAGACCGGGTGAAGTGCCGGAAGATACGGATACCCGACACGATGCTACCTCGGATTCTAGGAGGTAGGAGGCTTCGTGAAGACGACGGGTGGTCGACTCGAGATGATGTTCAACACAGCATGGTCCTGTAGATAGAGTGCGGCATTCCATAGAAGGTAGCTTTCGGCAAACCCCTGGCGCAAGCGTGCAGTAGTGAACGGACCGAAAAGGGTAATTGACCTTCTGGATTTGATGAAGTATCCCGCAGCTCGCACGGCGACTGCAGCGGCGGCTAGGCTGCGCGCATGAGAGAGAGAGTTGTGGTACGCTGATTCTACAACCAAGATTACAGTAGCAGAGGGCATCGTACGAGATCTGGCACATGCAGGGCAGGCTTGTTTCCACAATGCCATGTCTAGATCAGCCGTCTGCAACAGCGCGCTCGCTGGGTGGTTGCACAGGCCGTCTTCAAACACAAGATGTGTGGCGCTCTCCACACTGGCGCACCGCACAGTCCTCTGGTTCTGGTTCTAGGGGCGGCAGATAGATTGCACTCAGAACAAGCGGCAACGAATGAGCCTATGCGGGCTTTGCGATGATCACCCTGCATCTGAGGGCGGGGTCCGCTTCTTGGAAAAGCTTCGCGCCGCCTGCTGCGATTTCTTTAAACACTCGCCGCCATCTTGCGCCCCGCCAATCAGGTTGCAGGCGGGCATCAGACGTCTCCTTTCCGGCTCACCGCCTGACGCGCTGGACTGCCTCCATGGGCTACTCAGTCTGATATAGCAGGGGTGGCAGCACCACGACGAGGGCGTGTTGCTCGACGGCGGCGGCTCTCTCGACCAGCAGCAGACAGCCCCCAGGGTCCGCTGCGGTGATGGACAGCACGGCGACGGCTGGCGTGCAACGTGCCCAATTGCGGGCGCGCGCAGAAGGCGGGTTTGTCGCCCACGCAATCGACACAGGCACGTTTCAGCTTGGTGCGCGGCGACGACGAGAGCAGCGCAGCGGATCCAGGGCTCGATGCAGGAACGAACGTCGACAGGGCCTGGCTCGACGGCGGACGGGCGCTGGAATGGGAAAAGGCGCGCTCAGTCATTAAACTCGCTGGCCACGTCGGGCACGTCCTCATCCTTGTCCTGGGCACCTCGCGTGGGCGGCCACCTGCAAAGCCAGAGCCACCTGACTCCGGCGCTCTGTGTGACGCCCAGGCAGCATACACCCAAAGGCCGGCTGTGTGCGATTCACCAGCGCCCATTCCGCAGCCCGGCTCCGCGCGTGGACGCTCAATGCGCGGCACGCAATCGTCCCAGGAGCGCAGCAAACATTGCGAGACGCACTCCACTGTGTCAGTCGCAGTCTAGCGACAGGCAGGCCCCCATTTCAGACGTCGACATCCTGGTCCGCCGTGCTAGGCTTGTTTAAGCCCAGCATTACAGCCGAAGGTCATGCTCCAACGACATGCACACCACACCGAGCACTCGCAGACTCTCTCGACAACGCCGGCGCTGCTGACTGCCACCTCGCAACCCGCCCTCTCTCCCCACCACGAGGGCTCCCGCACGCTCCGCGACAAGTCGCGCCCCACCACCTCCCGCCCTCGCTGCCCGCGTCGCGTCCTGAGCACCCACGGCCAGCACCGAGCCCGCCGCACCTGAGCCTCGCTGCGAGTGCATCGTACCGTGCAGTGTCCACAGGCAGGCTGCACGAGACGCGGACCCAGCCGCCACGCTCCCTCCCGTCTCCGCCGCCCTATCACGACGGCCCACGCTCCCCTCGCGACAGGCTCGACGCCTTGATAGCGGAGGAGGATATTCACACATTAGCACCAGCGCCCGCTCAGGGGAGCGCGCCCACCGACCCGCGAGTACCTCCTCGAGGCGGCACCCAGCCCGCCAAACCTTCCGCGTATGCCCAGCTACGAAACGTCTCTGCTCCCATCCAGTCCTCGGCTGGCATCTCGCCAGCATCCCCCGTTGCCATGCCTCCCTCCTCGCGATCAACTCGGCCAGAACAGCCCCCTGCACCCCCGCGCAACCCGTCGATAGACTCAGCCACATCGTCCATGTCGAGTGCCTCGCACTCGCTGAGAGCAAACGGGAATCACGGCCCGAAATCATCGCAGGATGCGAGCACTGCAAATCCACCAGACATCGCCGCGCTCATTGCAGCTGCGGGGTCGCCCGAGGCCGCGTTGATGTCTTTGTGGAAGGAAAAGCAGAGCGCATCCAGCCATAGCACTCAGCTTTGGCGGCTGGTCGAGAAACAACGGGCCATGATCATTGGTCTGCAGAAGGATTTGGAGCGGACATTGAAGGAGAAAGACCGTTACCGGAAGAGACTTCGAGACTACACCAACCAAGTACCACCGATACCCGGCGCGCCGCAAAGGTCCGACACGTTTGATTCTGTCGTGGAACGTGAGGAGAGCCAGTCGCCGGCCCCCAGCGAGAGGCAGGAGGACTTTGCCAAGCCCACCAACGTAACAAAACCCGCCGAACACAAAGCATCGCCACTTACACAAGAAACGTCTGCAGCTCAGTTGCTCCCGGACTCACAGCTAGCTCAGTCACCGACCCATTCGTCGGATGCCCACACTTCGTCTAATCCTGTTTCGGTAGTGAACTCCCCGACCGATTATTCTGTGAAACCACTTCTTATCGCCAACAAAGGCCTTGGACTGAGTACTGCCTTGGTCGAGGGTGACCCTATCGTAGAATCACCTACCGAGTCTCCCGAAGCCACGACATCTCTGCGGAAAGCCTCTGCCGCCGCTGAAGGCGGTCTACAAGCGCCTCAGCTCTCCCTGACTCAGGCAACACCGGTGATCGGGGGAGATGGTTTCGAAGCGCCAGTATCGAAACCTACGCAAGCATTACGAAAGGCGCCACCGGCTCCGCTTAACTTGTCCAAACCCGTCAAGACGAGCGCACACTTACTCCAGGCAGATCCGGGGGAGCACGACGACTCCGATTACGATGACACTCTAGAGATAGATGAGATTCCGATCGTCGAGCGAGGCAGGCGCAAGACGCGTGAGGAAGATGACAGGATGCGGGATGTCATAGCGCTAAAAGAAGAAGGAACTCGTAGCATGTCGAAGAAGAAGAAAAGTGAGAGCAAATCAAAAGTCTCTTCCCCCGAACCCAAAGAGGGCGCTGAGCAGCCGTCAACAGCTAGCCTATCGCCTCGACAGTTCAGTCCTCTCCAAGCCGGTCTTCCGTTGTCCCCACGACATCCGCCTGCCAATTCTCTCAATGCTCTTCTCAGCCCCGCCAACTCGGATAGCTCCATGGTTGCCCAGCGGAGCATTGTTTCCTCGCCTCTTATGAGCCCAGGCCTACCGACAAGTCCTCGCCCGGGAGACAGACCGCTTGGATCGCCATTGCCGAGAAACCCGAAACAGACACCCGTTTCGCCTCCAATGTCTCCAAGGAGCATCCCTAATGGAATGCCCCCACCAGCAACGCGGGCGCCGCGACAACCGGTTCCGCTCCCACCAAACACGCCTCAATCATACACGTCACCCCAAACAGCACGACCGGAAGCGCCTGCTCAAGCGAAACAACAAACGCTGGGCTCGGATCTCTTGAAGCCTTCTTCGGCTCAGCTAAGCCCAGAGACGGGCGATTTATCGAGCTCAGAACATGTCCATCGTGGCCTCGTGTCCGATCAATACCCTGGTCTATTGCTTCCCCCCAATGCCCTGCCGTCCATTGAAGTAAAGGTGTCGTCTTCCCGGCTTAGACCCTCTCGTATGAGCTTTCTCGCACCCAGACCCCAAGAAGAGGACCCTGTTTTCCACCTCGCAATCTATGCACGATCCGATGGGAAGCAGCTATGGCGTATGGAGAAAACGATCGTGGCCCTGCCAGCTTTAGACGCGCAATTGAAGTCGTTAAGTGATTTCTCTGGGAAGCTCCCAGATCGAGCCTTGTTCAGCGGCCATGCGCCTGCAAGAGTTGATGCACGAAGAGTGGCTCTGAACCAATACTTTGACACTATTTTAGAGACACCAATGAACGAGCAGGCCGCCCTTGTCGTTTGCGATTTTTTCTCTACGGATGTAATGGGTGCTCAAATTGGGGACACTCTGGCTCCTGAGCCAGCAGCTCCGCAAGCTGTACCCGCACCCAAGGGTAGACAGGTCAAAGAGGGGTATCTCACCAAGCGTGGAAAGAATTTTGGTGGTTGGAAAGCGCGCCACTTCGTACTCGATGGTCCTGAATTCAGGTATTATGAAGTGGCAGGTGGTGCGCATCTGGGCACCATCAAGCTCCTGAACGCTCAGATCGGGAAACAATCCCAACAGCAGACCAATCAGTCTCCACAACGGCGTGATGATTCGGAGGACAACCAGTATCGGCACGCTTTCCTGATTCTAGAGCCAAAGCGGAAGGACTCGTCAAGCCTGGTACGTCATGTTCTTTGTGCAGAAAGCGACGAGGAAAGAGACGCGTGGGTCGAAGCTTTGCTGCAGCATGTCGATTTGCAAGAAGAGTCTTCCCCAATTGAGGGGCAAGCACCGGCACACGCTAGACCTGCGGTGCTCACCAAGACCCAAGGGAAAGATTCATCGCGATCCGGAAGAAAGGAGAGTCCTGAACAAGATAAGTCCGGTAGAGTGCAGGCTTTAAGCTACGAGGATACAATTGCCGCAGAAGCACCAATGCGTGGTCCCAGCCATAGGGAAGCTAAGGATGCCCACGGTCAATCCCCAAAGAGTGGATCCTTTTCAAATGAAGCCCTTCGGCACTACCCCTCCATCTCCGGTCCAACCAATGGCGCACCCATTCAGAACCTCGAGAACTGGGGAAACAAGCCAGTAGCTGTTCCAACGGCTACTAAAGACAAAAAGCGCAGCATCTTTGGCTTCAGCTCGAGACCCCGTGGTCCAGATCCCATACCCGACCCCTCCATGAATCAACAACGCGCGCCAGATCGTCTCATCCAGCAGAACCGCAATGTGTTCGGAATCCCATTGGCAGAAGCTGTGGAGTACACTCAGCCTATAGGACTCAACGATCCGCTTCCGTCCGTTGTATATCGTAGTCTGGAATATTTGAGAGCGAAAAATGCCAGCAGCGAGGAAGGCATATTTCGTCTCAGCGGTTCTAACATAGTAATCCGCGCGCTCCGTGAACGTTTTAACACCGAAGGAGACGTGAAGCTCTTGGACGGCCAATACTACGACATCCACGCTGTTGCGTCTTTATTGAAGCTGTTTCTGCGCGAGCTTCCCGCGTCGATTTTGACCCGTGAACTGCATCTAGACTTTCTTAAGGTCCTCGGTAAGCTCAAGCCTACCGTATCATCTATATAATGCTAATCAACTGGTCAGACCTTGATGAACGTTCGAAGAAGATACAAGCTTTCAACGTTCTGGTTCACAGATTACCGCGCGTGAACTTTGAACTCTTACGACATATGTCCTCTTTCCTGATCGAGATCGTGGAGAATGCTGGTGTCAACAAGATGACTGTCCGAAATGTTGGAATTGTTTTTGCTCCTACTTTGAACATTCCAGCACCGCTCATATCATTCTTCTTGACAGACTATCAAGACATTTTCGGCGTGCCTGTTGAGGACACAAGCCTTCCTCATCAAGACGTCCGCACGACTAGTTATCCCGTTGACGAAACTCGATCGCCTGGACAGCAAACGTTTCCTGACGGTCCTTCTCTTGCGTATAATGATAGCCCATTCCAACCGCAAGTGGCTCTCAACCAACAACAATGGAACGGGCGACCACCGTCTGCCTTCCCTATGAGTAGTGCCCCAGCCTATCCGCCACCGCAGCCACCTCAGCAGCAGCAACAGCATTACGCCCAACATGCTGGCTACGACACCGGCTTTGTGCCGGTTCGTCCCAGGTATGACTCGCCAAGCTACGAACAGCAATATCAAAGTGCAGACGCGTATGGCAGTCTGAACCTGAACAGCGCAAGGCAGCCTGGGAGCGCACGTGAACAAAAGCAAAAGCGCCGTGAGAGTTCAATGCTTCTGATGAACGTGGGCATGGGCCAACGGAAGGGCTCCAACGGCTCCAACCCGCCTCGTCACCGGGAGGAGCTCCGCGGCAACCCCATGCTGATTCGTGAGGAGACCGCTTTCGATTGATACAACCTCGACACGCGGCTGCTCAATGACAGTACCACGTTTCGAACGCCTACAATCAGGAACAAGGACGCAATCCTCCATATTTACGACCCTTACGCGGACCATCACGCACAAACATAACCTTCAACTCATGCCTCTTTTAATCTTTGATTCTAATGACGGGACTAGGACTGGATCCGTGCACCCGTAGACGCGAGTCAGAATAATACCACCTGGCGGGGCGGACACGTTTCTTCACCCATGTAGTTCTGATCATTTTTGGCGTTTTGGGCGATTCAGCTTGCCTGCTTCTAGCCTCACGTTTGCATACACTATCGCACTGGCATTTGCGCCTCTTTTTTTTTTTTTTTTTTTTTTCTGAAGAGGCTTCGAGCCGCCCTCCAGACTTCGTTCATCGCATCCAAGCGCTCGTTGAGATTCCCCCACTATTGATTTTGCTATTTTGCTTCAGTCGCAAAGGCGACATAATACTTGCGGCGTAGGTGGCTTGCTAGTCTTTTGTCGGGATGGGAAATCATGCAAGAGTGGGGCAAGCCTGCATGGCCTTGTAAGACATGAGGACTGGGGGGTTGGCCGGCGACTAGGACAGATATAATGCATGCTCGTCTGATCACTTTGTGCCCAATTCCATTCATTCCTCTTAATGTATGCATACACACTCGTCGAAATGGAAAGCCCGCTTCCACGCCCATGCTCAAAGCTTCGCCTTCGCTTCTGCCTCGCTACCGCCTTTCGTCCTCACGGCTCCTGGTAGAATTCCGTCTTACCCATTGCCGCGCACACTCCTCTCATAGAACGAACAACCGTACTCTATGTTGAAAACCACCTCTCCCTCCACGAACTTCGAGGCGTCGTTTCCATTACCTCCGCAAAAGCCTGGCTCTACTAAAACGCAACTCATTGATGTCCTGGAGCAATTAAAGTAGCCAGGCACGCAGGCTCAGCGAGGGAGCACAACTACACATATCCGCCTCACACCGAGATCAACATGCCTAGAGGCGCGGGTACGCAGTCGACGTAAGTTAAGAAAGTGGGGTTAAGTACTTTTTGCATGTATGTCGAAGGCAACGTACACACTGCGCCACCAGTCATGGGAGACTTCTTGCGAGTTGGTCTTTTTCTTGTCGATGAAGACAAGGAGGTGGACGTGGGATTGTTTGCTGGTTTCTGTCTCGGGTTGAAGCAAGGGGAGGTGAAGACGCGATCGTCAATGTTGTGTTGTACGCGAAAAGATTTCATTGAGAAAGAGAGAGAGAGGTAAGTTTTGAATGAGGTGCAGCTTAGACAAGGTACTTTGGAGTCGTGCGAAAAGAGCTGAATGTAATCTGTGTGTTTGTAGTCACAGTCGGGGTGTATGTCGGCGCTAACCAATCGTCTTGATTAAGGATGAGAACATATCTGGGGTGGTGGAGGCGAGACAATGCACTCGTTCATCTATATGAATTGGCTTAACCTCGAGACTTGATCCTCCCCAAATATCAAGTTTCAATTACAAAGACGTTCAGTCTGTGTATTGCCTATGCCGATCTGGCACGGGTTTCCCCAAACCTGGCTCAACGCTAGACAAATGGCAATTCTAGTAGCCGAAACACGAACCTAGGGGGCATCATGAAAGTCTGTCCTAGGTCGGTCTCTCAAGAAGTCGGTCCAGCATGATGCCATTATTTGACGGAAAGTAGGTGACTGGAGAATGTCATAGACGCGCATCGGGAGCTCCTAGCCCAGCTGTACCTTCAACACGCCATTCAATGCCTCAATGGCCGAATCAGCATACTCTTTGGAGTAGATGTCCAGAGTCTCATCATCTATCATCTCAGCTATCGCCGCTCCTGTTTTACTGTAATGAAATTGCGTCCGAAAGTGCGCCACGCCGTTCTTCTTGAGCCGGTCAATGATCGCTTTTATACGAATTTTGTGCAAACGACAGAACTCGGATATAGATTCTTGGAGATGGTCGCAGTTGGCAGTGGTGATCTCTTTGTGGAGCGCATGCGTTCGTGCTTTCGAAATCGGTCGCATGAAGGTGAGGAGTTGGACGAGGATGCGTAGCACTTCCAAGCGTCCATAAACGGCATTAAGCGCATCTTCAGTAAGATTGGGTGCGCAGTCGAGGTCGGCGTTGTTCGCTTCTTGAATTTGGCGACGAACCTCGTCTGTATCAATCTCCAGTTGGTTGAATATGCCTACAATAACAGAAACGTGTTAAGTCAATCTCTCCTAGTGTGCGTTATAGACCAGCATATACTTACGTCCAAATGCTGCTACGAGCGACTCCATTTGCAGCCAAGCAGGAAGCTTAACTAGAATAAAAACGGTATCAGTAAGTGCTGGTGCCTCACAGACCTGGCACCCACGTACCTGTTGGGATTATGGTCTTCAGTATACAGGCGATCGGCTTCCAGTAGGAGTTATTCAGGCCAGATTCCGTTAGATTCAGGCAAGCTCTGCTATCCTGCTCTTCGTTCGCTGGTAGCGCGTCTTCCTTGGCGTATTCTGACATGAACGGCACATAGGAAGGCGCCCCCTGGCATTGCGAGTTCTGTAAGCACTTATTTAACCATGACAATCATTGGGCTTACTCACATGGCCTGAAGATACTTCCTTGAACGCAATACCATTCACCACATCGATCAGTGTGCGAAAGTTATGCACCCATGACTCCGTTATAGGCAACACAAAGTGGGTGTTTAAGATTCCACCTGACCTTATGTGATTCAATCCCGGAACTGCGTCCCAATGGCAATTGTCCGATATATCTTCATGGTCTGTAGAGCGGTCAGATGTAAAGAAACCACATAGCGAAACAACGTGCTTACCTCGCAAGGGCAGATCCAACGTTGGGTCCACAGGTGCTCCGGCCAATCGAGCAATACGCCGTCTTTCGATGATGCAGAAGTGCTTTGTCAAGCTCGTGCGCAATTTTCGTTTGAGCTCGAGGAGATCGAAAGCCTTATCATACATGAAATGCTGCAAATCCGCGTACAGCAGATCGTCGATTTTCTTTTCCATACGCGACAGGGTCGAAATAACCTTCTCCAACTCATCGTCAGCGGAGAACCCTCTTGGGCCACTCGCACCGAACGGATGAGACTGGGAGATTCGCGACAGTGCTATCCAGGCGACATTATCATGCAGCATCTCTTTGATTTGTACGCGGCCGTAATGCTCAAATGCAAAGGTACCCAAGCCGAGTTTCAGATGAAGTCGCGTAGAGAGTAAAGCAACGCTCCTACTGTGCTGTTGTCTATCAAGCGACAGAGCGTATCGTGCAAGTACTGCGGCTTGGTAGAGATACTGTGAGAGTGAGGTGGCCTCAAACAAGTATATGAGGGCTTCGACTGCTACAGACAAAGTGTCGGAGCCACACATCGCATCAGTCCCCTCTGCTGCCAGTTGGAGACGCCAAAGCCTAAGCGCATTTTCGACGAAACTTTCAAGAATCACCGGATCAGGCTTTACAGGTAGCGATACTATCATTAGAAGGTCGAATTTCAAGACTGTCGTCTCAGCTTCGTGCCACACCCGGATATTATTCTGTATGAAGTGGTTAGTAATATGGAGATGGGTGGATCGAATGTCTTACCTTGGTGTCTTCCTCCGATGCTCCCTCTTCTCTTCCTCTGACATTTTTGCCTAGAGTCTGAGCGTGCTCGCTGATTGTGGCCTGGAACTGTCTTTGTTCTTCAACTGACAGGAGAGCCACGAAGCGGTGGAGATCTTTGAAACAACTAGGATTGCGAAAGCATTCAAAGTAAAATTGCGTGATGGTGCTGAGCGTTGGATAGCCGAGGTAAGACTCCAAGGACAACTGCGTTAGACCTATAGCTCTGTACGTCCGCTGTTCCCGTGGGGGAAGAGATTTCCAGATCCCGGAGTATATCTTCTCAATCTTCTTCTTGCCTCTAATACTAGTCAGCGGGCCGTCTTCCGAATTGAATACACAATATCTTCGTCACTTACTCTGCCTCTGAATAGAGATGGGAAGTTGCATCGAGCAGACTTTTCCACATTGTCCAACACATCGTACATATATTGAACATCTTAGCCTGGACTGCAGACGGATCACCAGTTATTGGATTGCCAGACTGCCAAATCATGTCGATGAGTCGATAGCACATCGTTTCGACGTGCTGCCATTCATTCTGTCGATGGGCAACTTCTATACGGAGCAATGCAAAATCCCAGGACGCGCCGTCAATGATCCTCTGCACTGTGGGAGTTGGATTATCCCAAAGCTGGAACAATTCCGCGCAGCGATTCTGGCGTTCGTAAATTGCAGCCATGAAACGCAGATCACTCATGCTCGCGACCTGAATAACATCATCCTATTTGAGGGTCAACATGTGCTCACGGAGACTGGAGAGCGTGTCTCACCGTGGGCTTTGACGAATTACCATAGGCCTCTGACATCTGTCTAAGGGCGATGGTTAGTTGAATATGAGCGCTCGGATCAACTTTGTCTGCTTCTTTGGCTTTTTCGGCTCTCCTTTCGCCACCTAGCTGATTTGCCAGGATTAAAGAATAGTATATGGCTTTCCGGGATTTGGATTCGGGACTCTCCTTGTTCGCTTGCATAGTCGCCTGCAGCACGTCAGTAGCCCAGTCATGTGGATTGTGTCACGGTCGACATACCCATCGAACATCTTCCCAGCATTCGTCTTTCATAGAAACAACGAACAGGTCGGACCACAGCTTTAGCTTCGCTTTTCGGTTTGGAAGAGCCTTGGCTGCGTTTTGCCATGCTTTCAGACCTTCTGCACCGACCGAGGATAGAGTTAAGCAGTTCGGATCCGATTGCCGCGAAGCGTTCAGGATACGGTTATAGATGAATGGAAGTAGGTTGGGGTCAGTAATCGGAGGCTGGCGTTGACAGATACTGATCAATATGGACAGGGCCTCATCTGCGCGACCATCAAATTTGAGCAAAGTGGAAGCTTTCCATGTCTGCACGGGTCAGCTTTCTGATGGTGTGCTCTTCTCAGGTATATCAAAACGACACATCGGGACCATTCCAACATAACTTACCAGGAGATATGGGTCGTCCGGCCTTTTCTTAAGGAGCTTGCCGACCGCATCGAGGGCGAATTTTGGTCTCGGATTGTCGCGCTGCGCCTTGCAAAATTTATCCCAGTTGAAGGCCATGGCGGTTGTGCAGCCCTTTGGCGTACATACGCAGAGTGCAGGTAGCGAACGATAAAATTGGCAAGGATAATAGTAATACAAGATGCCGAGCTATTGTGGCCGAGAGGTGGTATGTGGGTTGAGCGAAGAGCATGAGAAGCGCGCGGTGGGGCAACTGGTCGCGAGCGCACGCGGTTGCGCCTTCCTCGCCGAGAACGAGCGGAAGCAACAGCAGCGACGCAGCGTGTCCATGGCAATATCTAGGTAACCACAGTATTTCTATGTGCACTGTTGTAGTCCCATGTCCCCCCGAATCTGCGCTACTGGCTTTACGTTGGGGGGAAGGACGGGCTTCAAGTGCAGGTGGGTGGTGTGTGCTCTTCCGGCTTGAGGACGCACAACCATCAACGGAGCTTGACAATGGCGACACTTCAGCACTTATGACACTTGCTCGCATTCGATCAGCCAGAGGCGAAAATACGTTATACTCCTTATGGGGGTGATTGAACTGAACAACAAGAGGCCAATCATCCCCACCAATATACATTTGATAATACAAGCGCCTAAGCAAAGCACCGTTGCTTATTTTACAGGTCGTGTCTGGTACAAGATTATGGAAATGATGAATCTGCCTACTCTTCGCTTGGCAAAGGCGGAAACAGCGCGCCTGTATACTTCACGCCCAAGTCGATCTTCGGCGTTCCATAATGTAGATCGCGTCCGACTGCGCAATATTCGAAGGTGCGCCGTGTATCGTCTACGCCTAGCTGATCGAGCATAGTCTTCGCCTTGTTCGGCATGTACGGCTGTAGGAGAATACCGGCCATGCGCAAAGCTTCTGTGGCTAGGTACACGATTCTATCAACCTCTTCACCCGGTTCACCAGGACCGTATTCGAGAATCTTTTTCCACGGCTCGGACATCTGGAAATACTGGTTCGACTGAAGACTGTTAGACAGCCACGGCAACAGGACACACATGTAAGACTTACTGATCTGATGAGGTCCGCAATGAGGCGAACCGCGCGACGAGGATCATGTGCATCGAGCGACTCTGCGATGTTCAATGGAAACGTTGACAAAGTGTTGTAGAAACGGGAGCCTGGACCCTCGGCCCACTCCGAAGCAGGCAAAGGGCCTATGCGTTCAATTGCGCCTCGTACGCTCCATTTCTTCCCTCGTGTGATGCGTGACACGAGATTGCCGACCTGAGCCCATAAAAAGTTGTTGTACAGCTTGATGATCTGAACGTTATCGTAATTGCCATCGTCTTGGATACCGCCATCGTGCGCTAGGTAGTAACGCATCACATCTGGACCAAACCGATCTAAAGCAAGAAAGGGATCAACGACTCGTCCGGTAGACTTGGACATCTTCGATCCTCCCAGAGTCCAATGCGCGTGGGTTAGTATCTTCTTCGGGAGTGGAAGGCCGAGGGCCATCAGAAACGCAGGCCAGTAGATGCAGTGAAAACGGACAATGTCTTTGCCAATGACATGGCAGTCAGCTGGCCAGCCACCAGCATTGTCCCGACCAGGAGCCCACGGGTAACCGGCTTTGGTAACGTAGTTCATGAGCGCATCGAGCCAGACATATATGGTTTGCGAGTTGTCCTGGGGAACGCGAATACCCCACGTAAGTCGCTCTGAGGGGCGCGAGATGGACAAATCCTCTAGACCCGATTCGACGGCTTGCACGACATCTTTCATCCGATGTGCGGGTGTGATCCACTCTGGATTCTCTCCGTAGAACTGTAGAAGTGGTTCACGGAACTCGGAGAGGCGGAAGTGGTAATTCTCTTCCGAAGACCACTCGACTTCACTACCAGTCTCGACCGACGTCTTGCATGGAGTTAGCACATAGCGCACACAAAGGTCTAACAAGAGTACGTACCATGATCTTCCGGCCAGTTGGCGGATCGAGGTACGGCTGCACTACCGATTGCGGATAAAAGGCCTCGTCGGACACAGAATACCATCCTTCATGCTTCTTGGTGTATATAAGACCCTTCTCTTGAAGCAAGAACTGCTAACCATCAGCCTGTCTGCGGGCAGCGGGAGCATGCATTGGCGCGTACCCATGCATATGCGACGGCGTCCTTGTGGTCCGAGTCTGTCGTACGCACGAAGTGGTCGTTGGAGATGAGGGCCTTCGCGGCAAGTTCTTTGAAGATGGCGGCGCCCTTGTCGCAGAACAGCTTGGGCTCGATGCCAGCTTTCGCGGACGCGCGCTGGACCTGCTGGCTGTCAACACCTAGAGACACAGAAGCGCGCGCAGAAGCGACCGACCTTCAAGCCGTGCTCATCCGTCCCCGTACACATGAGGGCCTTCTCTCCCTTGAGCACCCGCCATCGCTTGAGGATGTCGGTGAGCACCAGCGTGTAGAGGTGGCCGACGTGGGGGGCTGTTGGACAGTGTTAGCCGCCCTCCGCGCTACGCGGTGTACGAGGGAGCATGCGAACCAGCATTGACGTAGAAGATGGGTGTGGTGATGTAGTATGGCTTTTGGTCGGGAGCCGACTGTAACGCGAGCGGTCGATTGGGCGTGCTTCGCGCCAGGCGGGAGCAGGAGCTGCATGTCCACAGCCGTGGGCGAGACGGCCGCGTCCAGACGCTGTGAAGCGCAGGCGCCGTCGTATTGACGAAGCGGGCGCGCATTCTTCCACTCTGTGTCTCGCGCACTCGAATCCTCGAGCTTGAGCTTTCCGGGACGAGCGTCCCCGGCCCCGGAAAATACGTGCGCACGTGATCTGAGGACGGACTAGCGTTGCTGACTCACGCTGCATGGCTCGACTTCCCACACGTTCACCTACATATGCTTGACTCCTGCACACTCGAGGCGCGGTGAACCAAGACGTATCGAGAAAGAGATAGAATATGATCCAAAGGCTCTGGATGCCATGGCCCTTGCTGCAGAGCGCGAAGTTGGCGGCAATCGGCGACCCTCACGTGGCCGTACACACCGCCGTGCAGTATGCGCCCTGACCTTGCCCGAACCCTACCGTCAAGCTCTCGACCTCACAGATCACAATAGCGGTCCCATCGAGGATCTTTCACCCAAGCTGTCGGGATGGATTTGGCGGATGGCGGCTTTCTCGCCGCCAAGACTTAACCTATCTAAAGTCTATTCAGGCCCTAAAACGGTAACCCTCCACTCTTTACCTTCACTAAGCTCTCATCACCTTCGACGCCATCGTACCATCCTAACCAATGCTCATGGCATGCCACACATTTCCTTGTTGGCGGCGACCACTCGGATCTACTGAATGGTCAGCCTCCATGAGAAGCTGCGGCGGCCGAGGAAAGTGGCCTAGATGGCCTAGAATGTTTGTTCAAGAGAATCCGTCAGCTACCAGCGATTGTAAACTCTCAATAGGGTCTCAATAGAAGCATCAATAGGAGCATGGGCCACGTGCAACAAACTTGCCGCCTTATTCTACCCTGCATGTCTACCTGCTCTTTATTGATCTTTATCGGCTCTCTATCACTTCATGTAACAGGTTAGACTACAGTCAAGTATTCAATGCAAGCGAAGTCTCCTCGAAAACATAAATACTCAATGGCTCCAAGCATCTCAAACCTGGCATCGACATCAACTCTAGTCCTTCGCAAGTCGACGCTTCTTCAAATACACCGCTCATTCAATCCACAGTCATCACCATGAAGTTCACCACCGCCATTGCTGCCGCTATCCTTGGCACTGCCGTCTACGGTGCGGCCCTCCCGGACCCGAACTGCCGCTTCCCAGGCATGCCATGCTCACGCAGTGCTGAGGCTGACCCTGCCTGGCACTCTGGTTTCCGCAGGTAAGCAATGTGCAGTACGATATAGTGGGCAGATCGCTAATAGGTACAGGCTCCCCGGTCAACCCATTGGCAAGCGTGAAGCCGCGCCAGAGGCTGACCCTGAGGCCGACCCTAACTGCCGCTTCCCGGGCATGCCCTGCTCGCGCAGTGCTGAGGCCGTTCCTGAACCCATTGTGAAGCGTGTAGCTGAGCCGGAGGCCGACCCTGAGGCCGACCCCAACTGCCGTTTCCCGGGCATGCCATGCTCGCGCAGTGCTGAAGCCGTTCCTGAACCCATTGTCAAGCGTGAACCCGAGCCAGAGGCTGACCCAAACTGCCGCTTTCCCGGTATGCCTTGCTCTAAGTAGAGCATCTCGTGTGAGCCTTTGATTCGGGTCGGAACGGGGTGGACCAACTTTCGGCGACTTTCCATTCTAAATTCACTTCTGCTGACACTCGACGCTATCGGAACGCCTTCATCGACTTCTGGAACCTGCTGCTACTCGAACAACAACATGCTTGTATATATTGAGAAAGTTTTGCGGAAATTATTATTCTTGCACATTGGCTCGCTGTACGTCCTTTCGCCGTTCGAGGGGTACGTGAGCAGACTGGTTCCCACACGTTATCACAGCAACGCACCGCAGTGATTGAGTTTGACGGGAAACAAAGCTAGTCTTTTGCTATTATTACTGAATACAACCTTATTGGTCAATAAATCAAGGGGATTCAAATTTTGGACTGTTCACGTGCTTCCTACTGTTGATTCTGGTCTTCAATTGGATCCCAACGAGATTGCATTATTTCTAAACTTGATGTGCATCATTGACAACTTCGTCGACACGCCGTGTATCTCGTGAGCTTCTTTCTCGTCCAGCACACCGAACACATTACATCTAGTGGGTCACTCTTGAGAGGGGCCTTGAGCAGGTAGGTTTTCGGACAGCATGAGCTTGGGCGAGAGTATCCGGGAACTACTATCAACGCACTCTACCTATGGTATCTCACGTTCGCTCAATGTGCATGCAGGGAGCGGGCAAGGTTTACCTGTACAGAGAGCCTCGAAAATAGAAGTTATTGTAGTAAGTAGATAAGTGGAATTAAGAGGTAATTGAACCCATTAACGTAGATACTTACGCTATGTAGACTGCTCACGCTTAGCACGAGTTCAACTCGCGCACTAGAGACACTACTTCATTCGCTCCCTAAACCCATATGAGGAGAATCGACTAAGAATCCCCCTATTACTGCCTACTGCACCTGCGCCGCAACCTTGCGTGCTGTGGCCGCATCTATTGGACAGCTCCATAGGCTCGATCACCAAGATCACCCCTATCTATGAGTAGTGAGGCCATCGGCCTGCCATTGCCGAACTGGCCACCACAGGGATGTGCAGCGCTTATTGTCCTGCACAGTGTTCTCGCCTAAAGCAGGACACCCCAGATCCGGCTCCAATCGATCTGAGTGAACCCGTCGGATCCCGCCATGGGCACCGAAAGCTCACCGTGATCTTCACCCACGGCATCGTCAGAGCGTAGCATGAGATAAACAGCATGACATAGCACCATATAGCTCTTGCCACCTCGAAGGCATTCGTTCCAACCCAAGCGAGCCATTGAAGACGAGCGCACGCCACAGCACGTAACGCACTAAAACACGTTGTCCCATGCTGCACCATACCAGCAATGCTATCTCTCAGACCAAAGCCCGTTTACACGTTCACACGGTGACACCTAGTGTAAGGCGAAGAGCACAGATTGGGCCCCTTTCCGGGCAAGCGAAGTCGCACACCAACTGCAGTGTTCAATCTTCGTTTCATGTCATGTCATTTCATTTCATTTCATAGCCAGCTACCTAGCACCCTCCCTCCTCCCACGTGCAGACCTGTGCTCAAAGGCGGTTCGCACTAGATAGGAAGCCCAATGCTCGTGCGCTCCCAAACCAAAATGAATCGCATGCTCCTCCAATGAACCTCGCGGCCCAGCCCTAGTCTTAAAGTATGAATGGATTCAAGTCATGCTATTACGAAAATGACAGAGAGGAGAATGCGAACGAGCTTCAAAGAAAACGATCGCAGGGGTATAAAAAAAGTCGACAGTTTTCCGCGAAGGTAGAGAAGTAATGGGGTATTGATGTCGTAAGAGCAGAAATAGACGATCGCTAACACGCTCGCAGAAAGCAAATTATAGAAGAAGATAAGGAGAAAACATTGGGAATGCTTCGCGCGTCTTTTTGGGGGGCTTTGCAGGGCGATCTAGACAGCAGCACCGTTGATAACGACAGCGTAGCCGTCACTTTTGGCCTTTAGCGCTTTCGCCAGCATGAGCTCGCGCATCCAGTCAATGCGGCCGTCGCGCGACGTGACGGCAAAATGGTGTACTTTGCCACTGGGCAGCACCTTTCTGATCTCGCCCATGCCGGGCGCCGTGGGCACGAGCTGGAATTCGAAGGCAGCGGGAGCGCCATTCTTGTCCTTGTGCCCAGAGGTGAGCTTCAACGCACGGAGTTTGGCAGAAAGCTTGTTCGACGCAAGCGACGAGCAAGCGACAGCGTAGTCGTCCACGTCGATTGTCTGCAGTGCGGACGACGAGGGGAGCTCGTTCGCATGCATGGCAAGCGTTGTGCCCTGCAGACGAAAATGGTGGTCCTGCCACTCATGGCGGAGCAACTTGGTGCGCCGCTTCTTCATCCAGCCATAGTGATTCACGCCGTTGTAGACGAACCCTCCCTTGAAAGGGCCTTTCGCGGTCAAAGCGGGATCATACGCTGGGCTGTCTTCACCGGAGAACTGCGTCTCATTCAAGGTGTCAGAGTCCCCGTCGGGCGGACCTGTTGGGCTGAACACTTGGTCTTCGTTGAGCGCCGGGAGAGGCAATGAGGGCCGGCGCCAGTCGACTCGTGACCCGGCTCGCTGCACCGGGTCCCTGTACTGCATGTTGGGTGGCACCGATTGGCTTGTATCACGTGAAACAGGCCCTGCTGGAACCGCTGTCACTGGAGCATCCATCTCGGAGAAAGGCGTGCCAAATCGGTAGACGCCACCTGGGGATGCTGTCCTGCATGGCGAGAAAGCGGTATCTGGTGCTACCTGGGGACTAGCATGAACAGCGCTACGAGGAGCGTTACATTGAGGCCCCGCAGACATGGAGCGAGGAGGCGGAATGCTGAGCTTAGGGAGGGTCTTCAGATTGAAGTGGGGGCCAGGGGTGAATTCTGGAGGATGGAGGGCGGGATTGGGAAGGTCGAACGAAGTAGACGTATGTGCTGATGTAGATGCTGAGAAAGCTGAACGATGCTGGTAATAGTGATAAGGTTGTACGGTTGACGGGCGAGGGGGGAACATGTCCACCGGTGGTGTCGGAGGAGCCTCGATAGGCGTGGCTGTGGCGTATGGCTGTTGAACACCTTGCAGGGTAAGGAACTGACGTACGTTGTCTTGCGGATCGCGCGACGTTAGCTCCCGCAGTGCATCTTCCTTCAAGTCGAACTCGGGCAGCTGGCCGGGTCCAAGCAGATCGGAAGATGCTACAACAGACGGAATGGCATCTGAAGTCGGACGGTAGACATCGTCAACTGCCCGAGCTGCAGTATCTGCATTGCCGGGATCTCCAGCAATGAATATGTGCCCTCCGTTCTCAGGTGAGATTGGGAAGCCGTGCTCTTCCTGGAGTCTCGCAAGTTGTCTCTGCTGTTTCCTCCATTTGGCACACCGCTCGCCCTTGGCGCATTTATGAGGCTTTGGCAGTAGCTGCTCAATGGCCACAATGGAAACGGACTCAGCTGGTGTGATGATGTCGTCACCGGCGTTGCGGTGTCGTCGACCCCTTCGTCTGCGGCCACCTCCTGGGGTAATGGGCGTCTTCGCATCCTCGCCGTCGCATTCGACACCCCGAGACTTGTCGCGATGGCGTCGCTCCCTGTTCTTGCTCTTTGATCTCTGCCTTGCTCCTGTGCAGGGTCGCTCAGTGTCTTCGAAGGGAGTCGGTACTGCAGCCACGGGTGAAATAAGCCCCTCGGATGTCCGCAGCGAATCGATTTGATTCCACAACTCGTGGCGTTTACCAAAAGATTGGATCTCGAGCTCCTTCAGATCATCGAACTGTAGGTCGAGTAAGACTGCTCCCGTGATGTCATGAGCCTCGAACCGGTCGATGATATCGTCTTCAAAACCATTCTGGTACATCCAAGTCGCGACTTCTTGAGAAGTCCACGCACGTACTTCTGCGCCATCAAGGTGAGCAACAGCCGAGGCGATATTGTTGTACTCTCTTCTTGGGACGACCGTCTCCGGAGTCGCTTCTCGGAAGGAGGTCTGGATGCGAGAAGGAGGCTCTTTGGGAAACAGAGGGGACAGCTGCAGAGCGAAATCAAAATCGCCCGAGGACTGGGAAGATCGAAACAGATGAGGGCCTCTTGGACCCTCTACGGACTTGGGAAGGTACCATTCCGCGAACTGGGGCCGAATTTCGTCTCTTGGTGTTTGTACCTCTTCGAATGTGGAGATTGTGGTCTGGCTCTTGCGGTTGTCGTTCTGCTGGCTGTTAACGTGCGTTTAGACAAGATTAGAAGGCACAACTTACAGAAGAGCGGAGGCTATACTCCTCGAAATCACTCGAATCGTCTTCAATGTCGGTGTATGTTTCGCTGATGTGGGAGACTGGTCGCTCCAGCGAGGTCCGCGCAGAGACGGGGCCGATGAAGAGCGATTGCGATTTGCCGCGCTCGAACATCTCGCTGGGTTCCAGCGGGGTGATGGGCGTCATGGCCGGCTGGATGAGAGTCAGACAGACGTGCATAGGGGGCTCTGGGGAGATTTGCATACCATGGCGATGATTGATAGTGCACAAGGTCACTGTCGTAGGACTGTGCTCTGGTGGGCTCTATCTGGGGCTCCGGGTGGATAATGCAACCATGGCATGCGCAGGAATGGGGCACAGCTGTCGAGGATCGGAGAAGGCCCTACGGGTGGAGGGGACTTGGTAGACTTAATGTAGAAGCTCCCTGAGGTGGTCTTGGAGGGGGAGACGACGGTTCGACGTGGTGGATATGGTGCTGCAGAGACAGCACAAGTGCTGGCTTCTTCCATCCAGTGAGGGCCTCGCGGCGCGGGCAGGGCCTGGGACGGCGGGCCAATGGGGGCGCGAAGGGTTCCCGCCGACATGCAGCGAGGTGAAATGGGCGCTTACACAGGGACGTTGAGAGGGCTGGCGGGCGCGATTCGCTGAGGAGCGTCTGCGAAATGCAGCTAATCGCACCGTTTCGGGCGGCGGCGGCGGCCTAATAGCACCGCGGAAGGGCCAGGGACAGGGCTCGAGGAGCGCTCCGTCGTCGCTTCGGCTCGCGAGCTTGGTGCCCGTCCGTGTACCAGCGATCGGCGCGTGTAGGTACGACCGCTCCTCTCACCGCAGATCTGGCTTGTCACCGCCAGCTCGTTCGCATGCGACGACGGCCGCGTGCGGCGCAGTGCGGAGCAGCCCTCGCCCACGCGGCCGGCAGGCACGCATCTTCTGAGGTCCTGGGCCGGGGGGCGGTGGCGCCCAATCTCGCACCACAGCCCAAGCCCCGGCGACGAGGCGGCGACGTGGATGGCCGAGTTTCCTCCTGCCGCGAGAGCCACTGCCCGCGGGCGACCAGCATCGCCAGCCACCCTGCACCGATCAAATATTGGAACATGTTGTATCGCACTGTCGCAGGGTTGCGCGGGAGAGGCCCTCGACGCTGCCGACGGCACTGCACGCCACGCGGGCCACGGCCGCCGATTCCGTCATGGGCTGCCCGAAGCCCACGACTGCTTCTCGTCGTAGAACCCACATAAAACACGTCGTCCGCCGTGCAACCTTGACTCATCTCGTTCAGCGCCAGCGTGACCGCGCTCGCTCGCGTGTCGGGAGCCTCCTCAGACCGCTCTTCCGGCTACCGTCGTCTCGTCGCCCCAAGGGATGCCGGTGCGACACTTGGGCGAGCCTCGTCGCACCGTCGTCTGCCTGCGAGCCAACAGCTGTCCAGAAGAGCGCCAACCCGGGGCTCACATGACCGGTCCTCGATGCGGGCTCGAGCGCTGGTAGTATCTCGTGCCATGGACTCGTCGAGATGTGGGTGCCAGAGGCGAATCAGGCCGTGTACATGGCCTCCAACGTCCGCACGCCAGCCGTTAGCCTGCCATGCATGACTTGAACGTTGCGTCCTCGACGAAGCGGACGGCCTGCTTGTTCGGGCCTCAACAGTTTGTGCGGAGAAGCCCTGCCACTGCTCGAGCCTTCCGCATCGTCGCATTTGCCAGCCAGGAGTGAAAGGAATTACATCCTGCGCCAGTAGCAGCGCCTATCAGACAGGAACCACATCCTTCGCCCGTAGCAGCGACTGCCAGACAGGATCGCGGCTGGTAGCGGATACCGCGATGCCCAGCGCAAGATGCGCGCTGTCAGGTGAGCTTCCTACGCGTAGGAGAGCCAGCCAAGTACCTGCTACAAGAGGTCCATTCGCGGGGCCACCAAGTATTGACTGCAGCTCTCGGTACCCAATCGCATGCCGCACACGTCCGAACGGGAAAACAGTGCAGCCGTCCAAGACCCCATCCCAGGCGGGCTAATTATGGGACTTTTATTCTCAGCTAATTGCCCCGAATAGGCCATCGCGGGTGGCATCAGAGGGAAACGGATGCACGAAATCCAACCGACGTGGCCCCTGCCTTCGCGGTCCTTGTCACACGGTTGATAAGCCCTACGATTGGATAGGACGCGGGGTTAATCTAAAGCTTGTCATGCAAAATTCGTCTGCGTCGACATGGCTCGTACCACTCATGCTGCAATCCCGCGCAAACATGGCCATCGTGCCTTTCATCCCGTCGCTTCTCCATGTCCCACCCTGGTTCAGCCACGTCGCACGGTCTCCCACTCGGAAAGAGCTCGTCCTCGACCGACCTCCCCCTTTTGATTGACTACTGTATGCCCTCAGCTCGTCGTTGGACACGATCACGGCATCGAATCAGTCGCCCTTTACAGATGAGTTGTTGGACGCATCCAGTGGCCGAGTGGAGGGTGCACAAGAATGCTGCCAGCTACCACCTATTGCACCTTGGCTGCGAGTAGCGAAGGTGCTTCGTCGTCTCTGCCATCCATTGGCTGAACGTGTACAACAGCGCGAACGTATAACATCACGAGTGCTGCGAATCCTTCGTAGCGTAAGCCCAAGTCCAAGCGGACTTCATGCCTCAGTCCCAGTACACTGGGTCTCAATTGCTCACAAATGCAGCACGTAGATGTGCGCTTGGCAATATTGCAGCTTCGTGGATCCACACCTGGTCAAAGCGAACAGCACCGTCCTCGGGCCGGCCAGTTATCGCATCCGCTGCAAGTGTTCGATCTGCTCTTGGATGCACTGTTCAATTATGCTGGGGGGTTGGGAACGGGGGGCCAAGTGTAAAAGTCCCGGTAAGCAGCCTTACTCTTCATCTGCCCGAAATGGGTCATTTAGTGCTAAAAAAGCCATGCGGGGTCCGCTTTCCTCGATGTGGCCCCCTGCAGGGGTGCACAGAGTGGGATGAGGTCCGAGCTGGCGGGTAAAATGGAAGCAAAAATAGCTGGACCCACTCACAAATGCCCCTAATACCAACTTCATTTGCGGGTAACCACCAACTGACCAATCACTAGCACATTTCCTTCACACGACATGTTGTTCAACCTCTCGTCCCGTTGGAGGATCCCATTTGACCGCCTGGCCAGCTCCAAGAATAGATTCGGTTGATTTTGCTACCATTGTACCGTTTGTGGCACTCTTATGGTACATAACCTTCATCTTCCTTCTCCAGAACAGGTAGATGTTCATAATTTGCTCGCGCTCCTCTCACTTCGAAGCTGGCTTCGAAATACCAATCTTTAATTAAGAGCAACCCTGGTCGAGCTTTGCTAGCCTGTCCCTTACGATCCCTCCCCGCTGCACGCCGCGTTAGTCCTTATTGCCGCATTGTTTACTAGCCTTTCATAAACCACCGTACTGGACCCGAAGTACATGAGCTGTCCATGTCCTCCTCTTCAGCGCCATCGTCCGCTGCCAAACCGTCTGTAACTATGGTGGGAACAACAAACGCTGCCAATGCGGCCAAAGCAGCCGCTGCAAAGATGCACCGTCGCTCACGGACAGGTAAGTCATGCTTTCTGGCTCCTCTGCAGGGATCCCCGCTCTCCGCACTGGCTAACAACTCCACAGGTTGCTTCACATGTCGATTGAGGCGAAAGAAGTGCGACGAAGCGAAGCCTTCGTGTCGCGCATGCAAGCACCTTGGACTGCAATGTGAATATAAAAGACCCATGTGGTGGAGCAGCAGCGAAACAAGGAAGGGCCAGAAAGAGCGCATCAAGAACATTATCAAACGCACAAAGCTTCAAGAAAAGAGCCAACAGGGCATTGCGATGAGCGCAACAACGCCACCCGGGCTATGCCACTCTCTACCGACTTCCGATACTTATTCGGACGGGATCGGATGCACCCGTGCACCGTCGGTCGACTCCCAGAATTCGTTGGATTACAACTTCAACGCCGTCTCTACTCCTGGACTGTATGATTCGATGTCGATGCCGCCGCCCATGTTCGCTCCCTCGTTCCACCATGCTGGACAGTTTGCCCCCTACGAGGTTGATATCAAGACGGAAAGCCAGCTGTTCATTGACGACATCCCGACGCGAAGAGATTCCACCATTTCAACATTCAGCACATACCAAACACCCCCCGTTACCGGTCAATCGTTTCCAACAGATAACTGGATACAACAAGATTATTTCGAAAGTCGCCGAGAGTCGTTTGCAGAGGAGCCTCTAGATTTCCAAGTTTTCGATTTCCCTCACCAGTCCTTCAGCCCGTCGCATCAAGCTGTCATCCCCGTGGATGAATGCGACCAGTACCTGCTCAATCACTTCATCGAAAACGTTGTACGGCTAGTTTTCCCAATCCTCGAAGTGAATCAACACGGTTCGGCACGTTCAGATATCATACTTCCTGCATTGGCGACCAACAAGACCTATCTTCATAGCTGCTTGAGCGTTGCTGCCGAGCACCTCAAGGCTACCGAGCGCATCCAGGGTGAACAAATCGATCGGGACATTATGAATCATCGCTATGAGGCGATCAAGGAGCTCTGTGAAGCTTTCCAGCGCGACACAGACCACGCACAGACCCTTGAGGCTACGCTAGGCATGATCCTCTTTCAGTGCTCGGTCGGTCGCGCAGACGATAGTCCCTCGGCGGAGGCCGTGGGCGATGCCATTGATGTCAAATGGCACTCACATTTCCTAGCCACCACTCAACTTGCGCAGAGACTTGAGCTCCCAGCTCAGCTTGTCGCTTTGAACGGCCAGCCACACGCACAGCCGCCTTTCAACATGACCCTCACATCCTGGATCGACGTCCTCGGTGCGACTATGCTCGGCCGAACTCCAGTGTTTGCGGACACGTACCGAGAAAAGTTGATCGCAGATTCACCATCTGGTCTCGCAGAACTCATGGGATGCGATGACAGGATCATGTACCTGATCTCCGAGATTGCATGCCTCGAGGCGTTGAAGATGGACCACATGGATGAGGTGCAGCTTTGCGCTCACATCAAGCACGTTGGTGACCAGATTAGCCTCTCGGAGCCGCCGCCAGGGACTGTGAGGAATCCTTATTCTTCGACTGGTGCCATACGACCAAAGCAGCTCAGTACGAACCTGACGGCTGTATTCCGTTTGGCTGCCCGCATCTACCTCTGCAGCTTGGTGCCGAACTTCGATCGCACTCAAGGAAGCGTAATAGCGAACATGGTGAATGCTTTAAGTGATACCATGGAGTACATTCCAGCGGGTCCTGATGGATTCGATACTTCCCTGGTGTGGCCACTCCTGATTGCCGGCTCTGTGTCGCTACCCAATTCGCCTTTCCGCACAATGTTTTTTGAACGAGCCAACCGATTGGGCGAGGCCTCGGACTTTGGTTCGTTTGGCAGGATGAAAGAGTTGCTCAAGGAAGTATGGCGCGTCAACGACGACGCCCTTGCGAACGGCGACAAACAGTGTGTTCACTGGCGGGACACGATGCGACAAAAGGGCTGGGATTTCCTGTTGATCTAGAGATCTCAGCCCTGCTGCTGGACAGCACGGCATCCTAGTCTGGGAGTCCAGCCTCTCCGCATCATTCTCTTCTTGTCGCGATCGCACTGCGTCTGGGCGCGGGTGTGCATCGCGTCTTCTTTTCAAATAGTACCTTGACCACGCTTTATACCCATACTGTAATTCTATAATCGGGAGGAAAGCCGAAGGAGCTGGAACCGCATCTAGGGGAATGGTGGCATCGGGCGGCAGCATGTACCCACGGCGTTGGAAGGATTTCATGGTTGACGAAAGTTACGGCTGATTGAATGTGCTGCGAAGCCCAGCAGGCACTTCGGTCTAGGAACGGGCTGGGAGAGACACGCAGAGGCTAGTGCAGCTACTGCGCATACACGGTGTATCATAGTCAATGGGCAGGTAGCATGAATGAAAGCTTGCGAAACGTACAGGTACAGAAACTGCTGTGTGATTGGTTGCGACCAATCGCGTCCTCGTCGCCGGCCAGTGGCGTCGAGGCTGCTAAATATAGCGCGAGCCCGCCCGCTCGATTGCGAAGCTGCGCTGCACATCCACGGAAGGACTCTTGACGTGCGGCACCTGCGCCGACGCTTCAGACAGACGGACATCGTACCTCTGTGCGGATAGGCTCGTCGTCAGCTGACCATCTCGCATTGTCGGCAGCCAATACGGCTCTAGAGGCAATTCCCCGTCTACATTAACGTAGCACTCCAAAGGGTATCCGGCCCCCACCGCGCAGACAACAACGCCCTCCAGCAACGCGCTTCCGCCGCACAATCCGCACTCGCCGCACCAATGTCGACTCCGGCCACGTACCCGCCGTTTCCTGCGGTGGACACAGCGAACCGCCCGGGTTCTCTGACGGACGAGGTCGAGTCGCCCAGCATATCGAGCACCAACGCCCTCGCCCGCTTCGAGTTCGAGGCCGGCCATGGCAGGGAAGGCACCAAGATCCTCATGGTTGAGTGGGAGGACGACGACACAACACGCGGCGTCCGCGGCGAGTGGCACATTTCGTGGGATGGCAAGGGCAAGACGACGGTGCTGCCGGCAGAGGACCAGCCGAGCAACGACGTGAACCGCATCTACTTCATGCTCGCGCCCGGTGTCGCCGTGCCCTCGAGTCTAACGCTGACGCACCGCCCGCAGGACGCTGACAGGAAACAAATAGTATGGCACACCAACCCACTGCCCGCGATATTCCCGCCCGAGCTGGGCGCATCGGCGCGGGCAACGGGCAGGAAGGGCATTCTCCACACCATCTGGGCCAAGAAGCGTCTCCAGGTGCTGCAGAAGGAGATCGAGGCGGAGTCGCAGAACAACGTCGAAGGCATTGGGTTCCTGATGGCCGTGCAAGAGAAGGAGTGGATCGAGCAGACGTTCGGCGTGAACGCAAAGCCTGCAGGCCTCAGCATCCAGCTCGCCGAGCCCACCGTTGCGCCTCTGGGGCCTGCGAGCCCTCGTTCGCCGGGCGGCGGTCGCTTGATGGAGAAGCTGCGCGGTCTGAAGCTGGGCACCAGCGAAAAAGACCTCACTTCGAAGACGGAACCTGGCGAAGCTCCCTTTGCCAACCCGCTATCGCCTGAGTCGTCTGACGTCGCCGTCTCGTCCTTTGCCGCGTTCAAGGGTAACAACCCCGCAACACTGGCAGCCAAACCCCCTCAGCCCCCGCAGCAGCAGCCCGCCCGCAAGGTCGCAGCACGCATCGAGCCGCCCGCCACGGTCGCACAGCAGCAGCACGCTGGCATGGCCTCTTTGAATGCTTTCGCCGCACCCGATGCGCCCACATTTCAGTCGCGCGGCGCTCCCCTGCCAGACGACGACCACGACGACGGGCTGTTTGCGCTGCCTATCAGTCCCCGCAGCCCGGAAATGGGTAAAAGCCCGTTTTCGTTTGCAGGCAGCGAAACGGCCAACTATGTCAGCGGGGAGCGTGCTTCGTAGAGATGGATGGCAGCGGGTGTGCTGGAGTTTTGGATGACTGCTGCTTTGATTGGGATGGGATTGCTTGTTACGGCGGCTTTTGTGCTGGCTTTGATGATACCTAGAGTATATAGCGATGACTGTAAAACGTCGTACACGACGATATGAATAGCGAAGGCGCGTGGAGCCTAGGCTGCCGGCGATGATGATTTGCAACATACTATCAGCAACGTGGTGCAGTTCGAGGACGTGCAGATTGCGAGACTCGACCGTAGCCAGCTCGCCCGCTGCTCCACATGTCGAAGAGGCCTCGCAGTCTTCCGGACCAGGATAGCGCGTGGTGAGGGAGCGAAGAGCCATATTCACGTGTCGTCCTTGCCTTGGCGCGGGAACTAGCGCGGCTCTGTGAACTTGTTAGTCTACGGGCTGGCAACCTTCGCATTGCCGTCACCTAACCTCAACCGCAGTCGAACCTCCGCATTGCGCCCACCGTCAGGTAGCCGTCGCATACTCGGTTAGCAAAACAGCAGAGGCCCCGCCCCGTCGCCATGTTTGTCAACGGACGCGGCAGCATTACGCAGGTGCACTACACCGGCGACGAAGCCGCCGCAGAGATCAAGAAGCTGCTCGACGCAGTGGTGCGCATCCCCCCAGTCTTTTTGCAGATCGCACGCGCTGACCTGAAGCAGATCGAGAACGAAGATGAATTCGAGCGCTGGGAAGCCCTAGTCACCCGCGCGACAGAACTGGAGGGCGGCGTCACGCGCAACTCCAGCCCCTCGTCCATCGAGCTGGTTCGCAACGCCTACAACTGTTTCCTCGCCAAATTCCCGCTCTTTTTCGGCTATTGGAAGAAATACGCCGATCTCGAATTTGCCATCGGCGGCACCGAGACAGCTGAGATGGTGAGCGCTAGCACATTCTGCCCTCGCAAGGCGTGCGTTGACCCCGTCGCAGGTATACGAGCGCGGAGTATCGTGCATACCCAGCTCGGTCGATCTTTGGGCACACTACTGTGCATTCAAGATGGACACGAGCCACGACAACGACATCATCCGAGAGTAAGTCCAGCTTCCTTCCTTGAACCGGGAACTCAACCGCACCCGCAGCCGACGACAGAGCAGCTGCTGGCTAGCTTCATGAGCAAGCAGCGGCTCAAGAGCCAACTTTCGCGCCCGTTAATTGCGCCGTTCACTGCCCACTGCCCTTCTCACTTGAGCACGACAAATACGAAGATATTCGCACCGGAAGGATTGTTTTGGTCATGTCACAAGACGTCGCGTTTCTCTACTGCAAGCTCACCCCTGCTCCCTCCTCCCATCCCGCTATGATCTGCGTACTTGACTAACCACCGCTAACTCTCCAGTCTATTCGAGCGCGGTGCACACTTCGTCGGCCTTGATTTCCAAGGTCATCCCTTCTGGGACAAATACATTGAGTTCGAGGATCGAAACAACGAACCAACTAGAGTCGCGCATCTCTACCGCCGCGTTTCCCAAATTCCGATGTACCAATTCGCGAGATACTACGAAAAGTTTCGTGGTTTGATCAATAGCAACACTTCAGTAGAAGACCTTGCAGAGCCTGAGACGCTGGAAACATTGCACGCCGCTGTTGCTACCGAGAACCAAGGTTTTGAGCGCGCACCCCTCGAGCTGGACCGACAACTCCGCGTCAAACTTGATCAATACTATTACGAAGGCTACACCCGCACGCAAGCCGATGTCACAGCTCGTTGGCCTTTTGAGGAGAAGATCGAACGAGGCTATTTCCATGTCACTGATCTCAAAGACACCGAACTCGAGAACTGGCGCAAGTATCTGGATTTCGAAGAGGCACAGGGCGATTTCCATCGCACATGCTTCTTATATGAGCGTTGTTTGGTGGCATGTGCTTTGTATGAAGAGTTCTGGCTACGCTATGCGCGTTGGATGTTCTCCCAGGAGAACAAGGAGGAAGACTGTCGGCAGATTTACATTCGAGCGAGCTGCATCTTCGTCCCTATCTCGCAACCGACCGTACGCCTGAATTGGGCTCGATTCGAAGAGAAGCTGGGCCGAACTTCTCTCGCACATGACATTCATGAGGCTATTCTGGATCAGAATCCAGATCATGTCGAGACCATCATATCGCTCGCTGGTGTAGACCGTCGTCATACAGATGCAGATGCCGCAGTAAGCACGTTGGAGAAGTACATCGGTCAGCGCAACGCGCATGTCGGCGGCGTCTTGGCTGCCGAGCAAGCGCGCATCTTGTGGCAGTCGAAGCGTGCGGTTGATGAGGCCCGTCAGCTGTTCAAAGACAAGGCAGACAAGTTCCTGGAATCGAAAGAGTTTTGGCTGAAGTACATGGATTTTGAAATCGCTCAAACCCCGAGCGAAGAGGACGAAGCCCACAAGCGCGTGAAAGATATTCACGAGACCATCCGCGCCAAAGGACGATTTTCCGAGGAAGCCTCAAAGGCGCTTTCACACCACTACATGGAGTACTTGATGGATCACGGAGGCAAGGACGCCGCCGACGAATTCATGAAGCTCGACCGCGAGGTCAATGGGTATGTATCGTCGAAGAATGTCGATCTGCCACACGCGAAACCTCAAACGAAGAAGCGGAAAAACAAGAATAAAAGCGCAGCAGCCACGACGGCGTCATGACCTGATCTCAGCGTCGTAGAGGCAAGCTCGGCCCTGTCCTTTTCATTTGGTTGCCTGCCTGCCGGGTCTTCGTTTCCTCGTTCTGCATCACCTGAATACCATTAATTATTTCTTCTTGTGTGCTTTGTCCGCACCGTAGATAGACAGTGTAAAGAAAAACATTTCTCCTTTCGAAGACACACTCTACTCACTTATTGCTTGCGCCTGCAGTCTGCGATGTTTCCCGGTGTGGAGCGCGCCAGCAAGAGCGAGGTGCCGTCCGTGAAGACGAAGCCTGAAAGCTGTTGTTTGTCGCAAGCCGCTTGTACTCGGCAATCAGTCTCGTCAATGCTTATCACACGGCAGCGATTCGCACGACAAATGGGCATCGTATTGGATCGAACAGCGTTAGGCAAGTGTAGACTCTTGTGATGACAACCGCCAACGTAGCCTTAAGCCTAGACCACGACCGACACGAATATCGTACGCTGTTCTCCATCACTAGAGTCGGTGTGGCACTATCTAAGTATCACCTTTCTATTGTGCGGTCCAGCAGGGTCTCTTTTTCTCGATTCCTAGATCTTCTCGCAATGTGTTAAGTGCAGGCCTTCCGTGACCTTGAGAGGCATGTCAAAGCCCACTAGGCTTTCCCAAAGCTGGACTACATTGCTGAAGTGGGCTATGGTGATCAATGGCGGACATGAGGTCACTTGGTGTATTGGTGATTCTGTGAGAACGCGAACACGCCGCGCGAAATTTACACTGGCTTCTGATTGTTTTGGCGCAATACCTATCTACATATCCGCTCGGTATCCAACAGAGCTACATGCAGCACCTACGACTAAAGCTTTAGCTCTCATACCGCTACACCGGCGGAGTTCTTCTGTCGTGGTTCCCCCACCGCCTCGAAGGTCCCATTCGCCAACCTCCTCAGCCCCTGCGCCGTGCTCTGTCCCGGCGCCACCCACGTGACATTCGCACCCAACTCTCTCAAAAACGCCGTCGTTTCATTGCTGAAAGCATACTCGAAACTGACCTGTGCGGGGACAAGTTGGTCGTGTATGCGCGGTTGGGCGAGGGTTTCTGCGACGGAGAGCCCCCCGTCGAGAATGTGCAAAAGGTTCTGCGCCGTTGCGGTGATGATGCGGGAGCCGCCTGCAGATCCAATAGCTACGTAAAGAGCGGACGCGAGGGAGGTAGCATTGAGGTGCTCGACGATGACAGGGGCGATAGAGGACAGGGGCCGTTTGCCGGGGCGTACAAAGTTCGCAGGGGAAGGGATGTACCCGAAAGCATTTGTGACGTTGGGAATGCTAAAGTCGTTCATCTCGTTGTTGAGTAGGACGCCCGTCTCGGGTACAACGAGCTTGGCGCCAAAGAGCGTGTTGATGGTCGTAGTGAGGCTGATAGAGAGCCCCGAGGAGTCTGCGGTCACGACGTGTGATGTACCGGGCGTTTCGAGCGATTCGAGGCCCTTCGGGTCGTAATAGGACGTGTTGAAGGTCTGAGTGTCGCTAATCTTGGAACGAATTTCGGCTGCCTACGGATGCGAAAATAGAGTCAGCATAAGGTAGAAATGGGGGACAAGTGCCTCGTCTTTGTATACTTTTCGAACCCGGGCGTTACGTACCGTGGCAGCTGAAACCATGGCTTCCTGATAGGCGTCGATGCCAGAGAGGTACGAAGGGTCACCGAGCTCTGAGCGCATGCCGTAGGCGAATTTCATTGCTTCGTCAATGCGGTGCGTGGTGAGATTGATGGCGGATGGGTCACCTAAACCGTCGTATCCTTCGAGTATTTTGAGGATAGCGAGTGTGACTTCGCCACCCGAAGGGGCGCTGCACGCAGTGAGCTTGTAGTCGCGGTAGGTGATTGTCGAGGGCTTCCTGATAGCGACGGTGTAGTTCTTGAGATCCTCGAGCGTCATAGTTCCATTGCGGGCTTGGAGGGCGCGGATGGTACTTTCAGCGATGGGGCCGGTGTAGAAAGCATCTGCGCCTTCGTAGGCGATTGTCTCCAGCGTGTCCGCATATCTCTTTCTCGTTATGGTCTCGTTGAGCTGTACCAGCCGTCCCCGAGGCGCGAAATCAAAGGCAAATTCAGGATCATTGACGAGGAAATTGGACGTGGCGTTGCCTGTCGAGCCGATGGCGGAGTTTATATAGTTCACGAGATCTTGGTTCACGGTCCAGCCTTCGCGGGCTACCTTGACAGCTGGAAGCAATACAGTGGACCATGGCAAGGAGCCGTACTTGTTGTGAAGATGTTGGAGTCCGCGAAGTTCACCAGGCACGCCTGATGCAAGACCGCCGGTCAGACTGGCCTCTTCATTGTCCTTGTACATGTCCTCGAATGCACTCCCCGGGGCTGTCTCTCTAAAGTCGATGAATTCGTAGGTGCCATTGGGCGAGCGGACGATCATGAAGCCACCGCCGCCAATGCCTGATGATAATCAATATCGTCTTGGTCCCATAGAAGTTGCGTAGCCCACCTGAATGGTACATGCCAATGACACCGACACAAGCTACGGTGCCGACCATAGCATCTGCTGCATTCCCACCCTTCTTCAGCAGCTCAGTGCCAATGTGACTGCAAATGTCGCTCTCAGACGCGACGGCACCCAAGTGGCCCGGCTCGAGCACCGGCGGGGTAGCATACTGCGGGCTCGCAAAGACAGTGTGCAGCGTCAAGAGCCCCAAGAGGACCTGGGTCATGGGCGCCATGGTCTACGAACAGGCGTGGAGATGGAGGGCGACAGCAGCCCATGATCTACTCCAATTCCACGGCAAAATGACGGTGATAATCGGTGTACTACTTTAGCAACCATGCGTGGTGGACGCGGCGCTTTGGGAAGCTCGGAAGCTATGGCCACGGGCGGCATGAGCACGACTCGGTGGCTTTTTCCACACGTCGCGATGCAGCCGTGCCGATAGCGGAGGCCTCGTCGTCCGCGACCATCCAAACCGACGCGCGTTGATAGATACGTGAGATGGTGATGGCACCGCAATAACGGGGCCTGACCATACCCACCTTCCTCTTCTGGACTGGCGGTGGTTGGTTAGTTCGACATGGATGCCGGCCAGGTATCTGTTCTTCTGATAGGCACGATAGGTAACAGCCGTTCTTTCGTAAGTTCTCTTAGATGCACGCTTGATGGACATCCAGGCGTTTGTGTTATATAAACGTACATGTGTACTCAATCACATCCTCTCGGAGGGGCATATATGTCATCTTGAAGGAGAGTACACACTGTTGGAAAGGAGAACACACACCCTCAGATAAGCACGTACACCGAAAACCTCGTATGCTATTCGTGCGTCTACTTAGGGGTAGGAATAGTAGCTACATCGAAGCAATAAACACAATGAGTCTTGGGTTTGGCCCTTGTCGGCAAATTCATCTCGTGGCTCCTCTCCGGCAAGAAAGAATAATTCCTGTTCTGCTCTCCCACGTCCAATTAAACTGGCCTCAATTGTCGCTCCGCTCCAGCTAGTAGTAAGATTTAGCCCTGCGAAACGAAGTTGCTTGTTGAGTCTTCATCTACCGCCCTGTCAAAAACATACCTAACGACGGAGGTGCGAAGTAAGTTTAGGTGTGTCAGATCCGTAGCCAGGTAGTACGTACCTTGAGGCCCATTCGGCGCCACAGCCAATGACCTTGCGTGATCCTCGCTTTTCTTCCGAACTGGCTTCTCTTTTCGAACGAACAACTCGCCAACAGCATGCCCTTCCTCCCGAACGGCAACCCATCTCCCCGTGCCCATATCAGGTGGCGCCCTGCGCACTCCTCTGCCTCCGCCTCCGACAATCAGGTTACCTGGTCGATACGTGCTGTCCGCTTCCATGCGTTTGATGACACTACTATGAATCAATGCATTGTCCGGAATATCTCGAACTTCGCCTTTCGGAAGAGGCCATGTGATTGCTTTCCAACTTCCATCTTCCTGTAAGTCCATACGACGGAAAGGGAGATATTCCATGACGTTCCACGACATGGTCCCCAGTCGTGTCGCTCCGTTCCTAAACTGGAGGACATCGTGGATCTTCCCACAGGTTGCGGCAGAGTGCAGATGCTGAAGGAACCTGGTGTGGTAATCGTGAAGCGTCGCAGGCTCACTGTACAGCATCTTAGTACATGCTACGTAGCAATGATCCGTCTGAGAAGAAATGACGTACTTAAGAGACTGGTCCACCGGGGCAAACGCCGATGAACGCTCATGATGGATTTGAGCTCCCTGGGCCGCCTCTTCGCTACCTGAAATTGGTCGACCAAATGGCGAGACCTCACGATCACCCGCAGCAATAATACTTGGCGAGGCGGGGTCAAGTGCGATGGTTGGTACTTGAGTAAATGTCTTTTGGTGCGGTTCTGGAGATGCTCGTATCGACTCTGGATGGCCACATTTCAGTGCGCGAAGCTTCACCTCGTCGAACTGCAAACCCGCGCTTTGAGCTTCGCGGACCATCCAGACTAAAGGGACATGGCTGAGGGCTGCATGCTCCCCTGAATGCAAAGGCCAACCACCACCGATGTCCTTCGCACCGATTAGCAGATGCAGTATGTCTATTAACATGTTGCGGGGCCCCCATTAGTCTCAATGTTGAGGATTTGGCTCCCAGTAATCCGTGATTGGCTCTGGATAATGTGCGTGTGTTTACTTGTCTTTGGTGGCAAAAAAGGTGAGAAAGATAGTGTACTTACCGCGTGGCACCCCGCAAACCAGACCTCCTTTATATCCTGCTCCCCCTCGTCATCAGAATCGGGGGTCTGGAGATTATGGAGAGCATCTAGAGAAAGGTTGGATACGGATGTGAGGGCCGAATTCACTCCTGTATGAGCTGGACTCGCGTTCCTTGTGCCTGCAGACGCTTGGGAAAAGTCACGAGTTCCTCCAGGAACAGCCAATGTCTCGCGCCGGCCATTTGGTTGCAAAGAAGTCCGACCTCTCTGGTGCTGGCTAAGTAACGAACCATCATCTTTCCCGTCGAGGCCGTCAAGTGTGGTTATCGTAAGAGCAGGCTTACGTCGGCGACGTTTGTAATAGTTGGATCTATTCGGCCTAGCTTGGGATATCAAGTCCTGTCGGAATTTGGCCCGGCGCTCATCAATTGAGACAGCATGACGTATGACTCTCGCGGAGCTCCTCGCGGTATATGGGAATTTGCTTCGTTGCATCCATGCGTTTTCGAAACTGGGTACGCTGTTGACAGTATCGAAAAGGCCCAAAAACCGGATCTGCATTCAAGGGTAAGCGCTTCTGTTCCTGTATGGCTTGTTCTGGGCTGGCAGACTGGCTTGACAGGTCGACTGAAGGTTTCCCTGAATGCACACATGAATTCGAGCAAGCGGCGCTTTTGTTGTTTCTCCTTTTCGGTTCGTTCTTGTCGACATTGCCATCGTTGAAATGTCCTGCAGTGTATGAGCTGCAGCGTTTGTCACCAACTACGGGGAACTCACTTCCAGGCAAAGTGACCTAAGCCAAGCATACACAGATTAGCCGCAATTTCCACCACGTACTCGAGAATCACTTACACATTTCCTCGTTTCCAGCGGATAAGAGCCCAACGTGATCAAGCATCTCGGCGAGGAAGCGTGCGGTATAGGCGCCTCTTGAGAAGCCAAAAAAGTAAACGTCGTCTCCGGGATTGTAGTATCGCATCAGAAACTAAGACAGTGTTAATACACGTTGTTGCCATAGTATGAACCGTACAACGGCCACCAGTGTACAGGCTCTGTTGTAGTCATCGCCTCTGGCCAGTACAGTGCGTTTGCTGTGCCTGTTGTCATTACAGTGCTCACCTTGTAGCCGCCCATGACATGCTCCGCGAATGAAGTGCCGATGGCGCTGTCCTTGGCTTTTATATACCAGCTTTTGAGCCTGTCGAATGTGCTAGAACTCGAAACGTCCTTCTTAGAAGACGTGACGACGTAGGTACCGATGCCTGGCTGATAGTAGTGAAACTGATCATCTTCGTTGCGATCCAAAAGCCTATATATCTTGAGGATATTGGAATCAGCGTCGGTTCCGGAGAACTTGTTGCCCGTGCCGTCGAAGCAGAGAATGAACTTTCTCCTGCGTCTCGACGACTGAGCTGCCGCCGTAACTTCCATGGTAGTGCGATACTAAACGAACAGCGCCAGGGTTAGAGCAAGTCAAGAAAATCGGGAGCGGTACTGTGTCTAAGCCAAGCCAGAATGAATCTTTCTGGTGCATGAAGGACACGTCTACTTCGTGCTCGGTGGTGTCGTACGTAGTCTAGCTGTGCTTGCAAGTCGGCCGCCGGTGGTGGAGGATCGGAGTCTAACGCCATCGTGACTACAAGCCAGGTACTGCATGTGGTGTTCCTTCTCCTAGGAAGATAGAGAGCTTGAAGCCTATCTGGAAAGAGGATTGGAGGTGAAAGTATGTAAGAGTAAGGCAGCGACGTGCAAGACGAGCAAGAGCATTCAGCGAGATATCCATGGATTGGGACTGCGTTCCAAATGCGAACACGAGGTCATCCGTTGTGTGGCTGCGAAGCCATCTTGTGCAAATTGTGATCACCGCGCCTGAACCCTCAGCTAATAGACGCCGGGTAGCAGTGCAAACCTCGCAATAACTGGCGAGGCAAGGGTAACACTTGTCTGTAAATGGACAAGGCGGAGGCAGCATGGCACGATGAGGTTGCGTGTGAGAGGCGTACCGAGTACCTTCTCCACCTTTTGCGTGACCTGAGATGCATTGAATGCTTCAGCTGAATCGGGGGCGCATCGTTAGGGAGATCGTCTGCAACCGTCCTCCAATTCAGGCGCAGCTCGATGGTGCACCCAAATTGGACAATGCATTCGTGTCGATCATGCTGGTTACACGCAAAAACCCAAGACATTTCTTCACCATCTCGCGTCAAGCTGTCGGTCGCCAGGCTTAACGAATTGTCGGCAAGGACTCTCTCGGATTGGTTCACAAGCACCGGAGCTGAACTTGTGGGCTGCACGTCTCCAGTCACGTAACGCCACATGCATATGTAGCGTATTATTGAGCATGCCCGACTATTGTGGCCTGCACTTCAAGTATTCCGATACGTCCAATGGCAGTCTTCCTTGACAAAGAGGCATCACTGTTGCTCTTGACCAGCGACGCAGATGCGTATACCACTATGAGTCAACCGCGATGCTTCGGGAGTCTAAGAGCAACAGCCATGGCGGCCCGAAATTCGAAAGAGGGATGACAAGTCGCTCGAATCCATAGGCACTGCACTCGTGACGCAATATATCAGCAAAAGACAGCCACGCAAATTGGGCAAGCGCAAAATGTTCTATAAGTCAAGGAAATCTTAAACTCGTTCTGTTGAGCAAAATAGTTGTCACTGTACAAGTATTGAACACACTCATCGCTCCTCCTGTTGATCCCAATACCCTGAAATACACTCTTCTATGATTTGTTGGTCGGCTTTGGAAGCTTGCTCAGGATAGGGCTCTTGATCGGCGGGTTATACATAATCTTCCTCGATTTGACTGAGGCCCACTTGTACCTATAATTCCGTTAGCAGCCTGTCACGATAGGTCTTGTCTAATCATGCTTACCTCTTGACCCAGATACTCAATGCGGTCAGCACGCTGGAGACCGCAAGCACCTTCCAGCCCATCTTCTTGCGATCGTCTGCCTCTGGCTCGGCGGCCCAGTTCAAGAACTCTGTCACATCCTTGGCCATCTGTGAAGTCGTCGCAGGAGTCTCGTCCTCATATTCGACCAGGTCATCATAGAGGACACGCGCCATAGCGATCCCTGTACCGGGGAAGTAGGGATTGAAGTTGAGGCCCTCAGGCACGACCGCACCTGCCGGGGGCTCCTCGGGATAACCGGTCAGCAAGCTGAAGATGTAGTTGCAGCCGCCGTGGCGAGCCTTGACCATGAGCGATAGATCCGGGGGCAGAGCTCCGTTGTTCGCGGCGCGAGCGGCTTCGTCGTTCTTGTAGGGGCCGGGAAGGTAGTCGGAGAGCTTTCCGGGGCGCTTCTCAATCTCTCCCTCATCGTTGGGTTCTGTGTCGTATTCGTTCTCCTCGGCTAAGGCTTTGGCTTCGTCGACTGTCATGATTTTACCAACGAGCGAGCGATATGGGATGCGGGATAGAGAATGGCATGAAGCGCAGACTTCACGGTAGACCTGGAATCCACGTCGAAGGCTGCAAAGTTTACATTAGGCCCGTTCATGTAGAGCGTGGCTCGGAGGGCACTTACCCCTGGCTGTCGAATGTCTTGTTCCACTTTGCGTGCTCCCAGGGATATTGCGTCGGGTGGAGACTATGATGCGAATGCGTTAGCCCCAGGTCTCATGCCGCCCAAGCCTTCCAGCCCATCGTCTCCCCAGCCATACAATCGGGGCATCACTTACCCTTCCTCCGCTGGCGTCATCGCATCGACATCGCGGCCGGCGATGTAGGCGTACCAGGCAACGGTTCCGATCGCGAAAGCGGTGGCGCCGACGGGGAGGGCGTTCGTCTTCCAGGACGAGGCCGCACCCTCGGCTGTCGAGCTGGATGTCGAGGCAGAGCGCTATGCCACCAATGCGTTAGCAGGCACACCAATGGGGATGGAGGTGGACGATGGCACCGCATGCTGGCCTGCGATGGATTCGTAAAGCTCGCAGGAGCTGCGGACTGCCGTTGGGATGACCGGGTGTCGTACCGAAGTTGTCTTGCTGGCGGCATTGCGGGCTACCGCGCCGACCGAGCGCGTCGAGCGAAGAGCCGATCGAGCCAACATTGCGAGCTGGAGCTGGCTCGGAGGCTACGGAGAGGTGGGGAGAGTCGGGTGATGCTGGCGGAGAGGTGTGGTGAAGGCGTCGGGCAAGACTTCTCTCCCTCGCAAGTTAGCGAGCTGCCGATCCGTGCCGATTATTTGGAGCTCTGTCATTGGCCAAACAGGCCTAGGGCATTTACACTTGAAAATTGGCAAATCACGATGCGAAGCTCACATGCATTGTCAACGTGGTTCAATTGGTCTTCCTTTCTGTAGAGTGGCTCGTCGTCTGAAGCTTCTTCTACTCTGCACAAGACCTCGTTTCCTTTCCCGCAACCTATCTTACATTGTCTCTATGGATACTTCCGTGACCGCCAAGTAGTCTGATTCATCCCTAGAGCTCCCTGTCAGCCGCCTTCAATGGCTTCTCCTCGTCCGCCGACTTGTCCGCCGTGACCTTCTTGTCTCCCTTCCAGCCCATAGCTTTCAGACGCTCCGTCAGGATGGGATGCGAGTGATGGAAGCTAGAGTAGAACCAGTCAGCGTCCATGCTGGAAAGGTTTTGGACCTGGAGCTTGATCAACGAAGCGCCGAGTTCCCCAGCGTAGCCCAGCTTCACAGCAAAAGCATCTAGAGCCAATTAGCATAACCCATATATCGTGCACCTAACAGCTCCACTGACCTGCTTCGTACTCCATACTACGCGTCCAGACGTTCAGAAGCAGTTTAATAACCGAGTCCGTGGGTGACAGGATCTCGTTGAACAGCAAAAATCCAATCATAACGGGCTGCTCCAGGTGGAAACCAAAATCTGCGTAAAGCGACTGGTTATTGATGAACACAGAGAAGAGGGCGAATATGTAAAACATATGTGCCTGGCTGATGAACAGGAGTCTGGATGTGTGGTTCATCTTCCAGTGACCGAGCTCGTGTGCCAGGACAGCTTCAACCTCTTTCTCGGTGCTCTTCTCAAGCAGGGTATCGTAGATGACAATCTTCTTCTTGCCAATCCACGGCAAACCCGTAAAATACGCATTGCTGTGAGCGCTGCGCTTGCTACCATCGATGACCTGAAGCTCGCTGAGTGGGAATTGGAGTCGAGAAGCAAGGGCCTCGACAGACTCCTTCAGCTTCCCGGGTTTGAGCGGCTCAAGCTTGTTGAACATGGGGACGATGAGAATTGGGTAAATGGTCATGGCCGAGATCTGGACCACAAGCATGAACACCCACAGGTAGTAGAAGAAGCTCTGTCCTGTCTTCTTGATGATGGCCAAAAAGGCACTGCCAATTGGAATGCCAAATGCAATAGCAAGTGCCTGCCCCTTGATCATGTCCATAATCCAGAGCTTGACCGTCATTTTGTTGAAGCCAAACTTCTCCTCAAGCACAAAGCTATGGTAGTAGGAGAACGGAAGCCCGGCAGCAAGGTCGATCAGGCCGAAGAGGTATACGAAGAGTAGTGACTGCGAGATCTCGCCGGAGAAGCGAGCGGGAGCATAGCGAGCGAGGATGGTGCCTGCGACGCCCCAGACGATGGGGTAGACATTGAAGTAGAGAACAGCGATGGACTTGAGCTGGTTGAAAAGACCGGACACGAAGCTGAACTTTGCCTTTGCGCGGCCGTATGCCTAGAGCTTGTGTCAGCCAGGCGCGGGGTATGCGCTGCGCTCGAGGCTTACCTGCGACTTGTCGAAGGTGGACCGGTCGATTTCCTTTTCCAGAGCCTTCGGAACATTGTCCCTCTGCAAGACGCGGTATTGACGGAAGAGAAGCCAGTTCTCGAGGGCGAACTCGGCGAGGGAGAAGCCGATGACCAGCTTCTTCCACGGGAAGAGTGGCCTGTCAAGCCAGCGAGCAAGCCGCTGCCCACAGTTAGCAATAGCCAGTTGCAAATGGGAACGCGATTCAATTCACCTGCAAAAAAGCCTGAATCATTTTGTGGCGTGGTGTGGTGTCGAATAGCAACGTAGGCAACGTTGAGGACACTTTAGATATTACCGTTCCTAGGCTGATCTCACGCGCGTCGAGACCCGTAGCCAATCACGACACGGTGTCACGAGCGGGTCTCGCTCTCCCTAGGCATATAACTAAGAAGCACATTTGGCATTGTATTCTTAGCTTAGAGATAATTCAAATGCTTTTGTTCCCTCGTTGCATTGTTCTACAGAGATCCCGGCACCCAATGCGCTCCTCGGATTCGCCTCCGTTCGTAGGCGTTGGGAACACCGTGACCAGAGGCAAGCCCGTGATTTAGGTGCATCGAATGGCGCATTATCACGTTCCTCTTCGGTTGTCCGTTCGTCGTTGATATGAACTCTGCCATGGTGGGTTGCTGCGTCGCAACGAACGAGTCATCCTCTCCCAACCCAGTTTGATGGTACGCAGACACGGAGTTGATATACTTAGGCAACCTGGATCTGTATGTCAGTATCAAGGAAAAAGTCATCGTAACTCGCATGAATTGGGGCCTGGTGATTGGGGGAAAGCAAGCATGTTTGAGAACAGTATTGTAGTCACAGATGAAATGGTGGATGAAAGGTACTGCGAGATGGTAAAGTTCTGTGAGAACCTACACAAGCCACAGACAGGGAACCTTAATAGAACACTACTCACAGCACTCAAGCGCACTTCATGGCCTTAATTACTTGCTTATCATTGAATCAACGTCCTGCCGACTGTGTGTTCGGCGCGGCATCCCACATCCGCCAATGCCAGTCTCATCCAACACAAATATGGAAACCCTAATAGTGCAGCAATGTGTCCCAATACTCGAGCCCCCTGTCTGAGGAGCCGGGGCTATCGAAGCTGCCGTCGCTACCAGTGATCTATGAACCACCCAAACCCAAAAGAAAGAATTGCTTCATCCGTCTATGAACTCCATCTATATCGTGTAGGTAAAGACCCGTAAACCGCGTCCAGTTAAGCGCCGTGCCTGTCCGTAAAAGAGCCCGTCTAGTATCAAAATCTTGAAAAGGGAAGGAGCCCAATGCCAGTTCTAGAAACACCAATGATGCCGCATAATCGCTAGAAGAAAGCCAATAAAGCAAGTCTATATAACAGGATACGAGGTTGCCAGGACCGAGATGGCGTATTATTTCGAATCCATGATGTGGATGTGAGTGCAGATGAAATTGTCGTCCGGATTGCGTGTGTGAGAACCCATTAGACCTGATCGATTGTGTTCGACTCAAGTCGAAACCTGGAAGAACCGCACGATCGCATCATGCCATATCGTGCATGAGAATTCTTTTAGGATTAGCTATTGTTCAAGCTAGAGTACAGCGGAATGGCATACCGGGAACATTGACTAGCCCCATTAGCCACCACATCGCGGCTGCGTGCCCTCATTCTTGCATGTGGTAATCATAGTAGAGGAAGATCGGGGTCGAGAGCCAGGTCTTGGAGCGCCGCCGTCACGGGGTTGTTTGTCGTCGGAACGAGTGAGGTGGGGGGGGAGTTGGTAATGAGTCTCATGGTAGGATATCGGAGGTTTAAATTGACTCAGTGGGCTTGGTTGTTGAGTGTGGCTGAAGCTGTTGTGGTTCGTGATCGAGCTGCAGGCGTATTGTAAGGTTGATGTGTGGCTGTCTCCATGATGGACAATATCGTATATAAGTATCACACCCTTAGACATGCTAGACAGCGCCACACATGAGAGTGCCTCACAAAAAACACTCGCCTTTTTCAGGCTATGACGCAGAACTTCAGAATTCATTTCTCGGTGAACTTGAAGGTCAAACCTGAAGGAGAAAAGTGCAACTCCGCCACAACCTGAATGAGGCGACAGCCATTGGTTTGAAGGAGACAGGAAGGCTGCAGCAGGCGGTAGCTCCCCTAGTGCGAGTTCGAAAGGTTTCCAGAGCAAGGAGAGCCAGGGTGAAATCAAAGGTAACTCTTTTGGTTTACCGCTCCTCGCGGCCTTGAAAACAGCCTAAGGGTCACTCGAGGTGCGAAGCCACAACCACCTGCCCAAAATACGAGCGAGGCCGAATCTGAGGCTGCCATTATACCACTGAGGCAGGGAATATGGTGACGGGTGGGACGTGAGTGGTGAATTCGACCTCGCTGCCTAATGGTTCGAGGTGTGACTCGCGCACAGCCGCAGCAGTGGCTTGTGGGCCGCACCTGGGCGCACTCAAGGCACTTCAGCACCGCAGTTCAGTTCAGGCTACCGGAATGCACCCGGTCTGGCGAGTCCCTGCCGCCGATAAAGAGCAACCGAAGTCCCTCGATCACGGTCCGGTTTCTTGCGGCGATGGCGATGGCGACGGCGACGAGTTGTTCACCGGAAGCACAGCCCACGAGTCCCTCCAGCCAAGCTTCACCGAGGCTGGTGCACTGTCGTGAGTCTCCCCCCAAACCAATTGCTAGGGTAGGTTCGATCGGACACGAAAAAGCTGGATCTTGCGACTGGGCCGAAGTTGAGGCAGTTTGGGCGGGTTTGTCGTTCGAGCAGCTCGACTGCGCCTCGTCCAAGAACAGCTAGCGGCCAGCCGTGTGGTTCTAGGAACGACAAACCATCAATCCATCTGTTGCACACAATGTAGAAACAGAGAAACGTATGGTGCTGCTGCGGTCGGTGCCATTGCTGAAACATTGGCATGCAAAGACACGGCATCCTCTCCTCCGAATTCTCCAGACGGCACCCGGGACGTTGGTCTGGCAGGTATGTTGATGTAGGGATTTGGCCCTTCTGGCAGTAGAGTCAGTAAACGGAAACGTTGCTTATCAGAGGAGAACATACAGTCACCGCCGCGCGGTTGAGCATCGGGATCGCCAGCCTTGGGTCGATACTCGCCGCCGGGGCAGGCGAGCGTCTCCGAGTTGGGCTTATAGCTGGACATGTTGAGTGTAACCGGACGGATACGTGCTAAGTATAAAATGGGAATGCTCGATTTAAAGGGATAGTTGGTGACCAGAAGTATTCAGGAAGCGTGGCAGTAGTGTATACTATTTCAGAATGGCTTGAAGCTCATGCACCGGGCGCGGTCTATTTAAACCTGAAGAGGCTCTTGCGAGGTCTCGTCAGGTATACTCTCTCTACGGTCCATGGCAGCACAGGGCAGCGCAGGGCAGCGCAGAGGCAAAGGGCAAGCAATCACGGTACGTGGCCCTACGTATCTGAGCTTTGAGCACCGAGTGAAGCAATTCCAAGGTACCGCGGTGACTCTTCGCGGAAAGGGACGAGACAGACCCAGTGTTCCGGCGACGGCGGCCAATCGCGCCGGAGCGCGCTGGTGCTTCATTTTTGCCGTCTGAAACAGGCTGACTTGCGATGGTGTCGTGAGAGCGCGATGGAGCAGCCTGGAGGGTAGCGCCCAAAGCGGCTACGTGCACGCGAGCCTCATTTTTGATAGGCCCGCTACGCCGCGGAACGTCGGCACGCCTCTTGACTGCTAGCATCACCCATTCCGCGGCTCTTCTAGACGCCTTCTGCGCATGTGGAGTCTGGTGGACGGCCATGCGCTGGCGGCAGCCCTACGAGGTTATGCGCGTGGCAGATGGATCGGGACCCTCTGTTTCGCGGCTGTCACCGGGCCATGTCCCTTCTCGACGCAGGTACGCTGCACGCGCCGCTGGTCGCTCGGCCCGAAAAGCCCAGCTCGTCGACCAGCGTGCCACTGTCTCATCCCTTTCATGATATCATGGCAAGCGAGCGGTGGGTTGCTTAGACAGGAGCAGGGCCAGCAGGGCCACGACCGACAGCTTTGCGCCCTTGCCCTTTGTTTTCCCATCCACGCCCTGCATCGCCGCCAATCCGTGGACTTCTTGCGCGAGGCAGGTTTCGCCCATGTGCCCTCCACAGAGTGCCCCGCGAGAGCCCCGCGCTCGCTGGCCTGTCACCTCCAAGTCGACTTGCTTTTTCTACGAGGCATTCGTGGAGCAGCTCGGTTCCTCAAGGGCGAGTTGCCCCTTCTCCCACGCACAAGTTGGAGGCCGTGTGCGCGCCCGAAGCTGCGGAAACCCGGCAAGGGCAACGCGACCATCTCTCGTCGTAGGGGTGTAAATGCTAAAGGCAGCCTGTCCAGCGGATAGGTCTTAAGACTACGTCAATTGCTGATAGGCGTGTCTTGTATATACGTTTTAGATGATCGATGCTCCCGGCGTGTACAGTGTTCTATCGACCGGCGTTTCGTCCATATGCGGAGTACCAGGTCAACCTATTTGGGATCAGTTTCTGCCCATAGGAGGGTATTTTGCAACGCCAGTGCAATGTTAGTTTAAGGTTTGGCCTCATGACGGCACAGGTAAGCTGCTGCCGCCGCCCACGCCATTAGAACACTGACACTGACTTTGCTGACGTCTCAGCAGTCTCGCACACTCCGGGGCTCTCCAACATGGCCACCAATCAAACTCGATCCCATTGCAAGCGTTGGTGGTGAGAGTTATTGACCGCTGCCAAGCCCCGAAGTGCCGCCCATGGTGATACAGTAGTTGGGAACGAGGCGTCCGGAGCACAGATGCGATGTTTTCGTACCTGAAGCAGTCCCTGGAATGTCGTGACAAGGAGTGCTAACCCTAAGCTCACGTAGGATCGACCGGCTATGCATGGAGATCGAATTGCGGGGGAAGCGCGTCTCTCCCCTGGACGTTCCGCTACACGCAGTCTTCCAGATTGCCTTCGCGCATTTTCCCTACTCTTCAACGTACCGCGCAACGTCTCTCGACCTGCCGGAGGCTCATGCGCGCCAACGTGGTCAGCCGGGAGGGCGCTGCTGAAGGCGAGGGTCAAGCGCGCCCTCGGTCCAATAGCGGCTAGGCTAAGCTCTATCTACAGGCGGACGTACCTATCCTGTAATGATCCAGAGCGTCCACCACTGAGAGCTAATCCGTCCCTGTCGACCTGCAGCCTCCTCCGCCTATCCTATAAACCCATGGCTTCGCTGTTTGCGAGCTGGTTCCGGTCCCTTCCTCTTTACCGGTGCTACACGTGGACTGACTGGTAACTCTCTTCGCCAGCTGCCACGCATACTCAAGTACTCGTGATGCGTATCTCCACCGCCGCCGTTTTTGCCGCGCTCAGCTGCTTGGCTGTTGCGCAGGACGTCTTGGGTTCATTGCCAAAGTGCGGCGTAAGTACAGCTCGCTCCATCTGGGTCTACTGCTAACAAGTGCCAGCAAGATTGTTTCGGCAACAACTTCCAGGGTTGTGAGCAATTCGACTACAAATGCATTTGCGGCAACAAGGATCTCATCGCTGAACTGTCTTGCTGTGTTTCCAAGAACTGCAGCGGCACCGACCAGACCAGTGAGTAAACACTCGGAGGAACACCCTCGGCCAATGGCATCTCTCTTCTAACAATCACGCTTAAGCGATCATCACGCTCGCAAGCGGTCTTTGCAAGGCATATGGTGTCGATGTTCCGACACAAGCTTCGTGTGCTGCCAGCGCGTCGTCCACGGCAGCGTCCACGGCAGCATCCACGGCTTCCTCTGGTTCTTCTTCCTCACCAAGCTCTGCATCGAGCGCGGTAACGTCTTCGATGACTGCAGCATCAGAGACGATGTCCACCAGTGAGAGCCAAACTGCAGCCGGTCAGAGTTCTACTGGAAGCCCTGGAGCAGCCGGTCCTGTTGCGACTGCACGCGCTGGTTTGGGTTTGGCAGTAGGTATATTGGTGGCGGCGCTGTAGATGAGCGAACGACAGACTCGGTTGTCGAGAGGCAGTAGATGCCAGGTGGATAGGTCTTGTAGCGCAATACATATCTAGATGCGCTGTAATTGTTGATATTGTTGGTACGAACGTGCTGTTTGGTCTCCCTGTGCATGCGACAGCTTCGACGTCTCGTATACCCATGTTCCACAGAGAGCAAGCATCGACGGAATGGGCTGTGAGAGGTGAGTTGCGGTGCTTCGAGACGGCCCGGGCCCGGATTGCGGTCAGAATCCATCGTCTGCAGTCTGACTGGATGGATGGGAGAGGAGTGGGCCATGTATAGACGCATTCCCTCGCTTCGCGCCAGGCGTCATCCCTCCACCTCAACCGTGCAACCTTGGAACGCCGCATCGCACGTGGCCGCGCAGCACCAGACGCGCGACTCGGTCACGGACTTGCAATGGCGCTCCCTGTTGGTTGTTTTCATGCTTGATAATATCCAACACTCCCGCTTTGAAAGCCACAGCCACAGCATACGGACGCAGAAACCACCCACCCCTACGCCCGTCGCGTGCCATGTCGACCAAATCGAACTTCAAACGGGCGGTGCCCGTGAGGCAGCAGAATGTACTCAGCTCGCTGCGCACCACGCAGCTGCTCGAGGACTCGAAGGCCGTCTTGCCGGCGGGTATTCCTCCCACACGCCCACGCGAAGCTGCAGCTGACTTTTGCAGAGCTCATCAACACTATACTCGACTACCTGCCCGTCGCTGACATGTTCCGGTTTGCGCAGACGTCGAGGCGTATGCAGGAGATGGTGTACGACGATACGCGGTGGATACAGAGACTAAAGAGTATGGGCTGCTGGAACGAGGCCGAAGCACGGCAACGATTCGACGAAGCCATGCGCAGGAAGATCGAAGCACAAAAGGCTGACGAGGCCAGTCGAACGGGCATAACACCAAACGGCGCAACAAATGGCCCACACGGAGGAGGCGGGCAACGCAAGGTTAGCACAACACTCTTTGATGCCGGTGTGGAGGAGGAGATGCAACGCAAATCGGTCGATACAAAGGTGCGCCCACGGGCGAGCACGCTGGACAAGGGCTTCGATGACATGACACTGTCGCCTGGCGGTGCCTCTCCGCCTGCCCGATCATACACGATGGATCCAAACCTAGCGTTGAAAGTGCTCTCGCGCGTGCGCTCAACAAGAGGCATGGCGCGGCAGGAATACGGCAAAATATACGGAGCTCTGGCGCCATACTACTTTGATCTTGCCAGGTCGAAAAGCCACTCCGACCCGGTACTGTTTCGGACGTATCGTGACCCCGAACAGCAAGCTCACATGCTGGCACAACTCAAGATTTTCGCCAAAAGCGACTTCGCACAGGGTTGGAATCGGCGGGAAGAGAAATTGGATACTATGATGGGCATCTTCGAGAACGCTGTCCTGCGAGAGTTTGAGCAAGGAGCCGAGGCGCGAGATTTCGATGGCCGCATGAAAAGATATGCCCAAGTTTTGGTCGCTTTGAACGGTGGCACGGCGGGCATTGATTCGTTCATCCACAACCACCCCATAATGTTGGACAAGGAAAAGCTGGGCAATCCCGCCGATTGTCTACGAGTCGCTGGGCCCGGCCAACTCTCCCTTCAACCCTCGCACGACTTCTTCAGAGGCCTTGCTATCGCTCTGAGTGAAGAAGCCGCAATCATCGATCGGGTTTTTCCTGCGTCCGTAGACGTTTTTCAGCCGTTCATAGAGCGCGTCGTAGAAGACGTGGTCTCTGAATATGTAACATCTTTATTCGACGAGGCCCATGATGTCAGCGTTGAGACTTATTTGAAAGCTGTTGCCGGCGTGTTCGATCAGGCACTACAATTGGCAGTATCCCTCACGGCCACAAAGGGTTCCAAGTCCGACTTCTCAGACGAAGCTATACGTATCATATCACGTTGTTTCGAACAACATGTAGATCTGTACCTGCAAGAAGAATTAGATTTCTTCAAGCGTCAATCGCAAGCAGAGGTAGAAGCCTGGGAAAAGCGGTTGACGGAAGAGGAACTGAGTGCGGAGTCGTTGTTCATGGCGAATGTTAGCCGTCAAGCCGCGAAACGCGACTTTTTGACATCGTTCAAGAAGGTAGTGATGGCGCCTGTCAATGTTCTTCCCACATTCGGTGGCTCTGCGGCTGCCAAGCCAACAGTGAATACCGGCTCCTTGAACGGTCAAAATCTGGATCCGACGTCGAGATCGACGACACCTAATCCGGAACGCTCTGCGTCTCCTCGATCTGAAGCGCCGACTTCTGAGCTTGCGGCAAAGGCTGCTATCATGAATTCGAGACTAGAGGGCATTCGGAGTCTGTTCAGCATCGAGGTTGCGTTAAACCTGACGCATACAGCGAAAGCAAGCTTAGAAAGAGCTGCACGGTTCGTACGGCTTGGTGGGCAGTCAGGTGAAGAGGCGAAGGAACAGTGTGAGAGCATATTCATTAAGATGTTGCAGATCCTGGGCGGACGGCACATGAAGCCAGGCTTTGATAAAGCTGTCAGCCATCTGTCCGATTATAAGCCTAGAGAAGTTGCGGATCACAGCAAAGAAGGGGTAGCGCCTCTCGTCGCTTTCCTGGAGCTTGTCAACGTTGGAGATTTGATCCAGCAAATGATCGATGTCTTTTATCTGCAAGAACTTGTCGCTGCGAAGCTCACAGATGAGGACGACTTCTTGAGCGCTGCTAGTAAGGAGAAGAAGAGATTTGAGCAAATGCTTGACGAGCGGGTCGCCGCTGGGCTTAACAAAGGCATCGATGTCCTCATGGATGAAGTAGAGTATCTGTGTGGTACCACCCAATCACCGACTGATTACAACCCTCCTATTGGGCCCAATGGATCAGTACAGGTGCTCGACATCGGTCCTAGCCATACAGCCAAGAAGGTAGTTGACGTTGTGTCCTCGCATACCAACATGCTGGTTGGCAGCACGGACAAGACAGTGCTAGATGTCTTCAACCAGGAGGTCGGATTGCGCCTGTTCACTGCACTTTGCAAGCATCTGAAGCGGCAGAGGATCAGTGTGGACGGGGCAATCAAGCTTATTAGGTAAGCTTGCAGTCATACAAATGTATTCATCTGACTAATGTCGGTCAGCGATATGAACGCATACAACACCTACATTGTCTCGCTCAGGAACAAATTCATCACGCAGTACTTCGCTGCACTCAAAGAGCTCTCGCAGATCTATTTGATTGACCCCAATCATGCAAAGGAGATTGCGACGATCATTGCAGACACGGATCGATACCATGGGATATTCAGGGCCGAGGAAGTCTACGAGTATGCGGAGCGCAGGGCTGACTGGTACCAAATCAAGGGCGCAGTGGAGAAGCAGATGTATGGCGTTGGCTGCTTGGTTATGTGACCGTACTTCAATACATGACATTGCAGATCAGTCGTCCAACAAGTCCTCTCCGTCTTTACCGGTTTTCTGTCTGCTAGCACTATCACCATCATGATTGATCTCTCCTCTCCTCGCGTCCCTCGGCTTGATGGACAAATTACGACGCGTTTCAGAATGTTTGTTCTCATGGTTCATGTTTGTGGCGGGAGTGATATTCTGCAGAAGGCGAATTTGCGATCACTGAACATGTACGATGCTCCTTGCTATCTTTGGTATGTTGAACTAGGCGTGGAGGTGGCTCGGAGGCTGGGATCGGCCACTAGATAGACCCTGGCAGAATTATATTCGGCTGGAGCCATTGCACTGGACTTTCACTCTTACCTTCGCCGAGCTCTCACTTCTCGTAGACGGCAAAGCTTCCCCAACCCTCCCGTACACATAAACACTTGCCTGCTCTTGACCTTAGTCGCACCCACTTGCAAACTCCCCGCCGATTTGCTTCGACGGGCCGCTGCCGGGGCCCCACTACAACACTACCGTTTTAAGCCGGTCTAGTCTACTACAACACTCTTCTCGTCGCTCTGTGCATTCACGTCCAACTCCAAGCCGGCCAGGCCACCAGCTACGCGCAAAAGCCTTCGCTCACTGCACCGCAACTGCCATCCGCACAGAGACCGCGACTGTCCCACGTGAAACGGTGCGCCAGCCGCCGTCTTACAGAGGACGCGCTTGCGCTCGCCGCGGGCTTGCAACGCGTCGCGGATAGCCCTACACGGGTCGACTCATCTTTCCTTGAGCTTCGCGCCTGGATATACCAGACCCGCCCCGTTCACTCTTGTCCACCCCCCGCAATAGAGCTCACACCCCAGCTTCCGCCACCATGTCCGGTAAGCACACCCACCTACCCAATCAGGCTCTGGACCGCGGTGCTAACCATGTGCCTCTTAGAGCTCCCGCCCGATATTGCGGATAAGTACTCCGCCATCATCGATAGCATCCTCGAGGGCGCCGACCTGAACACCATCTCCGCCAAGCGTATACGGAAGGGTCTGCAAGAGCGTCTGGGCCATGACATTTCTGGAGAGAAGGTACATACATGTGCACAAGGCACTAGCACAGAGGCGCTGACCATACCTTTAGCAAGCCGTGACCGGCCTCATCATGGCGCGCTTCGACAAGTTCAATGCCGAGCAAAATGGACCCCCCGAGCCCGAGGAGCCCGTTCCCAGTGTCGAAGCGCCCACGAATGGTCATGCAGGCAAGCGCACCCCCGACGACGATTCGGCGCTCTCGGAGCTTGACGAATCTCCGCCGAAGAAGAAGCAGAAGAAGCACAGAAGCACCGAGGAGGACGATGCTGCATATGCCGCCAGACTGCAGGCGGAGGAGAACATGGCGTCTCGGGCGAGGTCGACAAGGGGTGGTAATACTAAGAAGAAGGCGCCCGTGCAGAAAAGAAAGAAGGAGAAGAAGAAGAGCGCGAACAAGGTCAAAGATGAAGACGATAGTGACATTGCGTCTGGAAGTGGAGGGGAGAAGAAGTCACCCAAGCGGACTGGAGGATTCCACGTAGGTCCTTCCCAGCCATGCGACGTGCTTCACAATTAACCATCTTCGCAGAAGCCTATGAATCTTTCAACGGCCCTGCAGGAGCTTCTCGGTGAAACCCAGGTATGTCTCCATCTTCAAGGTACCATCCGTTGGATCACTCACCTCAAACTAACATACCGCTCCAGCTCTCAAGACCACAAACCGTGAAGAAGATCTGGGAGTACGTTAAAGCGCGCGACCTTCAGGACCCCGCCGACAAGCGCCAGATCCGCTGCGACGATGCCATGCGCGCCGTCTTCAAGCAGGACAGCGTCCATATGTTCACCATGAACAAGATACTCAACACAAACCTGTATCCCGTGGAAGAGGACTAAACGAGCCGGTCCTAATTGCTCATCATTTGACTTGCCAAACCGACCACGTTATACGCTATGATACGTCATACATATCTACCATGCACTTGCTCACCACAGGAAGGTGGCTGTCGCCCTTCCACCATCGTCACTAAACTTATGCATTAATTTCCTCTTCTTGCTTTTCCCTTGAACTTGAATTTAGCAGCATGGCGACCTACGGCGTTCATCGGATCGCTCGCTTTGAACTTCGTACTCGAAGTATTCCTGGTTTCGATTTTGGTTCTACTATCGCACCGGGGCTGGGGCACCCGAATCGTGTATCGGTGCATGCAATACCGGGAAGAACGGGTTGGAATCTCTCTTCTGCTTGATTTCTGGCTGAATATGCATTGGAATGACGGATTGGTCGCAATGGGTAGGCCAGGAGGGGCGAGATAGGGCGGGGCAGGCAGGGCGGGAGGAACAAAAGCTTTCGCATCATGCAATGCATATCGATCAATTCGGGTACTGTGTATCATTCAAAACTAGGTACCGGACGGCAGTCACTGCCGTGCCATGAGATCGATAAGCCTCTTCATGGCGCTGATACTACGTACAGGTAGTTTTACAAAGGGGTTTCTCGAATGCCAATAACAATACGCCGAACACCTGTCTCTTTGTGGTAATTGCAAAGGCCGCCATGAGCAAGAGCGAGCACTGCTTCTCCCATTCCCTTCAACGTCCTGATTACGCCTACAAGCCCTCCGGCAGTTGAAATTGGAAGTCTTCCACATCCTCGTCAAACGGATCTCTACCACCCAAGACGCTGCTGAAACTGTTTGCCCACGCCTCTTCGCCATCGTTGTCGTCATCGCGAAGCAGCATGAGCTCAAGTTCGCGCTCGATGTCTTCGGCGGTGCGGTAGGTTGGTGCCGCCTGCGGCGGCGCAACAAGCGTGGCATTGGTCGACGTGGAGCTTGAGCGAGAGAAGGGACCGCGCGGTTTGCTAACGACTGATGAAGTGCTGGCGTTGTACTTGTGCATGGAGGAGGCACTAGGTGCGCGATTGGCAACGACGGAGAATGGGGCGGGTTTGGTGACGTTGGAAAGTGGTTTTCGGGGCTGTAATTTGCTCGCTGCGTTCTCGCGGCCCTGGGCATAGCCGATTGTGCTTTTTGAGGCGGCTGTCGCTGCTTCATGGCGGGTCGCAGAGGGGTTGTTGATAGACTTCTTGCCGGCAACTGGCTTGCTTGGAAGGCGGGACTTGGTTGCTGCAGTTTGGGCAGCATAAGCGGGCCTACGCGGCTCGGATAGAGCAGCAGCAGCAGACTTCGCCTTCAGTGTGGATGGTCCGGTCGCCTTTGTCCTTGTAGGTTCTGCTGCGATAAGTGTAGATTTTGGTGCGACCTTCTGTGGTAGCGCTACGCCAAAGTGCCTTGCAACGTCGAGTTGATCCTGCTCCATTTGCTGGTCGAGCACTCTATCGAATTCCTCATCGCGCTTCCTTATGTCACGTTCCAACTTCTCTTCAAATTCACGCTGGAGTTTGGTGCGGCCATCATCCTCTAGCGGGTTGCGATACGCCTCCTCGACACCACCATTTTCGAGCTTCGGTATCTTCCAGTCGCGCGGGAGGTAGTCGCCCATGTCATCCAGCAGTGGAACCTCCTTTGGGGGCATGTACTCGACTTCGGGCACGTCATTTTCCCCGGCATGCTGCACGTCAGGCTGAACCTTTACTTTGGGGCGGCGAAGGCGAGGGCTGGCTTTTTGCGTCTTTGCAGACGCGGAGAGGGGCACGGGTGTTTGGAAGGCTTTGGCTTTCGCGTTGGTCGTCTTCATGCCCAGCGGCGCGCGGGTGCGAGGGCCTGCATCATGCGTCAGTTAGCTGCCCGGCAATCCTTGGGCTTTGAAGCGTACCAGCCGGTGTGACGAAGGCATTGCTGTCCAGCTTCCCATCCTTCTTGCCCGTCACGAACAGATTCTCGTTTCCCCTGCCCTTGGTCTGCAAGACCGACTTGCCGCCTTTTGCGACTGCATTCTCGTCGTTGAGCGGGACCTTTTTTGCTGGTGTTTTGGCGGCAAAGCCCTTGAGGCCGGCGTTGAGCGGCTTGCTCGCAGCAGCTGTTTGAAGGCCGTGCACGAAGTTCTCCTGGTCCTTTGCGGCGAGCACGTTCATGGTGGTTACATTGAGCGAGTTGTGCGGGCGGAGGTGGAGGTGGAGGCGGAGGCGAAGGTGTTGATGTCTGCCAGTCTGCGTGTTTACTCGCGGTTGCCAGGGTTCTCGCTCCTTGGCCTGCGACCCCTGCCCTGCTCCTGCCGAGCTAGCGTCCCCTCGCACCGCATTTATCAGGGCGAGACACAGGCAACAGACACTCTACAAGCAAACCGCCTCACACGCCGCGCCTCCTACACGCACGCCGCTCCCCTCTGCCACACCAACCCGTCCAACCTACGCCGTCACCGCTCTATCCAGCAACCCCACACACCGCCGCCATGGACCAGATCAAGCAGGCAAGTGCTCCGACTACCCCACCATGGCTCCCAGCGGACCTGCAGCTCCCACCAGCTGCACCCGCTGGACCACGCCTGCCGTACCGCTGTACCTGTTGTCGCTAACATGTCCTGTGCAGCGCATGAACGCTCTCCGCATCGAGGCCGACGAAAGCGCCTCCAAGGCCGAGGAGTACAAGGCGAAGCTCAAGACGCTCGAGACAGAGAACACGCAGAAGGAGCAGGAAATCACATCCCTCTCGCACAAGAACCAGGTCCTCGAGGCCGAGGTTGAGAAGCTCGAATCGTCAGTCAAGACCTACAAGGATGAGGCCACGGGCGGCGCCGCAGCAAGCTCCCAGGTGGAAGCCATGCAGCGCAAGATCCAGGTGCTTGAGGAAGAGGCTGAGGAATCTGACAGGACCATTCGCGAGCTCAATGAGAAGTAAGCTCCCCGCTTTCCATGGCAATGCCCAGCTATGCGCTTTGCCGAGTGCTTTTAGGCGACCATGGCGATGCGAACCTCACTTGCTGACGCGTCCCAGGCTCCGCCAAACCGACGTCAAGTCGGGCCATTTCGAACGCAAAGTGCAAGCCCTCGAGCAGGCTCGCGATCAATGGGAAACAAAGTACGAGGAGATGGCCAAGAAATATGCCGACACCAAGAAGGACTTGGATGAGTTCGCCGCCGAGCTTGGTAACATCTGATCTCGCGGCCCTCATTGTCCTTTGAGGTTGTTGACGTATCCCGCAGTGAACTACTGAACTACGTACGCTCGGAAGCTCAGGCAGTACAGTTGGTTGGCGGACGTAAGTGGAGGAAGCTGTTACTATCCCCTTTTTACCTGCATATCTTGGTGTCGTCCTGGGAATGGCGGATGAGCTCGGGTTGCTCGTATTAAATTGTCTCTAAGCGTGGAAATGAATTCTCTTTAAGGTCAAGTGCTACAGGCCGGTTTATAGAACCTGATAGTGCCTTCGAGTGCCGTTTAATGTTAGCTCGTGAATATCCAGAATACTTTACAAAGAATACACATAGCGACATGCCATGTGAACTGATAGGACTGAACATCAACGATCGGCAACATCTGCTCATGGTCACATTCATTCCTACACTAGAACAGTCGCCAAATCACCAGCCAGTAAACACTATGTATGATACACGTCCACTACATCAAGGACCTCCCATCATTTGAAATAAAAGCGCATGCAACATGCCTCGTGCTCTCTGCATCCGCTCCGAACGCCTGTACAAATGAGTTGCCAGCTCAAGAACATACACAAAAGGCCGTAGTCTGCCGCAGTAGTAGCAGCACATGTATTTGTGCCAGAGACGGGTCGATCATCACCACTAGTCATCCATCGGCTTGTCCTCTAGCTGTACTCCTCTGGGCGCAGCGTCCTCGCTTGCGATTGCTCTCAAACTGCCCGTGGAGTCCCTGTTGCTCCTTGCCAAACTGCCAGCATGCTTCCTAGGGAGGGGCACGCGGGTGCTTGAAGGGGCGGGATGCTCCGCGGGTGCAGCTGGAGCGGCCTCCGTTGTGCCGTTGGTATCGCTCGGTTCGGCGGTGGGGCTGCTGTCAAGGCTTCCGGGAACCTCGAGCGAGTTCCGCGTCCCACGGCGGGTCTCGGTCGGCGAGGACGTATTGACAGGGAACCTGGTCTGACTGCGATCGCGGCGGTGAGATCCTCCACGATGTCCGGGAGCAGGTGATGTCGCCCTGGGCGAGCGCTGGGCGGCGATGGCGCGGTTACGTTCCTCGTAGTTGGCACGCCTGTTGCTCTCATCGGTAGAGATGGCACGGGGACGCTGGGCACCTGAGGACGAATGGGTCAGAGAACTTGCGCGCTTCAACTCTCCAAAGATGGCATCCTTGTGGGCGAAGAGGTCGCGGATGAGGCGGTAGCTGTAACGCTCATTCATAGTCAGACTAGACTCTTGGCGCGGCCGTAGGATGCAGGGGGCGAGTGTATTCGCCAGGGCGGTAACGTAGGTCTCGTCAGCCGATGTCAGCTCGATAAGACGCGTGAAGTGAGTGCAAATAGCATCGAGAGTAGCAATGTTGGCAAGACGCAATTGACCGAGTGTCGACTGGATTACGTTGATTCGAGTTTCTTCCGATGTTTCCGCAGCTGTTGTGCTGTATATTGTCTTCACAATCTCGTAGACATGAGATGAGACGAGAGAGTCTACGATAGTTAGCATAATACTTTCAAAGTCATGTACGAGTGAAGCTCACCAGGCAATTCAAGCAGGTATAATTTCAAGACATTAGCGACAATGGGTATATCATACTTCTCCAAAACCTCTTGAGGGAAAGTTTTGCCGGTGTTAATGGAGGCTCGAAGGTTATGCGTTTGGGCGAGAGGGACGTCCACGAGCCAGATACCACGGCGAGCCTCATCACCCTCAAGGTCGGGGTAATGGTTGTCCAGGAAAGTGAGTACAGTCGTCACGAGGATGGGCACACGCTTTCGATCCGACCGTGCCCGTGCCTCTAAGTCTACACCAAACGTTTGCTCTATGAAGTGTTAGCACACAATCTTGCCGCAGCAGCGCTGGTTTTCATACCATCAACAGAGTTGTAGTAGTTTTCGTAAGTCGTAACTCTGGGAACAAAAGGACCAGTCCTGTAGTTCTCCAACATATATCTCAAATCACCCAAGGGCTGTACGGTCTCCTGAAATAGCATCATCTTGTCGACAGTGCTCTGCAAGCTCGGAATAACGTTGCTGACCGCACCAGAAAAATCTAGAATGACTGCCTTGATCGCCTTCAATCTGTCCAATTCGCACCGCTCCATGAACTTCAGATGATCGATCATAGCTTCTTCGAGGTTGCACCGCAGAGAATCAAGCTTTTTCACTGACTGCTTGTAGCGATCGTCAGCTTCACGAGCTTCTCGACGAAGCCTCTCCGAGGGAGTCTCGTTTGGGTACTGATTATTAAGCGGGTTCCAGCCAGAAAGATACTCTTGAACGGAGCCCACTGGGGAGTCCACAGTGAAACTATCAGTAGACATGTTGGTCCCTGCGCGAGCCAATGGCTGCTTCTTCTCAGGCACCCCCGTGATTTGGAAAACCCTGGGCTTCCACTGGTAGCTCATCCTGGAGCTGTTCGCGAAAGTATTGCCGACATTACCCACAAGTCGGAGGAAGCCATTGTTGACCAGATCCTGACCGATGCGCTCGGCGTAGCTCACGCTGCTGGCCGCCATGTGTTTCTGGATGTAATCGGTGATATCGGCGCCGTTGGAGCAGTTTTGGTAGGTACCCAGGATGGGAACCTTGACCTCGCTAAGCTTGATATGGTCCAGCATGTGGGACAGGATCTTTTTAATCTGATCTGGCTGATACGTCTCATCGCCGAGGTCGATGGGTTCTTCCTCGTCATCCTCCGGCTCGGACATCTTGATGGTAGGCACCTTCATTTTGGGGCTCTGGGCAGCCTCGCTTTGCGGATCCTGGAACGCCAGCTTGTCCTCCTCTTCAAGGTCTTCCACCAGCCTGCACTTGTTGTAATACTGCGACCGGAACTTGCGCACAGCCTCAGCTTGCCGGTCGTGCAGCTTGATGCGCGACTGGAGGTCATCCTGCGAATTCTGCACGCGGGCGGCGTGCGCTTCGCACCAGCGACCGAAAGGATTCACGACAAGCTCGCGAATGTTGGAGCCAATCTTGCGGTGGTTCGCGGCGGCCGCCTCCATCTCAGTTCGTACGCCCTCGTATGCCTACAGCCTGGTGAGTGCCCTCGCTTCCGATCGGGTAGTGGCTGGACTCACCTTGCGCACGCTCGCGCCTTCATCTCTGCTGAAGCCGCCGCTCACGCGCTCGGTCGAGGGTGTGATGCTGGCCAGGCTGTTACCGTACACCTCTTCGGCATCGGCGCGCAGGCGCGCGATGGTGAGGATCTGCTGGTTCTCCTGCACGCCCTGCTGCAGCTTCCCGAAAAGAACTCCCAGCCCTGTCGATGTCAGTGGGTGCCTGTGAGGGGCTGCTTGCCGGGACCTGGTACGCACCGCCCGCGTAGTCGCTCGACCAGAACGAGCCAGCGAATCCCGACGCCATGGTGAGGGTATCTCAAACAAAGAAAGGGCCGCAGAACGCCTCGCTAGACGCCAAAGAAACAGGTACGGAGCAGAGTCTGCGTGTCGTGTCGTGTCGTATCGTGTCGTGTCGTGCCGTGCGGTAGCGAGCGTGGAGAGGAAAGTCTGGGGAGGATCGCGCAGGCCCGGTGATGCAGCGACGCACGTCAGGTGGGAGAAGCAGCAGCAGCAGTGTATATGGTGGTGGCGGGCCGGCAAGCGGAGAATAGGAGAATTGCTGCTCAGGGGAGCGTCGTCGTCGTCTTCGCGCAGGTGCAGCTGAGAATGGTGGTCAAACGGGCAGCATCCCTGCTGGGCGCACTCTGGGCTACTGTCTTATGTCACCGCAACGCCCCCGTCGACGCATGGCCGCTGATTGTCCTGACCGCGGCGCGCCTCTCCCCTTCGGGCATGATGGTCGCGAGAGCCCGCGAGCCTCTGCCCGCACTGCGCAACTGCTTCCGTCTTCCGCTCGAAAGCCTCAGCCTCAGCCTCTGCAAATTTCCTCAGCCGCGACACGTCTAAGCCTCATCCCTCCAGAGTCCCACTATGGCCCCGGGCCTCACCCGCGAAGCCGAGGAGCGCAGACTCAACTACGCCGCACACATCCGCTACTGGCGCCGTAACCTGAAGACGTTTCTCCCCCATCAGTACACGGGCAATGACTGCAACCGCATGACGCTGGCTGCATTCATCATCTCCGCCCTGGATATTCTGGGCGATCTGCCAGCAGCACTCTCACAAGAAGAACGCGAGGGCTACATAGACTGGGTATACAGATGCCAGCTACCGGGAGGAGGGTTCAGACCCGCACCAGCCACAGACCTGGGCCCCTTGCGAAACCCAGAGAATCAAATATGGGATCCTTTTCACGTGGCGGGGACCTTCTTTGCTCTTCTGATCCTCGTTAATCTAGGCGATGACTTGGAAAAGGTCAAGCGAAGAGAGATATTGCAATGGCTGACTAAGCTGCAACGATCAGATGGCGGGTTTGGGGAGACGGTAGGCGAGAACGACCGTGTAGAAGGCGGGAACGACTCGCGGTTCGGTTTCATGGCCGCAGCTGTGAGATGGATGCTACGCGGGAATCTCGAGGGTCCGGTGGATGGAGTGCCTGACATCGACGTGGACGCATTCGTGCGCTGCGTTCAAGTTGCCGAAACGTACGACGGAGGCTTATCCGAAGCACCATATCACGAAGCCCACGGTGGGTTCACGAGCTGTGCAATCAGCGCACTCTACTTCCTTGATCGTCTCCCGAGAAAACAGACAGATGGCCGGCCACGAGGTCTCAGAAATATGCCCATGACCTTGCACTGGCTTGCCTCTCGCCAAACGCTGACTCTAGACGAAGAGGATGCCGCGGATACATACTCGGACGAGACTGACTCAGCAGCGACATGCCATGACTCCCACTCATTTATGAAGCTACATAATTTCCCTTCGAGCCGTGGCAAGCTGTCCTTCCAAAATCAACCACCAGTGCATGCTGAACTCAAGTGGGTAGGCATGAACGGGAGGGAGAACAAAATCGGAGATACCTGCTATGCATATTGGGTATGTGCACCACTCAAGCTTCTAGAGCATCTACATATCATAGACCCCAAACCGATTCGGCGTTGGCTCCTTGATAGAACGCAGCACCTCGTTGGCGGGTTCGGCAAGCTGCCAGGCGACCACCCAGACCCCCAACACTCGTTTCTAGGCTTGATGGTACTCTCCATGTTTGGTGAGGCTGGGCTGCAGAACGTCGATACGGCGTTGTGCATAACGGAAAAGGCGAAGAAGCATCTTGAATCCCTTCCCTGGAGAAGGAAGCTGTTAGGGTTGGATGACAAGGGCGAAGCGTAGATGTGGAAAATGCCTTTACAGGTAAACAAGTCCATGAACGACTCCGCCGAGAGTTGGAGCAATGAATCAATGCTACCGTCCATGTTCATTGTCAAGCGACAAAGATCAGATCGCTTACATGGTCGGCGCTATGGCTGTGGTTCAACGCGTGACACGCCAGCCACTTTGAGCCTCGAACTCGGCAAAACCTGCCGCAACCGAACCAGTGCGTCAGTCTCCACCAAAACTTTGAACCTTCACTCGACAAACCCACTGCATCTTTGCCAGTTATTCCGCCCGGATTTCCAAACCCCGCCCTTGCAATACACAGCTGCTGCCATGGCACCTCCCTCTAAGAAGCGCAAAACCGCCATCCCCGAAATATCCTTCGACTCTGCTGCCCGCGAAGAATATTTGACCGGTTTCCACAAGCGCAAGCTCGCGCGTCAGAAGCTCGCCGAGGAGGAGAACGCCAAAAAGGAAAGGGCAGAGAGGCTGCGATTCCGCGCCGAGGTACGCTGACACCTGGCCATCTCCTGCCCCGCTTTCGAGGCTCTGCGAATATCACACGAGAGGAGTGTGGTTGCGGGTTTATGTAGAGCTGAGCTGATAAGTTGAATACAGGTACGCAAGCAGCGCAAAGAAGACTTGGAGAAACATGTGGAGGAGGTGAACCGGTTAGTCAGGCAAGCGAACGGCGATCTCAGCGAAGCCAGTGGAGAAGACGAGGACCCCGAAAACGAGGAATGGAGCGGCATTGCAGAGCCCGCGGCGCCTAAGCCCTCCACCACGGATATCAACCAGGAAGAAGAATTCGTAGACGAAGACAAATATACAACCGTCACCATCGAAAGCGTCGGCATATCCAAACACGGATTTGAGAAGCGCGGCGGCGACGAGGAAGCGGAGGACGCAAACAAAGAGAAAAGGGTGTGGACGAAGGAGCCGCCAAAAAGCAACAAGCCGAAGAAGAAGAAGATCAAATTCCGGTATGAGACGAAGACGGAGAGGAAGGTGGAACGGGTGAAGCAGGGGTTGAAGAAGAAAAAGTTGGCGGCGAAGAGGAAGGCGGATTAGGCATTCGATATTCGATATGATGCTTTATGATACCCATGTTGGTTGTTACTAAGTCTATCCGCAATGTTGTGCTTGTGGACGGGGGCATGATGACGGAGCATTGTAAGCGACAGTCGTTCCTTGCAATATGGCATTTGCAACGTTAAGCGGACAAAGTGTGCAGCTTTCACAGATAATGTCTCTACTTGATCGCGGGCAGTAAGTACGCCCAAGACACGTGTAGACGGATAATATAGGGCAGCCATCTTATCCACCTACATATTCGGCCACGAGACAATACAATGATTCTTCAATCCGTATCATGATGCGTTTGTCTCAATGGCAACTCAGGCCTACCCATGTAGCTCACCAACGAACGTCTCGAACAAGCGCGTCCAGAGGCGGCCCCTCCGATCACTGATGGTTCATCGGACGTGGTAAGCAAAACAGCGTCGTTAGCAGGTACAGCACACGTGAGCCACCGAGATACATTCCCGCAGACACTGGTGTATCGAATTTCGCCCTAGCGCTCGTTTTCATCCACTCAACACCTAGTCAAGCAGTTGGAGATGCGCGAGCGCCAGGATGAGCACAGAAGACAATAAAGACTCAGGCACCGAGATGGTTTAACATGGAGAGCAGACGCCCAACAAAAGATAGATTCGATTCCAGACCAACGTGGTCACCCCTTTGGATGTTACCCGCGGACATGTACTGCTCGATCGAGGCGACAATTCCGCCATCGGAACACTGGCCATGCAGAAACGCATGCCTAAACCCCATATATACGCCGAGCAAACCTGACATTCAGTGCAACAGTAGTCGACAGCACGACAGAAAAAGAAACGGATATTTACATTAACCGCAGGAATATCAAAATCGGTCGTTAAGGTAGCAAAAAGGATATCGAACAATAGTCTAAATGTGCGATAAGGGAAATCGTGACCGAGAAAATGTGAGCCGTCGTTCGCTTCGAAAAGATGGGTATCTCATTGAATCGATGCAAATGATGAAAGCCTGAGACAGTGGGCGATGCCGAAGCGCTGATCAGAAGTATCGTTCGTTCGTTGATGCGGGTGCGAAAGGAGAGGTCGATCGGCGTTTGCGAAGCCGAGGACATGCCCCTTCAGTCACGCAGAAGCATGTACATGCGTAGAGGGAGCCAGCAAGATCATGGACCAGATAATCGGGTATGTATGTACGAGGACGCCATTTCGAGCCACTATGGATACTGAAGCGGCTACGGTGTCAATCACGCGGTTTTCGGTGCAAGATGCTACGCTCAGTCAGTTTTTCTTTTCGCTGCGTCTGGATTGTGAGCCAACGAACCTAGGGAGCGTCTTTCTATTGAATATCGCCGTGCTCGCCGGGCTTCTTCCAGACCCCTCCACCTACGGCCTTGGAAATGCCTATGCCCGTGCCAGCCGCAGCAGCGACAAGAAATAAAGCAATGATGATCTTAACCCAAAGTCTCTGCTTGTTGCTCAGGTTGTGGAAGAAGCTGCAGCCCTTTGCCCGCTGGCTGAGCTTCTTCTTCTCCATTATTGCCTGCCGTGACGGCCACATTGTGCACTCTTTGACACGTCCATCGACTGACACTTTGGGCTGCTGCGTCGTAGCCGCTGAAAGGGGGACTCCGGACTCCAGGTCGCGGTCGTAGATGTTGACGTCGAGGTGCGTCTTGGTCTGGGGAGGGCCGTCCATGGAGCGGCGTGCGTCCGGGTGCTTGTAGAAGGCAGAAAAGGGATTCGAAGAGTCGAGGCCCATGTCTTGTTTGGCAGCCGTCGTTGACACGGTGGAGTCGTTGGAAGGTGGAGAGCGGAGCGTCTGCTGGGGTGCGTCCACTGTGGCGCCGAAAGTCACAGGCTTCTCCGTGTTTGCAAGCATTGCCATGTCGAGTTGTGTGCTGGCGGAGGGAGTGTTTGAGAGGCCGACAGATGTCACCGTGAGGGCGGGCCTGAGGTCAGCAGCGAGCAATTGCAGAGCAGCACTGGTGGTGGGGCGCGATGTGAATCTGGGAGAGCCTGGGAGGTCGCAGGCAGGAGAAGTCGTCACGCTCTGCGCTCGGACAGGTAGGCTCGATTAGGCCGTGTGGCAGGCGCTATCGATGGCGTTCAGCTGCAGTAGAAGCAGAAGCAGAAGCAGGAAGGTGCGTTTGAGCCGTTGGGCCAGCAATCAGCTACAAGCGCTGCAAGAGAGCGAGGGGATACAGCGAGTGAATTGGTAGTGCAGCAGCGGGCGAGGCCGTGGCCGTGGGAAGGGGTGAATAGATATGGGCCGCCAACGCTCGCGGCCCCAATCAGGCGCGTCCAAGGGCGATCCTCTAGCCTCCAAGCAGCGGCGCGATGGCCCGAGCGTCGCTAGTGCCCCTCGCAATGAAATGCGGCCCACGCGTGCTTTGATCCATCGCCTCAAGCGAAACATGCGTTGAGCCGCAGCCTGCTCGCCCACACTCTCGCTCGCACTGCTCGCGCCGGCTTGTCTGTTTTATCCATTCCCCGCTCGCAGCACCGTGTCGACTGTTGCGTCCACACTGCATCTGGGCACGCCGAGCTGCGCGTTCCCTAGAGCCTCTCGAAGCGCCAACACTTGTCAAGGGTCTAGACTGCACGGGCGCGCGCCACAGTCGTACTCGTACTCGTATGTGCCATCACCTGGGCATCGCCTCCGTGGCTCACGCTGCCGTCTGGCCACCAGTCAACGCTCTCCTTGATGGCTTGCTCGTGACATGAGCTGTATTTACGAACCATGTTTGTACATAGGACCGCCCGATGCCCTGTCCTTTCCGCACACAGCTATCGTGCCGCGATCGATACCTAACAAACGCCAGTGGTGCGATGCCTCCAATCTGTACCCCAGCACACCGCGCTATTAAGCATCATCATGCAAGAATTTCCGGGTTTTGATCTATTTTTTCAATGCCCCATCCATCTACAGTCGACCTCTGCATAATCCATCCTGGAGTGGAAAGCGCCTCCCAGATTTTTGTTCGCCCTGTGTGTACCCTTATCACTAATATACATCCATTAATTAAGCCGTGAAGAAGTCCTCCCTCCGGATTCCACTCCGATCACACATGCCCTTGAAAATGCCACCCTGGTCGTATAGATTGATAGGCTTGTCCAGCTCCGCAATAATGCCGGCATCCATGACGCAGATGCGGTCGTATCCGATGATGGTTTTCAAACGGTGCGCGATACACAATAACGTCTTGCCACGGAAACCGTCGACGATCGTCTTTTGGATCTTCTGGTCGGTCTCAAAGTCGACCGACGACGTCGCCTCGTCGCAAACGATGATTTGCGAGCCGCGCACAAGGGCGCGCGCGAGGGCCATCAGCTGGCGTTGACCAAGCGAGAAGTTGAGACCTTCTTCCTCCACGACAGAATCAAGATGGATGCGCCCAGATTTGTCGTCCATGGAAGCGTCGTTGGAAACCAAGTCTGCCTGTCGCAGCGCGCCCCAGAGCTCGAGATCGTTGTGCTCGTTGAACGGGTCGAGGTTGGACCTGATGGTGCCTTTGAAGAGCGTCGGATCTTGAGGGATGATCGCGAGCTTGGAGCGCAGGTCGTGGAGACCAATTGTGCTGATATCCACTCCATCAATGGTGATGGATCCTCCCGACAATTCGGTGAGACGGAACAACGTGCTCATGATACTGGACTTGCCGGCGCCAGTGCGTCCAACCACACCGATGCGCTCGCCCGCAGCAACGTGCATATCGAGGCCTTTGAGCACCAACGGTAGACCTTCTCTGTAACGCATCTCAACGTTGTGGAATACAATCTCGCCATGTTCTGGCCACGTCTTCCTGACCTCACCCATCGTGAGGGGAGCCTCCTCTTCCAACATGGTGCCATAGTGATGAATCCGTTCCGTCGCGTTCATGTTGTTCTCGACCTCTGCGAGTTGACGCACCGTGAATTGAATCATTTGTACAATCGTAAGAATGTAAGAGAGTACAAGTCCCGCAATGCTAGGGTTAACGGAGAATCGGGAAGTAACAACCAATATGCCCGTGGTGAAGACGAGCAGGATGCCAATGACATCGAGACGAACGCTAAGCCAACGCTGATTCGCAAACGTAAGATAGTATGCACTGTTCATGTCGTCAATCGCATCGCGGACTGAACGGGAGAATTGATGTTCCAGACCATAGGCACGGATAGTTGGCGTGCCCATGACCGCTTCGCTGAAGCGTGCGAAGACGTTGCTGCGGAGGACCGACTCGTGACGCTTAACCTCACGGGCCGATGCTCGATAGTACGCAGCAGAGAACATGAAGATGAGGAACAGAGGACCCAGCGCTATGGCATAGTAATAGTAATACGAGATGATGAGAATGAAGACCGAAATGATCATGGCCAGAGTCATGAAGTACATGCGGATCGCATCGGTAAGTGTGTTGTCCATGACATCGATGTCTTTGGAGAAGCGGTTTGTGATACGTCCGAGAGGTGTGGTGTCGAAGAAGGACATCGGGGCTCTGAGGACGCGATGGATGGCGCGATGCAGCATGACTTTGCCGGCCTCAGTGCCAAACACAGAGACGGCAATCGAAAATGCAAACATCAACACAGCCTGAGAGACACCGAGTGCAGCGTATACTCCAATCTGAACAGCTTAGCAAATGACAAAAGATGAATCGGAGCGTACCTACGTATGTACCTTCGCTGTAACCGAACTTGTTGGACGTCCACCATGACAGCCACAAGCTCGTTGCGATATTCGCACCCTGTGACAGGATGAGAACCAGCACTACGACTGGACCGACCCATAGGCCACCTCCGGCTCGGAGATAGGCTAGCCAGACGTCCCAATTCACGGCCTTGGTAGCTCGGTCCTCTTCCTGCATAAGCGCGGCAGCAGGCTTCTTCTTTTTCTTCTTCTTGGCCATTTTCTTCTCGTCTTCGATCTCGTCTTCAACAGCATGTTCTTGCTCCTCCTTCGCCTCCTCGGTAGCAGTCATGGTCATTAATTGTTGAAACTCCTTGTTGTTCGCCATCAGATTGGGAAACGTGTCCACTGCCTGAATTCGACCTTCTTCGACCCAGACAATCCTATCGCATCGATCGAGCACATGAAGTTGATGTGTAGCCAGAATGCGACATTTGTCTCGGAGAAGACCGCAAATCGCGTTGTCCATGATGTGTCGTCCGACATGCGCGTCAACTGCAGATAATGGATCATCCATCAACACGATGTCTGCATCGAAGTAGATGGCACGCGCAATGTTCATACGCTGCTTCTGACCACCAGAAACGGTAATACCTCGTTCCCCTATCTCAGTTTTGTCGTGATTGGGAAGCATGTCAAGATCCGGTCGTAAGGCACACGCATCGACAACCTTGTTATACCAATCGTCCTGGAATTTCTTCCCAAAGACGATGTTTTCACGAACGGTCGCATTCTGAATCCAGGCATACTGGGGACAGAAGGCACGCGACGCTCCAATCATGACTTCGCCCTTGGTCCGTCGCATGTCACCTGCTAATGCTGCCAGAAAGGAACTCTTTCCAGAGCCTACGCCACCTATAACGGCGATCAGCTCCTTCCGCCCAATTGAAAGATGAAGATCCTTCAATTGAAACGGGAGATCCTCCTCTCCCAATTTTTCTCCCTGCTTCTTACGTTAGTGCAAGTGAGCAAAGTAGGTGACCGAAAGAGAAGACTGTCTACAGCGGAATGCCGAGTTATCGGTACCTTACGTTGCCCATGATGGTGGCACAACGCCTAGTCATACTGAAATTCTTGACTATTGGCTTGATAACATGATCACTTCGTGCCGCGTCGTTACGTACCGAATCAGATGCGGAGCCGCTACCATTACTCGCAACAGACTGTACGCTCTTTCGCTTGTCTTTCTTCTCCTTCTTCGATTTCTTGCCAGGAGGGCCCCCCTTCTCCGGAGGCCCATCCTCATCTTCACGCGTGGGATGACGCTCCCAAGTAAAGTCTGCATCTTTGACCACGATAGCCTCTTTCGCCTCGTAATTCCACTCGGTATCCTCTTGGGCTTCTTCCGCCAACAAAAATTCCTGAAATATCATTAGCATACTCCAAGGACCTAAACATAGATATTATTGGCCCTAGCATCATGCATCCGAGGGTAAGACAGGATATCGAAGCTTATGTCTGGGAATTGCAGGAGTCTCCATAAACCAAGGCTTGTAGATGTTGACCACAACGCAACGTACCTGGATTCGCTTGACAGATGCATTCGCGTCAATGACCTGTCCAATCACAAGAGGGAGAAAATTAAGCGGAATGCGGAGAGAGTTGAACAGAGCAAGCGACGAGAAGATCGGCGCAGGATTGAGGCCATGATCGGTGAGGCTGATCAAGATTAGCTTAGGTCAACACACGAATAGATACATAGCTTCATCCCAGGTCAGACGCCGTTTCGTGCAACCCCCTTGGGGCAACACAGGGCATACCGAGGCACCGGAACTTTTGATGTATGATAGCGGGGGCCGTGGAAGGGCAACGTACGAGTAGGTGATGAAAGCAAGCATGGAGGCAAACACGGGCATCGACATGCCTACAGCCATGATACCGTTTCGAATTGCGAGCAGGACCTGGATGCCCTTGATCTCTTTCGTTCGGATGGCATCCACTCGCTCAAGGAAGCTTGTCTCCCACCCAAAATACTTGACGAATCGCACAGCCTGCAAAATCTCCTGTGTCAGGCTAATACGCTGGTCCGTGATCTTGTTGATTGCCATTCTCCGCCGGAAAAGGGAGCGCACGGCACGTCCAAGTAATGGCATGGTGACGATGAGGAGACCAATTCCTGGGAGTGCACTGTACGTAAGATTGATGAGCAGCAAAGCAACCGTGATCAGAATCGCAATGGGCGAACACCAAATCATGTGGAAGAAACCGCTGGCCTGGTCTACGCGGTACGTGTCTGTGGACATCAGATTGATAATCCTCCCGTTGCCCCAGCCTTGGCCGTCGCCCGAAACTCCTTGCGAACCTTGCGCAAGTTCCTTCTGCTTCTTCTTGAGGATTTTGTGATACCACTTTCTTTCTGCTTCGCTTCCTGCTTTTACATCGGGGGGTGGCTTTTCCAGGATCGCCTTGCCGCCAGCTTTCGCGCGTCCGGAGAGTTTCATGGCCTTGTCGAAGATAACGGATATGAGCACAGCTCTTGCTTCACCGCCAATCATCATACCTCTGTACATGAAATGATTTGTTGCCATACTCTGGAAGAATTGCATTGCCGTGATGCCAATAACCAGACCGATACCTTCACCAATAGGAGGGGCAGGTCCGCCATTGTGTTGGGCAATATACGCTTTGAGTGCGAAATTGATTAGGTAGCGTAGGATGAACGGTGCAACGGACTGGATGATGCTCGCAAGGAGCTGGCAAGTACCACCTATTATGAACTCCCATTTGAATGTGTCGAAGAGTGCACCCAAGAGGAGTCTTTCGTCTCCTGCTTCTCTCCGTCGCTTGAACGATGCTTGAAGCCTTTCCACCATTACATCTGCGCTTCGATCCGGATTGACGGTCCAAAGGTCGTTCTTTTCGAGCGGTCGCTTGTAACCGACCTATACACACCGCTGCATCAGCTGTCGAATCATGGATAGTTCGCACGATACGTACCGTCATGAGCGGAGCCATCCATTGAAAAGTAAGTCGGCTGAAAAATCCGGCACTATACTCCCGCGACGGAAGTCTGGTCTCTGGAACCCGTGGTTTCTTGCCCCATTTCAGCGGATTTATCTTCTTGTACCATTTCTTGCTTCCGCTGGCAGAAGATTTTGTGTCAGACAGTTCGCTGCTCCACTCTGATACACCGCTCTGCGCGCTCTGTAGCCTGGAGAGCGGACCTCCTCGGGTGCTGTGCTTGTCGGCATTGGCCTCCAGATTCTTCTCGACCTCTGCTGTCTCCAAGGGTTCGCTGACGATGGGTTCATATTGCTTAGGATTTTCTGCAGCTGCCTCCGGGTCCTGTAGCCGCCAGTCTATCTCTTTCTCGTTGAGAGACGAGGACCCAGATCCGGACATTGCGGGCAACGGACGGCTGTCTCAGAAGCAAAACCAAAAAGGAAGCGGAAGGCGTTGTTCTGCAGTGGACGTGTCACGAGGCAGGGTCCTTGTCAGAGTGTCAGAGTTACGCTGGGAGAAGGCGGCGCCATGGGGACTCAAAAACTCGGGACTTGTCATGTTACGATGTCCCGGGGAAGCGAGATTCATATACCTCGGAGGTTTGCAAAATGGTGAGGTCAAGAGGCAGCCTAGCAACGGCCCAAACGGAGATAAAACCTGCCAATCAGCAGCGACGCAACGCGGCTTGCTAAGCTGCACCCTTCACGCAATTGTTGTGCGTCTGCGAAGTCATGCTTCATCGGGGCCTCTTCCGCGCCGATTCCCGAACAGAGCTGCAACCGATGCGTGACTCAAAGAGCACTCGACTCATAACGCGCACAGGCAGTTCTCGACACACGTAGCTGGACGAACGACGGGCACCGGAGGCTGCTTCCCTGCTCATGCTCCAGTGCGGCCTCTTCCCCGCCTCCGTCTCCGAACCCGAAACCGCCGCCGACAATATACAAGTCGCAGCCGAACCTTGTTGCCTGCCACCGTCCTTGCGCGCATTCAGCTAGAGACGGGCTCGTTCCGTTCTCTTCGTTCGACGATGGCTGCTCAGCTCTCTCCAACAAGCTAGCCTCGCGCTGTCTGTTGCCATCATGCGTCTCTTCGACCGGCCTGGATGAAGAGAGCCAACGGGTGTTGTCACAAGGTGTGGTCTATCGCCGAGGCAGGAGAACGAGTATTGCTTATATACTTCACCATCCCTGCCCAGACCGATCACCAAATAGCACCCCTTCGTGGCGTCTTCGCGGACATCGTCTGAAGCAGCACAACATTGGAGCATCTACCGTACTTGTCAGCACACATGCGACAAGCAGCCAATGAGGTCTGGCGCCATGGTCACAATGTGTTCCCCCGCAAGCTCGTTTACTACACGGTGCTTCAATCACGCTTAATCAAACGGCATGCACACAAATAGACAAGTGTAAATTTGAGAATGTAGTGTGGCATTTCTACATTCTGACAGCTAGCATCAAAAAATGTCTCGCCGAATGTCGGCTTGGGTATTGAGCCATGATGATCATCCCCCGCCCCCACATACGCCATCGGATTCCCACCCCACGCAACATATGTTGCCCAGAAAGGTACACATGCTACAGTCCGGTGGAGAAGTCTAGGTAGCATATAGTGTGTTCCGAACAATACAACCTCCAAGAGGTTTCTAGTTCCTAGCGAGTAATATACGAGGCCTTCAATTGTCGACGCCGATGTGTACATTCTTCTCGCCTGGTGGCAGAACCTCCTGCTCCCTCTTACCCTGCAGCTTAGGGAGCTCCTCCATTGCTTCCTTGATAATGGCAAGCGCAGAATCAATCTCTTGCTCCGTAATGACAAGTGGCGGCGCAAGGCGAATGATGTTCTGATGAGTGGGCTTCGCCTGTTCTTCAGCGTTAGTACTCTGTAAGTCTTCGCATGTGTCATCGTGAGGGTTCTTCCTACCAGTAATCCCTTCTCTTTGAAGAGCATGCACAGATCCCACGCACTATGTCCATTCGTCTTCTCCTCGTCGATTACAATCGCATTGAGCAGACCCTTGCCGCGAATCGTCGTGATCATGGGGCTGTTGAGCTTCTTCAATCCGTCGCGGAATCTATTGCCTAGCGTTTCAGCACGCTCAACCATGTTTTCCTCCTGAATGAGTTCCAGTGCTCGTATCGCGACTGCGGAGCCTAGGGGGTTGCCACCGTAAGTTGAGCCGTGAGTACCGGGTTCAACGATAAGCATGACGTCCTTTGATCCCAAGACACACGAGACGGGGTACATCCCCCCCGAGATTGCCTTGCCTAGCAAGACAAGGTCTGGCTTGATGCCGCTCCACTCAAGGCACAACATCTTGCCGGTTCGCGCAATACCAGTTTGTATCTCGTCACAGATTAGGAGGACGTTGTGCTTCTCGCAGAGTGCCTTGACCTCTCGCAGGTAGCTGTCATCTGGCACCACGATGCCAGCTTCTCCTTGGATTGGCTCAACAAGGAACGCGGCTGTTTTCTTGCCATGTTCCTCAAGGACCTCCCGCACGTCATCAACGTTGTTGTACCTGATCGGCTTGTTTGTTGAAGGGTTGGTGCTGCCGATACCAGGGAGATACGGGCCATAGTTGTCTCGTGACTCGGGGTCGTTGGACATGGATATGGCGGCAAATGTGCGCCCGTGGAAATTTTCAGTCACAGAGAAGACCAATGCCTCATTCTGTGGTATCCCCTTTACTTTGTAACCCCACTTGCGCGCAATCTTCACAGCAGTCTCGACGGCCTCTGCGCCAGTGTTCATCGGCAGCACCATGTCGAAGCCGAACGTTCGCGTAACGAACTCAGCGAAGCGTGGAAAAACATCATTGTAGAAGGCACGACTACTGAGCGTCAGGCGTGAAGCTTGCTCGGTCAAGGCTTTCACAAGCTCGGGGTGGCAATGTCCCTGGTTGACGGCGCTGTAGGCGGAGAGGAAGTCTAGATAGTGCTTGTCCTCGGGGTCCCACACTGAACAGCCGCTTGCGCGCGCGAATACTGCGCAACTGTTAGCTGATGACACGCGTTGTACATGTGCTGCGAGTCTGCGCTCGAGTACCTACCGATTGGTAGGGGATGGTAATTGTGAGCAGCGAACTTGGCCTCTGCACTGATGGCGGCGTCCGACGACTCAGCATGGTACTTGGCTGGGTCTGGGGTGCCCGTAGGGTGGAAAGCGCGCGCAGTAGGCTTCAAGGCGGTCCCGTTTGGAGCCTCGTTCTGAATCGCGCCTGGGGCCATGATCAATTCGAGGACAGTGGTGCGTCGGTGGTCGTACGCGGGTGCAGTGAAGTGCGGGGTGGCAGGGCTGTCGTAGACGGCCTTTGTACAGAGAGGAGGGAGTTGGAAGAGAAGCTGCGGACCGCTGCTGAAAGGTGCCAGCCTTTAAGAATTTGTTTGTGGACCGCTGTAAGCCTATACCTGTACTTAGGGTTCTACTTCGTGTAGAAATGCCTTTAGGGATCGACCAGAGCGGCTCAGCGCGGGGTGTTTGTCATGGCGCTGATTGGACTGAGCGGCCGCCGCGCGCAGCTGACCAGAGGACGAACATGTTCAAACGTGGTTCAAGCAGTATTGGACATGTAGGCAAAGACGCAAGAGGTGGATGGAGGAGCGGAGACGAGGTAGGTGGGTTTACAATCTACAGTCGGCAAAAGTTGTGCCAGCTGGTCAGCTCCTTCTCCTATTCTTGCCTCCGCAGCTTCCGCCCACGTCCCTACCGCTTGACTCTACAGGCGTAGCCGAGAAGCTCTGGCGAGTACGAGGCCGTGTCTCTGGTGTGGAGGGCTGCATCGATGCACGCGCGCGGGCACTGGCTTCACTGAGCTCTGCATCGCACATGTCGAGGGAGCATGCCAGGCTGTGATGGGCGCCAGGTTAGCTCCACCAGCCGAACATTCGACACCCGATGCAGACTCGCCACGACCCACTGCCGCTCTGGAGAGGCTCCGCAAAGCTAGTGAAAAAAGTTCACGCGTGCCGTCTTCGAAAAGGAGCTGGCATTTGGACATGTACGACTGATCATTGCGCTCTCTCCCATTGCTCGAAAGCAGGAAGAAACCGCACCCAAGATCGGCCGAGTTTGCTCTCCACTACACGGACGGTTTTCGTTCTCATGGAACCTCGCACTGCCCGTAGACAGCGGGTATCTCGAACCGAAAATGCTTTGAAGTGAGTGTGATAGAATTTGCGTTGTTCATGGAGGAGAGAAGAAACGGCCGGCCGCACGAGTTTTTGAGAGGGCGCGCATCGACTCGCGCTAGGCCCGATGGCGTTAGTCCTTGACTCATGGTGGGCTGGTGGGCTGGTGGGCATTTTCGCCTTTGCGTGGGCATTTCGAACGTCGACTTCCCGCCGAGCTGCATCCACGTCCTGCTGTCGCCGTTGCTGCCCACCTCGTCCCACGCCCGTACACACCAGCGCGCTCATATATCCTCCCCGCAGCCAGTCACACGCCAACCACCCAGCATGGACTCCGAGTCCGAGCATGACCACCGCGACGACGAGAGCGTGTCCGAGCCCGAGGAGGTGGAGGAGACGAAGCCAAAGCCCGCCCTCAAGAAGCAACGGGACGTCCTCCCGCCCGTTGAGCGCCCAGAGCTCCCCGAGCAGCCCGAGCCCTCCTCCATAGATTTCTCGACGCTGAACCCACTGTCGCCCGAGATCATCTCTCGCCAGGCCACCATCAACATTGGCACCATTGGCCACGTCGCTCACGGCAAGAGTACCGTGGTAAAGGCCATCTCAGGCGTGCAGACTGTGCGATTCAAGAACGAGCTCGAGCGCAACATCACCATCAAGCTTGGCTACGCCAACGCCAAAATCTACCAGTGCGACAACTCCGAGTGCCCGCGGCCCACATGCTACCGGTCGTATAAGAGCGAGAAGGAGGTGGACCCCCCATGTGAACGCGAAGGCTGCGGCGGCAAATACAGGCTGAAGCGCCATGTCTCCTTCGTGGACTGCCCCGGCCACGACATTCTCATGAGCACGATGTTGTCCGGAGCTGCTGTCATGGACGCTGCTCTGCTTCTCATTGCCGGAAACGAGACGTGCCCGCAACCACAGACCAGCGAGCATCTTGCTGCCATCGAGATCATGAAGCTCAATCACATCATCATCCTCCAGAACAAGGTGGATCTGATGCGGGAAGACAATGCTGCGGCACATTACGACTCTATCTTGAAGTTCATCCGAGGCACAGTTGCCGATGGCTCGCCTATCATCCCTATATCCGCCCAGCTCAAGTTTAACATCGACGCTATCAACGAGCATCTCATTACCAAGATTCCCGTGCCAGTGCGAGACTTTAGTGCGAAGCCGCATATGATTGTCATCCGATCATTCGACGTGAACAAGCCCGGTGCCGAGATCGACGAATTGAAGGGTGGTGTTGCTGGTGGCAGTATCCTTACCGGTGTGCTGAAGCTTGGTGACGAAATCGAGATCAGGCCTGGCATTGTTTCCAAGGACAGCGCCGGAAAGATACAGTGCAAGCCTATCTTCTCTAGGGTTGTATCACTGTTCGCAGAACACAACGATCTAAAGTTCGCAGTGCCTGGTGGTCTCATTGGTATGCTGCCCCTCGTCATCCACGAACAATTGGTCTAACAACAGACAGGTGTTGGAACCCGGGTTGATCCCACGCTTTGCCGTGCTGATCGCTTGGTCGGCTTCGTGTTGGGCCTTCGCGGCCATCTCCCGAATATCTACACTGAGATTGAGGTCAACTACTTCCTGCTTCGAAGATTGCTTGGTGTCAAGACTGCCGATGGCAAACAAGCAAAGGTCGCAAAGCTGGCCAAGAACGAAGTATTGGTATGTTTCTGCCTCGGTCCAAGCTTCATAGGCTAGACTAACGAACTGTAGATGGTGAACATTGGATCCACTGCCACTGGTGCAAAGGTCATTGCCGTGAGGGCTGATGCTGCTCGTCTTCAGCTCACCTCCCCGGCATGCACAGAAATCGGCGAGAAGGTTGCACTGTCAAGACGTATCGAGAAACACTGGCGTCTTATTGGCTGGGCAAACATCGTCGCGTAAGTCTTGATATGTTGATACAGCTTGTTACATGAACTAACATCGCTACAGCGGTAACATTCTCGAGCCGCTTAAGGATTAGAAAGAATTGACAGCGGGAAACTCACGAGTCAACGAAAAATCTTGTCAGACGGCATGACTCGGAAAATTTGGCGCGGAACATAGAACTCAGAGGCACGGAGAGTTCATCACGGATTCGAAGAGCAGTCGAGCCTTGACGTTAGCAATCTGAGCATTTTTGGCGGGCACCAGGCTCCTGAAGGACAGGTTATGGCATGATGACTGGATACCGAATTCGCCGAGAACGTTAGAAGCACAGCACTAATTCCAAGACTCATGTACAATCTGTGTTCGTGTTCCGTTTGTCAGGTCACATCATGGAGGTCTAAATTTGACCCTGTCGCGGTACTACGATGCATCACGATAGCAGAAGTCTAGCGATGAAAGCAATCATACAAAAGCCGCAACACACTCAGAGCCATTTGTAGAGGCAACCAACATATGAGCTGAGTCCATACACACCTGCATTTTATATGCGGCGCAGTATCCCTATGCGCACCTGATCGTTCTGAATCCTCGCACGCATTCGATGTTTGCTAGCATTGTCCTCGCCAGTCCTACTATATGACACCAAAGACGGGCCGCACATACACTTAAACGCATTTGCAGTGACAGTAGAGAAACATAAAGTCTCTCAAACAGTCCGAGACCGAGTCAAAGAATGCATGCGTGATTAAAGGCTGTCTTTTATAATCAATGTTGAAGAAGACTCGATATATGTGGCTGACAAGACAATCTATAAGTGCGGGTAAGACGAGGATGGGCCCTAGGAAAGGCGTCTAGTGAAAAATTGAGTTGGAAGACGTGGTTCGCATGCTGAAGGGTGTTCGTGATGATTATCGTTTACAATTCACTCCCCCAAACGTTGTCTCACCGGTACTTGGTCTTTCTTTCCGCAACACTGCGCCCCCGCTGGTACCATTCCTCTTCCTTCCCAATGATTCTAGAGCCTGGCAGTGGAGTGCTAGTGCGTACGTAGGATAGCGAAGGAATGGTTGGTACCAGTCCGGGGTTTATACGTCTACGAAATAATCTAGCGGTTCGGGAGTTGAGGGCGCACGTCGTAGTTTTGTTAGCAAGAAACGCCGCAATCTTCCGATGTTGCCCTTGATGGCAGGGACTAACGATCGTGCCATTGTCATTATATGTTGCGGTGTAAGACTATCCAAAAAATGCTTTTTGAAGTGTTTGCAAAGATGAAGAAGTCTCTCTTCCGTGATTCTTCGAGAAGCAGGCCTCGATTGGAAGTTCACTACAAGGAGCACAGGGTTTGTATGATAAGTCAGTGGGCTTATTTCGATAAGTAACAGGCGTACAAGTCGGCCTTTGCAGAAGCGAGAGTCATGGCTAATTATCCTACGATGATCTAACGTCTCAAGCCAGGCTGACAACAAGGCTTCAAGACCTCCGTTGACGCATTACGACGTAGACTTATTGGGAACGTATCAACGCTTGAGATCAGAAAATGTTACGCTCATAGTACGGCTTCATGAGCAGGTACCCATTATTTATTTATACTGCTCACTGAGATTGCATACGTCTTCGCATTGTTAGTCGAGTATGTAGGAATACGGCCCTATGAAATCGAGATACTAATGATCTTGATATCGTCCTCCGGCTTTTCCTTATACGTCTTCGTATTCTCAATCTTGTGTACCACATCTAGCCCCTGCACGGCACGCCCAAAAATCGTATGCTTGTTGTCCAGCCAATGCTACTAATTGTCAGCAATAACCTAATCAGATGGTAAGAAGCACAACATACCGCCTTCTCCGTGGTGATAAAAAACTGCGAGCCATTCGTGTTTGGACCTGCATTGGCCATGCTAAGTGTGTACGGCTTATCGTGGCTCAGGCTTGAGAATTCGTCTTCAAATTCACGACCCCAGATGGACTCACCACCCGTACCGTCACCGAGCGGATCGCCGGTTTGGATCATAAACTTACGGATTACGCGGTGGAAGATAACATTATTGTAGTATCCGTTCTTCGCGTGCGTTACGAAGTTCTCCACGGACTTGGGTGCCGCTTCCGGGAAGAGACGCACCGTTATGTCGCCGTATGTAGTATGTATGACTGCTGATGACCCTGTGACCGCGATCTTCTCTTCCGGTCTTTTCAAAGAGCCGGCATTACGAGGCTTTTCGTTTTGCACATCCCGCTCAGACTTGGCTACGGTGTTATCGTTCGTAAACATATAAAAGCGGACCTTTCCTGAACCCGTAGAGGCCAGCATCGCGTCGCGGGCTTCAGCTTCTTGTAGCAGTGGATTCTCGCTGGCTGCCATTTCCACAGTGACTACACCTTTCTTCTCGGGCTGGCCCTGGTACAGAGATAACCACAGTGGCCGAAATGGTTCTTCTTGCCCGTAAAGCTTCACTATGCGATTGGTTGTGGTGTTGAGAACTTTGACGCCGTACATTGAGCCGTATAATATAAAATGACCAGTCTCGTCAAAGACAACGTTCATACGGGATCGCACAGAAGGTTGGTCTAGATCACGCTCTATCCCAAGCCTTCGGCCGAACTCGATGTCTTCAAGATGTTGCACGGCGGTCCCGGCTTGTTGCATCTCTTGTATAGTTTGGATCGATTCGTCATATGTCCGGTGGAGTTTTCCTGTTTCGAAGTCGAAGATACGTATTTTGCGGTCTGGGAACGAGAGTGCGGCAAATTGTTTCCCAGTGGGCGACATTGTGAGTGACACAGGCACAGATTTTGCCTTTTTGAACTCAAATAAGTTCGTAGAGCTTTTCATAGAGAATACGTTGTCCGGTTTTTCGAAGTTGCCGCTCGGCTGCCAGTACTCTACCATGCCGCCCTGGTCGACGGACACCACGCAATCAAATTGGCTGTTATAAACCATCAGAGCGACAGGCGCCTTATGTACGCTTTTCAAGGTATGCAAGGGCTCCAAATTTTCTCCTCTGCCGTCGTAGATACGTATCCAGGAATTCTCTTCGGAAGATACGGCCAGCTGCGGGAATGACGCGCCCCTTCCATGCACCCAGCAGACAGTCTTTGGGGTATAACTCAAGCTCAACATTGCCAGCAGGTCGAATGTAACTACATCGAATATCTTGACTGATTTATCCGTTCCGCAGGTTGCAAAGCTGCGACCGTCCGCACTGACGCTCACAGACCGTATCTCGCCATCGTGGGCCCGGAATTCTTTCACAAACTCAACCCCTCCGAAATCCTTCTTCCAGAATTTGACAACGCCATCGATTGAACTTGTGACCAGAAAGTCGGTGAGTGGTGTAAAAGTAGTATAGCACAATTGTTCGCGGTGCATCAGTGATTTGAAGTAGCGGTTAGAGGTCGGTAAGGCTGCGACGTAGAGTTTTTCATAAGGTAGCTTGCGCTTTTTCTTCTTAGGGGCCGAGGAAGGGGAGCGTAGGTCCAAAGTCGTCGTCTGAGGACGTCTCATCTGTGATACCATTAGCTATGACTGCGTCCATGGGCACAGTGGTGCCATACCGTCCTCTGCATTGATCGCAGCTTTCATCGTCGTGCGGTCTGCAGCTTCCATTTCGTCACGCGATCTTTTAACCGAGGGTGACAGCATCCGCTTGTCAGCGCGAACAGCTAGCGAAGCCATGTCTTCGTATTTGGAGGCCATAGCAAGATCGTGCGCCTACTTTTGCGAATTCGCGGCAAGTTGTTGGCTTGAACGACGCGGCTGGGATACGAAACATCCCAGGTTTAAACGCGCGCTAGATAACCGAACCGCCAAGACTAGCGCGTAATTTCACTTCGCCATATCCTTGTGCTGTAATGCGAACATAGATAGATCGCTTCAGCTATCTACCTAGCTATATAGCTATCCCTAACCCTTTCGCATACCCTCTCGTACAGCTGATCGGAGTCCTGCTTTGATTTTTCGATCAGAATCTTAAGTAGTTGCACTCCTGGGAGAGTCGCATCCTTTTCCCTTCTTTTTTTATCATAAGGTGGTCAGGAGTCGTCCCAGACTCACCAGCCCGTCTCTTTCCACCATTACGATGCAGTACTGAACACCTGCCCGTTATATACCTTCCTTGTATGAGATCTTCAAGTTCTTATAACAGCGTATTTGCTTTACAGACAAGGTCATGAACCAGCTACTATAGTTGGATACTGAACGTCATTTATGACCTTGACAATTGAGAAGCTTGCATATACTTGGTACCTTGGCGCTGGTCTGCTCCTTCGTCGCTCGTGCCTCATTACTGATAAGCAAGCATCGCTAAGACAGGTATGGTATTGTACATCTTGGGCTAAACCAGAGCGCAGCATTACACTAAGCTGTTGCTGCACTCGCTCATAGTACCTTGACCACGACCTCGTTCGGGCAGATAGCTGCGCAGTTCCCAAAAGGCAGGAACACTCGTGAATGGGGTTCTAGGTCAATGCATCATGTGAAAGTGTCCATAAAACAAGGTGGTATCATTCATGGTAGTCGAACTGAAGATGTTAAACGACGACTAATCCTCTTCATTCAGCGGCACGTCATCGATGCCATTTTCAAGGACTTTCCTCGACACCTCAAAAATATGCAGGCTGTTCGGTGCCATACCGGCCATCCATCGGGCCAATCTGGGCTCCTTGCCAACTGCAGCGACCACGCAGAGCCCATCCTTCCCACGTTCGCCTCTCTCCTGCACAGAAAGCCCATTCACTATGCCCCGCATTAGGCTTATGTCGTCGCTTGGATGTGCTCCTACGGTCATGCCGTCTACGTCTTTGAGGGGTACGTGGCCGACCTTTCCTACAGGCTCGATGCTGCGTTTGTCCGCTCCCACGCGCCACGCTCTTATCCAACCATCCCAACTGCCAGTGAGGACAAGGTCCGCAAACGGTACTGTTGCAAGTGCGGTGATGTATCTCGGTAATGTTGGCCCAGGTCTCGCCGATTGCTGAGCATCGCTATTTGCTGACATGTCTTCTGGCCGAAGCGGTGGGTCTCTTCCGTGTGCAAGAGGAATCGTTTGTAAAGGTTTCTTCCTGTTCACCGACCATAATGAAAGAGCTCCATTGTCCGAGCCCGTGACGAAGAGCCCTGCATCAAGAAGAGCGACACAGTCCACGGAGCCCTCGGCATACACAATTTCATCGTCGTCTCGTTTTATGTCGCCGTTAGTAGTGGTCCCGTCATTCGCTGTGGCCCCAAAGCGACCTTTGCGTAACTTGTCCAACCCCTTTTGACGAGTATTTGTTCCGCTTCTGAACACTAGTTGGTTCTCCTCTACCACCTTCCATAGCCTTGCGGATCGATCTCTTGAGCCGACACTGATGCAGGTTTCTTGGTTAACCTCCAATCCGCCTGCCACCCCGATGACAGCGTCTTCGTGTCCGTGCAATGTTTCAATGTAGGCAGACTCTGCGGCAGCCCAGACTAGTACCGCACGATCTGCACCTCCAGAAAAAAGCTGTTCTGTGCCTCGCCTAAAGGACAACGCAGTAACAGCATCGCGGTGCCGTGTGAACAGTTTCCGCGGCGTAAGGTTCTCCGCATCCCATATGATTAGGCGAGCGTGCTTGTCTCCCGTAGCCAAAAAGCGCCCTGAATCTGACACAGCAATCGATATTATCTCGCCAGTATGACCCAGGTAGTCCTTATCACCTTTCATGTTTTTATTGCCCTTCCTCCAGAGGAGTCGCTTAGGCGTACGTCGTCGAGTGATGTTCGTTGGCTGATTTGGTTCCCGCGCGTTGTAGACCGTGGGATCCGCGATTTCCCACTTTTCGACAACCAAGTCTTTGCTGACGGTCCATGCATATGGCAAACGAAGCGCGCATCCGGTGACTGCTTTCTGTAGACCTGACTTGCCAAAAACATGTGAAGCCTGTTCAAAATCCAGCTCTTCCGCAATGTTCCTGTATATTTTGCCCTTTGTTTCTGCAACGTCTTCCTTCAGTCTCTCAGCAATCAGGTCGCGATCAATGTCTGCTGCATCGAAGCCTCCATCTTCCTCGACTTCGTTGCGGATGTTTTCGAGGTACCGTTCTGCAAGTCTCAGTCGCTTCGCGGCTGCGGTCTCGTTCTCGTCTTGCGACGTCTCCGATTCTTCAGGTTCTTCGAAGAAACCGGCATCGCGCTCGCCCTCTGAGTCTTCGTCACTTCCAGAAATCGACTCGTCTCTCTCGCTGCGGCGGGGGGGTCTGTCGGCCTGTGAGTTTGCAGAAGCAGCACTGCGTTTTTTAGGCTCCGCGAGAGCAGCTTCGGATCGCTTCCTTTTCCGTTGCGAGGCAGGAACGGTGAAGAACGAGGACATTGCTGTGTCGTTTGCCCTTGAAAATCAAGAGAAGGTTTCGTAGGGCCAAAAAGTTTAAAATCGGGGCGCCGACACGCTGGTCCGTGCGCCGTGCTTGCCTCATCGGCCGTGCTTCGTGCTTGCCTGTTCGCTCATCGAAGCTTCCCCATCGACCTCCGCACCGCGGCCTATCGCCATCTCCAACCCTCGAATCGCACCCAACGACTTCCCGTGAAGCTCAAAGCCCTTCCGACGCAGCCACCCCGCGTATCTTGCCGCGGCACACCCCACTGTTTACGCATCTTCGCCGTCTGTCGGGGAATTCCTCCACCCGCTGTGCAACACCTTCACACCTCTCACAATGAGCGGCAGCAGTGATCCCGAGCGTGACCACGCTCTCGAGGAGTACAAGGGAAAGCTGTTGGAGTCGAGGGAGTGGGAGGCGAAGCTGAAGTCGCTGCGATTAGAGATCAAGGGCCTCCAACACGACTTCGACGTATCAGAGGAGAACATCAAGGCACTGCAGAGCGTGGGACAGATAATAGGCGAAGTGCTCAAGCAGCTGGACGAGGAGAGATGTATGTCACCGAACCCCTAGAGGCAATATTGTAGAAGCACGATGCTGACCCGTGCTAGTCATCGTCAAGGCGTCTTCAGGTCCCCGATACGTCGTCGGCTGTCGGTCAAAAGTTGACAAGCTGAAGCTGAAGCAAGGAACGCGAGTTGCGCTCGACATGACCACGCTCACCATCATGCGCATGCTACCCCGCGAAGTCGATCCCCTCGTCTACAACATGTCGCTCGAAGACCCCGGACAAGTGAGCTTCGGCGGCATCGGTGGATTGAACGAGCAAATTCGAGAGCTTCGGGAGGTTATCGAACTACCCTTGAAGAACCCTGAGCTGTTCCTGCGAGTAGGCATCAAACCCCCCAAAGGTGTGCTGCTGTACGGTCCACCCGGTACTGGAAAGACGTTGCTAGCCCGAGCAGTGGCAAGCAGCCTAGAGACCAACTTCTTGAAGGTTGTGTCTTCGGCGATTGTCGACAAATACATCGGCGAGTCGGCGCGCTTGATCCGTGAGATGTTCGGTTACGCGAAGGAGCATGAGCCCTGCATCATCTTTATGGACGAAATCGACGCTATTGGTGGCCGGAGATTCTCGGAGGGTACCTCAGCAGATCGAGAGATTCAGCGAACGCTCATGGAGCTGCTCAACCAACTTGACGGTTTCGACTACCTTGGGCAGACCAAAATCATCATGGCGACGAACCGGCCCGATACGCTTGACCCTGCCTTATTACGTGCAGGACGTCTAGACAGGAAGATAGAGATACCCTTGCCAAACGAGGTCGGTCGCCTGGAGATCATGAAGATCCACGCAAGCGGGGTGCAGACTGAGGGCGAAATCGACTTCGAGAGCATCGTCAAGATGAGCGATCAGTTCAACGGAGCTGATCTGCGAAACGTGGTCACCGAAGCGTAAGTTATCCCACAATGGTCTTTTTGGCAAAGCTAATGTGTTATAGTGGGCTGTTTGCGATCAAGGATTACCGAGATTCTATCAATCAGGACGATTTCAATAAAGCTGTACGCAAGATGGCCGAATCGAAGAAGTTGGAAGGCAAGCTGGAATATCAGAAGTTGTAAAAGGCTCGATTCTTTGGGGTTGCTGGTTGACACATAATGACAGGCACAAGTCATAGAACAAGGCTGTCATGTACAATAACGATATCTACATAGCAGATAATGTTTTCTGCTTCATGACTTGAACGCTAAAACCTGGGGAATCACATCCAGCCGTGTCTCGACGTCCTTGAGTGAGTCGGCACAGATCGTCCATCGCAGCTCCATTTCCCCAAAGTAATTAGGTGTCGCGCTCACTTTCTTGAAGCCCACGCCTTCGAAAAGTCTCATGCTTCGCACGTTATCTTTGTTAACCTTGGCGCGCAAGCAGTTCAAGCAGCTGCTCTTCTTCCCATTGGGGTTGCTACTGTGATACTCGTTCATGCTGAGCGTATGTGACTGCAGGATGTACCACATAAAAGTCATAAGGACCTCCCTGCCTATACCCTTCCCCTGTTGTGTTCTCTCTGCAATCATGATTTCGATTTCGCCAATCAGCTTCTGCACTCCATTGCCGTCGTCAGGTCCTTCGTCCTCGTCGTCAGGATTTAAGAACAGATTCACGTCACCAATCATACCATGCGGTGCGTCCTCTTCCTCGGCGGTGATGTGTTCGGGTTCTATCGGTGGCGGGGCGCAAATGATGAAGGTGAGCTTGTCAGCATCTGTGCGCCAAGATTCTTGCATGGCGTATTCCTCTTGTAGAGTGAGAGGCTCCGAGGCCGTCGCGGCCTGGAGATCGGGGTCTTGCATCCAATCGTGATAGGTAGGGACATGATGAGAGGAGTATGGAACTAGGAGAATCTTGGGTGTGAGAAGTGCTGTAGCTGTTAGCTGCATGATCATCCAATGAAACGATGGTGAATACCCGTGTGCTCGTTGATTTTCATCTTGGGCGTGCTACTGGGTGCAAGAAGCGCTCAATGGGCCTGCCAAATTTACTGGATGGTTCTAGCAATGTGAGCAGCACGATAGTGCCGTATGCGACATTTTCTCTCACATCAGAAGCAGTCAAAATTCCTTGTTCAACAGGTCGAAGACGAGGCACGTGCGTTACATATCGCCTGGACAAGCCTTGAGTTGGCCTGTTAGTTCTCTTGCAGGTCAGGAACCGAGGGCTAAGGCTCAAATAGGCTAGGCTACATCACCAACTGCGTCTTCCATCTTTCATACTGCACATCATCGAAACGCCTATGCCTGTCTTTCATCAATCTGCGCAACAAGAAGAAGACTGTCTGAGATTTTCGGCAAGTCGTGGGCTTGAGTGTACTTGAGAGCTCTTGCGCCTGACATTCAAGCTTCATCAAGATCAAACCATGGCACGGACGAAGGTTCTCGTCACAGGCGGCACCGGCTTCCTGGGGTCTGAGATCATCAAAGCGCTCGTAGAAGCAAACGATTTTGCCATCACAGCTCTGGACATCAACCCGCCATCGCTCGGGACGTCATCATACCCCGGTGTCACTTATGTGCGTTGTGATGTCTTGAAAATGGAGGAACTTCAGGAGGTGTTCAAGAAAGCGCAGCCCACTGTCGTTGTGCGTAATGCCCTGGTACAAAGTCGACTCGCGATCGCAGTTGTTGGAACGCTTCGAATTCCACACCTTTAGTTTGGAATTCTAAGGCTCTAGCAGACGGCTTTTGGTGGCGTTCTTCTCTTCATAGGATTCATACTAATCTTATTCTCTCCCCAGTTACATACGGTCGCCGTCAACCTACTTGGAGCAGCACGGTACAGTATGGAAGGAAAAGATGCAGTGTTTGCGATCAACGTAGATGGGACTAGGAACGTGATAGAAGCAAGTCAGGAATGTGGGGTGAAGGCATTTGTGTATACAAGTAGCGTGACAGTACTGCTGGACCAGCTTGAGGAGAATTTTAAGAACGCCGACGAAACATGGAGTACTGGAAGAGCAACCACAGTATATGGACAATCTAAGGTATGTCACGCTCTCATCCTGGCTCTGTAACATTTCTTACAAAGTGGCTGTACCTTGTATTCGATGTTCCGTCTTGAATCCGTCTTGAACCTTTCCTGTACTTTATTTAATACTTGGTTCGCAGACAATGGCCGAGAGCATCGTCCTAGCCTGTAACACTTCCAGCTTCCGGACCTGTGCTCTGCGATCAGCACCCATTTTTGGTCCTCGAGACCCAGTCACCATCCCTACGATCCACGGCTGCATAGCCAACGGTGAAACCCCGTTTATCCTTGGCTCAGGTACCAATTTGCAAGATTACGTCTATGTTTCTAATGTTGCGGATGCACATATTCTCGCTTTGAATAACCTCCTCGGCCTAGGAACCGCCGCTGGAGAAGCCTTCTTCATCACTAACGGCGAGCCGGTTACCGTGCGAGATCTGTGTCTCGCTGTGTGGAAAGAATTCGGCCATTATCCACGATTCCAACTTCGTGTTCCAGAGGACCTGGCATGGTGGATGGGATGGGGCTTGGAATGGGTGAGCTGGCTTACCGGTCTGGAGGGGACATTTAATCGCGGGGTCATATTAGATGCAACCAAAACACGATACGTAAGTATCGCAAAGGCGAGACGGGTGCTTGGCTATAACCCGCGGGTTAGCTTGCCAGAAGCCTTGAGAGTGAGTTGTCAGGTGAGTCGGGTTGGCCCTCGCCGCGTTGAAGGGTACTTGATCCTGACATGTACAGCAGCATTTACAGCAGCAAATTGACGCTCAGACAAGAAAATGATCTCCGGAGATAGTCAGGAATCTTCGCAATGAATCACAACGACCTCGACATAACTCTCTACGCGATACATGGCTACAGGCCTAGATATATAGTGCATTATAGGATATATGAGTGCTCTCTTTTCGGGTGATGTCAATGCAAAACCAACCTGAAGGCTGTTGGTACGCAACTTCTCCAATCAAAGATAAAAGGTATATATGAAGAACAGTGCTGCGTACACCGACTGTGACCCATATATTCCACAGCTACGATTAGACGAGGTAGCCAAACCTTCCTTGATTGCCGTACCAAAGCCGAATGACCTGGCAACATCGGTTTTTTTGTCAAGCTCTGGCCTAGAAACCAGGGTAGCGCAGCGCAGGCTACTTCGGCCTATCGCTACGTGGAAAGGACGACGGTGCGAGTTCTTGTCTCGTCACTACTTCATCCCACTTCCGTCACTGTTCGTAGTGCTCTCGGGGGGTCGAGAGAACTCCTTGGCACATAATAATAGCTGTCATGTCGACCCCCAAACCTAGCAGGAGCTTGAGCCTTCGACCGAGGCAATCTTGGTCTCGAAACTTGTCGCTAGCTTGTCTATTTGACCCCTGACTGGTTCAATCTCTCTGGTTTGGTGTTGTACATCTCGTGTCTATATTACAAATCTCTTTGTACAGCGCAGAACGCATCGCCCGATCTATACATACCCGTTGCACGAATTATAAACTATACGATCTTCTCCGCCTCCTCGAGCAAGCGCTCTACTCGAAATTCCCCATCCCCTCGTGTAAACATTTCCAGCAGCTCGCCCCTGCCCCTGCCCTCTTCACTGACAACGTAGAACTTCTGCATACACATCAACAGAAAGCGTGCTTCGTCTACGGTGACACCTCGGCCCTCGACAACGGTGCCTTGGCCAAGTACCAGGTCATGCGAATCTGCGAGCTCAGAGTGAAATGTGATAGTGGTATGCGGCGACGCAAACTCCCCTCTCAGCTTATATTCTGCCAGACTTGTAAACAGCAGCGTCGTCGTGTTCGCATGCGGGTGCGCGAACTGAAGGTAGTGTAACTCGGCGGCTGTTTGCGATTGCGCCGCATCGATGTTGGCGTCGGGCAACTGGTCGGCTGGGACTTCGCGGGGCAAAGGCAAGACGAAGGAAGGGTGGCGCTTTGCGTTCTCAAGAAGCGCGGTAAAGGTCGAGGATGGGAGGGAGAAGTGTACGGATTGGGCATTGGAGGCGTGGCGGAGACGCCAAAGGACTTGGACTTCTTTGGCGGGCAAAGAGGTTATCTTGTCAAGGGCGAGAAAGGAGTCGAGGGTTTTGACGCCAGGGGGTGGTTTCGATGTAGATGGGGAGGTGGACTGGGGTGTTGGTGGGGGTGGTGGTGCGGGCCAGGGCGACGTTGGCGCGGGTGATGTGCTGGAGGACGAGGGTTGCGGAGAGGGTGGAGGTGTCAAGGGTGCGGTGGCTCCTGGAACGGAGGCTTGTTTCCTGAGCTCCTGGATCTTGTCCTCGTAGGCTTTCTTGAGCTCCGAGACGCCATTGAGCCCCTCCTTTTTCGCCTTTGACTCGAGCTTGTCCTTGTATTTTGCGAGTATACGCTCCTGAGCGCCGTGCGTAGCGAGAAAGCGGACGTCCTGCACGCGTGCCCAGCGGCGTTGGCAGGTTCGAGGGCCGGCGAGTGGTTGACGGACGAGGTGCCGCAGCATCGGTATGCGGAGTGCAGCCATTGTGTGAGTGCAGGATGCACGGGATGGCACTGGCGACCACAGATTGTTGATGACGGTCGCTTGATCAGTGCAGACCGAGGCAGATCCGAGGCATCTCCACAGACCCTGATGCGCCCTGGAGCCCTGGAGCTTACCGTACCACGTGACTGTCACATGTCCACGGGTCTCGCTCAGGTCATGCTCGTGGCAGTGTGCTTGCGCTTGGCTTCGTGCTGTAGGTCCACGGGTACGTCTGTCTGTAATGCGCGTGTTCCTGCATCTATGCGGTGCATGAGTCTGGGTGCCTAGGATCTAGTGGAGCTGGCGAGGGGCATGCATCGTGGACATCATCTCCGTATCCCGTGCATGCTGGCGATAAGCACGCGCTGCTCGCCCGCGTTACTGCGAAGGCAGGCCCAGTTGTCCAGGCTACAGCTCGTGAAGCAGAGCACGAGGTCTCGTAGGTGCTATCTAGTACTCCGAGCAACTGACGAGGTTGCCCTGAAGTCGGGGCGAAGCTGTGGCACAGCGTCGGTCTTCGTGAAATACTGGACATGTTGCAGCCTTGGGCGCGCGTGATCTTCTGCCATAATCCCCTTCTACTGCACAACCCTGTGATTTGGCTTGTGTTGTGGTGTGCGGGTGCTTCGTCGCTTCCAAGTGATCGACAGGTCTTGTAGATGGACTAGCGGGCTCCAGAGGGCGGCATGTCAGTGTCGTGGTGTTTGTACACCCACTCCACACCACCTCCAGCAACGTGCACAGCCCATCCTGCTGCCCCGCGCAGACCAGTATTATCGCCGAAAGCTTTATCCCCAAGGCCCAGCAGCATACTCGGCCCTCCGCCGCCCGCGCAACAGCAATACATACCATCGACGCCCCCGCCGCACCCCCGCCATACCGGGGAGCCTGTCTGGCGCTCTGGCACGCCATATTGCCTGTCCGCCCGCGCCCTACCCTGGAGAACGACACCACGCCCATCCCGTAGCGATCCTCCTCTCCTCTCCCTCCTCTGCGGGGGCCATATGCCCGCGCCCGTCCGCAACCTCCTCCGCGACGTGTCTCGAGGCACGCCGAAAGCGCTCCCGTACGCTGCACGTCAAGCTGGCTGCAGCACTTGGTAGCTGGTATGGGCGCCGTCAACAGCAGACCTGAGGAAAACGCCCTTTTCCTCCGCGACCAAAATCGCTGTACGTTTCCTCTCTTAGCTCTGCGCGATCCCATGTTGATACGAGGCAGTTTCCATTGCTGCGCTGAGCATCGCAAACGGCCGCGGCCGCACGCTTCTTCATATCACACCGAACGCCTTCCCCGCGTCAAGATATTCCGCAAAACGGGAGCTCGGTGACGACAGTGTGATTGACTACATACTTGTGCGTCCCCCCAGCGTCGAGAAAGAGTTCTCATACTGATCATGCGCTTAGGATCCAGAGTCAAGTCTCGCTGGCGGGCCGCCGTCCTTCCTGCTGCGCTTATCGAATGACGACGAGCTCACATTCAATTTCACATTCATAATCAGGCAGGTTCAAGCTGCGCCCAGTATATACAACGTCAATAATACCCCATCTACCATCGCTCCAACCGGCCTGGTCGATACGTCAATAAATGGCCTCACATTTGTATTTGGGTCAAACGCAAGAGAGTTGGACAACTTAGTCACCAGAGAATTCCACGCGAATCCCAACCTACACAAAGACCCACACGTCGAACTTGTGGGGGACTACACTACGGGCGGCACCAGCTCAGTCCAATTTCAGTGGTCATGGAAATGGAAGCCGCCAAAGTCGAACGAGGACCGCGGAGGTGGCTGGCGTACAAGTTGCTGCTTTGTCGAATACGACCAGCGAGCTCATAAGCTGGAAACTCTCGCAAACTTTACATTCTGGGTTCACAACGTGCGGCCCATCCAGAGTCCGAAATCACCTTCTCCCCGCATGGAGCTCGGTGTACCTCCCAGGCTTCGTGTTCCCTCCGCGCAGAGTATCGAATCACGAGTCAGTGATTCCGACAATGACAGAGACCCGCTCGATGCGCCTCCCAAGTCGCCAACCTTCGAACCAATCCCGGAATACGGACTTGGATTGGTTCCAAGCCAGGCTACGACCCTAACGAACAGCACAGTCAAGGTGGACGTCAGTTGTTCTCGGCCTGGAGAAGATTTGAGCCAGACTGAAGACGGTCCGCTCTTCCGCGCTACTATGAAGTCGCTGGAGCAGAAGACCGGCAATATGCGCACCAAGTGGAAGAAGGTTCTGAAGCGAGCTGAGTCGGCGCTTGAGGCCCAGGTAGCGTGCAACAATGCGATGGCCGACCTGATGGAAGCTCTACGCGAGGCGTCGACTTCGAATGCGAACGCAGTTCAACCAGCTATTGACCACTATTTCGACAGCATCGCGAAGGAGATTTTGGTCTACGAGCGAATGAACTCTTCAAACATACAAAAACTTATCATCGATCCTATCTATAAGCTCTACAACATCGATATCAAGCAGGTAGAGACGAAGCGGAAGGATTTTGAGGAAGAAAGCAAAGAGTACTACGGTTATCTCAGTCGATATCTGGGACAACGCTCCGACTCCATGAAAGAAAAGAAGCGCGCTGAGACTGACTCGAAATATCAGTCCAAGCGTCGGAATTTTGAGCTCAAACGCTTCGATTATTCCTCATTCATGCAAGATCTTCATGGCGGGAGGAAGGACCAAGAGGTACTGTCGCATCTCACGAGATATGCAGATACTCAAGCCAGGAACTACTTGGATACTGCCAAGAAAATCGAGACAATGATCCCGCAACTGGAGGCGTTGTTTGTAGAAGTAAAAGAAGCGGACAAGGAGTTTCAGCTACAGAGGACGGAGAGGGAGGAGAAGCGCAGGGCGTTAGAGAAGAGCAAGAAACAGTACGACGAACCACCACCATCTCAAGCCCTGCCCACTACACCGGCCAATGGTAGCATTGCAAGGACGGGAGTGACATCTGAAACGAGTCTGCCGGGACGCAAATCAAGCGTCGCTACGGTCCCAACAAGTACAGCAAACGCCATTTCGTCGTTGGCTAGCATACCCACTATTGCGTCTCCACAGAGTCCAGAAGTCAGCCATGCAACGCTAGCCGGGAGTCCTCAGCCCAACAAATTCAAGGGCATCCGCGACCTAGAAGACAAAGATTATAGCATTTCGAGCGGTCTCGATGTCAAGAATGGCGCACATCGCAAGGAAGGCCTCTTGTGGGCACTTAGCAGACCGGGCAGTCACGTTGATCCCAAGGGTCTCAATAAGACGGCGTGGCACAAGTGAATATCACCTGATCCTAAGATCATGGCATAGCTAACGTTAATCAGGTTCTGGATCGTGTTAGACCAGGGCAAGCTCTCAGAATACACCAATTGGAAGCAGAGTTTGGAGCTTCACATGGAGCCTATAGATCTTCGCATGGCATCGGTCAGAGAAGCCCGTAATCAAGAGCGTCGATTTTGTTTCGAGGTCATCACGCCACAGTTCACTCGAGTCTATCAGGCAACCAACGAAGACGACATGAAGTCTTGGATCGCCGCCGTAAACAACGCTCTGCAATCGGCTGTGGAGTCCGCTGGAAAGCAAGATCGCCCTTCAACCGACTCTTTACCAGGACAAACCAGAAGGGACATTGCGTCTGTTTTGACGGGTAAAAGTCCTTCTTTGTCGAGTCATAAGAACCACTACAGTTCCAAAACTCCAGCTCGCCATGCGACTGTAGGCGACCGTCCTGGGTATCGAAGGGAAGAGTCCGTCGGCGACGACGGCAAACTGCTCAAACAAGTGCGTGACGCAGATGCTAGTAACCAAGTCTGCGCAGACTGTGGATCTGACAGCAAAGTCGATTGGGTTTCCATCAACCTCGGAATCGTCATCTGCATTGAGTGTAGTGGTATTCATCGATCACTAGGAACGCATATCTCTAAAATCCGCTCCTTGACGCTCGATACGAATTCGTTTACTCCGGACATCGTAGACATCCTCATCAAAATAGGCAACAGCAACAGCAATGCGATCTGGGAGGCACGACTCTTGGGGTCCCTAAAACCAGCTCCTACATCGACTCGCGAGCAAAGGTTACATTTCATCACTTCCAAGTATGCAGATCGAGCCTTTGTTGCTCCGATTTCGCCTGCACTGTCGCATTACGCTACGCCTGAAGAGACCCTGCTCGCGTCGATTAAGAAGAACGATATTCAGAACGTTCTCTACGCACTAGCACTCAAGGCAGACCCCAATTCGAAGGACCGATCTCGCGGCACGCATGCAGTATTTCTGGCTTTGGCTGCAGCTGATCCTGCATCGCCTTCAGCATCTGTGTCGCCTGCAAGCTCACCATTGCCTGGCGCACGACCAACGACATCCCATGCCCCACTTCGAAAATCATTCCCAGTCGCTGAACTCCTATTGCAAAACGGCGCAGAACTTCCGACGCAATCCGCACCAATCCCACTAAGCTCGTCGGCACGGCTGTACCTCGAGCACAAGGCTGACCAGCGAGCCGGGCGGAGGCCCATGCCCATGGCTGGGCATCAGCCCAACACTAGCGGAGACATACTCACTGCACTCCCTTCCATCGTAGCCGGTAACGGTAGTACCCCTGCAGAACGGGCCAAAGATCGAGAAGCGAGGTTACAAAAGCGCGTCTCTGCTGGCGGAAGGTTGGTCAAGAATCTCTCGGATCACTCCGAAGGTAGGCGAGGCCCATAGTTTGTGCTCTCGCTCACATCTTTCGTATATTAGTGCCTATTTCCCTTGGACCGCTTGCAGCATTTCACTTTGGTCATCTGAAAGTTAGCACGCGCTAAGTCGGCTTCCGCAACATGTCGGGCTGATGTTCGACCTGGATTGAATTGTCGGCGTTTTGTTGGATTGAAGAGACACGAGAACAGTGTCGATGTGTTTTGAGCATCGTGGAGCACGTTATTTAAGATTAAAAGGCCTTGTGGCACGGCCTCATGGTAGAGCTTTCAGAAAAGGTGCGATTGGTGTGGCTCCGCTCAGGCGGACACCGTGTCTACTGTTGCCTGCCTTTGACTGTGAGTCAGCTGTTCAGTTGTTCAAGTTGTTGGGTGCATTGAGTCAATCCGTCTTCCTGTGTGCGCATATGGAGCAAAGACATGACGAGTAATGGTAGGAGCTGGGCATCGCTGGGACGGCCTTGCTCCGACCGTTGCTTTCGCAATCGATGCTGAGTACCTTACCTAATGCAATGCGATTCGACGTTAATTCATGCTGCTTGACGGAAGTGTAGCTCGTAACTACATTGGTATGCTTCAGAGAGAAAGTGCAATCGCCCGTGCTTCGATAAAACGGGCTCTCAATATTCTGCCTACAGCGGGGTGGTGAACTATCCTGATGCATCAGTGCGCACAAGCTGTGCTACAGCTTTGACTTCGCCGAAGTAGAGAAGTGACTCTTTCGTGTACGAATGACCGATAAGAGTCATTCCAGGATGCGTGGGTGGTGGTGCACTGCCACAGACCACGTGAGCCAACGCCACCAGTGCGGCACACTCGAATTTCGCTCGATTAAAGAATCGCGCGACCCCACCACCGACGCACAACAGCAAACAAGATGTCGACCGGCTACGATAACCTCCCCATGGACGACGAAGAATTCGACGAGTCCCAAATTGACTTCACCGACATCGAAGATCAATACCAAGTGCGCTTAGATGAGGGGCTGGACGCTTTCGTGGTCATCGACGGCCTGCCCGTTGTACCTGAAGATAGCAAGGCCAAGCTGGTGAAGTTCGTGCTGAGGAAGCTGAACTCGGTGGGAAAGGTCAAAGAGGACGGCGTCCACATGCCGGTTAGCGACGATGGAAAGACTGAGGGGTGCGTCTGCGAGACACGAATACGCTGCAAACTGAGCTAACGCGGGGTTAGATATGCCTTCGTAGAGTACAACGCGCCCAGCGAGGCCGTCGCGGCCGTCAAGCAGCTGCACCTTACCCCTCTAGACAAGAAGCACACGATGCAGGTCAACAAGCTCACCGACATCGACCGATTTGGAAAGGAAGGCCGCGTAGACGACGAATACCACGAGCCGCACATCGAGCCGTTCCAGCAAAAGGAGCATTTGCGCTCGTGGCTTGGCGACCCCGAGGGACGTGACCAGATGGTCATGTTCCGCAACGAGAAAGTCGGGGTTTTCTGGAACAACAAGGAGGACGGTCCCGAGCCAGTCGTGGACCGCGAGAACTGGACCGAGTCGTTCGTACAATGGTCGCCACAGGGAACATTCCTTACATCAATGCACGCGCAGGGTGTGCAGCTGTGGGGCGGCAAGGCGTGGAGCAGGCAAAAGCGGTTTGCGCACCCCGGTGTCAACCTGGTCGACTTCTCGCCGAGTGAAAAATATGTTACTACATGGTCGCACCGCCCGCTCCAGGTTGACGAGAATCACCCGGTCCCGTCTCTTTCGTTGGAAGATGATGGCAAGAACTACGTTATCTGGGATATCGCCACCGGCAAGCCTCTGCGCTCGTTCACCACTATAGACGTACCAACATCAACGGATGACAATGGCGAACCTGTAAAGAAGAAGATGCAATGGCCAACCTTCAAGTGGTCAGCCGATGAGAAGTACGTTGCTAGGATGACGCCGAACCAGTCCATATCCGTGTATGAACTGCCCCGCATGAACCTGCTAGACAAGCAGTCGATCAAGATTGAAGGTGTCATGGATTTTGAATGGGCACCCGCTACGCCAAAGCGAGAGGGTATCAAGACCTACGAGCAACTGTTCTGTTACTGGACCCCCCGAGCTCGGCAGCAACCCTGCCAAGGTCGGTCTCATGTCGGTCCCTACGAAGGAAATCGTCCGTACTCGCAATCTTTTCAATGTCTCTGATGCCAAGCTTCATTGGCAGTCTGAGGCCGCCTATGTCTGCGTCAAGGTCGATCGTCATTCCAAGTCCAAGAAGTCCATGGCTACTAACCTGGAGATCTTCCGTGTCAAGGAAAAGGGTGTTCCTGTTGAGGTCGTCGATTCTCTCAAAGACACAGTCATCAACTTTGCCTGGGAACCTAAGGGCAATCGATTCGTGCTTATTACGGCTGGTGAAATACCTGCCGGCGCAGCGGTTCCCCCAAAGACTGCCGTGTCCTTTTTCGCTCCGGAGAAGCTTAAGGGTGGAGCTCCTGGTAACTTTCGTCACATCAGAACGGTCGACAAGAAGAACAGCAATGCTATCTACTGGTCTCCCAAGGGACGCTTTGTTGTCGTGGCAGCTCTCCAGTCGCAGCAATCGTTCGATCTTGATTTCTGGGATCTCAGCTTTGACAAGCCCAAGGACGAAGCCGAAAAGGGTGACAAGGAGCTCAACGCTAATCTGCAGCTCATGTCAACTGCTGAGCACTATGGCATCACTGACATCGAGTGGGACCCCTCAGGTCGCTATGTCGCCACGGTGGCTTCCGCATTCAGACACCATGTGAGTTTAGAAATGCTGACTACACTCTACCGGGCTATATGTTAATATGACCGCAGATGGAAAACGGGTACCATATGTACGACTTCAAGGGCACTTTGCTCCGCGAAGAGCACATCGACCGCTTCAAGCAACTTATTTGGCGCCCGCGACCCCCGACTCTGCTCTCCAAGGAAGAGCAAGCCGAGATCCGCAAAAAACTTGCGCAACTACTCCAAGGTCTTTGACGAGCAGGACCAGGCCAAGAAGAACACTGCTAACAAGGCGGTCATTGAGGAACGCCAGAGACAGCTCAACGAGTGGCTCGAGTTCCGCAAGAGCATGCGTGAGATGCTGGAAGAGGAGGGTGCGGAGATTGAGCTGAATAACGGCAAGGTGGTCAGGGAAGAAGATGGCGAGGTGGAGGAGATCGAGGAGATTGTCGAGGAGATAATCGAGGAAAGTGAAGAGGTGATCCAGTAGATCTGCAGGCAGTTTGCTTAGCGATGAGATGAGAATAGTTGCAATGACAAGATCTTGCATCGGTAGATATCTTTGCACAAGGGCATCTGCAACTCCCACTGCATAAGGGATTAAAGGGTGTCATTCGACAGCAAAAGTAGGACGGCAGTGGAGACGCGTTGTACCCTGGAATATTTAGGTGATTAATTGGCGCAGCTTCGACCGTGCAGGGAGTTGGTAGCGAATGATGATCTACATTTGATGGCTGCAAGTTGAGCGTTCCGAAAATGATATGAGGGCACTTCGCAAGAATGAGGGACCCTCTCCCTCCCATTGGTACCGAAGCATTGTAGACAATGGTACAAGCTCGCTGCAAGACTATTCAGCACCACACAGGAACGGCAAATACTCATTGCTATTCCTGTGCGTTGCCATGCCGACGGAACATGTTGAATCGACCGGCCTGGACGTTACAACGCGTTCGTGTTCGATCTTTTGGAGACGAGGGAGCCAGGGTAGTAGTGGGGTCGAGTACAGATCAGCGGTCATAGTAAGTATGAGCATTTGGATCAGTTTTGGTCTACTACTATATGGGCATCGCTAGACTCTGGCCTGTCGCATATGCAAACAACCCCCAAATCATATATCCGAAGCGAAGCACCAGCGTGGTGCGTCTCGTCTCCAAAACAGATGCGAGGGCCTCGACTTTCGCTATCTGCGGAATCTGTATCAAGTCTCAAAGTACAAGACGCCCCTCATGCAGTAGGTGACCTAGTCTGTCGTGTCGGCATTGGGGAAGACGGAAGAGCATCGGGGGTCGCTGTGGGCGTCGGTCCAGACCGTTGCCAAGGTCGGTCAAACGTAACAACACAGGCTCTCCTCTAGTGAACATGGGCTTGTGTGTCGTCATAGACTGATGCGCGGCTCTCCGGGGGCATTGAGCGGCTGTCATGGAGGGTTACGAAGGGGAAATTCGACGAACGTCTATGGAAAGACGAGTAGGGGTCCTGTTGTTGGACCAAAACAGTTTAGGTCAATGTGTATTTACTTAGTGGGTGCAGACGAGAAGCTGGGGGTTATCAAGGCTTGACCAGGGTAGTTCAGGCAGCTGAGTCTGATAAAGGGGATTGCGGCCCGTGAACCATTGTACAGGTCCGACGTGCCCGACATAGTGGGAAGCGAGAAGATGAAACATGGCAATTGTGTGGTCCTGCTGCTTCCAAAAGGTGCAACCAGTCTGAGGTGTTTCTGGGCTCGGTAGCAGCTTTGATCGAACCACGGAGCGAGAGCACGGTCGGATGGTTCGGTCTAAAATGCCGGTGAGCAACTTCGGCCGAGCTACAAGACTGCGCATATGCGGGTGCATGCCCACAAGTCTCTCTTCGGCGGGCGGGCAGTGTCTGTGCTTGGGCGTTGGCAGTCAGCTGGGTCCCTTCACAAAACGTGCTAAGGCGGCTGGTCGAGGTTGGGGGGTGCAGCGTGGTCTTGAGGGTTCGGTGGCCGCAGGAGCAGAAGCTGGGATGTCGGCTTCTCGTAATGCCGAGCGTGGACCAGACGGCCGAAATAAGAATGCCTGGAGCTGACAGTCCACGGGTGCATTACTCGTAATTGATCGGCGTGCAAAGCGTGGATGCCAGGATCTGTCTAGACTCCAGAGATTCTGGACGCCTATGGAGCGTTTCGAGCAGAGATCGACATCAATGGCTCAGAAGGGGCATTATGTACATCATTCCCCGTTCAGGTTACCCGTCAAGGGGGAGGAGCATGTTCTTGTCCATGCGCGATCCTGGTGCAGATAGCCGCGCTGCAAACCGGATCTACACCAAAGCATAGAAGGGCGAGCATGTCCTGCAAAGACAGCAAAAGACGTGCAAGCCGCACCGAGGGGCACGACAGCCCTGTTTCTCCACGATGACGCCATGTAACGTTACCTTGAGCCACAGTGCACAATGCTTGCACCGTTTGGGGGAGGCTAGCCAGGCCACGAGACGGGAAGAGTGCGGGAGCGCGGGCTGGGCACTGGCGGGCGGAACGCTCAGGACTCGCCCACGTCTGCCGCTGTCGGTGGAACGCATCGACTCGCCCCCGTCTGCTGCTTGTCTGCTTGTCTGCTTGAGCGGTGCAGCTGGGGCTGGGGCTGGGGCCGGGAGGGGTCAGCAACCATGGTGAGCCAGCTGCGCAACGCCCATGCGCCCATGGCAAGACGCAGCGCACGAGGCCCGCGATCCGGCCTGCCGTGCTGCTGGAGCTGACGGCGCGTCTGGTGGTCGTCATGTGTCTCAGCCCGCCCTCTGCTGTGGAATCACAGAGAACATGCAGACTGCAGGCGGTGACGTCAGCAGCGAGGCCGATGGAAATGCTCCGACGCGCGCTGTGGACGAGGGCGAGGTTTTGTACCGCATGCACTGTGGTGGGCTGCCTGGCGTCCGGTCGCGCTTGGGGGCCGTGGCATGGCGCTGCATGGGCTTTTGATCTAGAACACGCAAATCCATCAGCCCCCGCCCGCCCTGGGCACAGGACAGGCCGGGCCAGGCCAGGCAGTCGGACTTTGTTGCAGGGCGGCGCAGAGGCCTCCGCCGTGGGCGCGCGTTCTAGATCGACCTGGGGCGCGTCTTCCTGTGCAACTCGACCACTTGCCAGTCGGCCTCCGCTGCCAGCGCCCTAACGCCGCATCCTCTCTGCTCTCTGCTCTCTGATCTCTGATCTCTGATCCCTCGCATCCCCTCGTACCCCGACACGCTGCATTCCGTCCCCGCCTTCCTCCTGCGCTCGCCCACAGCCTGCCTCCAAAGCACACTCGAGCACCAGCTTCTCCTCTTGATCCCTGCAAGGCCTAGGAGCCTCTTCTCGCCCGCCATCCCGGATGGTCTTCCAACATGGGAGACATGGCTCTCGACCCCACCACGGTACCGCCCGATTTAATCCCACGCCCGTCCCTCTGCTTCTCCCAGCCCATGCCTGGCATGGTTGTCCACGGCGGGGACGAGGGCTTCGACGAGGAGTTGCTTCGACACTACAGCCCCGTCGAAAGTAACGCAGCAGAGGCCTTCGTACGCCTCAAGGACGCCCTCCGCAAAGCCGACGTCGAGGCCTTCTGGCACCTGCTCACAGAGGGACTCGCCAACATTACCGGCGCACAGTACGCCTTCGTTTCCAAGCGCATCCTCCAAGATGATAGAGACGTCGCTGTCGAACTCCCGCCCATCGGGGAACCCGGAGCCTGTCTTATGGGAGCTGCCTTTTACGTCAATGATGGCCGCGGGAACAACACCCACATGAAGAACTTCAAGTACCACGCCTACCAGTGTCCGTGCGCTTACATGAAGCACGACAAGATCTTCATCATTCCTGAAAAGCTCAACGACTTCATCATCAACAACCCAAATGAGCTGGTCGTGCCCGGTGAGGCATATCTTGGGATCCCATTGTTCGCTGATGGCAAGTGCTTCGCCCATTTCGGTGTCATGTGGAGTCCGGAAGGAGCCTCGAACCGGCGCTTGAGCTGGGGTTACTTGGAAATGTTATTCCACGGTTTGGAGGATCTCATCCTGCAACGTGTTCTGGAGGGAAAGAGCTTCGCAAAGTCTGCCGAGGTCGTGAAGAAAGAGACAAGGATCGTTCCCCACGAAGCTGTATCAATGGCACAGTCGCTGAAGCCATATGCGCGAAGCCTTTCCCATGAATTGCGGACGCCGATGCAGGGTGTAGTGGGTATGTTGGACGTGATGATGGCAAACATCAAAGAAGTGGCCGAGGACACGCACCACGAGCCCCGAATACGGAAGCTGCTCGACTCCTTGAAACAAAACATCGAGGCTGTACAAGGTCAGTGCACTAGATAACCCTATCTGTCAGCATCGCCGCGATATCGGCATTCTTCATGGCCTCCGATACTGACTTGAACATGCAGACTCTTCCCGACGTGCCGTTGAAGCCGCCGACAACGTCGTGCACGCTTATGACATGAATATGGGGGTACCAGAGACTCCTACAACACCCTTGGATGCCGATTTCTCTCAGGTGAATGTTTTCCTCCGAAATAGCCGGCCAGAAATTCCCATCACTGGCGACACGCTCCCGTTTGCTCAGTACCGAGGCATCAAACGAAAGAGAGAGGAAGTTTTTGCTTGGTCAGGGCAGGTGCGAGTGGCGAGAAGCGCTCGTCGGCGTATACGACATTCCACCTCAGAAGAACCTCTGAGCAGCAACACACGCGCGAGCCAGTGTTCAAAACCAGGAAACACCGTCGAGCCTGTGGAGGAAGTCTGCTCGCATGGCGCCGTCGGAAACCGTTGCGAGGGCGACACCGGTTTGTCGCCCATGTTCGCGTCCGAACATTCGACTGCGCCGGGCTTGCGATATACGAATTTGCGTGAGGTCATTCAGTATGTCATCAACGACGCACTCAAAGTAGGAGGTCGGCCTGATTCTGCCATTGCGGAAGAGACAGAGTTGGGTGAGAAGATCGAAGTACGGACACGGAGCTCCAATGGCGAAGCGCACTCGAAGATGATCGAATGGATGGTATCGTCAGATGTGCCGGACACCATTGTGATCGATGAGAAGGACCTTGCCAAGATGATATCCTGCCTGGCGCTGAACGCTATCAAGTTCACAGAACACGGCTCAATCAGTCTGAAAGCCTCCCTCAGTGTTAACGCCAGGTATATTGTCATTAACGTAAAGGACACTGGCTCTGGGATTCCCGCAGCTTTTTTACCGAATTTGTTCAAACCATTCTCGAGGGAAGACGACTCCACTACGCGCGTCAGCGAAGGGCTCGGCCTCGGGTTAATGGTGGCGAAAGGGCTCGCACGGAAACTTGGGGGCGATCTGTTCTGCCTCAGATCGCACGTTTCAGGTCCGGGAAAGGGCTCAGAATTCGAGATGCGCGTGCCAGTCACCCCTGGTGAAGTTTGTAGCCGCCCTGGTTCACCGTTCGGCTCACCAAGCCCCTCTGTGAAATCCCACTTGTCTTTGGAAACAGGTGTAGTCTCGGCGAACGTCACACACCATCCTAGCACCCCTCCGCCTACATCCGAGCCTTTCCAGCCGATGCCTCGAACGTCCAAAAGCCCCGCGCCCTGCAAGTCTTCGCTTGGACCACATCACCTTGGTTTGCCATCCCCACGCTCTGCGTCACCAGCGCGTCCGCGCGCCATCTCCAAGGGTAGAACCTCTCACCGTAGTGGCCACGACAAGAAGCTCGCGGAGGCATATCCACTCAACTTTCTTGTAGTTGATGACAATCGCATCAACCGGAGTGTGCTACGCCACATGCTGAAAAACCTTGGGTACACCAATGTTCATGAAGCATATGACGGTAATGATGCTGTCCAGCAGATGCGCAACAACGCGCAAAGTCCTTTGCACGAGGCCATCAATGTCGTCCTCATGGACCTCTGGATGCCACGGCTCGACGGGTTCCAGGCCACCGAGATGATCCTAAAGATGGACGCGCTCACCGACAAGCCAATCGTCCTCGCCGTCAGCGCAGACGTAACCGACGCAGCTGTGGATCGTGCTGGCAAGGTCGGCATGAAGGGATTCCTCACGAAACCCTTTGTTATCCGGGATGTGGAGAAATTGATCATGCAGCATTGCGCTCCAGTAAACAGCATACTGTGAATGATGCTCGCGGTAGATCGATTCTCTTCCCGGTCGTTGCGCCTGGTATTAGGATGCACATTTACGATTTGTTTACAGCATATATGAATGGTGGGAGCCCGATTCGGAAGCATTTGCTGGGTGTTGATATGGACGGTTATGAAAGCATAGCGTTGGCGTTTGCACTTTTGGGCGTTCTGATATTGTGGTCTGAGGATATTACTGATACCTTTTGGGAGGAATTGACGACTTGCGTATACGCAAAGGAGGGACGTGAATATCACTATTAATACTAGGTGTGTCGAGAGGTACACTGTTCGATTTTCTCCAGAGCACCCCACGCATATCTCGTCATGTCATCTGTCCCAGCGACCCGCCCATCGGAACTAGAAGTACGACCCTGGCTCCTTATCGTGCCGTTCTGCCCGCCACGCAGTCGCTGTGGCGTATCAGACGTGTGGCGCATGTGGGACTTTCGCGGGGCAGGCGTTCCGAAAACGGCGAGTGCTTCGGAATCCAGCCGTGGCGCTCTTGCAGCGTCCTCTCCAGGCGCATTTAACAGCAGTCCGCTCATCGGGCTGAAAAAGCGAGACCAGGGTACATAGCAAAGCAAAGGCACAAAGACGAACGTTGGCCAACGAATGTAACATGCAGCGTCTTCGCAGCCGTAGCTGGGGGTTACCCGTAATCGACTAGTGTCACGACTCTTGGTTTGGATCGTCGTCCGTGCTCCACCCAGGTGAGGACAGATTGTGATTATTCTCTCGATTTCGTCGCCTCGCCACGCCAGTTGAAGCTCCGTTCTACATAAGCCCGGGCCGCCCTCGTTCATTACGACATCCTCGCCTACGATCACTCTAGGTCAACCGCCCTGCAGCCCGGCCTTGAACCCTCGTTTCCGAGCCCTTCTTGTACACCCCCGCGGCGAGTCATTCGGTAATAGCTGCGCGAAGAGCATGGAGAATGCCTTCACAAGGACGCCTGCTGAGGCGCTGAAGCACTTTGGCGTGACCGAGCAGAAGGGTCTGTCGGAGCAGCAGGTGCAGAGCGCAAGGCAGAAGTACGGGAAAAATGGTACGTCGAGCTGTTGACAACGTACAGGGCAAAAAGTTGCTGATGCACACAAACAGCGCTTCCCGAGGATCCTCCAACACCGATATGGGAGCTCATCCTCGAGCAGTTCAAGGACCAGCTAGTCATCATCTTGCTAGGCAGCGCCGCCGTGAGCTTCGTGCTTGCGCTCTTCGAAGGGGGTGATGATTGGACCGCCTTTGTCGACCCTGCAGTTGTAAGTCGTCGCTCGTCCAAGATAATAACATTGAATGTGTGCCGACTGTCTCTCCATAGATTCTCACTATCCTGATTTTGAACGCCGTCGTTGGCGTATCGCAGGAGACGAGCGCCGAAAAAGCCATTGCCGCCCTTCAAGAGTACTCCGCAAACGAAGCGAAGGTCGTCCGCGATGGAAAGATTACGCGCATAAAGGCTGACGATTTGGTCCCGGGCGATATTATCTCAGTTGCAATTGGCGACAGAATTCCCGCAGACTGCAGGGTATTGTCCATTCAGAGCAACAGCTTCAACATTGATCAATCCATCCTTACTGGCGAGAGTGAGAGCGTATCCAAGGACACCAGGCCCATCAAGGACGAGAGTGCTGTCAAACAGGATCAGATCAACATGCTTTTCTCAGGGACAACCGTCGTTACCGGACATGCCAATGCGCTTGTCGTTCTCACCGGCGCAAACACTGCCATTGGAGACATCCATGAGAGTATCACGTCGCAGATCTCGCAGCCTACGCCTCTAAAAGAGAAGCTGAACGACTTCGGAGACATGTTGGCCAAGGTCATTACGGCTATCTGTGCTCTGGTCTGGCTCATCAACATCCGCAACTTCAATGACCCATCGCACGGCGGTTTCACAAAGGGTGCCATCTACTACCTCAAAATCGCCGTTTCTCTTGGCGTCGCTGCTATCCCCGAAGGTCTTGCTGTCGTCATTACTACCTGTCTCGCTCTTGGAACGCGCAAAATGGCAGCAAGAAACGCCGTTGTCCGAAGCCTTCCCTCTGTGGAGACGCTCGGAAGCTGCAGTGTAATTTGCTCCGACAAGACCGGTACCTTGACTACCAATCAAATGAGCGTCAACAAGATAGTCTTCATCACTGAGGACGGCAAGGGCTTGGAAGAGTTCGATGTCGAGGGAACCAGTTTCGCCCCCGAAGGTCGAATCACCATCCAAGGTCAAAGTCGGGATGATTTAGCTGCCTCGTCCGATACTGTTCGCCAAATATGTGAAGTCACCGCGCTCTGCAACGATTCGGCTATTTCTTTGGACCCCAAGAGCGGACAACATGCCTTGGTTGGTGAACCGACCGAAGGCGCGTTGCGCGTTCTGGTTGAGAAGGTCGGAACACCTGATCGCGAATTCAACGCAACCCGTGCATCTGTCTCTACATCTGAGCGTCTCCATCGCGCGAGCAAATATTATGAAGAACGCTACCCTCGACAAGCGACCTATGAGTTCTCACGCGACCGTAAAAGCATGTCCGTCTTGGTGCAAAACTCCCACTCTCAAAAATTATTGGTCAAGGGAGCCCCAGAATCCATCCTGGATCGATGCACGCACGTCATTGTTGGCGAGAATGGGAAAAAGGTACCACTGAACAAGCAAATGGCAGGCCTACTTGCCAAAGAAGTCGTCGACTATGGTAAGAAAGGATTGCGTATCTTAGCTCTGGCGTCTGTGGACGACATCGGTTCGAACCCTCTCCTGAAGGGCGCCAAGACCACACAAGACTATGCGAAACTGGAGCAGAACATGACTCTGATTGGTCTTGTTGGCATGTTGGATCCTCCACGTCCTGAAGTCCGGGCCTCGATTGCGAAATGCCGCTCAGCTGGTATTCGCGTCATTGTGATTACGGGAGACAACCAAAACACCGCCGAAACTATATGCCGCCAAATCGGTGTTTTTGGTCAGAACGAAGATACCACTGGCAAGAGCTACACCGGTCGCGAGTTCGATGATCTGAATGAGACTGAGAAAATGGAGGCTGCTAAACGAGCTTCTCTCTTCTCTCGTGTCGAACCCACCCACAAGCAGAAACTGGTCGATCTCCTTCAACAGGCTGGCGAAGTCGTTGCCATGACTGGCGACGGCGTCAACGATGCTCCGGCCCTCAAGAAAGCTGACATTGGCGTTGCCATGGGTTCTGGAACCGATGTCGCCAAACTCGCCGCTGATATGGTCTTGGTAGATGATAATTTCGCCACCATCGAGGGTGCCGTTGAGGAAGGTCGGTCCATTTACAACAACACGCAACAGTTCATCAGATATCTCATCTCCTCGAACATTGGCGAAGTTGTTTCCATCTTCCTCACGGCTGCCGCTGGTATGCCCGAAGCACTCATCCCTGTCCAGCTCCTTTGGGTCAACCTCGTTACGGACGGTCTGCCCGCCACTGCACTTTCTTTCAACCCACCGGATCACGATGTCATGAAGAGGCGACCCCCGCAAGCGTGACGAAGCGCTCGTGGACGGCTGGTTATTCTTCCGCTACATGGTCATCGGTACTTACGTTGGAGCAGCAACCGTATTCGGTTACGCCTGGTGGTTCATGTTCAACAGCGCAGGTCCCCAAATCAGCTTCTACCAGCTCAGCCACTTCCACCGCTGCTCCTCGCAATTCCCAGAGATCGGATGCGAGATGTTCGCCAACGAGTCTTCTCGCGCAGCTTCAACAGTCTCGCTGTCCATCCTCGTCGTCATCGAGATGCTGAACGCCATGAATGCCCTTTCGTCATCCGAATCGCTGCTTACTCTGCCGCTCTGGAAAAACATGATGCTCGTGTATGCTATCTGCTTGTCTATGGCGCTCCACTTCGTCCTACTATACGTGCCTTTCCTGCAAGGCCTGTTCAGCGTCGTACCGCTGGATTGGAGTGAGTGGAAGGCTGTTCTCTTGATCAGCGGACCCATCATGTGAGTTTACCCAAGTCGTTTCACTCTTGTACAAAGATTGCTAACACTATATCAGAATCATTGACGAAGGCCTCAAGTTTCTCGAGCGCAAGTTCTACATGCACAAGTCTTCTGACGGCGCTCCACGTTACGAGCAGAACGGCAACGCAAGACCCAAGGCCGAGTGAAGGACTCACATCCTTCCCCTATCGCAGCATCGCGGGCGGGTTTTGCGGCTATTGTATCATACGGGATGGATGGAAATTATTTGGGTAGAATACAGTGTGCTTTAAATCGCAGGTGCATCACCAAGCTTGACATGAAGAAAGCGGGCGAACAGGTCACGTAGCTGACCTGAGGGCGGACCATGAAGTGTTGCATTGGCTGGGGTTTGGAAGATGGAGTGTTAACGCGATTTGCTATAGACATGTACGAAATACTAGCTAGTCAAGTTGAAGTTCGAGTTCATGATATTTGTATTGTCGTTGCTGACTACTATGGTAGATAAAAGTGTTTTCACGCCGGGCAAGTACAGCACTAGACAATCCTTCCAAGATTCCACGCGGCGTGTTGCCAACAGAAGCGAGCCGTCGCCAAATGCACCTACCGAAAAAGCTCAGTAGCAGCGGCACGACCTATAAGATCACGACTATGACTCCTCATCGCTACTGCTACTGCTACTCCCCTGGCTGCTCTCATCCTCGCTGTCCTCGTCCAGTGCAGAAGGAAGCTTTTTCTGGTTCAAGCTCCCTAGATCCCCAGTCTTGAACGTGGACGGCTTGGACTTGACTGGCGGTACTCCTTTGGATTGTCCGCGGGTGTTGTTCAGCATGGCTTTCAAGGATGTGTACACCGTCGCATTTCGCGGGCCGCGTCTGAGAAGTGCAGGCTGCGACGCTGAGGGAGGGCGCAGGTTGGTCTGGCTTGAACGCGTGAGCGGCTGGGATGCTGAGGTGAACCATGCATTAATCCCGCCGTTAGACTGTGCTGACCGCGGGGGCGGTTGTAACGCCGGTACCTGCGTTGATGAGGACTGAGTGTCAGGGACCACAGAGGCTCGCGACGGCTGGGCGGAAGTAGGGGCCTCTGGAGGCGCTGGAGAAGGAGTCGAATACACGTCCACCCTGTCAACATCACGCTCCTCGTCTGACTCTGGATCGCTCTTTGAGTCGTTGGTGTCGTGGGCCAGGGCATCATCCCCGTCGAGGATGGTACTGACCGGGGATTGGGAACGAGATGACGCTCTAGACGCACCCGACTCGGCATCACTTTCAAGTCGATGAAGTGAAGGTGACCGCGTTAGCCACTGGGCTGGTTCTCGCAGCGCGATTGGAGATGACCGGATCGAGTTTGGCCTACTTGTAGATCTGGACTTGGTCTCGTCATCGCTTTCCGAGGGGTTCAGAGGATCATCTGCCTCGTTGCGCTCATCTGCCTCGTTGCGCTCATCTGCCTCGTTGTGCTCATCTGCCTCGTTCCGCTCTTCTGTACCTAGTAATTCTTCAACGGCCTGCCCATCTGCCATGTTCGCCTCATCTTCGCTCGTGGTAGAGTCGTTTCGTTTCCACACAGACGATCCACCATTGAGATAATAGTCAGCACCTAGTTCTGGCGATGACCGCGTATCCTTCCTAGGACAAGGAGCAGCGTCCTCTTCGTGCGGCTTTCCCTCAGATTTGGTATCTCGCACAAGCTCCAGCGATGGCGAGCGTGGCGCTGCTCGAGACGATTCTTGAGGTGCCTCGATTGCAGCTGTATCGGCGTTTCTAACACCATTGCTTTCTGAATTATCCGATCTCTGTCCATTAGGAGCTTCCACCATTTGCAATCGAAGCGGTTCATTAGGGGCAGGACTACTCTTCTCAAGAGCATCGTGCTTAGTTTGTGGGAGTCTAAAACTGGGATAGTCACTATCGACTTCAACCACCTTGTCTTGGTCAACCGCTAAAGTGTCGTTACCCGAACCTCCATGCGCAAGGCATAGTGATGATGACCGGAGCGGTTCGTCTGTGAGTACTTCGCCAATAGGATCGTCACTATGAGTTGCCCGACGGATCTCAATAGCGGAAGCACGTGAATTCTGTGACAAGGTTCTGACCGTTGGATGATCCTGAACGGACAAAGGTGATCCGGATAATTGTTGGCTAGACTCGCCATGCTCAGATACATTTCGATCCGCTTGCAGCAGTGCATCGGCATTGAAAGCACTTTTTCTTCTGCTCCTTGGCGACGCGTACTTCTCTTTTTCCGTCCGTCTGTGGTTCTGAGGTGTCTCCTGAACAACAAGACTGCTGCCGGCATGAGGGCTATTCGAAGATTGTTCGTCGTACTCGATGAGGCGTCGCACCATGTCATTCTTGTTCCGATGGCCTCTTTGCTGTGGTGTCATACCACGCAGAAGAAGTAGCTCCGCAAGCTGGGTTTTTCTCAGACTGGCGTACGATGTAGGCGTGTTGGGTCCAGTCGAAGTTCTCGTAGAGTCATTAACGCCAGTTGGGAGCTTTGCCTTGACCCTGCACGCTTCGATGCTGCTTCTACTTGCGGATGTCGATTGATTCGTCACGGGTTCACTAGGTTTCTGACTGGATTGTCCCTGTTGATCATTTCTCAGTTTCGAGAACGACCTTGGATAGGAAGAACGAGGGATCGCTACCATGAGTAACGGCACTCGGTGGTGCGCGTTGTTTTCTGGAGGGGGAAACAAGAGGGAAATAAGGAACAGTACTAACCTGAGGTTGAGTTGTAGGTCCCTTGGGGGTGGTGATGACCATATCGTACGAGTGGTGCGCCGGCTTCTTCAAGCGACCTGGTGATCTGGCTGTGCCCCCAGGTACATCGTGAGAGGGCGATGCACCGAGCTCGGGAGACTCCGACTTTATGTACTTGGTGAACTCGGGCTGCTCATGGCGAAATGCCCTCACCAGAGTCACAGAGCCACCCGTGTGGGACCTTTGTACCCGACGCCTGCTTTGGAGAGACGCCTGGCCTATTGTGCTGCGCATGCCTGCACCGTTGTCGTCGTCGTCTTCGGATTCGACTGAGTGTATGGGTCCGTCGGCAGCGGCATCCATGTCCATAGCGTGCGCAGATGGTGGCTCTTGCCGCGCCCGCTTGTTTGCGTCGTCGTCGCTCGCTTCCCTGGGACGTTTGTGGGGGTTCGGGCGCAGGTTGGTATCGGGTGGCATGGAGAAGAGGCGGTTCGCGAAGCTTGGTACGACCTGCACGACGCGGTCCTGGACGGCCTCGTCGCTGAAGATGGAGCCGACGGTGTCGCTCAGGTCGAGATCGCAGTCGCGGCCATCCTGCAGCTTCTTGATGGTGAAGAAGGCGGCGTGCTGGGGCGCGAGGTAGTTGTTCTTGTACCGGTCCTCGACTTTGCGCCATACCTGCTCGAAGCTGTCTGCGGCGTCGACGGGGAGCGCAAAGACGCGCTGCTGGAAGGCAGCCAGCGCGTCAGCCTGGTACGGGCCCGAGGCATTGTCGGCCGTCAGAGGCAGCACCTTGACCGTCAGTCGCATCGTGGCGTGGGCCGGCGACTGTGCGACTGTCGAGTTGCGGGCGATGCGGCGTCTGTCCAAAGTTTTTGTGGGGCAGGCGCGTCTTGCTAGCGCCGCTCGGGCCCTCGCCATCTGCCCCGCCGCTGGGACTGCCCTCTATCTGCTTACTAGCTAGCTTGGTGAAGGTGAAGGTGAAGGTGAAGGCGAGGGTGAGGATGACAGTGCGAGTGGATACGCCTTACTCGTGCCATTGTGCATGCACATCACCGCTAGACCATCTGGGTCTGGCGCAGATGCTCTTCTCCTGCTCACCAGGTCACCCTCACTGCAGGGTCACCTACACCGCGGTCCGCTGCACCCTGTTCCGACTGCCTGGCTCTGGAGTGAATCGCTCAGGCAATGACCGGCCGCTAGCCTTGATCTAAGCACTAACAGACAGCGACTGATACCCTCTCCCACTTCACCATTGCCTCCCGCAGCTAGTCGCCTTCCCAAACCACCAACTCGAGTGCCGTCAAAACGGCCGCTTCGCAATGGCGAGCAAGAACAAGCGCAAGGCATGCGAAACTTCCCTCGTTGCCGCACGATACTAATGCGTTGTCAAAGAGGGTCTCGTCTCCGTCCCCCGCATATGCATCGCCGAAACGCAAACGCGCAGCATTAACACCAGCTAGCCTGCCAATTAGCGAAGACTGGTCGTTCAGACTAAAGGTACTTTCGTCTGACGCGGATCTCGACGACGACGTCCTCCGGGATGCAGTCCAAGGTCTGGTGCGCATCTGCTTCCCTGAAGGCGTCCTAGATGAGCTCGGTATTGACATCGTGGCCGCGCATATGGTTCAGAACGGTGCCTCTCTACACAACATCGATAGAACCAAAGCAATGTTCAACCAAGTTATGATTCATCGCATGGCTGAGATGATTGCGCCCTATGTCGACACTCCCCAGAAACTGGACCATGGGATAGCTGCTGTTATATCTGCAGCAAAACGCCTACACGGACCAGCTCCTAAGCCGCAGGACGAAGATCCCGGCTCCGAAGCGGCTGAAGGTGCCTTCGAAGATGATATAGAACATTCTGTCACACGGGAAGACTCCCCTCAGGAAGAGGCCTCGGCGCCCACGAGATCTTTCAAGAAGAAGCTAGACCGCAAATCGAGCAAGAAACAGTGTGCTCAAACGCCGGGTGCAGCTGCCGACATACCTACAGCCAGAGTCCGAGAACAACGGCTTGTCGAAGTTCCCGGCGGCACCGCAGAGGATTACGAAGGCCACAACAAGATAGACAAAAAGGTCTCAAAATCATGGCGTTGGGACGTTGAGCAAGAAACTGTATCTAATGCAGACACCTCGAACCTATTCAGAACGACGGGTGACTTGTTCGCATACCACGCACTACCAATCGTCCGCCGAGAATCTGGGCCTTCTACGAAGAGGAGATTTCTTAGGATGAAAATCGAGGCCATGCTATCCGATATGACACCCGCAGAATATCACCTATGGCTAAGTAGTCGGGACAAGCTATGGGCTGGAGATTTAACGATGCTGCAACGGTTCGTTCCAGGGGAAAGTTCCACCACAAGAGGTTTCGCACGTGCCACTCCGGCGCCATGCACCCATGGACGCCTCCGAGAGGAACGTCAAGATGCAGAACCTCAGGAAACTCTGCGAGAAGCTAGTTCAAGCAATTCGGCCGTGATGACCAAAACTGGTCATCCACCACAGATCAAGAAAGAAGTTGCAGGGGACAGCAGTGAAATGACACGCGACACCTTACATGGATCACGTGAGGAACCTGGGACATCACCTCACATATGCCCTGCCATCAGTGATCCTGCCGCTGAAGAGCCTCGATTGGTACGTCCCAGCTCTGGTAGCACTGTGCTCAAACAACCGCTAACGACACTTAGGCATCTGAACAGTGCCTCAAGACGCCTTTGATGGATATACTTTGGGGTTCTGACCCTTTTGGGAAAATGGACGCCAATATCGTGGTAGACAAGATCATGCATACCCTGAATAGACGCGTAAAGGTGGGAGTGAGTATACGCCTACCTAAACATGCCCCTAGAGGCTGACGGTCCTTAGTCTATTGCTGTTCCGCAACTCGACGGCGGCATGTGCGCCTTGTCGAAGAAACGGGTCGAAAACCACATACGTGATCTCTTTCCTCCTAGGCGTCAACACCGCTTGCAGTGGCGTTGTAATGAGATTCTCTCCAGATTAGAGGAAAGGCTTGTACCCTGGGCAGTAGCCTGTCCTGCGTCTTTCCCTGAGCTGAATACTTACGCCATCCATTTTACCCATACTATGGCTATTGTCACGCCAGTGACGGATCTGATTCACGTAACAGATGCAGAACTGTCATGGGAGGTTCGGGGTACAGCAAGAGCTTGTATTGAGCAGAATCTGAGGGCTCGAGGCTTACACTTGGTATGTTGCGGTATTTTATTCACTTAGCCAGGTCTAACCGACTTAGGATCATTACACTAATCGTAGATCGCTATCTGCACAGGTGCGATCAATTCTCGAAGAATACGACAGACAGTGCGCTTCGACGTGGTCTAATTGAAAGAGTCTTGCGAGGTGTAGCATTCACACATAAGGACAAGTTTCCAGAGCTACAGTCATCCTCTTTGGTGCAAAATTGGGAGCGTTTGACTGGCCTCCAGTGGTAGAGTCAAATGAGTCCCATCTTATGTGTGCAAGTGCTTTGATCATGTAGGCTCGGTTTTGGCCGGGCTAATTGGCGAGCGGCCAATCATGTATATGAAAAGGAGTTTACTGCATATACAGTCCTTAAATGTAGTGCTCACCTTACTGTGCTCACACTCGCAATCTCACCCTCAAAACCCATAGATTCCGTAAATGCAAGGTGGGACCGCGTCCTTCACCGAAAGATGAACTACCATAGGTTTCGGATGAGGGATAAGTCCTCCCGCAAGACCCTCTCGTCCCTATTGTTCTTCCTCAGACCCTCGTTGATAGTTTATCGAGAGGATGAGACCGGTTTAACCTGATCCAATATTGACAAAGGCATGAGTAAGATGTTAGCCATGGCACACTTTGATAGAGATCCCGATTCATTGTCGGAAGAGATGTGAATTAAGATGTACTAAGATATTTTAGTACATCAAGCTGAGCAGAAATTTCGAGCTACAACACGCTACATACGATTATACCTACTCTGGGATTACCTGCATCGCGAGCCTATATGTCCTCAAGTCCTTGATCCCTCATCATCTCTAAGAGAGACTAAACTCCTCCATCTCCACACAGCACCCTTTCCATTCAGGAACCACCTCTCCTTCCAAAAAAACCCTGAAGATAGCATACCCCAACGACCTTATATCGCCGCGAAATCCCCGTCGATCTCACCACAAACGGCACCCTAGCACCTACAAAAACACAGCACATATCACCCCGCCGCATAGCCGCTGGGCCAAGGCCAAACAACCCACCGCCTGTAACATAGAACCGACGACCGTGACAGGCTTGTCGAGCCTGAACGGAAAAGTGCCGTTCGTCGCCGTTGGCTGTCTGAATTTCGCTCTTCTTCCACGTATTATGCTAAGCAATCTCGCTGTTGAGCTTGGGCTGAGCTTTGAGGAGCAAATCGATGCGAAGTTGGACAGGTGCGTGGCGATGTTGTGGGCAGGCGGGCTTGCGGAGCTTGTCAAGCCCAGCGGTGATGGTGAGGCTAAATGCTTCCAGGGCTGTTGCGTACAGGGTGTTGGGAGGCTGAGATGACTTTGGCATGGTCCAAGCAGCCTCGGTGGGATTGATGATTCGGTCGTCTTGTTTGGCCTCGTTGGTCGACTTCCTGTCATATGCTTCACGATATATGACTTCTGAGTTCACATCAACACGTGCTAGAGTGAAGCCTCGTACGTGAAGAAAGCTCTCGGAGACCGGCGTTTCGGTGAGTCGGTCTAGATGGGATGGTCTGGCGATATATCCATGGCGTGTCTCAGGAAACAGTGAGGCATCATATTAATGTCCCTGGTCAAGGAAGAGAGAAAGAATAACGGCCGTATTTCCTCTGTCCCGACGTAGGATCCAGGAGGGGAAGTTGCTCACCAGTGTCTCCTCAGTCTGCTCTGCAGCAGAGAGAAGTAGCAGTGAGCCCACTCGCTCTAATAACGTAGTTGCAACGCAACGGTTGAGTTCCTCCTTAGTGATTTTGTAAACAGCCTTGACAATCGTGCTTTTAGTTTCCGACAATGAAGCGGACGGATGGCCGAGAAAAGCGTAGACATGGTCGCGACCGTCTGTGGCGTCGAATCGAGCCCCCGTCAGCAATTCATTGAATAGGTCTTTTCTGAGTCTGTGGTGGGGACTCCATGATGTTGCGTTGCCGTAGTTGCACCAAAAAAAAACGTTGAAGGCATCGATTGTCCGCCCTATACGCAGAATGACAGGGACGGCCGACAAGTCCGGTCGTCGATGCTCTATTAGTATGAATTGGATCATATCACTCCAGGGGATCGAATATTTGCCATATAGCACTACAGCAGTCGCTGCCAACCCGACTTCCTGTATGATCCAAACACGAGAGAATCAGGTTTGGAAAAACAGTCACTGTAAGGGGAAGGGTCGGTGATCGGATGTTTCAAATGAAGCAGGGGAACATTGTCAATGTGGCCATGAATTTCCATACCAGTCTCAAAGTGTCGGTTCGTTTCCTTGATGAAATCAAAAGCATCCTCAGCATCACCGTGACCGTCGACTCCTAGACAGATTAGGGCTCTACTCGCTCGTTCTTAGACGAGCGCCATTTGGTTTACTTGGTGTGCCTTTTCCGCAAGAATCCGTTGGTTAATGCATACCGTATCGGCCCAGATATTTTGTTCGAGGCTTTGATGACGTATTCGGTAGAGCGCATCGTTCAGACTGGGGGTAATGAACAGCACTTGACCATCGCATTCGAGAGGTATAGATCCGTGTGGGCTGCCCCAAACATAGGAGATAGCCTCATACACAGGTGGATTATCGAGATCTTCTGCATACAGCTCGCAACATAGCGGTTCTCTATCGCTGCCTGGCTTGAGCCTCATGAGTCTGAACCACTTTCCAACAGGTAAAGGCTCATAGGTGTAAGGTGATATAGGATGTGAAATACTCATGGTGTGCATCCTGAAAGAATGGATATAGGGAAGTTGTTCCATCAGCATGATAAGCAAGGAATTGTTACGTGTTTCCTCTTCGCTGTGTCGGGCCAAATGCAGCGTTGGTACAGCTCTCCGCAAATGAGGTTAGGGAGACCCCGCTTTCACCGGTCGACCTCTGCCACAGAAATCCTCCAAAAAGGAGTTAAAAGTCCCTGGACATGGCTTTACTACGGTAATCTTCAATGCGTTGTACAACAAAACAGTGAAGAATGTCACGAGGGAAAGAGATACGGCCGGCGAAAACAGTACTCCAGTGCCCCTCGTATGTAGAGTACGGCTTAGAAGCAGGCATCTTTCAACCCGGCCAGTCCAGATCTCGATCGTCAATGGCGAGCACGATGCAGACTGAGAACGAGAAGGCATCAGAAGTGATAGGGACAAGTGATATGTAGGACCAAGTGAGGCAAGTATGATTGAGGGACTTGTGAGGGAGGGAGATGAGATGAATTAGTGGAGGAGAGGTGTGTGTGCATCACTGAAGTAACATCCGCTTATACGATTCTGGGTACATAGGTAAGCGCGATGATCATTCGGGAGCAGTCACTCGTTACTCCCGTTGACAAGAGTGCCTCAAACGCGTGTTCCTGACACGCTTAGTGAATGATTATGGGACAAGAATATGTTCGCTCGTCCCTCTGGACGTACTATGATGGCGCGACTCTATCATGGAATCGCGCAGCCTAGTCCCTTTGGTGCAGATGCGAGTTTTATTTTTTTTTCCTTTTCCGTGTCAGAATAGGATCCAATTTCTTCTCCTCATTGAATCATCAGCCAAGACTTGCGCTCTCCCACTGCAGCTTGCATGGATTCAATCGTAATAAACATTCTGCATTCATCGCGGTAGCAACCATACGGGCTCAAAGCATGCACAGGCTGATTGACAGCGATCGCACGTGATGTAGTGTCGCTTAATACCTCTCCTCAATGTAGACGAGATGCGATTATTTTCGATGCGATGCTCAGTCTGTCGTCACTGTTCTGTTATAGTTGGTCGATCCCCTCGACGAGTTTCTCCAAGTCCGCCTTATCACCATCCGTCAATACCCCTTTGACCATGCGAGACCTACGCCACAAAATTAGTATCGGTTGAGACATCAAGTCTCATGTGACTCACATGTTGCCGAGTTTACATGCTGCCATCACCTCCTCCAGCTCCCGACTCTTTCCTTCTGCCACCTCAATGACCTTTTCCGGTACTTTCGCTAGCCTGGCAACATTTAAACCGTAGGATCGATGGCTGGTTCCTTCTGCCGCCTCATATAAGAAGACGACTTCCTTGCCACCGTCTCTCTCTTCGAACCGCATGTGCACATTCTGCAACTCTCGATTATCAAAGCGGCCTTGAAGCTTCGCCAAATGTTGATAATGCGTTATAAACAGGGTGAGAGCTTGCAGATCTCGTACCACATAGTCGAGAACGGCTTCAGCGATCGCAACACCGTCGAAAGTCGAGGTGCCGCGGCCAAGTTCATCCAAGATGATCAAAGAGCGAGGAGTAGCGGCTTTAAGAATATCGGATGTCTCATTCAGCTCAACCATGAATGTGCTCTCGCCTTTCATCATATTGTCAGAAGCTCCCATGCGAGTAAGGACCGCGTCGAGCATGCCCAAACGGGCCTCCGCGGCAGGAACATATGAGCCTATCTGACCCATTATGCATATCAAAGCAATTGAGCGAACGTACGATGACTTGCCTCCCATATTGGGACCTGTTACTAGGAGACCGCGGGTGGATTTGTGGGATAGATTGACATCGTTCGGAACGTAATTGTCGAGAAGGAGTTGCTCAACCATGGGGTGTCGGCCATCAGTGACAAATAGCTCGATGTCATCAGTGAAGGTTGGTTTTACGTACCCTTGCTGCGAGGCGAGGGTTGCTAGGGAAAGGAGGGCATCGAGGGTTGCGAGCGCTTGGATACAGTCCCGTAAGTCCTGGTACTTGGCGGAAATATCTTCGAGAAAGCCCTTAAACGCTGTATCGCATGCAGCTGCCAGAGATTCCTTATATTGGTCACGCTGTTGGATCATACGCTTGACCTCTGGTGTATGGAAACGCATGACAGCTTTAGTGGAAGATATTTGCTGCCAAGAAGCTGGGACTCTCTTTTCCTGGGGAGACTTTCTCTTAACTTCGATCAGATACTCGATACCACTCACGGTAACGTAAGTAACCTGCCCAGTACCTATCTTAGCTGCCGCCTCCTCCCTGTATCTGTTAAGATCATCTTCTACAGAAGCGATGCTGAGCTTGTAGTCGTTGATGTCCTCTGCTTCGTGTTCTTCTCGGAAGAAGGCGTACTTGTCGCCGTCTCTCGCAGCTTGTGCGTTGATCTTCTCCAGGAAGTTGTTCACATCTCTGTAGATCCGAGGTATACTCGAGACAGCGTCAGATAGCAGAGACGATTTGAAGCCAGTATCGCTGGCAGAACTGACGTTTACATATTCGCTAGAGATGTCTTGGAGTATCTGGAGCGCAACAAGAACCTCCGATCGTGAACTTTTCTGATAATAGATGCGCAGCAAGACCTTCTCTAGATCCGATTTGATCTTTCCAAGCACAAATGTGAGCTTATCGACTGGTCTAGTGTTATGCCCTTCTTTGAGCTCTTCTACGGCGGCTATGCGTTCCTCAAGGCATGTTTTGTTGATCAGTGGACGACCGATCCACTTTCGGAGCAGTCGCTGTAAAGAAAGATTAGCTCTTCTGCACGTTGAGGTTGGTTTAACGTAACACTCTGGGCACCATGCATTACCACAGCATCGCAGGACTAGGTCGAAATTCCGGATACCGTGTCACTCATCCTGGGGTAAAACACGGTGCCGAAAATGTGAACACTGTAGAAATGCACAGGCTATGATCTGAGCTTTCGGAGGTGGGATCGCAAGTATAATGACTCACCTGACCGAATCGTGTTTTTGTACGATCCATAGTCCAGAAAAGGCTGCCTTTGCTGGTGTTGTCGGTCTGATTTTGATAAATCTCTAGGCTGGTCAAGGTGTTGCCGTTCAAAAGCATGTACGATCGAGCGCTGAAGGGCTGGAAATACTTTGTCCTATGCACTCAGAGACGAAGTCAGCGTGGTTCAGGGGAACGAAGGTAGTTGCCTCAAGAGGGTAGTAGCATCCACGGGGATTAAGTGTACGTTGCAAGGTCAAAACACATTTTGCTGTTTTGCTCCAAATCGTGTAAGAAAGAGGCGAGTGACATAAACCACTGACCAACGACTGGACGAAAGGCTATTCCACATCATACTGGGCAATACGTACAGATCGAAAACATGCTCCAAACCGTAATCTGTTAGATATGTAATCATGGCCGACAGACATATAGTGACATGCTCGGATAATTGATGGACTTTATCGAGGATGGTACTTTGTTCGTTAGATGATTTCATCTTTTCGGCGTAGAAATTCGAGATGTGACTGTAAGATTGGGCCGCCATTGTCTTGGGCTTTTCGACCCTTTCCACGCGGGCCTTGTCTCCGAACACGTTGGTCTTGCTTGCGGAGAGATGCTGGACAAGCTTCTCGGAGGCCTTGGATAAAGACCCAACGATCAAGAACTCTGCAGGGGCGATATGCAGAAGGCGAGTTTCGATTTCGCTTCTCATAAAGCCATCCTCAAAATCATCATATATTATGTCACCAGTAGCAGGCTGTACGGCGACAAAGCCAACATGCACTTTCTCGTCGTTATCCCCGCCTTTCGCATTCGTCTCGGTGACGCAGAGCAGATAGCCAGTCGACTGCGCGCCAGAAGCTGCATCCTGATTGAGTCCCTCTATATCGTCGACATACGTCCCTTTGGTGTAGAGGTTTGTGAGCCTTCGCACGAAGGGAGCATTCCTGTTGTCACCAGCGGCTTTCAAAGCTGCGGTCTCAAGCTGACGGACGATGCCAACCTTGTGATTGGCCTGCACTAACCTTTTCACATGCACTTGCAGTCGATGTACCGGGAAGCTTGCAGATGCAAACCGGTTCAAATGGGCCTCTGATGCATTTTCGTCGTATCGGAACTTTCCAGGTATACAGACGATGCCCAATTCCTTCGCTGCGATGCGTGCATCCTCTCCATAAATCTGAAATTTGTAGCCGACCTCATACACAATGATTGTGTCCAAATGCTTCCGCTTGATTTCAAGGTACTGCATCTCCATGGGCGTGAGCTTTCCTGGCTTCTTCGAACCCTTTTTTGTTGGTCTGGCAGCAGGCTTCAACGCTTCATCGTCTGGTCCGTCGTCCTCCGCATCTTCAGCTACTTCTCCGTCGGAGTGGTCGGGTCTATACCGTCGCTTCAGCTCCGCGAAGCTGTCAGGACGTCCAAGCTTCTGTATGAACTTTTTATGCAATGCCGCTCGTCGCTTCTGTGCCGCTGGACTATCATCGTCACCATCATTGATGTCGTTGTTCTCGTCTGCGACAACCGGAGACGAAGAGAAGCAGTATTTGGATGTGCGGTCAACTATGCGAGATTTGTTAAGCCCAGAGGCAGAGGCTTGAGCGAGAGTGTGCCGCGTCTCATCCAGTCGTGCCCGCTTCGGCGAGACTGCTGCCTCCTCCGCTTCGTCATCCGCCTGGTCTATAGCGCGTTTTCGACTGGGTGAAGCTTCAGTAGCAGCAGCAAGCATGGAGACATCGTCGCCGCTGGGGGCCGTCACTTGGTTTGCCGGTGGCGACGCTGCAGCTTTTGGTGGTTTGGCCGAAAAGAAGGCGGAGATCGACTGTTGTTTGGTTTTCTGCGACGACGAGGACGACGGGAAGGGGCTGCTTTGGGGTGCCATTGGGCCGACGTATCGGGGCCCTTCGACTTCGACTGCGTAGGCAAAGATGTCGTGGATCTTCGACGCGTCGACGTGGTGGGAACGCGAACGGAGTCACGCTTGGCTACCTTGGGACTAGTGAGCACTTTACGCGTGCATCAGCAGCCGACGCGTCGACGCGCTCCTCCCCATCTCTATCCCACAACTTCCACACCACTCAGTGTTCCTTCCCGTTGCACCTCGTCGCTTCTCAATATGCCCGCTACTATCCTCGGCAAGAGAACGCGCAGTTCTGCCACCGCAGATGCATCAGGTAAGCGGTTCCTGTCGCTCTTGCCCGCCAACGTGTATTAACGGCTTGCTTGCAGAGACACCAACCACAGCGTCGACACGCGCAAAAAGACGGACACAGTTCGTAATACTGGACGAGGGCGAAAATGACAACCCGTTTGTCACCCCGAGCAAGAAGAGCGGCCGCAATGGCGATGCGATGGACCTGGATGCGCCAGGGGAGCAGTCTACCGGAAAGCGCAGAACAAGGGCTGCCGCAACGACACCTGCCAAACACGGCGCACACAATACGCGCATACCACTGTCACCCACCAAAGTTAATTCGCCAACAAAGGCAGCTGCGAGATGTCCAGAAAAGCCCGCTGCGACTCCATCAACACCCCGACACCGAGACGCCCTCGCTGGCAAGGTCGCCGTAACCCCAAGACATCGACTGATTGCTGCTGGACGCCCACGAACGCCTCACACGCCTACTAGTACTCCTCGGAACGCTGCGCTTACCGTCTACAATGATGCTCGTCAGCTGTTCGTCAGGAGTTCAGCGCCTAGTGCGCTCTTCGGTCGCGAGACAGAACGACATGAGCTCCATTCATTCATCTCCACGCGCGCCAAAAGCAAGTCGTCAGGCTGTATGTACATTTCCGGCCCGCCCGGAACTGGCAAAAGCGCCTTCGTGAACGATGTCTGCGGCGAAATTACCACGAACAAGCGCATCAAGTCCGGCTACATCAATTGCATGAGTGTGAAGAGTGCAGTTGACTTGTTCCGAACCTTGCTCGAGGAGTTTGTAGACATCACGCAGATCGAGGAAGGCGAGGAGATGAATACTCTAGAGAAGATCTTCATGCAGCGCGATACGTCGTACGTGGTGACACTTGACGAAGTGGACCACCTTTTGGAGCTCGACACCGACCTACTCTACAACATATTCGAGTGGTCGCTGGAGGATGCATCAAGTCTGGTTCTTATCGGAATTGCCAATGCTCTAGACTTCACAGACCGGTTCTTGCCTCGCCTAAAGGCTCGAGGTCTCAAGCCCCATCTATTACCGTTTCTCCCCTACACCGCGACACAAATCTCTTCCGTCATTACGTCAAAACTCAAATCGCTTGTCTCTGATGAAGCCGACTTGGTCCCTTTTCTCCACCCCACTGCAATCATGTTTCTCTCCAAGAAGGTTGCATCACAGACGGGCGACCTACGCAAGGCGTTTGACATATGTCGACGAGCCATCGATTTAATCGAAGCAGACACGCGCGACCAACACGCGAGAGAGATCGACGAGATCACACCAGCACCGACTCCTTCGCCATCTAAAACGCCATTAGTGGAGAATAGGAACTTATCATCGCCCGCCGTTCGATCACCTACAAAAGCCATGGCCAAAAGCGCATTGGCTCAGCTCACTGCACTGAACGCTCCGAGGGCTACGATCGCACACATGGCTCGTATCACCGCAACAGTATTCAGCAATGGCACCTCCCAACGTCTGAAAAATCTGAACCTCCAGCAAAAGGCCGTCTTGTGTTCCCTCTCCGCCTTGGAGAAAAGGAAGCGTGTTTCGGCAGCAGAGAACGTTTTCGACACTCCGTCCAAGGCTCATAGCACAGCGCCCACCATCAAAGAGCTTTTCGAAGCCTACACAGCTGTGTGCAAGCGCGAGCAGAAGCTTCACCCGCTCACGAGCACCGAGTTCCGGGATATCGTGGGCAGCCTCGAAACTCTTTCACTAGTCTCGGCAGTAGAGGGGAGGGCTGGATCGCTTGTTGCTGTGAACACCCCCAGCAGGAAAAGCAAAGGCGGTTTCGGCGGGGCTTCTGTGGATGATCGGAGGGTTGCAAGTTGTCTAGATGTGAAGGAGATATCGGAATGTCTTGTCGGACCGGCTAGAGATATTCTCAAGGGTATATTTAGTGATGGAGAGGCCCTTTGATAGTTTTGTGGACGGGATTGTGGCGAGGGAGCTTGGTTCTACGGCATAGCGCGGCGTCTTTTGGGATTCTTGGGGTCTGTTGCATAGTGTTGCATAGCGTGGTTCATCTTGGATGTTTTCATCGTTGATTGAGTGTACAACGTAGAGTCTGGGTAGACAGCGCCTCTTGACGATGATGCATCAAGCGTTGCTTTATTGAATGCGAACCTAGTCTACTTTCAACATGTCGTACCTGGAGCTAAAGGTTCACGTGTTGGTAAAGCGGCGCGGGAAGCCAACGCCGTCACTCGCCTCGGTTCCAAGGCGGGAGCCCTGTAGGAAGGCTGTCCCATGTGGCTGGGTTCTTGCATTGCCCTGGGCACCTTGCCCTCTCTGCCTGTGCTCTTGTCTGCACCTCAGCCGCTCGTTTGGCGCCGCTCAACCTGCGACGCTCTGTCAATATTGTTCTAGCTGACGGTGCAGCGACTTGCTGCCTCCTCCCTTCCCGTCCCATCGCCCTCGGCCCCACCATCGATCGTCCCGCGAATCACAAGCCGATCGCACCATCTCCGCGCCTGCACTGGGGGTTGCTGCCAGCGCAACAATGTGTCTTGTCAAAGTGCGACAGGATGAAGACGTCGTTGTGCCATACCGTGTACCACGCGAGCGCTCTCCGCGTCGGCGTGAATCAGTGCGCCGTGTCTCGCGCATCTCGCAGGAGGTAGTGCGCGAATCGCCTCGTCCCAGCTCCAGCTACCTCACTGTTCCTGCGCCCAGGCCTATGCCCATTCCCGCTCCTCAGCCTGTGCCCGTGTTTTTCGAGCCGCCTCCCGCCCCGCTGCCACCTCCGCCGCCTTCAGTATCGCATCATTCGGCGCACTATGTCGAGGTCTCGCCTGCCCGGTCCAGTCGTTCCAGCAGGTCCAGCTCCAGCATGGATCGTAGCGAGTACGTGGTGCGCGAGCGGCAGTACAGGCGGCGAGAGCACAGTCCAGCGAACAGCAGCCCACGTTACGAGCACTTCCGGTACGTCGAGCCTGCACCCAGCGAGAGCGACCACTACGACCGGTATGATCGACTCGACCAACGACGGAGCAGAAGCAGGCCACGGGAGAGAAGCCCGAGTCGTGGGCGGGGTGATTATTATGGCAGAGGCAGCAGAGACTATGGCGGAGGGGAGCGAGTGACGCGCGAGAGAATTACCATCTCTGAGAGGGACCGTGACGGGAGGAGGGGCGAGTACCGCAGATAGAGGAAGACGTGCTGAACACCAAAGGGGGTGGTGGTTTTTCTGTTGTTGTTCTTCTGCTACTTTCGAGATAGCTTCTGTCGAGGATGCTGCAACTTTAGCTTGAACCGTGTTTTTGAGGGTTTGGATTGATGGCTTGACGATTCACGACGGGACATAGCATTCTGCGTGCTTGGATTGTTGGTAGACGCAAATGGAAGCATTCCTGGAAGACTATGACATCAATTCGACCCTGGGCCCTGAGCACCTCTCTCAGCGAATGGGAAGCGAGGGGCCATGCCGCAGCAGAAATTCGGATCCCACCGTTCGATGCATGTGGACAAAAGCTGCAGCGATAACGCCTCAATCGCTACTGCTCAAGCATTCCCATCGAGTGACAATTTCATGAACTGGCCGGCGGGCTACTGGAACATAGCAGGGTTGTTGTCTTTGCTGAGGCTTCGCGGTGACAAGCAACACCGCCCAAGCTGAGCACACGCGTGCTTACCTTGTGACCACCACGACCGTCTCCGCGCGAGCCTACTCCTGCCTGTGCGACACCGAGAGGCTGAAGAGAAAATCGGACATGCCTAACGAGCCCGCCAGAAACAGCCAAGCCGTTGTCCACAGCCGACAATGTCCATACGCGTCCTTCTCAAAGACTATCCGCACCGTGCCATCGCCCTCTCCACAGCGACCCACGCCCTCGTCCTGCGCCATAGCCCGACCTCGACCGAGCACAATGGCAATGCATCCACTGCATCTCTTGGGAGCAATGGCGCAGGCGCAGCGCGCTGCATGGTCGAGTTTGCGCGCCTCGATGATATGGATCTAGGCGACTATCGCGCGCTCAATAGTGTGAATGCGCATGGCACGCTGGGCCTCATCACGGTGAATGGCGACGTGTTCCTGGTGGTCGTCAATGGCAGCAGGAAGGTTGCCGACGTGCGGCCAGGGGAGACGGTGCAACGCATACACAGCGTGGGTTTCTATTGCTTGAACAGCGCAAGCTACGATGCCCTGCTGAACGATGAGGTCAACCCATACCCCACCGACACCATCGATGAGGAGGGATATGAGATGGGCTTCGGGCGGGGCAAGTCTGAGAATCCCATGGAGCACCCGTGTCTGGCCCTCAAGAAGCTGCTCAGCAGCGGGACTTTTTATTACAGCTCCGACTTCGATATGACGCGAAGACTGCAGGAGAGGTCTTCGGATGCTGCCACTGTCTCCATTGACAGCTTGGACGCCGGCTTTCTGTGGAACTCGTACATGATCCAACCGTTGGTCGACTTCAGATCGAGACTGGCTCAAAGAGAAAAGCAGGCGCTGGACGCTTCAGGCATCCTCACTTCTGCTATCCGCGGCTTTGCCCTTACGGTCACCGTACCCTCGTCTTCGTCTCCTGTGCGAGCCCCAAGATCCGGACTGCCTTCGCAGATGACGCTCATCTCGAGATTGTCTTGTCGGAGAGCCGGAACCAGGTTCAATGCCCGAGGCATCGATGATGATGGCAATGTCGCCAATTTTGTCGAATCCGAAACCATCTTCTACGCACCAACCGGCCTCTGCTTCTCGTACACCCAGGTCCGGGGAAGCGTGCCGCTGTTCTGGGAGCAGGCGACTGGACTGCTCCCCGGGCAACAAAAGATCACAATCACCCGATCGCCGGAAGCTACCCAACCGGCCTTTGATAAGCACTTCGAACATCTGGAGCTCAGCTATGGTGCTATACACGTGGTTAACCTTCTTAGTAATGAAAAGCCGAATGAACTAGAGTTGACCCATAGGTACCGCCATCACATAAGGCAGAGCCCTATGAACTACGCGCACGAACAGAGCAAGGAGCATGAACTTATCAAGCTCACCGAATACGATTTTCACGCCGAGACCAGGGGACCTGGCGGGTATGAGATGGCGAGTATGATTCAGCAGTGGATACGTGATTCTGCAGACGGCTTTGCATATTATCTTTCTGAGGATATAGAAGAACATGCGAGATCGAATGGGAACGATTATGTTGTTCGAAGACCGACTACGATTCTGCAACAAGAGGGCGTGTTTAGGACCAATTGCCTGGACTGCTTGGACCGAACGAACCTTGTTCAAACCATAATCAGCAGAATGGCTCTGGAGATTCTCTTCAATCACAAGACATTGGGGGCCAGCCAGGACTTCTGGGCCAGGCATTCGAGCATGTGGGCAGATAACGGGGATGCGTTATCACGGATATATGCCGGAACAGGAGCCCTAAAGTCTTCATTCACAAGACATGGGAAAATGTCGCTTGCTGGGGCCCTAGCCGACGCTAGAAAGAGCGCTACGCGCATGTATATCAATAATTTTGCGGACAAAGGGCGGCAGAACACTATCGACATGTTACTTGGTCGCCTAATGGGCCAGGTGCCGGTGCACTTGTATGATCCCATCAATGACTTTGTCATTGCCGAACTCAACAAGCGCTCAGCCGAATTCACAGAAAGTGAAGTTATACACATCCTCGCCGGGACCTTCAACCTCAACGGGAAGACACATGGCCTTCATGAAGACCTGGCACCCTGGTTGTGTCCAGAGGTAGTATCTTCTCAACAGTGCCCGGAAATCGTTGCCGTGGGTTTCCAAGAGATAGTTGAGTTGAGTCCGCAACAAATCATGTCTACAGATCCGGCGAGGCGGCAGGCTTGGGAGTCTGCTGTTAGGAATTGCCTCAACGAAAATGCGGCGAAACACGGTCAGGAAGAGTATGTCCTGCTAAGAGGCGGACAACTCGTAGGCGCAAGTCTGTCAGTGTTTGTCAAAGCAGGATCGCTGAAGAGCATCAAAAACGTTGAAGGGAGTCTGAAAAAGGTATCCTTAAATACTACATATTACTGCACAAATGCTGACGGAGGCACAGACCGGCATGTCTGGCATGGCGGGCAACAAAGGGGCCGTGGCTATCCGCATGGAATACGCTAATACCTCAATATGTTTCGTGACGGCGCACCTTGCAGCTGGGTTCGCAAACTACGAGGAGAGAAACCGAGACTACAAAACGATCAGCCATGGTTTGCGGTTCCAAAGGAACCGATCAATCGAGGATCACGACACAGTAATTTGGCTCGGAGACTTCAATTATCGAATAGGCTTGAGCAACGAAAAGGTACAGAAACTGTGCCATGTTGGTGATTTTGAGACGCTGTACGAGAACGACCAGGTAATGCTATATCCTCCATTCTTTTTGCCACTATACGCTAACGGCATGCCAGCTGAACCTCCAGATGGTCGCTGGCCTGACCTTCCCTTATTATTCCGAGGCCCGCATCACCTTCCTCCCTACATACAAATACGACATCGGGACCGACACCTACGATACGTCCGAGAAAGCTCGTATCCCTGCCTGGTGTGACCGCATTCTTCGCAAAGGTGATAATATCCGCCAGATTAACTATGACTGCGCTCCACTCCGCTTTTCGGACCACCGCCCTGTGTATGCAACCTTTCAGTGTCTGATCAACAAAATCGATGAAAAACGTAAAGACCAACTTAGCCAAGAGCTATACGGCAAGCGAAAGGAAGTCGTTGGCGATACGCGCGCATCTAGTGGAGCGGCTATGGAAGACACCGATGACGAGGATCTGTTAGGATATGAGAGCGTAGAACCTGGTTTACCACCTGCAAGTTCAGATCGACGGAAATGGTGGCTCGATAACGGGCTCCCAGCACGCTCGAGAGTGCAACCATCCAGCAATGATCACTTTCCCAATCCCAAGCGGCCCAGTAATCCTTTCACGCCTTCACCAGAGCCTGATTGGGTCGAAGTCCGGACAACGGGAAGACCGGAGCCACCACCAGCCAGAGGTACGCAACGAGCACATACAGTAGACTTCAACGACGTAGGGACGAGTGTACCGAGCAGCGTAGCAAACCCTGCCACAAGCCTCCGACCCTCAAGAGCACCTAATCCCACTGCACGGAAGCTCATAGCTCCACCCTTTAACGTCGGCCCGCCATCATTTACCAATGCAAGCAACAGTCCTTCAGTTTCCCACCTAGACGGGCCTACCGATTTGAGACGTACCCCCTCCGCCGCATCTACCCGCTCCCTGCCAGCACTTCACCATCGCCCTACCCATCCAACTCCAGCTCCCAATCGCACACGAGAGATTTCCCGCAAAGCAGCACCGCCAATCCCCACCAAGAAGCCTTCGCTTCACGGGACGCCTACTGCGCCACCTCTACGCTACCGTGATGAACCCGATTCAGGCGCCTTCTCCGACCCTGACCACAGTCGACCGCTACCACCGCCCCCTCGTCGCTCGATGGCCGAGAGGAGGCCTGTAGGGATGGGCAATGGTGTGGGGAGTCTGATCGATGCCAGTGATGAGAGGCCAGCGTTACCACCAAGGACCGGGACCGGGCTGAGTGCACGAGGGAGAAATCTGATGGACGAGGAACCGGAGGACATGAATCTGAAAGGGTGGGAGGTGCTGAGGCCGGCGAGATAAGAGTAGGACCTACTTGCACCTGGCAGCTCTGTCTGACAGAGCTGGCTGAAACTAAACTTGACGAATTAGCGCGGCGTTTTGAGACGCATTTGCAATTTCGTCTCCCCGCGTCTTTTGTGCCTTTTGAGAGTGTTCGTATAACATATCGTAAGAAACGTTACGAACGAGCTCAATGCGGATATACAGAACATGATCACAAAAGCACAAAATCACCAAGTGAAGAGATTATCCTCAATAGTGATTACAGTGCCATTTCCGTGCTGGTGAAGCTTTCCCAATCTGGAAGTATCAACTGGATAAGGTCTATAATGCCTTCTCCAGCAGGCCGTCTTTCACTCTACCAGTGGGAAGGGCTCCCACGCAAACCAAGAGGAAATCCCTCGAAGCACGGAATACTACCATTGGTCGTGTGCATGAATGGATGGCCAATGTATCAGCATACAGCATTGTCCTCATGGATGTGGCACTCGTCTCGGTAGTGTATACGGTGTGTCTTCGTGCTCCTAGCTCGCGCAAGGCGGAGCAACAGCCCATCTAAGAAAATAAAAAGCGTGGAAGAAGCAAAGAAAGGAGGCCAGACGGCAGCTCGAGTCATCCATGCAATGCCGACGGCTGCAGCCACAGGAATGACAATGAATATGTTGAAAAAGGGAGTGCACTGAAAGAACAGAAGCCTGGAAGCTGTTTCAATGTGGTCTCACGGCGGCGGGTGCGACGTCCCCAGAATGCATCACTTGGTTAGGGCGGGCAGAAGCCTGCTGAATGCTATTGTTGCACTTTCACGGTGACCAAATCCCGACACAGTGTTCCTCATATTGGATCTGGTAAGGGCATGTAATAGGAGCGGAAGATTCAGCGGGTTGTGCCTCAATTGCGAGACGATCGGCGTCTCCACTGAATCGAACGTAGACCATCATATGAATGTGCGCGGGGAAGGTTCTCGGTGAGAACTTCCATCAGGCACTTAATTAGATGTAGATATCGGATATACGATCAAGGGGGTCTGGATAACAAACACTCTTCGCGTGTCTTAATTTACTTGCATTACTCTGGAGACTGAACTCTGGTATTACGCATCAATGTTCCAGTGGCTAGTTCATAACACGCCAAAACCGTAACCTCTATAACATCACGAAAGCGATGTGGAGCCATCCATCGACGTAGGCAGCGGTTCGTATCAGGTCTTCGACGCCGGCGTCCAAAGGGAGGATAGCGCCATGCAGCACCGGCGCAGCAATGAGGCAAGGCCCGCGCGTATTTCGAAACAGGCTGGGTAGTAACGTGTTCAGCGCAGTGCCTACTGTCTGGCGTTGCCCTAGGACCTTATCAGCACAGTTTTCTGATCTCAACTCTGGTGGCAATGACTCACGTGACGATGAGGATACTGGGATTAGTCCCTGCACGACTCGCACGGAGCCAGGCATGATGGCCTTCTCAATCTTTCCACGTTCTTGAGGATAGCTGCTGGGCGAAGACGGCTTCCCCACTTGAGGGGAGGCAGCATGTGGGAGGTATAACCTCATTGGGACATGACGGAGCGTAGCGCCTTGAGGATTCAGGAACTTGTTATTGATACGACTGAAGCGCCTGTAGTCTCGTTGCCTGACACCTTCCCATAGCTGTTCGGAATCCTCTTTGCTGAGAGACATTACTGTCTTCCCTGTTCCATTTCGGAGGTAGTCGGCCTGGAAGCATGGTCAGCAAGAAGCATCCATCAGAGTCAACAGGGGTGGACTGACCTCCTTCACGTTGTTTATAAACAGATCGTGGAGGTGCTTCTCATGGGCGTCGAGCTGCACCAGCTGATCTTTGGGGTAACTAGAGAAGTGGAGAGTCAATTTCCAGGGCGGGGTCTCTTCCTCTTCAGAGCTGGGCACTATGGCTTGCTCGGCGGGCGTGTTGTGTGAGGATGCAGGCTCGGCTCCGGAGTACAGGTCGTAGAGTAGGCCGAGCGGGTAGTGCCACTTCAAGGGCACATGGTCATACTCGAGCCATGCATCAAACGGAGAGACGTCGGGGTAGATCAAGTTGGCGTGGAAGTAGGTGTGGAGCTTGGGTAGGAGAAATGCCAGATACGAGAGTCGTGGGACGTGGACCTGGGGACCAAGTATCAGCACTGTCCGGGCGCAGGCAGCAAGCGCAGACGCGTACCAGGTAGGGGACGGCTTCGTATGACGAGCAGTCTGCGCTGTGCAGGGAGATCTCTACGGGAATGGAGGCGGACCACACGCGCTCGCGCAGTAGGGCTGCGACGTTCATGCCGGCGAGAAGGACAGCGGGCGCCCGGGGATAAGCAGCAGGGTGGGGTTGAGTGTGGGGAGCGTCTCTATAGAAACGGCGCGGCGCCACTCTCGCTGCTTCGAACGAGTGAATTGGGCGCACCTCGCCGCCATGGACGCCGCCCTCAGCCGCAAACGCTCGCGCCTCGCCCTGGACGACGATGCCGCCGTCGCTGACGACTCGCTCAAGCGCTCGCGCACCCAAGGTGAGCTGGAGGAGCTCGACGTGATCCCGCCAGCGGAGGCGTGGACCGTCGATGTGGCCGCCATGCTCGCGTCCAAGACGCTGGCGGCGCCGCCCGGGAGCAGCCTGCGCCCGCACAACAACGCGCACCGGCTCATCAAAGGGTCCCTCCTCGTGCTGTGCGTCCAAGGCAGCGTCCAGCTGCACTACGACCTCCTCTGGCAAGCGCCCGCCTGCCCTCCTCGCCGTGCGCCGCCCGCTAACTGCGCCCAGCTCCGTGTTGCCACAGCTCTACGCCCTCTCGCCCTCTCTGCAAGCCCTCGTCCTCTGCCGCGACCCCTCCACCCACATGCCCTCTGCAGCTGCCACGTACTCGCTGCCCCTGATCCAAGCCGTGGGCCCTGGCTACAACCATTTCGTGCGCCTCGGCCTGCTGCATCCCCTCGGTGGAGGCGAACACCCGCTAGATGCCCTGGTCGTCATCGATGGGCGCGCAAAGCGAAGGCTGGTGCTGCCCTTCGGATGGGGTGCTGGCAAGCATGCCGATACCTCAGCCGGGCACATCGTGCAGATGCACTTGGTGAACTTGTTGACATCGTGCGTCGAGATGCTGGCACGCGAGTGACACCCATCTGCTACATCACATTGAGAAGCAACATGGACAAAAAGTGGATCGAGGACACGAGATGCTATCATTTCAACTTCCAGCACGACCGTAATCATAATTTCATAGCCGGGGATCGCCTCCCCCCGACTCACCACACCGAGCCAGGACGACTCTCACATGCTCACGCTGAGACTAACTAGTCGAAGGTCGTTGGCTTGTCCTTGATGGGCACATCGCTGCCACTCGCGTTCTTGTACTGACCACGAATGAAGTCGCTGATCTTTTCGTCTTTCGCTTGCTCAAGGGCAGACTGTTTGTGGGTCAGATGTACCGTCTTGCTGCCAGTTCAACCTCCGGGACTACACACCTCGTTGTCCTGCGCGCCCTGGCCAAGGAACTTCTCCTGGACGAAATCGACACCTAGTCATGTCAACTACAATCTTCTGCCGTGCTGCGGATGCTCCTACCCTTGTCGAGCATGTCTTCGTTTTTCTCGCCAGCCGCACCGCCGCCAGCAGCCTCGTTGGCCTTGTTTCCAAGACCGCTGAAGAAGCCTCCGCCCTCCTGCTTCTGCTCGGCAGAGCCAGCAGTCTGCTGCTCGTTCTTCTGGTCGCCGCCCGTGAACTTGTTGACAAAATCCATGTTGATGAATTGGTTGAGTGGTCGATCGGTGGGTGTTGAATCAAGTAGGAGAGGTGTTGTCGTAGAGACGCGGGTGCACCAAGAGGAGAGAGGGAAACAGAGGACTTTATGTGAAGGGGTACTGTTTCAGGCTGTGTTTGTCTTGGAGCCAGTAGCGCCGCGTCTCTCGGCGCGCTACGTCATTGGCAGCCCCCGCGCCGTGGCTCTGCGCAGAGGGCGAGCAACAGCGACCACACAGTCCGCTCGCTCGTTTGCTCGCTCGGCGCGCTGGACAAACCATAGGCACAGGCAGACGCCCGCCATGATACCCATCACCATCATTACCGGCTTTCTCGGCTCCGGCAAGACGAGTGAGTCGTGCGCGCACTGCCCCGCGTGCCACAGCGTCTAACCCGCCCAGCCCTGATCTTGAACCTGATTCCGCAGCTTCCCAAAACGTACAAACTCGCGCTTCTCAAGAACGAATTTGGTGACGTCGCCGTCGACTCGGAGCTTGCCTCCTCGAGTGCCATCTCGGGCGTGCAGGAGCTCCTCAATGGCTGCATCTGCTGCAACCTGGTCGGGCAGCTGTCCGACGCCCTCGAGACGCTCGCTGCCGATATCCACCCCGACCGCATCGTGATCGAGACGTCTGGTTCTGCCTTCCCGGCCACCTTGGCCATGGAAGTGAACCGCCTGGCCAACAGCACCGGCAGATACGTGCTGGACGGGGTCATGTCCGTCATAGACGCCGAAAATTGGAAGGGCTACGAAGACACTTCGTATACCGCCAAGATGCAGGCCAAATACACAGATTTAATCGTCCTGAATAAATGGGAGCTCGTCAGCGAGAGGAGGCTAGAGGACGTAGAGGATGCCGTGTTAGCCCTCGAGGTCGACCCGCCAATACCGCGCACGAAAAGTGACAGAGGATGGGTCAGCAAGGAAATTGTTTTTGGATTGGACGCCAAGCTAGTGAAGGTTGCGGGAGCCGATTCTGAGCATCGCCGCCATGACCATGAGCACTCCAGCGAGGTAGAAGTGCTGAGCGTCGCGCTTACCTCCAACGGCAACAATGCAAGCGTGGACGTAGAGAAATTGGAAAAGCTACTCCAGGAGCCCACCAAGGACTCCATATACCGCATCAAAGGCGTTCTCTATGCATCGACCGCTCCAAGATCATCCGACCCCGTTCCAAGATCAACGCTGAACGTTGCTGGCGACCGGGCGCGATATATCCTCAATTGGGCGTTTGGCAGGTGGACCTTTACCAAAGTACCTCCACCGTCAGCGACTAGTACACCGTTGGCATCCGGAAATGCAACACCTCTTGCTTCTGGTCAATCCACGCCGCTCCCCCCAGCTGAGGAGCCTGAACTACGATTGACCGTCATCACGGCGAGATACGAGTCCAATCAATTCCGATCTTTCATAGAATCGAGCGGATTTGTTGCTTTTGAAGGCGGCTCAAAGGGCAAGCTGACCGTACAACGAGTCTCTTAAACCGAACGCATAGTCTGCTGATCTCGAAGATCGTTGCACAATAAACTAATAATACATGTCATACGCTCCGCATTGAACCACACATATGACGAGGATGAATGACGCTACCTCTCACCAGTGAAGTCTCATCCACTAGATCGTATGACCTGACTGGGCACTTAGCATATCAAGCAACCTGACTTATCAATGAGATCGACTCCTGCCTTGATAGCAAGTGCACCTATTTGTATAGTGTCCTTACGTGGGTCGAGATAATGGTTCACTGGCAAACAAGGTCAGTCACAAATTCACTCGTGTAGCTATCGCATCTGTCTCTACACGAGACGTGATTCTTGTCCTGGCTGGCCTGGTCGTTTTCGTCATCATTTACCCACACCCCTGCACTACAATCTGTCTAAATGAATGTCCGCTGCCAAATTACTCTTTGCCGCGCAACGTCGACGACCACTTCTGGAACGACATTAGGCACCGCAACAATATCCCAGCCGCGTGGTACGCGTGCGTTGCTGATCTAAAAAGGGAGACGCGCGATACGACTCGCATGCTTCAGTAATTTGCACGCGAGGCAAGGATAACTTTTGAAGGCGTGGCTGCGAGTACTTGAAGCTTGGATCTCCTTCTTGGCCTACACCTACTTTGATAGATTCGCTCGGCAACATGTCGATTCTTCTGCCGCTATACATGTATCCTTGGCCGGGTGTGTGGGATCCCTTGTACTGGGCGTCAGTTTTTGATATATGTCGAGCACTTTGCGCGAATTGCTGATCATGATTAGAGCTGGCAACAACACGCAACTTAACTTTAAGGTTATCTTGAACCCATGTAGCGGACCATGTATGGGTAGCCTACCTGAACCAGCGTATATCAGCGAGATACCCAAGTTGAGGGATTACCCAAATATCCGGACGTTGGGTTACGTTGCAACCAACTACACTGATAAGGATCTGGACAGCGTACTGGCGGAGATTCGACAATGGGCAAGTTGGCCGATTCTGATGAATGACACGCGGATGGCAGTCGACGGCATATTCTTTGACGAGATACCGGGGTTATACCAGTGGCAGAAGCACGATTACTTGAGGACGACGACGGATACAGTGCAGAGCAATGAGCAGTTAGGTGAGAAGCTCGTTAGTAAGTCACCCGGAGCTTTGCATTCCGCATGCAAATAAATTTGGTGGTGTTAACCATACAGTAGTACATAACCCTGGAACTCTACCCGATTCCGTATGGAACTACCTCGACCTTGCCAACACAACCGTCATCTTCGAAGATACTTTCGCTCACTTTATTGACGCGACTAAATTCAACGCACTCGAGGACTTCCACACTACCACCAATCTACCTACGTCTGCTTTTTCTATCATGCTTCATTCGATCGGAAATATTCCCGACGAACTTGTTACGTGGACCGTAACGCAGATGAAGCATATGGCGGAATGGAACTTCGCGACCAACGTGGCGACTGCAGGGGAGTACTGGTAAGCAAACCGCCAGGTACGAAGTGGATGTGTCTTCTGGCAGAAAAAAGGTTTCTTTCTCGCTAGGATGAGACCTGATCCAGCTGTTCACCCACCCTATCTTAAGTCACACTAACTTTGTACCCACACATCAGGCATAGCTTCCCGGCGATCTTCGACTTGTTCATTAAGCGATACGCGCGGGTGGACACAGACGAAGAGGATTTAGAAGCACAAACAGTAAGGTATTAGGGGATATTTCATGATCCGTTAGGCCAATCAGGAGCATACGTCTTGCGGAGTCCTTCAGACAGCGTCTTGCGGAGCATAAGGATTGTACCCCTCCTGGAGCCAGCTCCAGATATTAAGCCCAATCTTGGTCCCGCTCGTCACAGGAAGTCCCGCATGCCAACTCTCTTCGTATCCCGTCCCATCAGCCTTCATGTTCTCCCAGTACACTGCGTTGCCTTTCATCGGCTTGAATGTCACTCCCATGCCAATATCGTTCTCATCGCCACCGCCTTCATCCCCACTGCTGCCCTCTCCGCACTCAACGAACCGGCACCACGCCTCACCTTTCGGCTTTTCCAACCTTGGAAACCTCGTTCCCCCGCCTTCACACTCATCTCCTAACCACACCATAAAACTGCTGATCCGCCCTGCACCGCGTAACGCATTGCTCCAGTCGTAATGGTAGGCGTAGTGACCGCCGGGCCCGTACTTTTGCGCCCACAGCTTCTCGACGAAGACGTAGGGTGGCCAACCCTGAAAGGCACGCGCACGCTCCTCGATACAACGGACAATTGGGGAGCGCGGCACGGGTGCTTTTTCTGAGAGGCGGACGCTGGGATCGAGTCGTTCCTGGCCGGAACTCCAGACCGTGGACGGCGTGAAGTGCTTCTGACTTTTGAGCTGTTAGCTTACCTAGCGCATCCGAAGTGGACCTGAGCAACCGGTTTGCAGTTGCCCTTAGCACTCTCAATATTCCTCCAGCTGGGCATGAGGATGAGAACCGAATAAACAGTGAAATTGCATACCTGACATCCACGATATGCTTCACCTCATCCTCCCTTAAGAAGCCTTCCACATAGACAACCAATGGGTCGCGACTCAACACATGCAAGCCCCTATACGTATGCTCCGTGCAGCTCAGGTTGCCATCAGGAACAACCAGACCAGCAGCCTTGTCCTGGCTCAGTGCCGACGGTCGCCCAAGACTAGCTCTTGTTTTTCTACTCTCGCTTGTGGTGCCTGTGAACAGGGAGAGCAGGGGTGCACCCGCGAGGACGTATCCCAGTATACCAAAGACGACATATTGCAAGATGCTGGCGAGGGAAAAGGAGTGACTAGGCATTTCGCCCTGGTACTCTAAAAGGGGCCAATAGCCGTCCGAGGACTAGCGCACTAAGAATGAACGTCCGAGGGAGAAAAAAATTTGCAATTTTCAAACGAAAGCGATATCGAAACCAATACAAGAAGAGAGCAAAGAGCACTGTTCCCCAGTATTCACAGCATGTCGGGACGAGAATGACGGGAAAATTGGGCCGAACACGAATTATCAGACCCTGGACGGGAGAGGTCAAAGCGTAGCGTGCGGCGTGGCCGAGAGCCTCATCCCCTGGATTACCTAAGAGAGAGTGGTCGAAGCGTGATAAGATCCGACCCGTGGACTGATCTCTGATCTCACTGCATCTTTTTCTGTTTGCGGACTGGAGCGCCTCCGTCTCGTCAGTAATCTATGAGCCGCGCGTTAGCAAGATGAACGGCACGGACTCAGGGGTTTTCACGTCCATTATACGAAGAAGCTCGTATTCAGTAAGTCACCACCCTCGCTAGTCCTAAGGTAGCCAAGGGTGACTCACGCAACCCAGGAAAGCTCATGTCATCATGAAATTGTTACTATTCAGAGTCAGACCAAACCGTACTCCAGCACCACACCTCTATCTCCAAAGGAAAGAAACAACAACGCATTCAATTTCCATAGGTGGACAGGTCATGATGTATGATCGTAAAGAGTGTGCAGACCAAACGCTCACTCGCACGTACCATCCGTCTGACTTCCAACCCATGCGTACGCTTCACCTCATATGAGGTGCACCCGTTAATATCGTTGTTACTTCGAGATAAACGAAGAACGCAGCCCCTTTGAGAACAAGCCCAACCAAATCTGAAATGCAAGCACTGAATGCTTGCCGCAGTCGTTGGAATGAATATCTATCTAACCCACACTGAGGTGAGATCACACATTCTCCAGGAAAAAACAAACAGAAAGCGTGGTTGACAGTCATGAATATAATTACCTCGTGCTGCTGAATACGATCCTGTGTCGAGCTTGCAACAGTGCTGTTCTTAGATTGAAAAAGGATTTGGTGACGTATGAAACCACCTCAAAAGCCGAGACTCTCCGCCCGACCCTGCTCTTCCGTTTGGCATTTGGACAATTCATCGCAATGCACTCATCGTGACACTAGATCTATTTATGCTCTTCCGGATTGACGTTCGTGTTGCTCAGCAACCTCGCGTGCGTAGAATTCGACGAGCATCGTACCATATGCTTCCATTTCTTCCAGTGGCACAGCGAGCCGAAAGTCGTTCAAAAGAAGGAACTGCAACTCCAAATGATTGAGCTCCACCAAGGGAAGACCGCCGACCTGTGGAACTTCAGCTCAAGCGCAAGGCACGTGGGTCAGAACTCACCTTTGCATATCTTGAATTGGTATAGAACACGTCTGAAAAGAATTTGCTTGCACAAGTAACACCGGCAATAACGAGGCGATGTATGTTGAAGCTGTCAACTACGAAAAAGTGGGACAAATTATAAGGATCGGAATCTAGGTCCTGATGTGGTGGGGAAGGTGGTTGAGACTCTGGCACAGGCGTCTGTGCGGGTTTACCCAGGGAACCAGAAGGAGGTGGTGTCGCCGCTTGAACCATATGGCGACTTTGATCCTGCGCATCGACGAGAGTAACTGATGAGCTGGAAGCATCAGCCTGAGCATTGGCGCGTTCCAGCGACTTTTGGTTCGCTTGTCGCAGGCTGAGCATAGGACCTGCATTGACCTTTTCGGTCATTCGGTCAAAGTAGACTAGGAGGCTCAGAAAGACCTCGTACGTGGTTGGACAGTACTTGTGAATCCGGCTGAGATAGCTGAGGATGGATATGCTCGGCACATTCTTCCCGTGAAACGCTAAAACACTCGTCGTCTGTTGGCTGAGACCAGATGCTCCTTCAGGAGGCGGTATCTGACGCTGCATGTGGTCGTGTTGCCGGTCGTTTGTAGTTGTGATCTTGGTAAGCAGGCCGGCCACCATTTCAATGATGTCGCCTACTGGCATCTCGCTAATCTCATACTGCGGGCCTACGTCGCCAGGGTCTCGCCGCTGACGCCGCGACAGCGATCGCGTCTGCGAGAAGGGACTGAATTCGTCTGTAGCAAAGCTCTGGATGTGGGAGAGGTTCTTGACCTTGATCCGCCGCGGCGAGGTTCCCGGGACGTCCAGGGCAGACCGTACCGACGGCACCGGGGACGGCTGAGCAGATCGCGGGGCCACAGATGCTGGTTGGGGATGGGAGTTTGCAAGCGCGGGCGTCTGCTGCTGGGGCGCAAAGCGTGGGCTGGGTGGGGGCTGGATTGTTTGGTGGGGCCCAGCGGTACTGTCCCCAGATGCTGTTTGCTGTGAGCTCGCGGGCGGCCCTCCCGGGTCGGCCATTGCGACGTCTGCAGGTGGTGCTACCCGTAAGGGCGGGTTTGCGCTGGTCTGTGGCGAGGGACGCACGGGCGTGTGGTGCACTGCGGGCGACTCTTGGGTCTGCTGAAGGCCGCCGCCGCCGCCAAACATATTATGAAAGTGGTTCCCACCAAAGTCGCTGACCACGATCGATCCCATGCCGCGGACGTCGTTGGAGAGGCTGCACGAGACGCGGAGCGGGCTGCTGCGGGCGGAGTCGGAGGGGTCGCAGCACAGATGCAGGAGAGCAGACGCGTGTGGGCGGCGTCAGGAAGCGCGACTTTGCTGCGGCTGCTGCGGAGCGGACGAAGGCAGTGGGAAAGGTCAATCGGGGTGGTGATGGAGCGGGCTGCCTGGTATTGCGTCGACGGCGGGCAGGCCGTCGTTGGCGATAAGAGTGCGCTCAGTGAGGGGAGATAGCGGACATGCCTTGGGTGCCTCGAATGCCGCTCCCCGTGATAAAGTCAATGCAGCAAGAGAGTGTAGAAGAGGGGCGCGCTGGAGCAGCACAGAGGTGGTGCGGTGTTCGAACGACGACGAGTCTGAGGAGTGTAGATAATCTACGTATGTCGCTAAAATTGGTCTAGTTCCTCCAGTCCAGACACTGGATGCCGGCCTTCCACACGCTTGCATACATATACATACACCGTCGTGCCGCAGCTCCTGAGCAGCGCCGCTCGGGACATGCTGCTTGCATCGCACAGAGGCGCCGCTTCGTAGATGCTCCGTTGCGCCTCACGCCGGCATCGCTGCCCCATGCAAAGATCCGATGGCCACATACGAAGGCACGGCGCTGACGGACTGTATGGCTCAAGGCGTGCATCTCATTGGTTGCATTCCCTCTGCGCTCCTACTTGGCAGTGGGGGCTCTTGGCTAGACTTTTCTAGTACACAAGACTACATACGTTGAGCTCTCTGCCGGACTCGATGGCTGACGGTTTCCTGACACACTGCCAGATGCGCATCCGTGGTTCGTGGCCGGCGAGACGGCGATGATATCACCACGGCCTGCGCCATGCCCCTCGGATCCCATGTCCTTTAGCGCCCACTCATCTCCATGACCACCTCTGGTCTGCTCTACTGCGTGCCGGGTCCTTCGTATCGCTGATCAGGCAGATACAGGTGTCGCTGCGCACCTCGCGCAGTAAGCACCACCATACGGATCACACCGCCAGAGCTGCCGTCCCACTTGATAGCCTCCTGCAGTGCCCCTTTGACAAACTTCACTCCCTCAGCCTCAGTCATGTTCTCTTGCCAATTCGCGTCGCAGTATCCGTAGATGTATGTAGATCCTGAGCCGCCGATTGCATATGCCTGCTTGTGCAGAGAGCCACCGAGGGGTATTGAGTACACCTGTCCGCCGTGCCTATGGTCGTATCCAGCAATGATCATACCAGCTCTACATGACTTCGTCAGCCGGAGTGAATATGACGCGTGGGCGCCACTTACGATAGCGAGTCCTTGTTTGCATAGCACAGCTCTTGGAATATGGCGGCCGCAGTCTGCGTAGTAGGAGCCTCGTCGTTTGTGATTCCGTACATGCCGAGATGGTAGTGGACGATGTCTGCCACGGCCTGTGTATCTGCTGCTGAGCCAGAACGACAGCACCAGATTGTGTCGTGCACTTGTGTGAGCTTGTCCGTCACTCGGTTCGCGATGTATGCGCCGGTAGTTGTCCGGCTGTCCGCTCCTAGTATCACACCGTCCTTGAAGTTGATCGCCATGCTGCTCACAGTTAGATAGACTATGCCGAGTAGGCGCCGGGTTTACAAACATGGAGGTGCCAAGGCTATGATCCACACAGTTAGCAAGCGCATGGTCCTGTGATAGAAATACGTCTTACTTGACCTCGCCCTTCTTCAGATGGTTCATATCGACGTGGATGCCATCTACAACGAGTAAGTCACAAGCGGGTATTGGGAGGACAACGGCGTACCTTCTCCAAGCACACCAGTGGCCATTGCGGGCATTCGCGGGGAGACTATGATACGGGGGGTCGGTGAGGTGTAGAGGACTATCCTGGGTTGCGAAGCAGGTGGTTGATAGGCACGGTGGGGGAGACTGATCAATGGCGTACGCAGCTGTGTTGCCTCGCGCCTGAAAGCTAGCTTGCGAGCTCAGACCACCGCTAGAGCGCCTACAATCACGTGACTTACTGACAACAATTCGAGCAAAGCCACAGCGTATTCTCCCCCCCCTGAACGATAAAGTTAGTGTAACTCACTCCATATCAAAGACAACAATTGCAAACAGGTTGCGCTTTCGGTGTTTACTCTCAAGCGCTTTGCAAGCCCGGGGAAGGCGCCCTCAGCTGTCGCACGTCCCAACCTTGCACTCGAAGCTTCACACGTCGTCGCAATTGAGCAGCCGTGCCGCCGTACCACACTGCACCCGCCTCCTTATCATAATCTAGACACCCCGCGATCGCCACCTGGTGCATGAACCTCCGATCTTCCAGTTCTTCGCCAGTCGTGACCTTTCCACCCTTCAATCGAACATCCGTCGTCACTCACTGTTGCTACGTCGCTCTCATTGCAGCATGGGCGGCACATTGGACTCTTTCCTTTCTTATCTTCGCGTTCCTTTGATTGCCTCCTCGGGCATTGCTGCTTTGCTCAGCGGAGTCCTTTACTTCAAGCAAAAGTAAGTAATTCTGGACCCATGCAAAAGTCTCCACGTTGCTTTGCATAGACGACGCAGAGGCCAAGAACCTAGGATCTCGGTACTATCCGTTCAATATACGCTGTTTCTGACCCAGTCAGCGAAATCATCTATGCAAGGAACTTTCCGCCCGATGCGCGAACCAATGTACCCCGCCCTGCACAATTTGGCATACCCGACTTCGAAGAGCTCTTCATTCCTACACCTGATGGGGAATCGCTGAGCGCCTTCTACATACGCGCAAACAGGGCCCAGTCACGCAATGTAACGATACTGATGTTTCACGGCAATGCTGGCAACATTGGCTATCGCCTACCCATAGCTAAAGTGCTAGCGGAGGAGCTGGGCTGTAAGTAAAACCGATCCACGCAGCAACTGCTTCAGCACGCTCCGCATCATATGCCTTCGAATTTTGCGTGTTGGCAGATCATCACATAGATCACCTGAGAGATTGTTCACCACAATGACCCACACATCAGGATGGTACTGACATTATCTGGCGTAGGCAACGTCTTCATGCTGCAGTACCGAGGCTACGGACTCTCTACGGGAACACCAAACGAAAAAGGCATTAATGTTGACGCACAAACGGGTCTGGACTACATTAGAAACCGCCATGAGCTGCGCAGCACACGCATCGTGCTCTACGGGCAAAGCTTAGGAGGTGCGGTCTCGATTGGCCTAGCTGCTCGGAACCAAAAGCAGGGCGACATTGCTGGTGTAATTCTAGAGAACACCTTCACCTCGATGCGCAAGATGATTCCTTCGTCAGTATTCCCCTAGCAGACCCCGGCAACGAACGTTAAAAGGCCCACGAGATACGCCACTTTAAGTGTAGTAGAATATGGCACCTAGCTTGGGTTGCAAAGCTAACCCTTTTGGGAACCATGCTGACATGAATCAGAGCTCTGCCACCCGCAAAATACCTTGCGCCGTTTTGCCATCAGGTATGGCCCAGCGAGGATATGCTGCCGCAGGTTAAGGGCGTTCCCATGCTATTCTTGAGTGGGCTGCGAGACGAGATTGTGCCGTAGGTGCTGTTGTTCCAAACGTAGTCGTTTGCTTACCCTGTTCACAGTCCATCGCACATGAGTAAGCTATACCAGGTCTGTCGATCGACACCGAAAGTATGGCGGGAACTACCGAACGGCACACATAACGACTCTGTTTCCGAACCTGGGTACTTTGCCTATATCGACGATTTCCTCTCTGAGCATGTCTGCAAATGAGTACCGTGGGCGACGGTAACCGAACGAGCTTGCATCCGTATGTTTGCTCGCCTGTTGGCTCAGGATGGCGACAACATAGCACGCAGAGGCTGACACATGAGGCACTGTGTATTCAGAGCCTCTGCCGCTGATGTCGGCGTTTTATCTTCTGAAGCCCACGACGCGTGTAACACGAGAAATCGAAGCATGTCGGAGATTTTGTACTCGGCTTCCGCAACGGTTGCTTACAATCGGAAGTCGGAATGCTGCATGTCGGGACGCACCAAGCGGCAGGCTGTGCTCGACTGTGAGCATGCGTAGTAGGGTTGGAGATAGACGACGGGGAATGATCAAATGAAGGCGGCGCGGAGACGCGTCCTGCTCCCATGATTCGGCACCGCCGTGCCCTTTGACATGCCGTGAGGACGCATGCTAAAGATGGAATGGACAGGGCCCAGATGCACCCATGCGTCGGGCTGATGCGCGGGGTCTGAGAGGATCGCCAGGGGAACGACGATCCACGGCCGGCGTGAGCGTTTGCTGGCGAGGGCGTCGAGACACACTGCAACGTGTGAGCGCTTTGGGGAGTGGCGAGGGCATGACGAGGCGCCTGTCCGCTTCGGGCGGTGCTGCGTCACCGGTGGGAGTGGGAGAGGTGCGGGGCAGGGCAGGTGCGGCGACACTGGACGAGGTCGAGTCACGGCAGGCCGATGCAAACCAAGTGCCGCCGACACGCACGGCAGCACTGCGAGAGCAGCTTCGAACGGTTCACGCTACGTCTCCGCGAAATACGAGCCCGACGACCGTGGACTGGACCCTGACGCGCCTGGGACGGCTGGCGCCACAGTGGCGCCTCACGCTACGTCAGTGGGCCGCCAGGAACGCCACGCCATGATCGGGATTGCATCTTGTCCATGCGCCGCCATGCAAAAGACGCATCGACAATCCACGCAGCCCTGCTTTCGGCGTGCCCACGCACTGCTCCCCTCCCGTCCTGCCAGCGACCGCGCACCTAGCAGCGCTCGGCCCAGCGCCGCGCACGCCTGTCGCCTCCACGCCCATCACACGTCGTACCGCCCTGCTCGCCCTCCATCTGCGTCTGCTGCTAGGGCAAAATTGCCCATGCGGGCGCAGTGCGGCTGTGCACGCCAAGCTCTGTCGATCTCGGGCAGATTGAACGTCGTCCGCCCTGAGCAGCCGGCGGCCAGGCCGGGACGTGGCAAACTCGCTGTCGCCCGTTCCATTGGGCCGCCTGTCCTCCGCCATTCTCCTGCCGTCGTCTGTCGAGCGACCGCCGAGCCAGTGCCGAGCGGCCCTGATTGGAGCCACACGAGACGGCCCTCACGCTATCCGTGGTGCCTTGTCTGGCTACATGGTCCAGATGTGGCGTATTCGCACTCGGCCTCGCCCTCTGTTCACCCCATTCTGCTCCTGTCGCTTTGCCGGACGCCTCCCGAACGTCGTTCGTTGCCTGTCTTGCTCTTCACCGCCACACCTGCACTCCGTCATGTTTGCATGCCCGTGACAGCGGCCACGCGCGCTGTTTGAAGCCGTCCTCTTTCTGGATACCCTAGTGCTTGTCTCCGCACCTAGTGCTTGTGCCACTTGCATTGGCCCTCCTTGCTGGCAGCGAGCACTTTCTCCGGCGGACCCTCTGAATTACTTCATGAATTCAACTAACTGGAAAAAAAAAACATGGCCCAATCAATCTGCTGGCCCGCCTCCAACACCACAGTCGTGAATCTCCGTAACAGGCTTCTATGCTTTATTGAAACCATTCCATCCGAAACTTACCATCAGCCATCACATCTATAATTACTCTTCTGTATGAGCTTTGCTATCCCGACATCTACACTTAGTTTCAGTGGTTCTGCAGGGTACGTCTAGGGTAGTTGGGTCCACTAAGCTTTGCACAAGTCGTCCAGGATCAGCTTCCGGCCCTTAGACAAGTCTAGAAAGTCGCCTACTCGCCACACTCTTACCAGCGCAAGTAGCTTTTCGTCCTCTTCGTCGCGTTCGCCTACCGAGCCCCCATTCCCAGCCTGTTCACAATACTGGAGATCCTTTCGCCTCCAGAACGTCGGTTCGGGCCCTGTCGCTCCACAGCCATTCCAACAGCCACAGCCTCAAGGTTCAGGGCCCAATCAGACCACAGGAAGCCACACAACCGAGAGGCAATCGAGGCAGAAGGCTTGCAAAACCTCGTGCGGCAGTCCCGCCCACATAGGGCCGTCTAGCGAACCCTTCTCAAGCTCCTTCGCCTCTCCGGCCTCTAAGGTTCCACCTACGGTCACGCTTTCCCATTCTTATCGTCGGTGCCGTTGTTTCGTCAAACCTCATAAGGCGTCAAAACGTACACCAGCCGTCTGAGTGGTCACCTACTCCTAACCATCATCTTCGTTCCGCTCCAAGCGAGCTTTCTCATCCCAGCAGTACCTCGACCGTCGCTGTTAATCTTACCTCATCTAGTCTCACCTTGTGCTCGCTTCTTTTTTTACATTCTGGCGGTCGCAATCTTTCGTCCCATTGGCATACAGCTTGCGAAGCTCGTCTCCCACAGCCTCTACTTTCGGTTGTCTTTCATTCCGGCTCGCCACTTCGATCACCACTTGCTCTGATATAGGTCCAGGTACGTGTCGAATTTCATAATTACAGTCGCGTCGAAATTGTTCGAAATTTGTGTTCATTTGTCATTTGTCGTTCGCTTTCTTGGTCAAAAATGGGCTGACATGGCCTTCGTCTGGGTACAGCAGTGGATTGCTCTTCCAGTCGTTATCGAAGAACCAATGGGTGACCTACCACCTGGATCCAGTCCACAAGCTTTGGACATCACGGCAACTGGTCTTGCTCGTGATGATCTCCAAGGTCATTCACACCAGCCCTCGGGCGTTAGGTCTCCCAGCAGCAACACGCCCTTTTACTCTCAGCTTAGCTCGATTCCTCAATCGCAACTACGGCCCGACCTTCGTTCTCCCGCACATCCAAGCAGCCCGCATTACCCGCAAGGCCACAGTGCGACACCCCTAAACATGGGTACTATGGCGGGCTCACTTCCAGACTACACTTTAGTCGGTGGTGTGCAATCGCAGCATACCCAGCGACAATTATCTGGCGCATCGACATCCGCACTCGTCTATCAGCTTCAGCAGAACCTTCAAGTGCATGGCCCAGCCTCCAACACGCTTCCCGTTCAATCGGGTTACGGTCCTAGCTTCGGTGCTGGCCAATTTCAGCAGAATTACATGCCAACGCAAGCTTCTTCTCACACAAACTATACTGCTTTCCCCCCTAACCAACAACGTGGACCAGGACCCAACCCAATGCAAGCGCCATACCCGAGTTATTCTCAACAATCACCGTATCTATACTACCCTGCGCCATACGGGACACAACACTTTGCACCGGGGTTTTCCGGACAGAACGCGCAGACTCCAGCGTTGTACGGTAGAAGGCCGAGTCTTACTTCTTCGCATATCCCACTGCCTGGACAGAGTTTGGAAATGCCCGCGCAAGATGGGTTGTTCTCTCCTGGGCATCGCACGACTTCCGGTGCGGTACAAGGCGATCCGGTCTCAATGGGATGGATGCCTGGTGGCCAGTTTGTGCAACCTGGTGGTGAGCATCGAACCTTGACATGGTGTTTTAGAACGTTGCTAATGGCTGATTCTCCAGGCATTCTGCGCACTGGCCCTGTCAGCTCTATCCCTCGTGGTCCTCCCCGAAAGCCTAAACAATCTGGTCACGCACTTTGGGTGGGCAATCTGCCTCCAGGGACGACGGTCATAGCTCTGAAAGATCATTTCTCGCGCGACGCCACGAAGGACATCGAGAGTCTGTTCCTCATTTCTAAGAGCAACTGCGCTTTTGTCAACTACCGCACCGAGACGTCATGTACTGCGGCTATGCATAGATTTCACGATTCCCGCTTTAATGGTGTTAGGTTGGTGTGTCGGCTTCGTCGTAGTTCTGCACCGGCTTCTGGCGTGCCCACAGGACCTTCGGCCATGGTTGGGACACAAATGACGAACGCTTCTCCTCCAACGTCACCTCGAGACGCTCAAGGCGAGGTATCACATGGAGATGCAGAGGCTAATATCACCGCTCACACAAGTGACGGAAACGTACGGGAAACTTCAGGCGCTTCAGACAAGTATTTTATCGTCAAAAGTCTAACGCTGCAAGATCTCGAGCTCAGCCTCCGAAATGGCATCTGGGCTACTCAGTCTCATAATGAAGAGGCGTTGAACAACGCCTTTGAGGTAAGTCTTCGTGGCTACTGCGAGTGTTTTGCGGTACTGACAATACAAGACTGCTGAAAATGTGTACCTTATCTTCTCTGCGAACAAGTCTGGCGAGTACTTTGGATATGCTCGCATGGCCTCTCGTATCCTCGAGGATGATGGCCAGCTAATTGGCTCGGTACCTAAACCAGACAATATACTTGAGGCAACTGATGTGCCGAAGTCCATACCCACACCTGCGACGGAATTTGCGCCTAGAGGTAGAATAATCGACGATTCAGCAAGAGGTACGATTTTCTGGGAGGCAGAACTGACAGACTCGGAAGGTGAAGAAGATCACCCGGACAAAGAAGATGCGCAAGTAGACGGAGAAGCACCAGCTGTTGCTCAGAGTTGGGGAAAGCCCTTCCGGATTGAGTGGATTTCTACAACTCGTTTGCCGTTCTATCGCACACGAGGGCTTCGAAACCCCTGGAACGCCAATCGCGAAGTCAAGATTGCGAGGGATGGGACAGAGCTCGAGCCTGGTGTTGGAGAGCGACTTCTTCAGATGTTCCGTGGGCCTAGCTCTATTCCATTGGCGCAACCCTCCGTGGGGGTTCATATGCGACCTTTCTAGGCCAGCGCCATCTACGTACAGTGGCACGAATCGGTCGTATTTTGCACATACGAACAAGACGGACATGGATAGGTGGCGATGTACACGGTATTGTGTTGGCGTACTCTCGCCGGACAGGCTTTCGGCATACGTTTACCAGTCGATACGACTCGATGAAGCAACGATTACGACAGAAACGGAATCACGCGAGATCCCACAGCTTTGCAGATCATGGAGACTCCTAATCTTTCATTGCTGTTTCCTTTCGATCCTTTCTGCATCGTACCTTCGATTCACTACTTTGTAACATATTGATGCATTGCGATCTTTTTGGGAGCGTTGACATGTGTGTAAAGTAATAGTAATCGCACAAGTTCCTGCAACATCTGCTTTTCGCCTCCTTTCCTTCGTCGGCTGTTACTCAACGCAACAACGAGCTTACTGGAACCCGGCATTTTCAGAGTCGATGGTGTTGTCTGGGAGGGTGCGAACAATCTGTTCACTTGTGACTCAACAAACACTGCATGGCTGGTCGTCGCCCTGATGCAAGGCTTGCATGAGTCCACGTATCACACGATATTAGACTCTCGTTCGAGCCCCAACTCGCCTCACAATGCCCACTTGACGACAAATGCCGGGCTCTTTGTGGGCTTTGGATTCACTTAGGCGCTCGACATTGACCATGCCGCATCGGAAACATGCCTGTAAGCATATTCGCATTTTTCTACCGTAAGCAATCGCGGGCAGAAGGCTGGGGCAACGGCACAATAAGCCCACAACGGCTCGACCCTGTGGAAGCGCCATGTGGGTCCACCAACCTCCATCGGCATGAGACATGACAGCATTCCGCTCCCAAGGTCATGCTGCATGCACCGAAAGCGAGACCATGCCCGACATCAGACGATGACAAACACAGTATTCTCTGGCGGGCCAAGACATGGTCTGAAGACAGACGCAGGCCCAGAACGCGTGTTGGAGTCTGGTTCTTATCAGATGCAATTCTCAGAGCTGATCGGCGGTTACACCTCGTGACATGGCCAGACGGTGACATCTCCGCCGACGATACATGTATATATGTACTGTACGAGCCTGTCCTACCACACCGACCCTCTGCACCGGGCCCTCCACGTGTCGCCGTGTCGTGATGTTCCAGCCCAATCCGCTGCGGGCCCCCCCGCGGGCTGGTATGTGTAGCCCTCCACCATGCACAGCGCCCGGGAACCCATTCTCCACGCTCCTCACCCCTGCCGTCTCGGGGCCTACGACGACCTGGACTTGGGCGCATGATCTCCTCCTCTCGATCCTTTACAGCGCAGCGAAGCATGTTGTTCTATAAGCCGCAGCACAACTCGTCCATGCCATGGTAAGCGCGCGTCCATCTGGAACTTCTGTGGCCGGGAAGGGCCTGGGCGCCGCTTTGGGAGTTTCCCCACAACATGCAAATTGCGTTTTGTCCGTGAGGGCCCGTGCGTTGAACCGAGTCGCATGACATTGTGGCGGTGCGCGCTAGGTGCGCCCCAGTTCAATCGTGGGCTAGGCTACAATACATGGCGTGGTGTAATGTTTCAACTTGTGCTTGTTTGTCTAGGGGCACCAGAGCGATGGTCCAAGTTGCGAAGATGCGGTGAGGAGGCGCCGGCATGATGAGTCTGAGTGACCGAGTTTGTTCTTAACCTTGTGCGTGTGTGTCAAGGTACACGCAATGCTGTCCATTAACTACTTTAAGCCATGTTATGCCTGACTATCATGTTAGGACCGAGTGTAGTGGGAAATCTGTTTTCAAAAGGCGTTCCAGCGCTGGCTCGTGAGGTGACGGGCTATCGACTGACAGATGTTATCAAGAACCTCATCGCCTCACGCAATTGCAACACTACTGTTAGTCCACTCAAACAGTCTGGAACCATGTCTATTGTGCAAACTAAACCATTAGTACCTATACGAAGCACAAGCGGATATCAATATCTCGTGTCCTGGCCATCCCAACCCCTTTTACGCTTTTGTAACACGTCTATCCATCATCGTCCCAAGTCTCGCAACAGATACAAGTCTCCAAAACGCCGACCCAATAAACTCTGACAATGAAAAACCGAGTCCTCTTGATACGATGTGCAAATTCTCCGCCAACATCAAACGGCCCGCAACGCGTCGCAGTCAACGGATGATTAGCTCGCGAGCGGTCGTCATCCAATCATCATCGTGGGATTCGTAAGCGACCGTTTGGTCCCACGACGAATTTAGTCGTCGTTGTCATACTCAGCCTGATTGCTGAGGTTTTTGGGTCCATCTTTACGGATAGGGATTTTGATTCCCTGGCTTGCAAAGGTCTTGCTGAGGGGCGTGCTTTCTATGACGCCAGGGAACTTTTTGGCCGAGTAGACTTGAAACTGGTCTGAGAAGCAGGTGGCTAGAACGGGAGCACGACCGGTGTTGAGAGTGTTGTTTCCCGAACCATTGCCGACATCAACAAAGTTCATTTTCAATCTACGCCCGTTAGTATGAAATCAGGTACAAGGCCGCACAAGCATGCATACCTGAAAGTGCCCTCTGTTCGCACTGACAGATCTTGAAGCACAAACCAGAATCCGAGCTGGTTTTCCGTGTCGGTGAGCTTGAAAGCGTTGACCGAGAGACTGCCGATGAGATTCCTGGTGAACATGCCTACAGTGGAGGCGGGCGCGGGCAGCGGAGCCATGGGCATCGAATTGGGGGCATAGGCAGTGCCAGCATAGGGATATCCTTGAGTGGGGGCTGGGTAGCCGCTGTATGCAGGCATGTTAGCTGCGGGATAGGCAGGCTGGGGCATGTGCCTTCCGTATGCGTCGACTTGCGGCATGCCGGCCATGACCTGCGGCATGTACATGGGCGGGCGCTCCATGGGCGGCGGATAGGAGGTCGTAGTGCTGCTCGAGATGCTAACAGTAGGGGCGCCGCTGCTGTGGCGCACGAGATTGACCTCGCGGGCGCCGTCGGCATCCCAGAGATCGACCGTCAGGACGAAGAAGGTGCTGTCGATGTCGTTGGCGTCAACCTCCTTGCCCGTGGCCGCATCGCACACGATGAGGCGCACACAAGGCGGTGGAGTGATGGGGCGGCGGTCCTGGCATTGGTCAGTCACGTGCCAGGGAAGGGCGTGCGGGCGATGGTCACCTTGTCTCCGAAGCCGCACATGCGCGCGCGGATGGGCTGCTGCTCGACCACAAGCCTGCACGGGGTCAGCTAGCTGCGCGTCTGGCAACAGAGGGAATCACGCACCGGTACACCTTGCCGTTCTTGGTGCCGGCGACGGGCTGCAGATGGTCGGTCCGGTAGACAGGCACCGGCGGCTGCTGCTGCTGGTGCGGAGGGAGGTGATTCATGGCGGGCTGGTCCTGGACGGGCGGCAGCGGCGGCAGCGCGGGCTGCGTGTCTTGCTTCTGGTGCGTGAGGGGAGGTTGCGGTTGGGGTGCTGGGACGGGATACTGGGTGTTCTGGCGGGAGTACATGGCGGCGAGGCTCTACTTGCTGGGCTGCCGCGCAGTTGGCAAGGGCACTGCAGGGCGGCAGGCTGCGTTTCCGTGGGTGGGCGAGACGACGAGGGTGGAGAGGGTGGAGAGGAGGGCGCGCGTTGGGAGAGGAATAGCTAACACGTGCGGCCAGTCAAGCTACTGCAATCGCATTGTCTTTGTCCGCAATGCCCAACAGAAGGCGCCGCGCGCTGCTCCAGCGCTGCCGCGAAGCCTGGCGCGTCGCACGGCAGCCGTTGCCCGCCTCAGCGTCGTCGACGTCTGCGGTGCTGTCGAGGGGCGCGGTCTCGTGGCGGCGGCGGGCGCATGCGCCGCGGGGAAGAGGCGGGTGCGGGTGCGGGTGCCTCTGTGTGTGTGTGTGTGTATGCGTGTGTGTATGCGTGTGCGTGTGCGTGCCCGGGCTGCTGTCAACGGCGCGGCAAGGACTGCGATACGTGGGCGGGTGCTGTGCTGCGGCCGTCGCACTGGGAGTCGTCGTCGTCGTCGTCGTCGGCGTGTGGTACTCGCGCCCTGGGCCAGCAGAGGTCGACTTGTCGTCGTTGCGGACTCGGCACGAAACATCAGCGCCTCGCCACAGCACCGCCTGTCCGACTCGAGCCGCTTCGCACACACACCGACGCACGACAAGCCCGCAACATGTGCATCATGCAAAATCTAAAAGGTATAGCCTGTACATCTCTATCTACAAGTGAGGCTTTCTATTGGATCGACTGTCTAAATGCGGCACGACCCCCGAGCTGCAGGTCAGTCTGCCTGAGTTCCCACTCCCGAGGATGCCGCATGCCTCAACGGGCATTCTCAGCGTCTGCATGCGTCGATGCACCCAATCATCCCCCTGCCCCGCCTAGCCAAAGTGGAAAAGCGTTTGCTTCTTGTTCTTGTTGCCCTTCTTCTTCCCACCTCCAGCTTCCTCCCCAGCTGCTGCCAGCGCTGTGCTGCTTGAAGCCATCCCTCCTGCTGCGCTCCACGCATTGGCCGGTGTGTTGCGACCGCTATTGTCTCTTCGGACGCCTGCTCCTGTGTACCCAGGGCTGAAGAAGGTGCTCGTTGGTTTCGGAGCGGCAGGTAAAGCGGGGAAGGCGTCCGCAAGGCTGGTCTTGGTCAAGGCCACTGACGATGTAGCACGGGACGGCATGGGCGAAATGCGAGGGGATGCCGAAGATGCTGCCCAGGGCGTCTGGCCTGGTTTCGCCCCGATACGATTCGACGACGGCGCGGGTAGGGCAGGAAACGCGCTGCTGGGCGCCGCGTTGTTCCAGCTCGCATGCCTGTTGACTGCTGACCGTGACGACTGCACAGTAGAGCTCTTCAGCTTCAACACTCTGGATCCTCCGTGCGCTGCAGGCCCGCCATTGAGTGACTGACCCGTGGCCGATCCAGGAAGGGACGGATAGTCTTCATTGATCGCCTTCCAATCGCTCCATGCCCTCAATAGCCCTTCGCGCTTTGGCTGTATTTCAAATATGTCTGCCAACTCCTTTACCAACTTGCCCAGCTCAGTGGAACTTGTGTCGAAAAGCGCGAAGAAGCCTTCAATCAGCTGCGTCGCTGTTATCCTGGAATTACGATAGCCCGAGATGCTTGAGCGGAATTCCTGCAGTTTTGTCTGGTCGTTACGTAGCATGTTCGAAGCTCTTTCCGTCACCGCACTATGTCGTAGCAAACGTGCCTGCTCCTGGGGAGTCTGCGGTACGGCGTTTGGCGCAGGCGCATTTATATCTATTTGGCCAATACCATTCGAAACATCGTTCGCGGAGGCCCTTGCGGGGCGTGCTACGGTCACGGTGGGTGGGTCGTTCCCAGACGGTCGAGGTCGAGCTGCAAATGCTTCCATGGGTGTAGGTCCTGCGGAAGAACTTCCGCCCAAAGGTGGTCCGGCCGTTGACGATGCATTCCGCAAAGCCATCTGTCGCTGATAAGCAAGCTCGGCCCTGGTCATTGGCTGAGCTGACGATGGCGGCAGCGGCTCTGAGTTTGGATCTCGTCCTCGTCCCCCCCTGCCGCCTCTTCCATCCCTGCCTGCGCGACCGCGCCTTCCGTCTTGTTCCTGCTCGTGTGATCGCAATTGGAATCCCGACATATCCACTCTCCGAGCATCTCGCAGCGCGTCCTTTGTAAGTCCGTTCGGGTGTGTCTCCAGCTGATGTGCCTTAAGATCCATTTCCGAGTCAAAAACAACGAACTTTTTTTCCAGACACTCCCTGTCTGGGCAAAGGAAATGGCCTTTTCGAAAGTGATCTTCGAGATCGTTGTAGTCAAGGTAGTACTGCGGCTTTCTGCCCTCGTTTTGGCGGTCGCAGAGATGACAGCGTTCATGTTTTTCTCTGCAATGCGTGTACAGCTCGTCGTCACCGTAGAATCGTTGCCGACAGAAACCACATTCAGGATGACCTTTGAATCCGCTTTGATCAATGGCCCCAGGGTTGTCGTCTCCGAACTTTTGGTGCTTCCGAAGTTCGGCAAATGTGAAGAGCTCGTGCTCATGCGTGAAGACTTTCTTGTTCCGTGTACAAAGATCGCTGGCCAGATCAGTATATCGCTCAGGACACAAGGAATCATCGGTTGCATAGCACGTACCACATGACCTTTCCATGCGCCGTCTTGACATGTCGGTGCAAGTCTGGCCAGCCCAAACAAGCAACATCGCAGTCGCCATCTGGGCAATTGTACTGAAGCAACAACCGGGTGTCGTCGTATGTCTCGAGGTTCTCGAAGCGAATTCCTAGATTGTCGTCTGATCTGAAGAAATCTGCGGTCGCAAATGACTCGAAATTCTTAGACGAGTCGTCTGTGAACATCACATGGTCGGACTCAGTCCTGCAATGTGCACAACTTTTCGTCTTATATAGCGCCCGTAACCGCAAGGAGCAGATATGGCAGGAGCGGTGGTTGCAGGGCGCGACAGCTGTATGTTGGACGGGGGATGCGCAAATGAAGCACACCTCGCCTTCCTCTGCGTCTGCGTCTGAACCCGCCACGACTAGCCCGACGGTCGCTGCCGGCACATCTTGCTCGCCCGGTGCGCTGCTCGCAGGCACCTTGCCTTTTTCTAATGGTCGCCCTCCCTGATTTCCTCTGCCGTCTCGGTCTGCGCGGGCTCTGCCCCGTCCCGCATGGTTGCCTCCTCTTCCGCGGCCCCTCCCGCCAGTGTGTTCATGAGTCTGCTCCGAGACGCCCGGATGGGGCCCCCTCCCTCGTCCTCTGGCCCTTCCGCCGCGTCGAGCTGGGTTGGTAGGGTTGAGGCCGTCAGACGTGCCTCCGGGTGCAGACGTGGTTGCGCTCGTAGTAGAGTCCATGCGGGGTTGTTTCCTATGTACAAGTCGCTGGAACAGCTTGTTTATACGGTGAGTAGTGTGGGAATCGCAATGAGTTTGGCTCTGACAACGACTGATACGAGATGCGTGGGCTCAAGGGAACGCGGTCCCGCAAGACGTTGAAAGCTGCCGAAGGTTCGACTTTGCGATGGATTATTATGACGCGGGCTCTCTAGAAGCGAATAAGTGCCCCATGCGGCGGACGCTACCGTTTTGGGCGAACCCACGGTTCAGGCACCACCTTTGAGATGACTCAACATGCACTTCTGCCGCAGCTACCAGGTGACTCGAGATGATTCACTGTACAATACCATTCAGCTGATGGTCGCTTGTGTCGTTACCTAGCTTTAGACACTAGATGCAGTATCCTACGGCATGTACAGCACCTCGCTGCGCATAGCGTACCGTCCCCACCACCTCATCCAGTGATAGGTGAAGGTCCGATCACAAGTCACAACTCGCGTAAGCCGCCCTCCTCGTCGTCGAACTCGTCACCATAGAGCACACGCTTGGTCTGCATCATTTGCTCTGGATCGCCGCTCAACCGCTCCTTGAGCCAGCCTTCCATGCTGAGGATTTGGTCGGTGTATTTGTCCACATCAGCTTGGCATTGCTGTGCTTCGTGCTTCTTCTTGTCCACTTCTATCGGGTCTTGCTCGCTGTAAGCGGCCAGTCCCTGGCGCAACTGCTCGAGCTCTTTTGTCAGACCACCGTGCTTAGTGATGAGAGATTTGCGGTCCATGCCTCTGCTGGTAAGCTAAAGAAGCAACGCGGTACAAGCAACCCCTACCAGTGTGTGCAAGTGCTTCGTCATCCTCGCTGCGCACAGCTCCCGCATCGTCAACTTTCATCTGCCACTCCGTGACCACTGCATCCGCCTTGTTGAACTCGTCTCGAGCATGTTCCAATGCCGCCTCTCTGGCCTTCTTTTCGTCACTTGGAAAGCTCCAGTACCAGTTGCCGCTGCCGATCTTTTCGACGCGGATCTTGTTATCGTCTTGGAGAGCTTGCAGGTAGTCCTTCACTTGCATGCCGCTGATAGATGCAACCTGTGGAAGTGTCTTCTCGAGATCCTTGATGCTATGGGCGACGGCCGTCTTGTGGAACCACGCTTGAATGGTCGCCACTTTGGCAGCGTTGGCGGTGATCTTGGGTGCCTAGGCACTGTTAGTGAAAGGCAGGGCACGGAAAAGCAGACGGACACTCGCCATGGCTTAGCTGCAGATATGCCGTGGTCCGGGGAGGTTCGATCGAGCCAGACGGTGGGCTTGTCGGCACCGTGGGGTTAGGAGCGCTGTTAGGGTAGACGTAGTCGCACCTACCTCTTATACCTGCCAAGCTTCCAAGGAGGAAGTCGCGGATACAGCACCATGTATCTACGTAGTCGAGACGCCGATGTCAGGTTGTCTACAGCAAATGACATGCCCGCAAGGCAGCCTGCGTTGAGCGCCTGTTTGGGAGCATATCGCTATATACCACGTGCATTGTCCTGGATCTGGGAAGGCGAGCGAGTCTCTTCTTTACTTCCTCGCTAATCATGATACCTCTGGATTTGCATCTCAGTTCGATGTCTCTCGTTCAGATGAGATACTTGTACCGGCTTCCTGTGCCACAGAATAGCCTCACTCCCCCTCTTCCTTCACAAAGGCCTGCTTGGTACGCCTATCTTCGTCCGCAAACGCCGCGTTCTCTTCGCTCCTTGCAGCTTCGACCAAAGCAAAATGGCCGGTCTCGCCCAACGTCGCTTTTACAGTCTCTTCCAGCAGAATACCTAGCGCAATCAATGCTGTTTCATCCATGCTCCTCAAGAACCCAGGCCCTTCCTCCTCTGGCGAATGGTCGTGGTCGTGCAATTCTGCGATGTATTCATGAAGCGCGCTCAGTAAGTCTCCAGAAGGCAATTCCTGGTCAAGAGGAAGTTTTCTGTGAGCAAAGTAATAGTCTGCTTCTTCGTATCGCGGTGGAGCGTTTTGTTGCTTGAACAGCACTTCATCTGGACGCAGCCGTAGTGTTGCGCGCTTCTGCTCGCCTGCTGTTGGATCGTAAATCCCTGACTGCGTGACCCTGCCTGCAGCACGTTCAATATATGCACACATGAGAACTATACTTCTTGTCTTCTTACCTGCTACAGCATCGTAGACCGTGGCCCGGCTTGCTTCTACCGTTTCTGACGACGTTTCGTCGCCCGAAGACAAATCGGCGAGTGGCCGTTCGGAAGACGATATGCCCAATCTCTGGCCCGCCATGGCCGTCCAGGCAAGCTCGCAAACGAGCTGCGACTCGGTTTCACTTTCAGGCTCTGCGGGCGCAACGAGTGAGCATGCAGCCAGGTGAGTACGGCTAAGCTAAAAGCAGGGTCGCAGGTGAACTTACGTAACACGTTCGTTTGACGCCACATCTCTCAGGACCACAGTGACAACGTTACCCCGGATCGTCCGTCAAAGCATGTAGTCGCATACTGTGGTATGACCACACAACAAATCGCCAACCGCGCATACGGTACCGTCCCAGCCAATGTCGTCAAACGCGCGGTCGCTTCGCGTCTCGTCTACGCGTTGCAGCCGTCGTTGGTGAACTTCAGCGGACGACTACCGTCCCCCTACGAACCGAACGAACGCCACCCAGCGCACATCGCGGGCGTCAACGCACTCACCATCGACCGCTTCGACGGACGCTATCTGCTTTCGGGCGGCGCAGATTCGTCAATCGCGCTATGGGATCTCGAGGCGCAGCCCATGGTCGCGGAAGGGTACCCCACGTATGCACCGCTCACGGCTGTAAGCAAGACGGCAGAAGAGCACAAGCTCGGCATTACACAAATCTCGTTCTACCCATTCGATAGCCTGGCGTTCCTCACTTCATCGTACGACCACACAGTCAAGCTCTACTCGAGCGAAACCCTTGCGCCATCCGCTTCCTTTGATCTCGATAGCGTCGTTTACAATATCGCGCTTTCGCCCATTGCATCGCACCTGCTGGTCGCATGCGCAACCCAACACCCCACTGTGCGTCTCGTAGATCTGCGCTCCGGTGCGAGTACACATTCACTCGCCGGCCATTCGGGTGCCATTCTCAGCACAGCTTGGAGCCCTACCCGCGAACACATACTTGCCAGTGGGGCGACCGACGGCAGCGTGCGCTTCTGGGACGTCCGTCGTAGCGTGAGCGAGCTCGGCTCCTTAGACATGGAAGATTCCATTGGTGTACTTGGCAAGCCTTCTGCGTCGTTCATGCGCAACTCTGTACAAGGCAAGGCGCACCGAGGCCCCGTTAATGGCATCGTTTGGACTGACGATGGATATCATCTGGTAACATGTGGACACGATCAACGTATCCGCGTCTGGAATACAGACACTGGCGCAAACACGCTTGCGAATTTCGGACCCATGGTCAAGAACTCAGATCTTGCGCCGTGCATACCTCTCCTCGCACCTACAGAATATTTACAACCAGAGAAGGACATCCTATTCTATCCGAATGAGCACGAGATCATGGGGTACGAGCTATTCGACGGTAGACTCTTTCGCCGCCTGCGCCGCCCAGAGCAGCAAAGGCGCGTACATGACGCCCGTAGTAAAGGACAGCGCAACGGCAAAGACAGAATCACAGCGTTAGCATGGCGTGCGCATGACGTTGAGATGTACTCTGCGCACGCGGATGGCAGTATCTCAGCGTGGATACCTCGGACAGAGGAAGACGCTGAACTGGACGAAGAGGCGGAGGAAGAGCACGAGGCTAAAAACGAGAGTAGAAAGAGAAAGAGAGGAGTCCTGGACGAGATCTACCAGGACTTGACAAAAAGGCCAATCACATTTGGAGGATTATGACTATCCAATCGAATAATCATTTTGGTCATTGTTCTATATGCGTGCTGTGCGTGCTTCGTGACCAAGTAGCTCCGTTAATGCAGTAACGCCACATGCCGGCATTCGCTCGCTGAGCTGGGTTATACCGTTACTTTGTCTCGTGCTCTTGTTTATGTTGTTGAACGGTTTCACTGTTGACTTGCGACGCTTCGCTTCCGATCCGTCTTCGACAACCTCTGTATGCCCGTGTCGGTCGTAGCCCAATCAAGAACTTCACTAGGATGGCAGTTCAATTGCCTCGCCTGATGTACTCTTCTATCGGCATATAGGATGGTGTTACATGGATAAGCATAATGGGTCGTTAGGTGGTGATCAGCCGGGCTGTCCACTGAAGTGCGGCAGCCGAGCAGGCACAAAGCTGGAATTGCCGTCGTTAACCTGTTCGTCCCTCGCTTCCTCCTTCAGAGACAGCGGCCTGTTTGGCGTGGGAGCAAGGCTGGAATAGTCGGACTCATCGACGTGGAACGAGCTGCTGTCCGGCATCGTTTGTGCGTCGACGCCCGGAAATGGCGACAGCACGGTATCTGACTCGAGATCTGGTCCACTGCCTATGGTGCGCATGAGGTGAGGCGAGGACATTGTTGATGGCGTCCCTAGCTGGTCGTGATTTTGAAGCATCATCGGATTCGGAGAGGGTGACCGCCGCCCAGGAATAAGAAGATGTTGGTCTGCTGCCAGCCCGCGTCTGACGGCTAGTTGTTGTGCTTCTTGACGCTTGCGTTCGACCTCGGCCTCTTCCTGTAGACGCACTTGCTCCTCTTCCTGTTTGAGGTCCGAGAGAGTGGGCACCTCATCGATTGCCTCTGAGGGCAGCCGCTTGATGCTTACTTCCTGGCTCCTTCGCCCGCTGTCTTGCGTGTTGCGGGACGAGGCTGACTTGGTAGAAACGCGGGATGCAGACGGTCTCTTGCTCTTGCTGCCGGAGCGCGCTCTGCCTTTGCCGCTGCTGGCATCATCGTGCCATTGTCCTGTCGTTCGGCGCTCGAGTGCCACGGCAAATTCATCGTCCAGGGGTACAGCGTCGTCCAGCTCGTCTTCGCTCGGGAAGATGTCGCCTCGTGAACTGAGGGAGTCTGTAGTATGGCCCGAGGCGTTCGTCTGACTGCGCTTGCGCCCGTGTGTCTTGGCCTCGTTGCCGTGCTGTGTGTCGGCGTCTTCGTCGCTTTCCTCGATCAGGGGCTGCGCTTCGTCTCCGCCTGTGGCTTCTTCGTGGCTCCTCCTCGACTGACCCAGATGTTCTGTCAAGTCTGCTGCTGAAGGCTTGTAGCGGAGCACCTTGCCTCCAATCTTGAACGGCAGCCTGCCCAGGAAGCCAAAGTACGAAGAGCTGGGGATGATGGTGGGATCGGGCCCGCCGTCATGCGGCGGAACCGCGCTCTTCCTGCGCTGCCTGGCGAATCTGGGGTCGCGGTTGCGGTTGCCATAGCTCATTGCACGCTGGCGGCCCGGCTGGGACGTGGTGCCATAGTTGCTGGTGCCGCCCCACAGCCGGTCGAGGTTGTCATGGCCCCAGCCCAGCAGCCCGTCATCCTCGTCTTCTTCCCAGTCGTCGTAGAAGTCAAAGCTCTGCTCGGCGCGGCCCCGCGACCGCGCGCGGTGCCGCCGCCGGTCGTTGTGCGATGGGAAGCAGGGCGCCGTGCACGCGTTGGCGCACTGCGTGAGCGATGAAAGGCACGGGTTGACGTATGCGTGCGCGAAGCTGTAGAGCCCCTCCTGCGCCGACTCATTGGCATGTTCGACCGTGTCGGTGATGTTCTGTATGGTGCGGTTCCAGCGAGGGTCGCCGCGGCGGTACATTGCGCCCGCCGTGTAGACAGCGACGTGGCTGCGCTGCGTTCGAGGCGGCGGCGGGCAAACGGCGCATCGAGCGTGCGCGGCAAGAATGCGACTGCGCGAGGGATGTCCCAGGCCGATGCAAGGCGCTGCGCTGCTGAACAGTACTTTGCTTGCTTGACCGTTGGCGCTTGGCCATTGACGTCTGGTCTCACTGCTTAGCCCCGGCACTAGGCTGGCCTCTCAAACTGCGTTCACGTGCGCCCTGCATTCACCGTCCAAGCCCGTGCGACCCCCAACTTCCTCGCAGATTGCCCCATCATCCTCTGTCCTCCGAAAGCGGATCTGTGGCGCTAGCTTGCCTTGCCCCGATGCGCTATATACGGTTTCTGAAGACGCCGCGAGTAGTCCACGACAAAAATCGTCCAAGCGCGCATGTGTCTTGCTTGATCACCATCACCTCGGATCTGGGCGATTCATTCCTCCCATACAGTCTCACCCTCTCCGCAGAACTCTTCCAGGGCAACCGACTCCCCAGCGACTTAGACATCGACTCCGATCCAGACTCAGACACACAACTTGCAGCCTCGGAGATCTTACCCTCCACCAACGATCTCACAGCCTGGAAGGTGGTTCATTGGAGCGAAGGAACCCGAAGTCTCCCTATCATCCTTCCACTCAGTCGAGACTACAAACGGAACGGGCCGCTCGTTGTACGGATAGGAACTGAGCCAAAGTCGAATTCCGATGACTTCGACAGATTGCTACATCAAGACTCACGTGGGGTCGTGTCGGTCTGGAGTGCGCCTTTCAATCTCCCGAGTGGGTCAACCGTCTCGAGGACTGTTGAAAGGCGTTTTAAGATCGGCCACCGCACTCACCGCATATTCGAAGAGATCGACGAGAGCATTGCCCGTCATGTGTGGTAAAATCTACCCGGTATCACTAAGCATAACCAACGCAGTCTTTGATTGATATTTTGACAGGGACGCTGGGGTGGCACTGTCATGTCAACTGCCTTACCTTTTGAAACATTCTGGGGTTTTCAAGGAGGCCCTAGCGAACGCGCATGGATGGCAAGGTCATACAGATGCTCGACCACCGAATGAACGCTTTGAGTCGCCTCTGCATGTGATCGAGCTTGGTTCGGGATGCGGTATTGTGAGCATTTGCACATATGATACAGCTCGCCGAAAGCAACTTACCATCACAGGTCAGTGTCGTACTATCGCATTTGCTGCCAACAACGAACATTTACCTCACCGATCTTGCCGAAGCACGCGCGATCGCAGTACGCAATATCAGGCATGCGGGCAGAAACCGCACGAACAAGGCTAAAGTCAGCTTCAACAAGCTAGATTGGGAGCAGCCTTTGTATGATGGCGAGACCCTGCTTTTCGATTCACTTCGCAGTGACTCCTCTGAGCGGGTAGTCGACCTCGTGGTCGCCGCGGATTGTACATACAACGCCGACAGCAGGTTAGTTGGTCATCCATATTGTCTCCCTGTGGCTCAACTCAATTGCTTGATAGTCCAGCATTCGTCAACACTATACATCAAATTGCCTCACGATCCCCTCGTGTCACGGTTGCAGTCGCCATGAAAAAGCGCCATTCGAGCGAGGACGTCTTCTTCGACCTCATGTCTAACGCCAAATTCCGAATGGTGAACACAATCTGCTTTCCACTTCCAGGTGATGAAAAGGCTGGCGAAGAGAATATGGAACTATATATCTATAAGTATGCTAGTGGATCGGGCTAGCGGGATTTTCGGGAGTTAGACGTTTATGTTGTGGAAAATGAGCTTAGTAAATAAGCTAATGAATTAGAATTACTATATAGGAGATTATACTAGATTAGTAGAATATATAATTACTTATAACCTAAAATAGACCTATTATTAGAACCCGTAGTGTATAAGCGTTAAATGCCCTATTTAGGTACTAACTAGCCCTAGAAGGTAGGGCCTAGTGTTTATTAGCCTATTTTAAGGTATAAAGGACTATAAGCTATCTATTAAGGAAAATAAGCTTAGTAAATAAGCTAATTAATTAGAATTACTATATAGAAGATTATACTAGATTAGTAGTATATATAAGTGCTTATAACCTAAAATAGGCTCTTACTTATACTAAGAATTCTTATATAATTAATTTAATTAATTATATATATACTACCTTAGCTAGCCTTTATCCTATAATTACTTAAGTAAGGCTTAGTTATAATTACTTAAGTAAGGCTTAGTTATCTCTAAGGCTCTTACTTTAATATATACCCTAAATAAGTATATACTACTAGGTGCTACTTATCTACTTAAAGTCTTAGTAGAAAATACTTATTAGCTTAGTTATAGGAGTAGTATAGTATTTACTTAGAGTAGTATTCTATTCTACTATAATTTTATTAGCTAAGTAACTATAAAGTAAGAGATAATAATTACTTAGTTATTAGGTAATAAGGTAAATAAATGCGTTTTACTTACTTAGTAAGTAAAGGTAGGAGTATACTAGCCTAAAAATAATAAATAAATTTCTTACTAAAAGATTTTCTTACTTCTACTCTCTCTTTTAATTAGATTAATAGTTTTATCCCCTTCCTATAGGTCTCTTCTTATTAATTATAAGGCCTAGATTTAGGAGTAATATACCTACCTTAAAGAAAAGTAAAAACTTACTCTCTAAACTTTACTAACTAAAGGCTATACTATATTTACTAATCTAAATCTTCTAAATAGATAGGCTAAGATAATTAATATATATAATACTAAAAAGAGCTTAAGAACTCCTACTTCTACTAATAAAAAAGAAATCTAAAGCGTCTAGAGCTTAGTAACTAAAAAGGGCTCTAATACTAAATCTTCTTAGTATACTATATTTCTAGGTAGTACCCTAGCTAAGCGTAGACCTAGATACCTAAAGAAGATTAAGAAGAAAGGTAGAGCTATTAAAATAATTAAAGAGTAGGAAGATAAGAATTTAAAGTAGGGTAATTATAAAAATATTCTAAGTAAGGGTAGTTCTACTCCTATAAGTATTATAAATACCCTATTAAAGTTAAAGATACCTTACTACCCTTAATTTAAGAAAGCTTTTCTAGCTAATATTTACTTCCCTTATTTTAGATTAATTATTAAAGGTAAGAGTAAAGATTATTTTACTTACCTAAGAGAGAATTACTATTATTATTATATAAGTAGGTACTTATACTTTCCTTTATAAGTTTTACTTAACTAATCTTTTAATATTTCTACTACTAATATAATTCTTTTAGCCTACTAGAGCTTATTAAGCTAATTAATATATATATTAAGCTTAAGAAGACCTTACTAGAAGTAAGTTATAAATTCTTATTACTTTTCCTTAGTTTTACTAATTATTTAAATAGGAACCTAAGCTAAAGAATAAGGTTATAAATCTTTAGGGCCTTATTTAGGGATAAGTTAATAAGTACTATAGTAGGCTAGGTAAAATAAAGAATAGAACCTACTATATATAGTCTATACTATTAGTAGCTACTTAATATATAGATATTCCTTTTATTATTACTAATTATATTACCTCTTTAATTACTAAGGGAGTTTCCTATTAATAAAAGCGTCTTATAGATTAGTAGGCTAAGGTAGAGATTTCTACTAAAGTAGAGATAATTATCTTATATTTACCTAATAGTAGTAAGCTCTCTATTATTAAGTATCTAGCTACTAAAAAGCTCTTTACTCTATTTTTTAAAAAAGTTAAGGCTTTATTAGTTTACTCTATTCCTACTAATCTTACTTATTCTATTTAGGAAGTAACTATCCCTAAGGCCTCTTAGAGATAGGTTTAAAATTATCTAAGCTATTATATAATTAACCTAACTACTTTATTAATACTCTAGAAGATTAAGAGCTCCTAAACTCTATTAAGTAATTTCTAGCTAAGAGTACTACTTATAAATCTTTAATTACCTTATTAAAAACTATTTCTTCTAATACTTAAGCCCTTAGTATAACTATAATTTAGTAGTCTAGTTATCTATTAATCTCTATCTAAGGTAGGTGTTAAATCTAGAGAGGGTAGCTAATCCTAAATAGGTTAAGGTTAGTTCTTAGGTAAGACTTACTAAGGGAAGGAGAAAGGGGTCTTATTAATATAGAAGTATCTTATAAAGTATAATAAGTTAATAAGGGAGGCCTAAGTAAATCTAAATAATAGATTAAAACTTAGGTTAAATATATTAAATCTAGAAAGGGTAGCTAGTCCTAAATAGGTTAAGGTTAGTTCTTAGGCAAGACTTACTAAGGGGAGGAAGAAGGGGTTCTTATTAATATAAAAGTATCTTATAAAGTATAATAAGTTAATAAGGGAGGCCTAAGTAAATCTAAATAATAGATTAAAACTTAGGTTAAATATAAGTATAAAGGTTTATCCTTATATTCCTATATAGGGATCTTGCTTAGTTACTTAGGAGTCCTAAATAACTAAGTAGGTTACGTAATAACTCTTAGCTACTTAGTTATTTAGAAATTCTAAGTAGCTAAGTAAGTTATGTAACTACTATCTAAGTAACTTAGCGTGTCCTTATCTTATTATAATTCTAGTTATTATATCTTCTACTTTTATAAGCGCCTAAACTTCCCTACTATTATCTAGTTTATAATATTATCCCTCCCCTTCTTATTCTTTGCCCTAAAGAATTATGCCTACTAACTATTATTCTATAAAGCGTTGCTATAACCTTATTTTTACTATTAAAAACTATAGTATTATTATAGTGTTAAAATATTTATTCTATTAGTTATATACCTATATTTATAAGGTCTATATTAGTTTAGGAAAGTATAGTAAGTATTAGAAGTAAGGTTTAAAGTATAATATTACTATTACTTAGAATAAGTTCTTATAGTTAGTTACTAAGAAGAAGAAGTTAGGAGCATAATTAGATAAAGTATAAAAGGAGTAGAATACTACTTTTAAAGCTATATACGTGGCTTAAGTAAAAGAGAATTAGTTAAAGAAGTAGTTATTATAGAATAAGAAGTATACT